TTGCTTACCTACTTGCGAACCGAGGCCACTACGAAGAGTCTCTTGCTCTATACAATAGAGCATGCGCCGGGTACAGCGCTGTCCTCGGAGAGGACCATCCTACTACGAGCGCATGCCGCCAATATCGTTCTGAAGTGGTTGCATCGCAAGAGCAATTTCAGATCGCATTATCGCCAGCTGCACCAGAGAGCGCCAGCAAGGTCTCAAGATTGTCACGCGGGCTGGCAAAGCTCAGGATAAAGAGTTCAAAATGAGTTTGAAGATAAATTTGAAGGTGGGACGTTATAGTAGCAGTATACTGCATGAAATCATGTGCAGTGAACACTACGCTCTAAGCATCTTCTCTGCGCGGGTGATGTGCTTGGCCCGGGTGGACTTGAGCACGAGCACGTTAGCAGAAAGCCTAGGAGGAGGAAGACGGGAGGGTGTCATTCAGAACAGCAAGATGCCACGAGCACGAAGGCACGTGTTCTGGAGTATTGTATTGATGAGATTGCAGGTTAGGGGTTTGTGCCGGGGGGTGGTGTTCTGGGAAGATTGTCTGGTATGTGCATAGTACTCTGCTGTATATTCGTTGTAGAATCCCCCATGATTACGCACGAGTCTTCAGACCGTGTTCTAAGAAGATGGATTCTGGCAATACTGTCAAGTTCAGCTGGACAGATCTAAGTGCTGTCTCGATCATGGCTGACGTGGGAGACATCATGTTCACACTGTGAAACGAGACCTCATACCATAGCATTGTGCATTCAGCAACTACTGTATGCATTCACTTCTGGGTTTATCCCTCCAACTGACTTCCCGCACAACTCAACTCGACTAACGATAACAGTGCGCACACGCCGCTGCAGCAAGTGGCCCAGATTTTCCATTGGCGCGCTGATGCCTACGTCAGTTCGACAGAAGCGCAAGCAGAAGCGCACGCATAAGAAACACGCCATGGTGCTGGTGCAGATCGGCTTCACCCCGTCGCCGACGTTTAGCAAAAGCGGCGCTAGGACGGCAGCATTGGAGGGGAAGCACTAGATACAACCATTGAGGTGTGCTGAAATAGAGAGTTTCCCTTTGTGTGACTTGCGATTCGCCGGGCCAGAGGCAGTACTGGGTCAACGACTGTGACAATTTGGAGAAAATGTTGAGGAGATGTGATCTCCATACCGGTACGCTCTCCAGGAACACGCCGGCGATCTCATTCTCAGCGCGGCCCCAAGCCAAAAAAGTCCCTCTCCCGATCATGCACCCACAGCCCATGCCCCAACCCCCTCCCCGTCCAGCCCATAAGACTCGTCCCAATCGCGCCCACAGTCCACACAGCGCCAACAAGCCTCCACGTCCACCTATTCCTGCACCCACACCGCTTCGCCAACGCAATAACATGGTCCTCGACGAAAATTAGCAGCGCCTGGGAGACGAAAACGCGCATCGCGCCGTCGTCGTCGAGGTGTTTGTGGCACAGCATCGCGGCGGCTGCGTGAATGCACCCGCTGACGCCGAAGCCGACGAGGAGCTGCGTGTACTTGCTCGCGAAGCCGCCCTTGTTCAGCCGCAGCACGTCGCGCGCGAGGAAAATGCCTGGCGCCGAGCACAGGCGGCGCATTTGCTGGTGCCAGACGACGGACCACGCGGCACGGACTGTGTGTGCGCCGCGCAGGTCAGCGAACATGCGTGGGCACTCCCAGGGGTGCGCGAGGGATGTGCTGACTAAGAGGAGAGAGGAGGTTGTGCTTAGCAGCTCGAGGGAGATGTAGGTGAGTGCGATGTAGATCCATGTCCAGTACAGCCTGTGCAGGTACGGAGACGCTTCGAAGCCAATGACGGCACCGGCGGGAGTCTGGCGGTGCAGATCCAGCCATGTGCCGTGCGGTGAGGATGCAGTGTGTGCGTAGACTGCGTCTTTGAGGAGGTAGAACAGCGCGAATCTGGCAGTCTTTCGGAACAGGAATTTACTGTTTCGTTAGCTATATCTAACCAAGTTCGACGAGAGACGTACGAGCGCGGATACCCCACGGGCACAGAGGGTGGTACGTTTTTCACCTCGCAGCTCCAACCGATATACCGCGTCGTCGCGCTCAACCTAATCGCCCACCAGAGCCTCGCGCAGAACGACGTCGGCACGCCACCACCCTGCACACCCCTCTTGCTCTCGACCACGCCCCCGTCGTCTTTCGGAAACGCGCCCTCCCCCTCCCCCCTGCTCTCCTTCTCCTTCTCCTTCTGTGCCGCACCGCTTCGCTGCTCGAGCTTAGCCCAGCCCTCTCGATCCGGACTGGCCAGCAGCGCCCAATCCGCCCAGACCGCGAGATTCGTCACAACGAAGCAGCTCAAGCCATAATGGAGGCCCCACCCGCGGTCCCAGTCTCTGTACAAGCTCTGGGCCGCGAGGAGGAAGAGGACAGGGACGCTGAAAGCGAACTGCAAGAGGCGGTTTCGGGGTCCAATGGCGAGGGTCAGGATATTGGTTAGTATGATGAGGGGGGCTTGGAGGGTGGTGAAGAGGGGGGGCAGATGGAGGGCCATGTCGTTGGTTGTGTGGGGAGGGTCATGGAAACAGGGGATGGACGGGTTTTATGTCACGAGAGAGGCGCATGGTGGATGATGGGGATGGGGTGAGCGATGCTCGGCTCACTGTGTTTTCTAATTGACGTTGGAAGGCGAGGTACAAATGTGGTTCCTGACCCGCTTTTCATACCGAAGGAACGTCCATGCCGTCTCGTAGCCAATCAGAGAACACCTAGTACGCTAGCGGACCAAAATAGCTAGTCGGGAATGGAGCGCCTGTTGGCTTTGCGCCAGGAGTCGTCCAGGATAGTATGAGGAAGTATACTACTCGCTCTGGTCGTACACGGCGGATTCTGAGTGGTTGAAATTCCGGCTCATCTACACTAAAGTCAGTAGCACAAGACAGCTAATCAATATCAATGTCGCAAATGCACAGCGGTGGGGATCTGGACGACGAGGTTGTGGTAATCTTGGATGTCGTTGCTTGCTCGTTCATGATCGCTTGCACGCATGCAAACTCCCGCCTATTTCGGCCGTAGTCGTGACTGCCGACGCTCACAATGCCACCTCCTGGAAGCTTGCGCCGTCATCTCCTTCCTCATCGTCTTCAACCGTGGCCTTTTGCCTGCTCGGCAGGCCTGCCTCGAGCCCCTTCACGTCACCCTCTGGCGGCTGCTCATCCTCTGAATCCACCTCTTCCTCCGACGCTTTGCCGGCTTGCGGTCGCAGATCTTCAGGCTTGGCCTTCTGCTCGTCTTGCTCTAGTTGTGTCTTTGGCTCGGGCGCAGGAGATACACTTCGGTCGCTGGCGTCGTCCTTTGGTGGCGGCGGAGGCGCTGGGCTGTGTGGTTCGCGGTCTCGTGTCGGTCGCTCGGGTGTGGGCGGTGTGACTTCTGTGCGCGGGCTCAGGATCGGGCTCCCGGGGTGTGGTGGTTGCGGCTGTGCTTGTTGGGGTGCTGGCTGCTGTGGCTGCTGTGGCTGCTGTGGCTGCTGTGGCTGCTGTGGCTGCTGCTGCTGCTGCGGTGCTGACGCCTGACCGACTTGGCGTAACCGCGGGTCGGCGTTCAGATAGTAGCCCCTGACGCCCACGATCCTGCCGTCCCTCTCGCAGCCAATGACCCAGTCGGGGACCACGACAGGGATGTTGTTCTCGACGGCCTTCTCCCACGCCTGCCCCCGCCCCTCGGTGCAGACGAAGTGTGTCGTATCGATGCGCACCGTGTCGGCGATCTTGGCGCCAATGCGCTCGACGGAGCGCTGCAGCGACTCGCGGAGGGCCGAGGGCATGTGGCCGGGGGTGATTGTGATGCCCGACAGGTCCGTCATCTTGTGCGTCTGGACGGCGAGCTTCTCGCTGCTAAAGGTGCCCGCGCTCGTCTTGAGGACCAGGTGGAACGTGTACTCGATGTCGACGCCCAGGCCGCTGAGCTTGGTGCTGTGGACATCGCGCGGGTTGGGGATGGTGCCCGCCTTGTTGCCGTTACGGTAGAGCGTGAGGCTGCGCAGCTCGGCCGTCGCGACATCGATGGGGTCCCACTCGAGCACAACCGACGTCTGGGTGGCATTGCGACAGCGCAGGACGGGTGCCGAGGGCGTGCTCTGGCCGAAGGTGCGGAAGATGTCCGACTGCAGCGCGTGGAAGGCCTTGGCCGCGTCGTTCTCCGCCTTGACGTTGCGCGCCACATCGATATCGACGATACTGCCCGAGGAAATGTCCGGCGGCAGGAGAATGGAGGGGAACTCGATCTGCGCCGGGGTCAGCCACAGTGCGCGTGAAGAGCAGGGATGCGCCCGGCATTGCTGCGCTGCGGCGCGCTGCTGGGCGGCATTGGGGCGCGTACGAGCCGCTTGTCTTCGGTCAGGAGCACCGCGACACCGGCGTCGACCTTGCCGACTGTGAGCGAGACGAGCATCGCGCGTGGACGTGTGGATGGGGTCGTGTGTTGTGACGACGTCGCGCATGTTGCTCCCAGCTGTCGTGGCGGGCCGACATTCAACCGAGCCGCCCCATCAGGTGAACGCGTCTTGCAGAACAGCAAGGGAATGACACCACTCAATGCACGGAGTTGATTTGACAGCGTCTTGCAAAACAGCAAGGGCACGACGCAATATACTACATCTTGCGATGCAAGCCCTAGATAGACACCCACCCCAGACACAGCCCTACATCACATTCACCACGCCAGCACCCTGCTCTGCGTCCCACAAGCTAGCCCAGCACAGAACCTCTCGTCCTCGTCCGCCTGGTCCGCGATCCCGTTGGCCACCGGCCTGGCGGGCCAGATCTCTTTGCCGGCGGCCTGCTCCTGCCTGTAGTGCTCTGTAACGGCATCACGCACGGCAGTCTGGAAGGCGAGAGGTGCTGTCTCGGCACCCTCCTCCGCCTTGACACCGTGCACATAGACATCGCTGATCGTCTCCCAATCTCCATCAGAGCAGTTCTTGTGCCGGTACATCTCGACGTGCTTCGCTGTCTTGTCTGGTCCCTGCGGAAACACCCTTTCAAGCGCGATGAGCTTAGACGACACGGTGGAGGCGGCATTCGGGAAGTAATGCGTGCTCACAGCGCCAAGCTCGTTCCCAAGACGGCCCGGCGTTGGGCCCGCCAAGGCATACTTCCAGTTGCGCTGCAGCACTTCGGGTTTGTATTCTCTGTCGAATGTGTACTCGTCGAAATTGATCTGGTAATGCGCATCTTCCACGTTGGTCAAGTGTTTCTCGAATGCGACCTCCGGTGTCTGCTTGGCGTCCAGATTGATCCAAACAAACCCATTGCTGTCCATCTTTGTGTGGCAGCGAAACAGACTGTTCTGGTCTTTATCGAGCTCCAGGTCTTGACATCCAGGCGCCTTTGCAAGTTTCCCGTTGAGCCCATATGACCAGCCGTGGTATCTGCAGGCGAGGATCTTGTTGTTGCCAGCGCCCTCGCTCTCGATGACTGGGTGTGCGCGGTGCCTGCATATGTTGTGGAAAGCGTTGATGGCTCCGGTCCTGTCGCGAGTCACCACGATGTCGTAGCTTGCGAAGCTGTAACGCAGCCAGTCTCCGGTCTGGGTAAGACGTGATTTATGTGAGATGAGGAGCCAGCTTTTCGAGAAGATTGCGCGTCGTTCGAGCTCGTATATCTCTTTCGATGTGTACCATGACGCTGGGAGTGCGTTCTCTGAACTCTTGTCCCCGGATGTGCTGAAGTAATGCGGAATACTGCCCATTGTTGCTTCCAGAATGAATAGGATGGTGCTCAGGATTGAGGTATTTCGACGAAATTGCAGGCAGATGATAGATGAACGTTTGATGGCGCCCTAGAATACTTTATACATTCTACAATACTTCTATTGCGAGTCTTCACCCCAGGTGTTCTGATCTTCATCCGAGCTCACCATGCTGGCCAAGATAGATAGCTGAGAGCTCCATGGGGTAGCCGGGAGCGAGAGATGGGTACGCTAGCGAGAGGCTCCCTTGATTTCGCTCGAGGCCACGCGGATTCAGTCCTAGGCATTGCGAAATTCCACAGCGAAACTCTGTCGTCAAAGTACAGAAGAGACCCCAAAACCACACCGTCTCGCAGCAATTATCGAACCTCGATGTTGCTTTTTCACCGTGACTACAAATTACTCCAATGCACTCTGTTCGTCTGGCCAATCGCATAGCTTTACTAGTCTACCAATCGCATTGACGCGAGACTTCGGTTCAGCCAATCGCATAAACACCTTGCTGACGCTGTAATCACCAAGATCAAGCACAAGACAGCGAGTCACGTGTGAGAAAGACTCAACCACCCAAACGGAGGCGTGCACAGATCAATCGATGTTCCTCTCCTGTTCAACGAGGCCATCGATTCAATGATTGTCAGAAAAACAAGGCGCTACTAATCGGCCTTTTAGAGATGCAATTACCGGGTGAATCCTGAGCAATGACCTCATCATCGATTAAGCAATTTAGTCGCAACTGGTGTCCACAGCATCAACGCTCTCTGGTTCTAGACAGCATTAGATACAAAGACTAGCAACATGACGATTGCTCTCATAAGCGCAACAGGCAAGCTCGGCGGTGCTGTCTTGAGTGCCATCCTAGAGAATGAGCTGATTGACCCAAAGGACCTGGTCGTCTGCGTAAGTTGCACCTCATCTTCCTAACAACGATCTTGGAAACCCTGACGTACCGTCAGACATCCTCAGATCTCAGTGACTCCCGCTTTGACCGTTTGCGCTCTCAGTCCATCCCCCTCCGCCAAGCCAACTTCGATGATCCTTCTTCGCTCGTTGAGGCCTACAAGGGCTGCGACAAGCTCTTCCTGGTATCGACACCTCGAATTGAGATGGACTACAACGACGCGCCGCTCTGGCAAGGCCGGGAAAAGCACCACCGCGCTGCTATCGACGCTGCGCTCGAAGCCGGCGTGCAGCACATCTATTATACATCGCTTGGCTTCGGCAATCCAAGCAAAGCGAGCGTGATGCGCGCACACATCCGGACGGAAAAGTACCTGCACGACCTGGAGAGAGAGAGCCGAGTGAGGATCACGATTATCAGGGAAGGACTCTATAATGAAAGCTGGCCGCTTTACTTTGGATACTACTTCGGTCTTATGAACGAGACGAGGAGGGAAGTGGTCGTTGCAGGTGACGGGCCGATCAGCTGGACTAGTATTCCCGACATGGCGTTTGGCACGGCGAAAGTGCTTGCTGCGCCGAGCCAGGAGTGGAGCGGGAAAAGTTTCCATCTCAGCCAGAAGAAAACACGGACACTGCACGACATCGCAGATATTGTAAGCAAGGTGCGAGGCGAGGGTATCCGACTCAAGATCGTAAGCAGGAAAGACTACGAAGACTTCTACGCAGAGCGTGGTACGGAGAGAGCGAGTGTCGAGTGGTGGAGTAGCACATACGATGCGTTGGAGGACGGCGAATGCTGCATCTCCGATCCCACGCTTGAGGATCTTCTGGAAGACGCAGGACGAAGCCCCAAGCCGCTCGAAGAGACTATCGCAGAGATGCTCAAGTAGCGCCCTGACCATTCCCGCAGAGACCGCTCCATCATCGATGCCAACGTGCGAAACAATTCTTAAACGGTTCTTTTTTCAATCGGTTCACACGCACCCAGTCCATCTCCGCTAACAGTTCCTCCCGGGTTGCACTCCTGTCCACCTCCAATCCCCGCTGCATCCTCCAGTTGTGGACAGCGAAGTACTCTTCATCGTCCATGGGCAGGTTCTCCAGGTAGCGTGTCTGTAGACGGAGTAGTCTGTGCTCCTCTTTGGTAGAATCGGTGGATGGGCGAGAGCCTGGCTCATGCACTGGAGATGCTGGGTCGCCGATGGAGTTAGAGGAGGAGCCCGAGCCCAGTGAGGCGGGAGAGGTATTGCCTGAGGAGTGACTGGGCGTGTTGAAGAGTGTGTTTTCTGAGTTGGACGAAGATGCATCGACTGGCGACGAAGGAATGCTTGACGAGGGAGTGCGGTTGGTAGGATTTGATCCTTGGGATTCAGATTCAGATTCAGTCGTGTCTTCGTATGCATCTCCATGGTGGATGGTGGATGGCCGGTTGGTGATCACGCCTCGGGACCATTCTGGGATGACTGCTCTGGGTCCTTCGTTGTGTTGGACAGGATTGGGTCCGCCGAAAAAGGTGAACCGCCGGTTGGCCATTTCAAGTAGCCGGCCGAGATTAGAAGTGTACAGGTGGTCAAGCGGCTTACGCAAGAGACCGGTTTACTCAAAGTCTGTGGTGAAGAGCTGGGGTGTGTTCTTGTGGTCCGGTCAGTTGTATGTCGATTTCTGAGGTGGGGAGGTTGACAGTGGAGACGAAGATTTGTGAGTGCTTTTAGGGAGTGCAGATCGAGAGGTGCGGTGAGGAGATATACCGCTGCGAATATCTGAACTTTGGTTGAGACCCAAGCTCCGTGCAGACCCTGGGGATATTCAGGTTGCATCAAAAAGTTCCCGACGGACCACGGTGATCTAGCCGCGCTTCTTCCAGTATGGAGAGCGACTTATAAAGCCTCGGTACCGGGAAGCATTATTGGGAAAGACGTGCCGTGCCGGCTTTGACGATTTTTCCGATCATGATGGGTTCTTCATACAAAGTGACAATAATCAAATTATTGGTCCACTTTCGCTGAGGTAATATGCGTGATTGTAATAACGATGGGCAATCCTCGAAACCATGATCCAGAATGACAACGATGTGACGACTGATCAACATTCCATTCGTCGTTGAATCTCTGCCCCAATTTGTGCACCAGTCCTGCTTCCTCGGGTTGAGACGAGCGGAACTTTGATTTTGGATAGACTTGTAGATCCAAATTGCCACGTCTAGTTGCCGTTCCTCGTATCTCCAGAACTTCGCTTTGTCAGATGAGGCGCGATACCGCAGAATCGAGTCGTTGATCTCCTTGTTCGCGGCAAGCTCTATGGATATCCAGCGTTGGGCAACACTTGATTCTAAGTCTTAGCACCTTCTTTAATCTAGCAATACTAGCGGCAGAGATTATCAACTTGGCTTTAGTTTTCTCTCGTAACATATTCTTGGTTGTCCTTTGGGGCGTTAGTAACGGGATCTTTGTGAGAGTGTCAACTTTGGCTCTGGTGAAAGAGTGGTCACCGACCCAGCGCGCTAACATGGTGCCGCGAAAGACCATTACAGGGTATCTTCGATGATCTTGAGGTGGTGTTTCCTGTCTTTGACGGTTTAGCGTTGCTTCCTGGTGCGTTAATGGTGTTGCTGATGGTTATTGGTTTTGTGTCGAGATATGTGTGAAGTGTGTGAGCTTTCCTTGAGATATGTGCTGCGATACTGATTCAATTTTGGCCAAGCCATATATCGCTTATCGTGTGAACTGTATTTGTCGGATCCACGGTTAGAGATTGTTGTGCAGTTGGCACTGGGTAAAATATTGATTAAGTCCGCTTTCGAAATTCAATAGACGGTGAGCACAGAAAATCGCACCACACCTTGAGATTTATACAGGAGGATTCCATCCCTTCCTCTAATATGGCGATATTGTACTCGAGTTGTCTTATGAGCTCACCATGAATAGAGAAGTTGCCTCACTTTCGCTCACTGCAGTGCTGTGGACACTCTAGGCACTCGATGTCGACCTTAGGTTCGCTCTTACTCCATTTGATCTTGAACATCATAAAAAGCTATACTAAAGAGATGACGTCCCGGACTGAAAATGACTCTGTTTATGATGGGTCACTCCACGTTCTTGGACGTAGTTGCGTCCATATTCCTGCTCCTTCTATAGCCTGTACGCCAAGGAATAAAGGAGAGAAACTGGTAGTCTCGAATTAACGTGAGTGTGTGCTTGACTAAGAACAGCGTGAGGCCGGCAATAAGCAGCACCACACTGATCTAGTCGACCTTCATCAGCTCGACGACCTTGCTCGACTTCTTACCGTGAAGCTGAGTGTACGAAGACGGGTTATAAAAGAAGTACTACAGAGCCGTGCCGGGAACTGCGGTCGTATTTAGATACCCTGCGTTGCAGTATCGCAGTGTTGAGGTATTCCACTTACTCATCATGGTAATGTAGATGTAGAAGATCCATCTCCAGTTTGCTACCTGCACAAGCGTCAATCCGATGTATGCCCCAAAGCCGGTAGCAATGACATTGGGAACGACCATGAGGGCAGTACCCAAGTACTTGTGTTTGTTGCTCACGAGCTCACCAGCGAGTAAAGAGTAGGCTGCAGGTACACCGGATGCGATACCCATGATGACTTCGGCGCCGACCAGTGTCTCGATGGACTGGGCCGTCGCGGCAACGATACCGCCGATGATGGCAAGTGCACATGAACCGAGAGCAAAGTTGCGGCGTCCAAAGCGGCCACTACTCAGACGGCCATATAGTAGGAGTGCGATTAGCTGCGCTGCAGTCCATACTGTGCTGACGAGAACAATGTTGGTACTGGAACCGATGTCTCGGTAGACGGCCGAAATGAGGACGGCAGCAAGAGCCTGGAACTAGAAGTAGGTCGCAACGACAAAGATTCCGGTGCCAAAGAACGAGCCCACGATCCTCGGGCCCATAAAGTAGCCATCTTCCAGCTTCAAGGCGTCTGTTGTCAAAGCTTCTGACCTTAGTCTGCATGCTTCATCAGAGTCGAAGGAGTCCAGAGACGACACATTCTGGTGAGGAGGCTTCGGCGTTGCCAACGGGACGTATACGGCCACGGTAACGGTTAATTGCCGTAACCTACGGCAATTATAGGCAACCGTAGCGTCCCGGAACCTACGTAGCATGTGTGGCATATGGACAGTAGGCGTAGATAGCCGTGATTGGCGTAGTACTGCAGTATTGCTGTGCACGTGACAAAGCTAAAAAGCAAAGATGATTGGAAAATGTTTAGAGTGCGATTTGAACTTGTAAACGTACAAAGTAATGCTATTATTACTGCTATAAAGGTAGGCATTAACACAAAAGAGCTAACAGACTCTATTTCTAGCTTTACAACCCTAATAATTACACTTTAAAATAAACATTAAACTTTGGCGTAGTACTGCCGTACTACGCCTCAATCTACAGCTACTTCCTATATGGCTACGGCTCAATATAATTACCGCTGCTTACTGTTGCCTACCGCAGTACACCGTAGCCGTAGATTCCAGTACTACGTCCAGTCAGCAACGCTGAGAAGCTTGCTGTCCGATGGGCTGGTTTGGAGTGCAATGTCGGCCATCTTGCTGAGCATGCGAGAAGCGCCGATAAAAAACAAGAAAAGAACGAGATTGCAGAGGCAAAGCAGAAGCAAGAGTACAGCGATGAGAGATGATGGTCACACGCCGGTTGATTTCAGACGCCACACCCTGGTCCTTATGAGAACCCGAGTGCCTCTCAAGCTCAAGATTCACAATCGCCAAATTACGCCTCAGTGGAGGTGCATCAACCACTCATGAGTCTGAAGTTGCCCTTGACTCATGGTTAGGTATTCAGTGCCCAATGACAAGACCACCGCTAAGCCGCCAGACCCTGCGCCCACAACTGATGCCTGAAGGTATTCATATTTCTACCACCGCTTGTACCACCTAGTCACTCTCTTCACTTCAGCCCTCGTCTTGATCTCCAAATCATCACTCAAGATCTTTTCAAACTGCTCGGTAGGTGTGAGTCGGGACGTACTCGCAGTACGATGAACCGGCACGTCCATCATCGCCTCGAATTGACGAGTAGACAGGAGACGTGCTGCAGAAGCCGGTAACCGGGAGACCTTCGGAGGTTCTTTTATGTGTAGTGGTGCAGAAGTTGGACTGTAAACTTGTGGTGGCGACCCTGCAATTTTTGGAAGGTGCCGGAAGGCAGCTAGGGCATTTTCATGGCGAATTTGCTCAGCCATCACGTGGTGACCGTCCTCGCAGAGGTGATTGATGCTCTCGGCAATCTTCTGCTTTGCAACCGCAATACGGGCGTAGGTAGACATGGTGTACGCTAGAGATATTCGGTAAAATGTTTTCTGGTGGTGGCTGGTTGTGAGCAGCCGAGAAAAGTTGTGAAATTGCGAGACTTGTGAGATATTCTGGCTGTATTTGTGGAGCGGATTTGGAAAATCTGATGCGAGACTTGGAAAAGAAATCTCAAAAAATTTGTGAAGGATGTAACGATTCAATAAAATTTCATCCACGATTTTGAGTTGACAAGGAATCAGCCCCAGGGTCCGCGAACACAACCACAATTCTGTGCGTTCCCTGATATACCCTATTGGTGCCACGACATCATTGGTACCACAAACTGCTTGAAAGCATCGAGGAGATGATCGATGTGGTCGTCCGTATGCATCAAGTTGAGTGCAACGAGCCCTCTGCGACCAACTACGATCTGCCTTTTGAGCATCTCTAAGTAGAATTTGTCTCTCCAATGTTTTCTATTTACACTGAGGAACTTGGTGCCGATAATGCTTCCCAACCTTTGGACCTCATTTGACTTACAAACCCTGCATCTGACACCAGGTCATTCACTCCGTCACGTAAACGCTCGCCCGTAACACTTACGCGTGCTACTCTTTCATGAGTTATAATTTGCAAGCCCGCAATACCTGAAGTCATCGCGAGACACGTTGTTATTGAATTTGCCCGAGTGTGCGAGATGGTTGGACTTGGAAGAGTCGAATTGTTCCATAATGTCACGCCTGCCACCAAAGCAGCCAAACGAGAATCCGCCACCGACCCACTTACCAAGCGTATCCATACAGGAGTAATCTTTTAGAAACCCTGTAATCCATGGAAGTCTAGTAGTGAAGTACCAACCCCGTCTAAACTCGAGACCGCGTCCATTGTTGTGGCCCATTCACGCAGAAACCGCAAGAACTCGTGTGTAGCAGATATGACCTCCCCTGCGCTCTGTAGTGGCTCGAAAATGAGAGCACCGATATCATCGTGAAGCAAATTTTATGTGGCTTTGGGATCGTCGTACTCGACAGCGACGAACTTGCCACCCTAGCAGAAAAATTCGGACAGTTTCTGCTGATATACGGTAACCACCCAACCAAATGTTCATTTATTAGCACTCACCATACAAAATCGCATTGTGAGCAGCCACCACACACTGTATTGAGTTAATTTAAATTATGTGAGGCTATTAAAATACACTGTTATTGTATTACAATCAACTTTTGTGATGTTAATAAATTAATAGAGGCTGATTTTGCACTGTATAGTTATACGACTTTGTTCTTATAATCTTCTCTAGCCTATTTCCTTCTCAGGTATAGCGCTATGCTTACCTAAGCACTGTCGTTATAATCTCCTAAAAGAGGGGATTAGAATGGTGTGCTTACTAAGCCTGTTGTAAAGAAAGTAAGGGAAGGACTAGACTACTTTCTTCCTAGTCTAGAAGGGCCTAGACAAACCTAGACTAGCTTTGTCTGAATAGGAAGTGTATAGGCTAGTAGAGGTAAAGTAGGATTATGTAATATAATAACGTACTCCACAAGCGAGTGGCTCACACAAGCGAGTGGCTCACTTTTGCCAAGACCACACCAAACTTCACTCTACCTACAATGCCTCAACGTAACAACACAATCAAACCCTCAAAGGAAGCAGGAATACAGCTTGCTCTTTAGGCTATCTATTAAGACGCAACACTCTCTCAGCAACGCGCTGCAGCCATCTACAACATGTCTTAAAGGACACTTAGTTACTAACTTGCTAGAACCTCTCTACAACGCGATTGTAAGCCTAACATAATTAAGATAACTAGCACTAAAGAGAAGGTAATTATCTAGCACGTGTTAAGGCTAGATAAGCAAGGATTCTTACCCTAACTTACTAATGTAGAGGACATAGCTAATTCTCTGCTTGCGAAGCGCCACTAGACCCCTATTAGTAAGAACTAGGCTGCTAACTTTGTTAAACATTAGCTAGAGCTTAAAGTTAAGTTTAATTGTAAGTATAACTACAAGAGAGTGCTGTGTAAGATTCCTAAGGTAATTAGTAACTAGTTCTAGCTTATAGAGAATACTAAAGCTAAGTATAGTATCCTAGATAAAGAAACCTACAACTTTAATAAATCTGGCTTTATAATAGGCATTATATCTACTAGTGCTGTTGTTACAGGCTCTAAGTGTTAAGGGATACTAAAGACAGTGCAGCAGGGCGACTAAGAGTAGACTAGCATTATCTAAGGCATCTGTGCAAAGGGCTAGTCTATCCTACCCTTTATTATCCTCTCTAGCAATCACTACCTCTTAGCCTAGTACAAGGAGCCTAGTATACCTAATAACTAGGTTATTAGTGTCTCTAATAACAGCTAGACTAATAATAAGCTTAGAGTTAAGTAGTTAAAGCACTTTAATAAGTATACAAAGGCGCGCACTGTTAGTAGCTACTAACTACTTGTTCTAGACAGCTATAAGAGCCACAAATTAGTTAAATTCTACTAGTACTATAAGGAGCACAAGATTATTACTCTATGTATGCCCCTACACTCATCCTATCTGCTATAGCTGCTTGACGTAGGTTGTTTCTCCCTATTAAAGAAGGCCTAAGGCCGCTAAGCTAAGCAGCTGATGCAGAGCAAGATTACTTACATTACTAAACTTAAGTTCTTACTGTGCTTTAAAGCTGCTTTTAATGCTTTAGTTACTAAGAGCAATATCTAGGGAGGATTCAGAGGCGCTGGCCTAGTCCTGTTTAACCTAGAGGCTGTGATATCAAAGCTTAAAGTACAGCTACGCATGCTAACGCCACCTATTATAGACAACAGCACGTAGGAGTCTAAGATACTAAGCAACACCCTAGAATTTAGGTCTTAATTAAAGCTAATTTAAGAGAGGATCTAGAGACACGCTAATAGCTTACTAATATTAATAGTTAACACCCTTAATTAGCTTACTAAAGGTGCAGAGCTAATAGCGCATTTACTAGTTTTAGTGCATAACTAGGTTGCTAACCTTTAGGTAGCTAATAAGGCTGCTACACGCTGTAAATTACATAAAAGAAAGTAAGTATAGTAAGATAGGGTATTAACCTTTGCTAAGGGAGTGCAGCTAACTACTCTAAAGGAGTTTAAGGCCTGTAGTGATAGGAAGAAGGCAAAGAAGAGAGGAGGCGCTAATAGCAGCACTTAGTTATTAAGACACTGTAGCATATGTAGCAAGGCAGGGCACAATAGGACAATGTGTAAGAAAGATGCACAAAGTACTATAGATTAGTGTAATATACTGTGTAGTACATAATATTGTTGTTGTGTGCTGTAATATTGTAAAGTAGTTGTAGTGTTGGTGTAGTCTTGGCAAAAGTGAGCCACTCGCTTGTGTGAGCCACTCGCTTGTGGAGTACGTTAGACAAGTTATTATATTAGATACTAGATAGAGATTCCTAGGCTAGGTAACGTACCTCAAGGGCGAGTGGCCGGCCCGGGCAAGTGACCGGATTTTGCTAAGACCACACCAAATTTCATTCAGCCTGTGATGTCTCAACGCAATAAGGCTTAAAGCGTCTTAGAGGAATTAGACATACAGCTTGCTATCTGGGCTCTTAAACAAGACACAACTCTTACTATTCTACGCGCTGCAACAATCTACAAGGTTTTAGAAAGAACACTAAGACAACAACGTGTTAGAACACTCTTACAACATAATTGTAAGGTCAACTTTGTAACAACGCGCTACGAACAGTGACCCAATACCACTAGGATACGGTTCCAGCAACTCATGACCATGGCCCTTGTCGCATGGCATAAGCTCGCACTAAACTGCCACTAAACCCTTATATATAAGGAATAAGGAACTATAGTATTATAGAGTAGTTTTTCTATAACTATCCTTTTTATATAAGACCTATAGGTGTAGAGAACATATCCTATTGTTCTTATTTATCCCAGCACTCCCATATGCCTCGTAGCGAATTCACACCTATTCCGGATATCTCTCTTCTTGCCTGCGTCGTTACACTTACCTATCTGCTAGTCTAACGAAGACGCATTTTTTATTAAAAATATCACAGCTGCTTAAAGTTGAGTACTGACGCGTTGTTGATGCGCGCGGGGTGGTTATTTCAGCAGAAATTGTCTAAGTTTTTCTGCTAGGGTGGTGGCAGGGTCGCGTCACTGACGTCATCGAAAACGGGTTGAAGCGGTGCGGGAGTTGAGCGCAACAACACCCTACAACATACAGGCAACAGGCCTGTGAAGATCTCGAATCCCATTTATTCTCTATTTCGTCACGAACCATGCCGCCTGGCGCGCCGCGGTCAGCCCTTCGTCATCACACTACCGCCGTTGCTGCCGATGACCTGGCTTGTAATCCATCCAGTCTCGGACATGCACAGCAGACCAACGATGCCAGCGACTTCCTTCAAATATGCAGGCCTACCACCTATGGGCTTCGTAGCCGCGACCGTCTCCTCTGAGTCGACGCCTCCCCTCGTTGCTGCGAGTGGTGCCATCGGCACGCAGGAAAAGGTACAGAGTTCGGTCTATAGCGAACCCCTTGCCACTGGGATATTTCTGCCCCAACAATTTTCAGACCATGCTTGAATGTATCTACAGTATTGACATCACTCTGATGGTGCACCCATCTCTTGCAAAACGTTTGCAAAGCCAATCCTCCGCCACTCATCTACTTGCTTCTCATCTGGTACCCAGACACAGCCCATCATTCCGCCCGCATTTGCACTCGCTCCCTCATAGAAACCTCTCCGTCGTGGAATGACGATAATTCTGTCGTCCCAAAGGACGATGTTGTGAGGGCAGACGTCTTCAGATCCGACGCCGAGCACGTCTCGCGTCCGATCGAGCAACACCATGTATACATCGAGCAAATCCGAAGCCGACACAGCACGTAATGTCTGGTCAAAGTGGTGAACGAAGTACCGGAACGCAACGGGGCGCTTCTCTTCGCTCGCCTGGATCATGTATTCAAAGGCGTACGGCGGCCCTCTCAGACCTTGTAAATGCTTATGCATTCTGCTGCACCCACCAGCCTGGCTGCAATTGTATATCACATACATACTAGGGAACAGTCTGAGCACCTCCAACGCAGCCTTTAAGTCATCAAGCGCCAGAGGATCGTGCTGTCGCTGATACGAATCTGAAGTGACCATGAGTAGCTGAGGTCTGTCCACACAAAACAAATTTAGCGCCAAATCATGTGTGTCATTAATTTGACCCAGAACCAGCCGCTCGTCTGGCAGATACAGATCGCTACCTGGTCCCCATTTGCGCGCCTGGTCGAACATAGCGCCCAATTTGGCATCGACAGTATGCGGCTTCTTGTTCAAGTGATTGCAGACTTTGAACTCGAGCTAAACAAATCCCCATTACCATATGCAGGTGCGTTGGAGTTGGTCGGTAGACTTACAGGGTACCCGTCAGCCTCGCACTTGATCGATTCATAGGGTCCGTAAATGAGAATTTCTTCTGATGCAAGCTGATCAAAGAGATCAGTGATTTTAGCCTCATTAAGGTCTGCCATCTCCATGGGTGCTGAAAGTGAGCAAAATATTTTAAATGTAGGCAGTCGCGAGCGCTGGTAGTGGATGAGTGAGGTGTCGTTTCCTCGCTCGAAGAAGGGGGCTATTTACTGCGCTAGCGACTAGCGCTTGTTTTGGCGAAGTGAAGCTGAGCCTCAATCAGACCCCTCTTCTTTCTTCTTGCTCAGGTCTGCGCAACGCTAATATTGATCATCAGAGCTAGAATGGCCTTTCATTAGTGGAATAGGTCAATTAGGACTCGCCCGATTTCGCTTGGTAAGACTCTTCTCAACCCAGCCGTGTAGCTTCGCCACGGTGCTCAATGTGTCTACCTGTCAGCCTTGGCGCGAACGAGCAGGCCAACATGCGTCCATATAAAACGATTGATGCGACCTTTTCGGAGGCTGCAACTCGGCAGAAATCTGATCCGTTTCACTATGTCGTCATTGATTCTAGTAGCCGATGACAGCCTAGAGCTCTCGAATCTGGAGGCAACGCTCGACATTCGGGAGATCCAACCCGACATCTAGGTTGCAGCACCATAACGCACAGGAAAACGCTTTGAACAGCGGGTATGTGATCGCTCATAGCATTGAGATGAGTGACGACAGCTCAAGTATGGGTAAAATCGCTCTTTTGACGATCCTCTTCTTGCCTGGGACCTTTATTGCGGTAAGTCATTCGACCCCCGTCGACATGACCTCAGACTACTTGCGCCGTAGATCTCACTACCATGGCTCCAGCATTGTTGCACATCGATGGTAGGTAGTATCGCGTGTACACAGCCACAGGAGCAGGAACCTCTGCAACCATTCAAAGCCCTACCAATTGTTGCTAAGCTCAACTTCGATGCTTATGCTGACGAGACCGGGCTCGTTGCCGCCATTGCGGAGAGTCTGAAGACGTCGGGTGGCTGTATCGTTCGAGGCATATACCGGCAACCCACGTTGGATGCGCTGGAGTCGGAGATTCGACTGCACCTCGAAGCCATCAAGGCGACAAATCAGAAGCGGGACAAATTTGTGCCGTCGACAACGCGTATGGTAACTGATCTCCTGAGCAAGTCGCGTACCTACGCGTTGTCAGTCGCTGGGAACGACCTCTGGCATCGTGTGTGTGAGCAGTTCCTCACGAGTCGCCTGACCAACTCCTGGTTACGTCACAGATACACGCGAACCACAAACCTGACTGACATTTCGCAGCATGGCAGCGAAGCAAGGATCAGTCTGAGCCTACCGCAGATCAGTACGACCGTGATATTCTCGGTCGGCCCAGGAACGAAGGCGCAGGGCCTCCCTCGAGATGACGACATCTACCACACTCAACATCCAGCGACAGGTACACACCAACAAGGCCGAGACACCATGCTGTGCTTGTTCGTTGCTGGCAAGCAGTGCACGAAGCGTAATGGCGCCACTCGAATTATACCTGGTAGTCACCTCTGGGATTTTAAAGTCCCTCCATCCAGCTACGCAAAGTCACCCGAGATGTTCGCCCACGCTGAGATGATGCCTGGCGACGCCTTCTTCATGCTGGGAGGTGCTTACCACGGTGCAGGCTCAAATACTACAATCGAACAAGAGCGCTGGTTTACGCCGCATTCGCAACGCGAGGGTATCTGAGGCAGGAAGAGAACCAGTACTTGGCGAATGATTTGAGCAAAGTCGCCGAGCTGCCTTTGCGCGTCCAGAGGTTCGCTGGCTTTGGGTCGAGTAAACCGTACATGAGCTGGATCGGCAACGACATGGAAGAGCCAATAAAGCTGATGAACTCAGGTGTTGAGATGGAGGCTCCTGAGTTCTGGTGATGTGTCGATGTTGTGCAGCTGACTCTGGTAGGAGTTCAGTCCTGGCCAGAGATTATTTCTTTCGAGCTAGTTCGAAGCAAGCGCTCCTTTTTAATACCCTAACGTTAGTCCTGATACCGATGCGATTGACCAAGTTCGCGATGCTTCCGAGTTTGATCAATAGTGCGATGGGTGATGAACAGTGTCAGCGAAGCTGCGACATGGGAGGAAGGCGAGGCGGCCGCTAGCGCGAGCCCCACACCTGCCGCCGAATCGGAGCTCGTCATACCTATCTCCCGAACTTTTGGGAACAGTCACAGCAGCAACACAACACTTTTTACCGCTCTTCCTTCATTTTTCTCACTATCCCTACACACGGATATAGCAATGGGTTCAGAAAAGAAAGTCGCCGACAACATGCTCTGGGGAGGTCGCTTTACACGTAAGTTCTGCGGCCAATCGAGTCAATTGAGCTTCTTCTGGGCTCCATCTCAACCACTGTGAGCTGCAAACTAATCTTGGTGCAGAGGGTCTTGACCCTGTGATGGAGCAGTACAACGCGTCTCTCCCTTACGACCGTCTCTTCTACGCAGAGGATATTGCTGGGTCAATTGCATTCGCCCGCGCAAACAAGAACAACGGCATTCTCACTGCCGACGAATTTGCTGCAATCGAGAGGGGCTTCGTCCAGATCAAAGAAGAGTGGGCAAACAACACCTTCGAAGTCAAGGCGAACGACGAGGACATTCACACAGCCAACGAGCGCCGGTTAAGCGAGATCATTGGCAAGGACATTGGCGGCAAGCTTCACACGGGGCGAAGCAGGAACGAGCAGGTCGCGACCGACATGCGCTTGTGGCTGAGGGCCCAGCTGCTCACACTCGAGGGCTACCTGAAGCAGTTGATCAAGACCTCCGTCCAGCGTGCGGAGGCTGAGATAGACGTTCTCATGCCCGGCTACACACATCTGCAGAAGGCTCAGCCCATTCGATGGGCACACTTTATTCTTGGCCATGCCACTGCATTCTCTCAGGAGCTCGAGCGCCTGCAAGAAGTCATCAAGCGCGTCAACCGCTCTCCTCTGGGCTGCGGTGCGCTTGCTGGCAATCCCTTCAACATCGACCGCCACGCCATGGCCAAGGAGCTCGAATTCGAGGGCCTCCTTCCCAACTCATTGAACGCTGTTGGCGATCGCGACTTCGTCTTTGAGACAATGCAGTGGGGGTCGAGTCTCATGCTTAAGCTGTCTCGATGGGCTGAAGATCTCATCATCTACTCGAGTCTCGAATTTGGCTTCGTGCGCCTCGCAGACGCATACTCGACCGGAAGCTCCCTCATGCCACAGAAAAAGAACGCAGACTCCCTCGAGCTCATCCGTGGCAAGAGCGGTCGTGCTTTTGGACACATGGCCGGTCTCTACGTGACCATCAAGGGTCTACCCACCACCTACAACAAGGACCTGCAGGAGTCCGTCGAGCCGCTGATCGACCACATCAAGACCGTCGGTGATTCACTCCAGATCGCCACCGGCGTGATCTCCACGTTGGCCATCAACAAGGAGAAAATGTACGCCGCGCTTGCGCCTGAGATGCTCGCCACTGAGTTCGCAGACTACCTCGTCAGGAAGGGCGTTCCATTCCGTGAGGGCCATCACATCTCTGGTCGCGTAGTTGCAGCAGCAGAGGATAACGATATTCCCATGGACAAGCTCAGCCTGGAGCAGCTGAAGGCGATTGACTCAAGGTTAGGCGACGATGTTGTCGAGTGCTTGGACTACGAGCGTGCTGTAGAGCTCAAGAACGCCACGGGTGGCACAAGCAAGAGCGCGTGTCTGGAGCAAATAGCGATCATGAAGAAGACGTTGTAGAGCTTGCGGCCGGCATCAAAGTTCACGCACGCTCCGACGAAAGTGATCAAGGTAAGGTACTTGATCGAAGAGATACAACGCTTTTCAAACTAGGATAGACTATGAACGCAAAAGCAAATTCAAAGATACCCTCTCGAGTGGTAACAGAGTCGATCACTTCAGCAGAGTATTTGTAGCCTCCAGAGGATTTATCAGGTCGCAAGATTCTGGCAGATAGTCGCTGGCCTCACGACTCTGCGGCTTGCAGGCGGGGTTCTCTGCTTCACAGGGCATGTCCTCCACATGCTACTTTTCGCTTTTGCTAAAAGACTTTATGATCGCTCGGACTTCCTCACTCCTCCAGTCCTTAGTGGCTAATGTCTTGTAAGCTACGGTGTGAGCACAGTCGAAGTACTGCGTCTCGTAGCAGTTGCAGAAATAGCTCTGGCAGACCCAGCCGTAAAGTGATTCGGTTTGTTCACAGGACGGGCAGTACCATCCTTCTTCGTCGGTGTTGAAGTTCTGCGGTATCTTGAGTGTGGTCTGCGTTGGTAGATGTGTCATAAGCACACATGCTTGTATCTCAGTATGGCAATCTCGTATAGGTGTAGTCCTCAGCAGTGTCCTCCATTTACAGATTCCCGCATTTAGCCGTGCTTTGTCTGTATCTGATGGCATTCGCGTACTGCCAGATTCCTCCTCTTGAATTAAGTGCGTCCAACGGTCAAAGACCTGCCTTCATCGATTGATTTGCCTCGCGAGATCGGTCTTGAGGACGCCAGAGCAGCTCAGATAGTCCAAGTAGAGCAGCCGCTGCGATGGCGAGACGGTGACGTCGCAGTCGCTCAGGCTTCGCAACGCAAGGACATCACATTCATTATGTACCGCCAACTTCGAGCCGCAGATTCAGGTAAAATCCAAAGCGGTAGATACTGGGCGAGATCCCTCTTTCACGCACATCTCCGACCCAGTGAAGGGGCGGCCGCATTGCGAACTTGGCGTAGATAGCCCCAAATCCTTTGCGTGCGCGATGAAGATGGACGGCTCGATGTGGGCCGCAGATTTTGTTCAGTCGACCGTTACGTCAGCAGCACGCTAAGCACGGTCCTCGCGCCAATTTTCCGGCACCAAGCTGACAGTATTTCGACGCGCACCCACAATGGATACTCTCGACAACACCGCCTGGGATGTCCTGATTGTAGGCACCGGCCTGCAGCAGTCTCTGCTCGCTTTGTATGTCTTCACGAAGCGTGGATGGTGTGGCGCAGTCTGACTGACGCAGCACCTGAAGAGCTTTATCGCGGTCGGATAAGAAGATCCTACACATCGACGAGAACGAGTATTATGGCGGCACCGAGGCGGCTTTCAGCTTGCAGGAAGCTGAAGAGTGGGCGAAGCGAGTGAACGATGGTAGAGTCTGCCCCTTTCGAACGCGTCGACTGTTTGCTAACGTGGCACAGGTCAAGCTACTGCTGCCTTTGACAAGGTCACCATCACCAAGCCCGAGCCTACCGATGCTGAGAATGCAAAAGGCAAGCTTGGCTTCTCGAGAGCGTACAGCTTGGCACTCAGCCCGCAGATCATATATGCAAGGTCGACGCTGCTCCAGCACCTTGTGTCGTCCCGCGTCTACCGCCAGCTGGAGTTCCTAGCTGTCGGCAGCTGGTGGGTGTACACACACGACAAGGCTTCACTCGGCGATACCGCAACTGGAAAGCTTGTCAAGGTCCCGAACGGCCGCGAGGATGTCTTCCAGGATCACCAGCTCGACTTCAAGGCTAAGCGAGCGCTGATGAAGTTCTTGCGCTTCATCACCGAGTATGAGGAGCAGGCGGAGGTCTGGGAGGACCGTCGTCACCAGCCTTTCCCACAATTTCTGTCTGAGCACTTCAAAATCCCAACTACACTGCAAGGGCCGCTGCTGGCACTTGCTCTGTCACAATCGAACTCGTCGAACACCAGCACTGAGTACGCGCTTCCACGGATTGCGACACACCTGCGGTCTATTGGCGTCTTTGGCGCTGGCTTTGGTGCTGTCATACCAAAATGGGGTGGGCTTGCCGAGATCAGCCAGGTCTCGTGCAGAGCTTGCGCCGTTGGCGGAGGTGTGTACGTCCTTGGAAAAGGCCTGACGGCTAACACCAACGCTGAAGCCACCCCGGGGGGCGACATCAAGCTTATTCTGAAAGACGGTGAAGCTGTGACTGCTAAGTGGGTCGTCTGTGGAAGCACATCATCCGCAGACGAAGACTCATACTGCCGGTCAATGACCATCGTTGCATCACCGCTCACACCCCTCTTCCCACCTATTGCAGAGGAGGGGCCTGCACCAGCGTCTGCAATCGTGGTCTTTCCATCCGGGCCTCTTTCATTAGATGATTCTGATGAGAAGCTGCCACCAGTCCATATCTTCGTCCACTCTAGCGACACGGGCGAATGCCCGTCCGGTCAAAGTAAGTTTCCATCAGCCCTCATCCCGCCTACTGTTATGATGATCAACCTTACGAATACTTATCTACATTGTCTGAAATACTTGAAGATAATTTCCTCTGACAACCTGATACAACGGCACTCCTTCGCACTTCTTGGCACATCTACAGAGATCAAATGGCTAACAATATATCAGGCATACTCTACGCATCAACCTCACTCAGCTCTGATAAGGGCTTCGAGCTGCTTAGGCAGGCTGTCGATGCACTGCTTACTTCTGTTGAATTCTCGCCCAAACCGGATGTGCTGTGGTCGGTTCAGTACCAGCAGCATGCCTCTTCCGGCTTTGAGGCATTAGTAGCAAACACCGAGCATGTACTCAAATTTCCATTCCCGTCGATGAATCTTGCGTTCGATGACACGATCTTCGACGGTGTGAAGGAAGTATGGCGGAAGATTGTAGGTGAAGATAGCGGGGACTTTCTCGTATTCCAGGATAGGGAGCAATACGATGACGACGAGTGATACAGAACAACATCGAGACGTGATTGGCATCCGCCACCTTCTCATCAACGATTCTGACTCCTGATTTCTGCTTGACCACTGACGCGTAAATGCCAAGCTTTTGCCTTCCGCTGCCCAGCGACCAAGAATGACGAGACGGGTACAGCGGCCTGAGCCACGCAGCAGATCCATCAGCCACATTCACTGCCAGTCACTGACATCCACAAATCGGAAGCACGGGAACCAGACATCAGGATATCGGCACTTTGAGGCAACACAGCGGGCTTGGACGGCGGAGATCCCGGCGGCGGAGCGACTTGGCCGCCTGCCAAGATACAACTTCTTTGAACAACTGCGGTGGTCACCAAGATACTCCTGACTGAAGGGTCGTAGATGCTGTATGTGAGATTGCAACACCGCCTAGTTCGAGGATCACAAGACCAGTCGGCTGAAGTTGAGGAGGAGATGGTCCACGACAGCCAGCTAGCCGCCATCGTTGTACGCGACTGGATAGTGTTCACCTCAGGACGTCACCGGCAAGTGCTGCTCACATTGCCAAGTCGAGTCCAAGTCAGTACCCTGTACACCAAGACTCACCCCCATCCCGGTAGCCACCGAGGGCTCCATTTATGCTGCATAAAAACATAGCGGCCGCAGCGCTGTGCTCGCCATTGTGCGTGGCCGCTCACCAAGCATGAGGCTGAAGGAGAAGCAAATCACTGATTGACCAGTTAGGCGCCCTCTGCGCACCATATTGTGGGCTTTAGCATATCGATATTCTCACTGATGCTCAACCAGGAGCTTGGAGTTCCACCTCTTGTCACAGCTTCAATGTCAGAGCTATGGAGATCGACGGAATGACCTAGTTTATCCCTCACCTTTCGCTTTCAGATATGGCTTGGCGGCACCTACTGTATCAGGCCTGCTTGCCTCCCGTTTCATCCCGTTTCTTTGCCATGTACATAACTAGGCAACCTGCGCTGAAGCGGTCCCAACAGGCTTTCTGCATTCTTAACCTCCACAGACATTGCGTACGACACCCAGCTCCACCCCATCTCTGTACCATGTTACTTTGAATGATCACCTGGTCCGCAATTGCGTGTCCTTCGCTTCCTCCGGAGTCTTCTTCCAGGTCTCACTAATCGTACATTGGACACCTCGAGGAACGTCAGATCTTGCAGCAATCCTCGTTCTATAAGACGCTTGCACCACTCACGATTGCACATCTCATAGAGCCTTTCTGGCTGAGCAAACACCATGCCGACTCTCGATTTGAGCGAGCTCAACATCGTCATAGCAGTACTTGGTGCGGCCCCTTACTATTCGCCAAGGAACTCATCGCTCATAATAAACAGGCGCTTTTACTATACTGTACGGCCTCGGGTCAGTAAAAATCAAGCAAATATGGTACCTTGGCGAAGCTCTGCCAGCATTGCTTGTAGGCATAGTTCTCGGGCCCATTGCCGCGAAGTTCATCGACTCTGAACGGTGGGGCTCTGCGGTCGAAGCCCAGACAGGGCACATCACGCTGGTCCGTCTTACCAAAACGCTTCCATCAGTATCGCTGACGGACTTCAGGGCGTGACTCGTGTCGTCATCGGCGTGCAACTCGTCATGGCAGGCTACCAACTGCCAGCCAAGTACCCCTGGCATCGCTGGAAAGACATGGCTCTTCTCCTCATCCCTGTGATGACTATCATGTGGCTTTGTACCACAGGATGCATCAAGCTGATGATTCCCAAGCTGACCACACTTACCGCCATGGTCATCGCTTCGCTGGTGACGTCTACGGACCCCGTGCTATCACAAGCTATTGCGAAGGGCCCTTTCGCCGACAAATACGTTCCTCGAGCACTGCGAGAGATTATATCTGCTGAAGCGGGAAGTAACGACGGCTTCGGCTTTCCGTTCCTGCTGCTCGCTACTTATCTCATCCGCCATGCACCCGAAGAGGACGTCAATTTCAAGCCTGGTGTCTCTCGCATCGCAAGCAGATCCGCAGATGTAGGCCGCCTTGGCGGCGGCGCTGGCAAAGCAGTAGAAATCTGGATCGTGGAAGGCTGGCTGTACTTTATCTTGCTGGGCGCAGTCGTAGGCGCAGTGCTCGGTATTGCAAGTATGTTCGCTGTCTCATTGACACTGAAGCGGTACGTAGCCCTCTCGCTACCATCTTACTCGTACAGTCCAATACTGACGTCGTGGTAGGAAATGGATCGACACCGAGTCCCTTCTTCTCTATCCCACCGCACTCGGCCTCTTCACAATCGGCATCACGGGACTCACCGGCCTAGACGACCTGCTCGCATGTTTCTGCGCCGGCGCAGCCATGAATTGGAACGGCACGTATCTGCGCGAGACTCTCGCTCGCCACGACGAAGTCAACTCGTCCATCGATGTCCTCCTCAATTTCGGCGGTTTCATGTACATCGGCGCCATCCTGCCATGGTCCGAGTTCAACTCCGAGATCACGGGCATCACAGTCGGTCGCTTGCTCGTCTTGGGATTGCTGGTCTTGCTACTCAGGCGCATTCCTGCGATGATGGTCATATACAAGGCGATGCCTAACACGGTCAAGAGCTGGGAAGAAGCGCTGTTCATGGGGTACTTCGGTCCTATTGGTATAGGCGCTGTGTTTTATGTTGAGCACGCGCGACATCTATTCCCGAAGCTCGATGCCGCTGAGACGCATGAGGAAGAGGATCTGTTACGAGCCATGGGCCCGGTGGTGTACTTCCTCGTGCTTTTCAGTATTGTGGTCCATGGATTGAGTATCCCGGCGCTGGAGCTGATCTACAGGTGGAAGGGTGTGGAGCCCATTGTTGAGCTCGAACCGAGTGTGCAGCGCAGGAGGAGTGTGAGCGAAGCGCTGCCGCCGAACAGTCATGTTGATCCGCGAACCCGCAGTGTTGTCAGACACAACCGCTTCTCGAGGGTCATTAGTCGAGACGGCGTAGACGAACCCGAGGATGGGAGGTCCAGGTCAAGGCCCATATCAACCAGTCGGGGACATACATCTGTGTCCAGTCCAGGGTCAAGGGCTGTGTCTAGAGGTAGACAGATGCCTGAAACGCCAGTTTGGAGACTGACGGCTGATAGTGACGATACACTGAAGGATGAGGAAGAGAAGGACGGGCCGAGGATACAGTTTCTGGATGAGAGAGAGTTGCGATCACCTAGGTCTTTGAACAATGTTAGGTTGGGGGCCGGTGATAAAGATGTCGATGGTGCAATCAAGTCCTCGCGTCAGCACTGAGGTCAATGTGTTACTAGCGGCGATTGTTTCTATGTTCATAGCGCACCTGGACACATGTTAGGAAGTAACAAGTGGCGGGCTGAGAGTCAAGCCATTTCAAGTAAAGTGGGATTTGTCTGAATCAACGGAAGGGTAGCACTGGACTTAAGCCTGGGATCTATCCTCGTGATCAATTGAAGTATGAGAGGAATCGGTCATACCTTCGTCTTGCATGGTTCCGTAAAGGCTGTAGATGTGAGAACTTGCGGCAGGCGCTTTGGCTGCTCGAGGGGACGGGGAACGGGTCGTGCTTAGCTAATGGACTCTGTCGTGCATATCTGAGGTGCAGTTGATCACGGTTTCTTTCAAGTATCACACCATGGTGCACTTGCTCTAAGACTGGCCAGTCAAATTGTTTAGGTATCTATGTAAGAAAACGAGAGAAACGAGTGTGAAGTAAGACGACATGCGATGCAACGAGATGGATGCGTCATCATTCTACGCGCAAGCGAGCCACGAGCTTTCACTGGGCGATTTGTAGAAACATACAGCTAAAATGGCCGTCAGAACGTAGCGATGGGGTGATGGAACGCTCTGACACAAACCTCAAGCGCAGTAGTCACTAGCACTGCTCTTCGAATGCTCACAATGACCACCGCATGGCTGGCGACCATTCACCCAGACCAGAGACTCGCCTTGACCGGCGCATTTGAACAAGCTCCGGTCAATTTGAGCTTCGTCGGGAAAGTGGCCATCATTCCATTTGTCAAGAAGGACCTTTGCTTAGATTTCGCGGCCAGACCAGCCTACAGCGATTTGTCAGCCATACATGCACAGGGTATCTCCATTGTGAGTACTTACCACGACCATTCTTGAGCGTGTGTCCGCAATAATGAGTGAATGTCTTGCAGTCGCCGGCATAGGCTGTGAAGGCAAGTTGCGAGGCGACGAAACCAAGGATAGTAGTTATGAAAACCATGGATTTCAATGTTCTTGCTTGGTCTTGCGGATATTGCAAAGGGTTTGAAGTACTTGCTGTGGTCGCAATCTCAGGAGCATCGTCCGCTACCTTATAAATTGGACACGCGCGTCTTTCGGTGAGAATCTGCTGGCACACCAGTCCCAGTGACTACTTCAGTCGAATGCTGAAGGTCCACTTGACAACTGTTCGATCAGAGCGACGGCTAATGGTGGCAGTGTGTCGCGAGCTCCAAAGATCGAGCGGTGTGTAAGACATGCACAAGCTACTTGTTCCTGCTGACCTATCTCTCTTATGTTAGCTGAGGAAGTGCTCCGTGTCAGCAACACCGCGTCACGATTTATATGCATGTTTCACAAGCGCTCGGTTATCTCAGCTAGCCGTATGTTACACACATTGTCCTCAGACTTCAATACATCCAGGAGCAAGTGTACCGGCTCAACTGACGCATTTGGGGAACAGGCTGCGAAATGTGCTCAATCTTGTTCCGAGACATTCCTGGTATGTGAGCAATAGGACTTGAGTGGCCGGCTCTGTAATTGTGTACCAATAGAGAATGAGCTCGTTTGTCTTGGACCTCATTGGCGGATCTCTCATACTTTTCTGCCCCAGCGGTGACGGTACCGAACACGTTGTCATCGCCGTCAGGGAACGCCTTATATCCAATAGTGATCGCGATCTATTCAAGTGATTGACCAGCGGTCTCGACGTAGTGGAAGTGACTGAGTCTAACTGAGAAGATGCAAGAGCCGGCAATGCCCGCGTCCAATTAAACATCGATTTCCAGGAATGCATCAGAAGAGACCATGCCAATTATGAAGTTGGAGATCTGGTTGCTCGTTGTTGCTACTCGGTGTTTAGTGCAGAAGATGTCCGGTGTTGAGTGTAGAATCTTCTTTGATAAAATCGAGCAGATACCGCGCAGGCAAAATGGGTACGGCATGGGGCGACAGTCTACGGTAGTGAATTAGCATTACCGCGAGGAATTACTCCGAGGCCTTCTGCCGTATTCACGCATGCGTCTGCGATATCCTCAAATTTTCAACTACAAATCGTCAGTTGTAAATGGCTTGTGAACTGCTGAGGGGAACGCTCCTCTACAGCGCGAGGCTGCAAGACAGAGCTGCTCTGGCAGCGTAGCACGGTGCCTACGCGTTCGATCCCAAGAACACCAGACAACGAAAATGGCAATGCCTGTAAACCTCATGCACACTTCTGTGGCCGAACATGCGGCCTGTCATAGGTGACTCGCCCTCGTCGTTTGATTTCGCTCGCTTTCACTTCGCCATAAGCCGCAGCAGAGCCACGACGCTCAGCTGGTGACCTCATAACCTCGCACACAGTGCCTCGCAACCACATCAACCACAGGATGTTGACCCTTATCGCCGCCATTGTTGACTGCTTCACAGGTGCCACCGGGGAGGACAGACCATGCGCAGATGAGAAACAAGCGCTCAAAAGCACTCGCCAAAACCCACTCGACGAAGTCGCTCAAGATGTTGTCAACACCATGTTGCGTGCCGAGAAAGCCGGTTCGGAGCTGAGAGCCGAGCTCGATACCGTTGTCGGCCCATGCGGCTGGAAAGAAAAATTGGCGGAGAGGGTGCTGGAGAAGTTGGGCGCAGCCTTGCAAGGCGCGCACGACAGACTTGGTCCTGCAGTCCGTGACGCCTACAACAAAGCATGGCAGGCTGCGAACGAGATTGAAGGCTTCGTCATCCAGCATCCAATTATGTGCACCGTAATCGCGCTTGGAGTCCTTGTCGTCATCGCGCCTTGGGCGATTGAGGCATTGGGCTTTGCAGAGCCGGGACCTGTGGAAGGTGCGTATGCCGAGCGATGTAAGAATGAGCTCCGTGCGATGCTCACAACGTCGATATAGGCTCCTTTGCATCCTGGTGGCAGTCTACCTACGGCGGCTTGGTGCCCAAGGGATCGTTGTTTTCTTTCTTCCAGCGCTTGGGCATGGTGTGGTTGCGGCACTGACCACTTCCGAAGCACGGCCTCGGGACGACCAGTGCAGTACCTCTATTGCGCGCGGGGGCGACGGGCTGGGCATCGAGCCATGATTGAGAACCAATAACGCCGAAGTCGAATGTCCTCGGCAGTCAAGAACCGAGCTATGGTGGGACCTCTAGGGTTTCTTCTAGCATAACCTTCCTTCTACACAGTTGCATCGACAAATCAGGCGCTTACCGAGCGGCCAATAGTTGATAATTGCCCGTGGGATCTTTAAAGGATTGATCGAATAAATAATGCCCAGGTGCCTGTCAGGGTCTTCTCCTTCTTCGTATTTCTTGCCGACAACCCGGCTCTGATCATAGCAATCAAGGCTTCGATGATGCAAAAAGGGAGACGAGATGAATTATCGATGCCATCCCTGTCTCGTATCGTGTAGGTGACATCATTGCAATGCGCGCGCAAAGATCGACAAAACGGCGGAGTGAGGTGTCTCAAGGAGCGCCGTCAGTGTTTCAAAAGCTTGGGCGACCCTTGCGTAGAGTGCGCGAAAAGAAAAGACGAAGAGGACGATGTAGAAACGCGTACAAGTGCAGATCTTTGACGGTGTTGACGTGTCCGTGGAGAGGGAAGCAATGCATGGATCCCTGTCTTCCGGTAGCGCTGAGTCAGGCAGGTGCACGGGCGATGCGTCTTTACAGAGTCCGAGCGATATCGCGCACCGCCACAATTAGGTTTGAATCTGTTTGAGTAGTGGCTGAACTATCAAAGCGGCGTCGTAGGACTTCGTGCTGTAGAGCGGGCCAATCAAAGGCTGTAAACACCGTTGCCGAAAACACCACAAACCACAGATCAAAGAATCGCACCGAAAGGCTCACAGGCATGCCTCAAACTCTCTACCAGTTCGGCATCAACCCAGCAAAACCTTCCTCCAAAGCCCTCACTCCAAAAGTAATCGCCACAAGCGAAGAGATCAAGATCCTATGGTCCTCATGGTGTGATCTAATTTACATGACCACCAATACCTCTGAAGTCCGCACCATAATCTACAGCGGCACAAGTCTCAGCCCCGCTCAGCAGGACGACTTCGCTTCTCCGCATTCCATAATCAATCAGGCACTCGCAGACCCAACATGTCGTCTGACTTTCTTCGGCAGCACAATGCATGATGGGGTACGCGGCTATATCTGTAATCGGCGGCTCAGGATTTTCAGTACGCCAGCTGAACAAACTGGATTTGAGCAGGACATCGGAACATGGGATTTTCTCGCGTCACCAGTCGGGGAGATCAGGGTGTGCAGAGACGATTCGGTGCTTGTTTCTCTGCCTCCATGCACACATGAAATCAGAGAGGCGAGCGCTCATGGCAACATCGCCACTATGCCGCATCTCAAATATCTCGGCAGTCGCTATGCAACGAGCGAGTCAATTCACCATGTGGCCGACATCATGCCAACCCAACTCGTGGTCAACGCAACGACAGCGACAGCCCTTTCACAATCTGGCCAACTCTACACACGTACAACTGACCCGCGCTACCCTTCCACCTTAGGTCGTCCGTACACAGGAGCGTTGACCTTCGACCCTGTGCCCTACCTGGTAGAATTGCGCATGACGAAGATAGCATCTGGTGGCTACATAACTGCAGCGATCAGTGAAGATGGAGAGTTGTTTCTTTGGGGCCAGTCAAATCCGGGCACAGACGGGGATTTGGGAGTGTTGCATAGACTGGACTACAACACCGATGCTTCGGTGAGCAAGGAAACTGCCATCTGGGGTGATAATTTGCAGGGTGAAGACGTGAAGTGCTTGAACATACACATCGATGGGAGAGACGCATCAGCATATGATGTTGCCGTAGGGTACGGTCATGTCCTCGTTGCAGCAAAGGATGAGACTGGCGAGCAAGCGGTGTTCACCTCCGGCTGTGGAGCCGAAGGTCAGCTGGGCATTGGCAGGTCAGTTGAGTTTAAAGAAGAATTCGGGGAGGTTGTAGCTATAAGAACGAAGCGTGTGGTACAGCTGGCAGCAGGGGGCTGGTCCAGCTTTATCGTCACAGAAGACTGCACGAAAATGTGAGAAATGCTGGAATTGGAAAGATGCGCAACTAGAATGTCGAAGGAGGATGTTCTCAGGCTGGCCACATCGGAGCATGTCAGCGCCTAACCAGATCAGAAAAAGGCGTCTGTTCCAGCACGTGCTGCCTTTGTACCCTAAACTCTGAGATAACATCAGCCGACAGTTCGAGGAGGATCATCGCGATGGAGTAGCCCTTGCTGTTGTAGCAATGTAAGTGGACACACTACCTCGAATGTCGGGGCCTGAGATTCTTGGTGCCCGTCGTGCAAGGGTACCGAACGCTCGGTTGAAAGCATGACATTTCCAACCTCGATTCTTGTTGTGACAAATATCGGGGTTTGCCTTGATATTCGTGGCAGGCCACCGCCTTGCTCGTTTTGTGTGTCGCTCAAAGTCTTTTTACGGCAGCGCGTGCTGATGCGACCTTCCCGAAAGCTGGAGGCAGGCAGGGTAAGCAAGCGACAGTGATTCCCGTGATCATTTGAGCGAGCGCTCAAAGCAAGTTCGTGCCTATGCCGTAGGTCAAATCGCCATTGAACGAAACGTGCAGCGTGTCTGCAATGCGAAACGCGCCTACCATGATGGTCCTACCTCACGTCATTATGGGAAATGGTTCAGGATCGAATGATCCCAGGAAATTATGCTAAAGGCGAAGACACCGTAATCGCAAGCTTGTGAGCGGAGGGCAGCTGCAGACCCCAAACTATATCATGCGGCGTCAGCCAGTTAACAATGTCCAAGCCAACTCCCATTGCTGCGGTAGTTGTCATGAAAGGCTCAATGTTGAAGCAGTAGTGACCTGATTGTATCGGCAGCTCCTAGTTGTGATCCAAAGGCCGGCATATCTCCACCGTCGCTGTCCGCATATGCTAACCTACGTGCCCAACTGTCATTGCTTTGCTGAGTCAGCCCATGATTTGACGAGCAGCCGCTAAGTAAGACTTGCAGACGATGAAGACTGCCACGACTATGTACAGGAAGACCTAGAGTGAGTGAGAATACTCCACCAGATGCGTGCACTGTAGCCTTACTAAAGCAAGGACTAGCAGCGCATCATCCAGCGACCATGATAAACCCTTGATTCTCTTTGCTGCAAAGCGCGCTGCAAGAAACACGATGAGTGGTACGGTGAGTATCGTGACACCGGCGATGTTTGCTCCGATCAACATTGAATACAAGTGGATATGCTGTAACGGAACATGTATGCCCTACGATGAAGCAACCGCTCGCATGGCGGAAGATGCTGTGAAAAGGCCAAAAAGGTGGGTTGAAACCACAATAGATCATTGTTGTTGTTGTTGAGGCACAGCAGGACTGCGGGATCGATCGATGGAAGTGTCCGTGGCGACCAGCAACGCGCCTGCGACTGAGGCCGGTGAAACACATGGAGATGACCGTAACGCAGGAAGCCACTGCTTACGAAGTTACCTAGAGCTTTGCAGTCAACGTTGTAGCCTTTTCCGGCAGAAGGAGCGACAAAGTTTGACAGTCGGCATTTGTGTCTCGTACAATAGGTTGCTACCCCCAGACTGCGCGTCGAATGCGCTCTTTCGTGGGGTGTTTCGCCTTACCCGCAGGTTTGCGATGATGTCAGGCATGGCATTGTTGCGGCAATCGTTTAGGCACTCGCGGTCAGGAGTCAGCGGAGCTGTCATGCCAACCCAAGCGGCGGCATCAGTCCACTTTGCCCACTGTTTGGCCAGTGAAGGGAGGCCACCAGGCGAGTGAGTCCGCATCACAGCCGGCGCATAGCAAAGGAGGGTTTGTTGGGCTCATAACAAGGTTGCGAATCGGTCTCACTCTGAGGTACAGGCAAGTGCTGAGGCTGAGGTGTCTCAAGATTTATTGTTCAGGACGCGTCCCAGCCATGGCGTTGAGTTCGTCGTCCAGGCTAGCGTCCCGGCAGCTAGGTATGTAACGCCAAGGCCATTCACGCAGTCAGCTTTTAGAGTTTTACAGGTGCGAATTCTTGCATTCGGTCGAATGATAGCAACGGTTTTGTTTGAAGTTTGGCGTCGTCGTATCTCAGCCTCGGTACCGTCGCCTTGGTACCATGTCGTCGGACCGATGGATTCTTTGTATAGGCATTTCAAGCAGATGTGACAGTGCCTCGATTTGGCAATGTGTCTCCGACAAACCTTCAGGAGCCCATGGCGAGTGCCGGTGCTTCATTGATGCTGCAGACTCTGCATGCTGGCGGTCCCGCTGCCTGCCGCAACACGCTCATCGGCGTGCAATCGGAGGTACTGTTGCATCGCATTGTGTGGCCCTCTTGTGCGCCCGCGGAGTGAGGCCCTGCACACGCGGACAAGCACTGATCGATTGACCTCAATCTTAGCTGCGACAGGAGACCGTCCAGTCAAAGTGAGGATCTTGAGACGGTCACAGCAGGCAAGGCGGGCTCCAGGGTTGTAACAGACAGGGCTGTTCAGGCAGACACGCGAGAAAGGCAAGGATGGCGGCGATCGTGATGATCTGTTAGCTTCAGCCTCGCTTGCTGCACCAGTGCGACGGTGAAAGATCGCAAACACGATAGGATACGATCCGCTTGCGCAGCAGCGCAGCAGCCGGCAGTGTCAAGGGTCTCCACGGCCTCGTATTTTGGCATCGAACGACATTTTCCAGTAGTAGCGTTGCACCGGTAAGAGTCCGACCAAGAATCGCCACGACGTTACTCCTAGCGGTGCTGCAGACGAGAGCGGCATGTGGCTTGGTCCCGTTGATTGGCTCACGGACGAAACGCTGGGTGGAGACTAGTGGTATCCAGCAAGGTGGAGCCCACGCTATTCAGGGGTGGAAGAGTTCGTTCCTGGTTTCGCGCCGTTCCAAGGCCGTGTAAGAACTCGCCCATGCTCCTTGTAAACGTCATGTGCACTACCAAGGTGAACTTGTCGGCTTGTGGTGCCGCTCTATTTTTCGCTTCGTAAGAAGGACAAGGCCCACTCTTATCAGCCTGATCCGCTTGTACCGACCGAATTTGTAGCCATAAGCATCTTGCTGTTCACTCCCTCCACTCGCGGCCTCTTCAACTTCACATCCTCTCACTGTTCAGCCGCAGGCCTTCCAGGAACACATCGACCTCTTCAACAGCCAATTCACTCACTCAAAGTCACTGACTTCACCACTCGCCATCACAGCCGCAGGATCCGGAAGTGATGACGTTGGACTCCTATGCCTGACTCTGAGCATTACACAGCACAAACAATTCAACACACAATCAATACAATGGAGCATCGACACTCTTCGCCGTCCCCGAGGGGCAAAAGCCTTAGACCCAGTGCTCATAGAAAGAGAAGCAATTCTGTACCCTTTGTTGAGGCATTGGGATGCTCGACTTCTGAAGCAAGATTGATGGTGGCCGAGGGCAGGGCTGCTGTTCGTAACCGGAGACGCGGCCGCCAAAACCGGCTAGTCATGGGAGGAAATAAACCTTTCGACCCCCGTGACCACCTGAAATACCTCGATAGTTCGTACCAGGAACATGACTTATCGAGGCCGCAAACGGCTAAGGTCAATCATTCAAGGCACCCTTCTGATGCCACAGACAAGAGCTCGTCGACAATAGTCGCAGCATCCCGGGATGGAGAATCGGCCGGCAACGGCGCGTCGGGCCCACTGGGAAACTACTCTGCCAACCTCGCATCGTTCATCAAGGCACAGCTCAAGTCGATACCAACTTACACACCGTCACCTAACCAGATTTCACCCCGATCATGTCCGGACTTCTCCTTCCAGCTTCGCACTCCTCCACAGTCACCCAACAAGGTCGCGAGGAAGCCAGTGGAAGCGCCCAGAGTAATCAGTATTCCTCCTGTTCGGCCACCGATGCAGAGCGCCTTCTCTGCATGGAGCTCAACGGACGAATCAGAGGATGATGATTTGCCTGCGCTCCCAGAGATTTACCAGTACACTCAGGCCGCGGTATCCAAGTCCACCAGCAATTGTAGCACACCATCAGTGCTAGGGTACTATGCAGGACCTAACGACTCCTTCCTGTTCACATCAACACCCTCGGAGGAGCCTCACACTGCCAAGGGGTTCCAATTTCACAATGCACCAGCGCTAATGACTGGACCCTACTCCCCTCCCCACGATGACGACCCCGACTACTACGTGTCCTCGTACTCGTCGCAACCGCAGTTAATGTCTTCCTCGGAGCCTTCGATCTCGTCGTCATCAGCTTCGCCCGCATCTTACTTCGAATACAAACGCCCTATATCCAGTCTCTTCCCGTCTGATATGAAGGACCGCATCATTGCTGCAGTCACACCAATAAAAGGAAAGATGCTGACGGCGATCTCGCCATTCGAGGGTGCTGCACTCTCAAATGTACACGATGTATTTATCGAGTCTCAAACCAGGGTGCACGTCGACGGTATGTCCTTTGACCTGCTGCGCGACTTCGTCGTACCTGCCAGCAGAGTCTCAACACCAGTTTGACTCGCCGTTCCCTAATACCACGACTGTGCCATACTGAATTCCCGCGTTTATCTTTAGCGTTCGCGTTCTTGCGGTCTACAAAACATCAAAGTCGATGCCTGTGGTGCAGCCGGCCTTACCACCAGCGGAGTCTTGACCTTCCTCTTCTTTGTTACCTGGCTGGGCGCACGGAAAACATACTTCTTGTAATCTCTTTCGTTTTTCTATAACCTTCGATTGCTGTTTCGGAGCTTCGATGCTCGCTACTTCTTTTGGCCTTGGGCCGGACCTTTCTTTCCTTACTGTTCGATATCCTTACACAATGAGTGTACGACGCACACGATGCACTTCCAGTCCAGGCGATCTTAGGGTATCATATTGGAGCCGTCAGCAATCATGGCAGAGCTGGCAACGTATACAGCAATCAATCAGCGGTGGCAGAGTAGTTTGGATTACACAGCACGCAATGCAACCAGAAATGCAACAATTGCGCATCGAGTCTATATTCTCACGTTTCCATCTTCGTGACCTAGTTCATCTCCGTATCGTATCGTACTCGGCGCCGTCGACCACGACCTAACTGGACCCCTGACACGCGCTATCATGATGGAGAGGCAAAGAAGCTCAAACAAAGTTGCGCTGCACGATATAACGACCATCCTCGTGTAACACGGGACAATTGAGCCACCACTACTCTGGAATTGTGTTTGAAGGTTGTGGCTGTCATAATCAGACAGCCCGGGCGCGCAGATCTTTTGTCCCTGCAGTGCAGATCGGCAAACGGGCGCCGCGCTGCGGGAAGGAACTCAAAGTGCAGCAAGGGCGCAGCAGGGAAGTGGGGTACGTCATGTTTGTTGCGTTTGCAAGCTCCCCCCACTTGCACAACTTTTGGCAAGACCAGCACCAGGGGATACCATTAAGCACGCTCGCTCAATACCTTGGTCTTTCTCTATTTCTTTCACCCACGTCTACTTTCGCTTTCCTTCCACGCATCAGACTCGCCAGAACGCGCTATAGGACACCGTGTTCTTTGACAGCTTCGAGCCTCGCACAAATATAACTCTCTTTCAACCATCACGCCCCACACTCAGACACATTCGAGCTTTCACAACACGCTCAATAGAGCAGCGTCCTAGGAGAAATCCAGATACCGCTAATAGGTACTTTCTGAAACACCAACTGTGATCGTCCCACTGCACCTCTTACGCTAGGACACCTCGACAGCCCCCTCAAGCACCTGCCATCATGGCGGACGCCGAGTCCACACTCGTGGCGCAGATCCTCAAGCGCATTGCCTACGAGTTTGCACTGGCGCGACCTATGCTGCCAACGTACTTCCACCTGATCGCCTCCGCCCTTTTCCCAATTTACACTGGTGCGCACGCCTCGCTCTCCCGTCCTTCTACCGCCGCAAAGCCCTCGAAGAAGAAGAAGCGCAGTGCTCTACACCACAAGGGCTCAGGTACCGAAGACGACGATGAATCAAGCGACGATGAGGAGGAGGAGGAAGAGTACAATATGGAGGGCCTGTCTCCCAAGGACGCCATTCTGCTGCCGTTATCCGCAGGTATTGCGCTATCGGGGATGTACTTCCTTCTGAAGTGGATGAACGACCCAATGCTGTTGAACAAAATCCTCAATGCCTACTTCGCTATCTTCGGCGTATTCTCCGTCTCGAAGCTGGTTACAGACGTCCTGGACATCGGTCACTCGATCATCTACCCTCGACGGCACGTTATTAACGGCACATTGTATCATATCAATGGTAAGGAGGAGAAGGCCATACCCGTCGCAGGCAATACGCAAGGCAGGAAAGTGCTCAGCACTCCCTTCCCTGGGTTCTTGGCAAGTATGCCGTTGGGCAACAAGCCAAGGAAGGTGGCGTGGAGCGATCGAGCTATGCCCTCAAAGAAGTGGTCGCTGAAGTTGTATCTACACCGCGCACTCGCCGCCAAGTTCAAGATTGGAGCACATGGCATCGTTGGTGCTCTGACTGGACTCTGCGTTGTGGCGTACTTCAACTTCGTTGACAAGCCGTGGTATCTGACAAACTTGCTCGGCTTTGGTTTCTCGTACGGCGCATTGCAACTCATGAGCCCTACGACGTTCGCGACAGGGAGCCTGATCTTGGGAGCGCTGTTCTTTTACGACATCTACTTCGTCTTTTACACGTGAGCTTGGCATACATTCCTCACCAGTGCGCTGCTAACACATTGACAGGCCTATAATGGTTACAGTAGCGAAGTCCTTGGACGTACCCATCAAGCTCATGTTTCCTCGTCCCGGAGACCCACAGGACCCTACCTCAGCCCCATCTCACGCCATGCTTGGTCTCGGTGATGTGGTTCTTCCTGGCATTGTCATCGGTCTATCACTACGTTTCGATCTATACCTGTTCTACCTGCGTCGCCAGAAGCGTGTACGCTTTGCATCAGCAAATGGCGTCGAGACTGTTGAAAAGGCAGAGTACTTTCCTCTCGCTGGACGCTGGAGTGATTACTTCTGGACACACTCACTGCTCGGGCGGCCGTTATGGAAGAAGGACGAGAACAAGCCGGAGGTGCCATTCACGTTCCCCAAGACATACTTTAAGGCCAGTCTGGTCGGCTATGTACTCGGCTTGCTTGCTACACTTGGCGTTATGATAATTTGGGACCATGCACAGCCTGCACTCCTGTACCTTGTACCTGGAGTGCTCAGTAGTGTCTGGCTTACCGCGGTAGCAAGAGGGGAGCTGAGCTTGATCTGGAATTACACAGAAGCTATCGAGGGACAAGGTGACGAAGATACGAAGAAGGACAAGGCTGGCAAGACTGCCAATGGTATCACCATACCAGAGAGTAAGCGCGCCACTCGATCACAAGCCAAGGCTGTGACAGACACAACAGGCGAGAGTGAGAGCGAGGATGAGCCTAGCCGCTCACGTCGAAACGGACGGGGCAGACCAGAGCGTGAGATCTTCTCACTCACTATCGAGGCACCGACAAGCCTGAGGAAAGGTAAGACGAACAAGAAGCATTCGAGGTCAGCCACTGTCGATGAAGTTAAGTCGGCCGTGAACAGGAGGACGCCAAACAAGAGCACAGCTGTAGAAATCAGCGCTGAGCCGGCAGGCAAGAGGCAGAGGCTGCACTGAACAGGCGACGACAAGGAAATGATGTATTGGCAGTATTGCATAGCGATGGCGTTGCATTCATACAACCAGCGCCTCACTTGATTTAGCTTTGGGTAGCTTGGCAGTTCTGGTCAATTATGGCCGGCATAAATACACTCTCTTCTCCATTCTATTTACTGGCATTGTATCAGCGCACGGATGATGGATCTGACAGCAAATTTACAACTGACGCAGGAGCTGTGGCGTGAGTTGGCCGATCGCAAGGCGACACAAGAACGGCTGCTCTACAGGACTACATTACGGCTGGTTGCTCACGAGGCGAGCATGTGCTGATGTACAGATCTCCATGCTCCCTTATGCCATCCAGCATTTCTGGTCACATTGTTGCGCAGTATTGTAGACATGGCCTTTACGACAAGGCAGTTATTCGCGCCATTCCCTTGCACGGCTTAATGGCATTGCGTTGTCATGTATCTAGATCAGCAAGTTAGAAAGCAGGACTACATTCATTACGGCAATAACAACATACAAGTCAAGGGTAAGTTGTGATAAGTTCCCTGGCGCTTCCGCCAATTTTTGTTAGAGAAAATCATGGACACTCGTGGTTTTGATTGGTGCAGTCTGTATTAATCAGTCAAGCACCCAGGCACGAGATCACCAAGTTGTACGAAGGCGCCATATCTATTCTAAGGCCAATTCGGTATTAGAACGACTGGGTGAAGAGGGCGGGCGAGGGGGACCAGCTATCGAGTGAGTGGATCTTTCGCGAATAGCTCGGGAAAGCCGCGCCTAGTCGGCGTTTCAATACTGACACGACTGGTACGGAAGTGCGCAACAAGCTACAAAATCTCCATTCAGGTTGGTAGATGTGCTCAGAGCCTTCCTATCCTCCAACAGCACCGAACTGAACGACTAGGTCTATCGGCTCGTCAGTCGCGATGAGCGTCACCTAATTACAGGCCGTCCCCACCTCCGGTTGTTCGAGGATAATCATACAAGTCCTACAGGAAGGCGAGTACGAAGGTACGGCCGTATCATTCCAATGACGAGGATCACTGCACGCATACTGCCTTCTACTGACAAAGATCCGCCAGTATCACCCGTGCATATGTTAGAAACATCACACCTGGGTTTACGTGCATGTGCTCGCTTGACCGATCAGCTCAGAATCGATGAAATGAGGTCGATCAACGCGTCATGCACAGCCAACTTAGCGACTAACTTAGTACTACGCTGTCATATGAGCACAATATTGTCAGTAAGTATGAAGATACGGATTGTCCGTTGAGTACTATGCGAGAACAAATTTGAACGTTTAGTGAAAGCAAAGGCTGACCTATACAAGCTAGCTAGCAAGCGCTTTGCCTACGCGGAGAGCATGTGGAAATGAGCGGGACAAGCACGTGAGACATCGGAAAGTGCGTACATCATTTATGTGTCTCTCTCATCAAGCTTGAGCACGGTAGAAGATTTGCATTTGCAAACACACTGCTTTTGCGATGCAATTCAGCTATCTCAAAATGCTCATGACTGGCTACTGAGTATAAACATGACTCAACCAATCTTCTTGATGTGATCCGTAACCAGACACGTCCAATCCGTAGTGTTGTAGTAGATGGTATTTCCATCATTAGACGTCTGCTGCCCAGTGCTAGGCACAGTGTCGCCCAGCTGCCAAAATAAATCCGCAGCCAGTCCATCGTTCTTCAAGCCCAGAGCTGTGGTCTGCCACTGGCTCTCAACCGGGCAGTGATCAGAAGCAGTATCGACACCATACTCTTCCAGCAAGCAAGGCTTATTAGCCTTCTTGCAGGCCGCCGCGTGTGCAGTAATCCATGCATTACCCCAGTCGTTTGTGGTGCCCCAAGACTTGGGATACAAGTGGAACGTACCGAAGTTGATGTTGGGAAGGGCGAGATTGGCAGCAAAGTCGAGACCCTCGGTAAACTGGTAGGGGTACGAGCCATCACCAGAGAGACCAAAGCCCTCGTCGCCAATTGCGACCATGTGGTCGGAATCGAGAGAGCGGACGTAGTTGGAGGAGTTGCGGATCCAATTCGTCAAGACTGAGGTGGCGCAGCCGTTGCAGCGGGGTTCGTTGGCGAGCTCCCAAGCGAAAACACCGGCGGAAGTACGGTAGCGTGAGACGACGGCCTTGACGTAGGCTTGATACATGGCCTGGCACTTGGTGGACTGGTACCATTGGGCGTTGCTACTGACGCCACAGGCTGAGAAGTAGGCTGCCATGCCTCCATAATCGGTCCAGTTGTTCACGAAGTTGATGATGAGCTTGATGCCATTGTTCTCAGCTGCCTTGACAACGGCATCGAGACGCTGCAGGCCGTTCGCGCCAGTGTTGATGGTTGCGGTGGAACCAGAGAAGGACTGGAAGTAAACTGTGCCTGAGCCGGGGATAGATGTCACATCGTTGAAGCCCCAGACGCGAAGGACCTTATGCCCTGAGGATTTCAAGTGACCCATTATAACATTGATATCGTTGTTGTTGGTGAGGAAGGGCATCCAGTAGCTGTTGGTGCCGGCATAGTCTGAGCAAAGTCAGTTGAGAATTTTAGCTTTTCAGTTATCAACTTACACTTTGTGACACCATCGATGTTGAACTTGAGGCCATCGGCCTTCGAATACGGTGCCTGAGCAGCAAGGTCGTCTTTCGCCGCTGGTAGCGCCGCCACTGCGGCCACGATGGAGAGGATCATTGCAAGCTTCATGGCTGTTGTGTTGTTCGACCTTAGAATGATGCCCAAATACCGCTGGGAAACAGCATGATTTATAGGGAGATCAGGATAATTGTGATCAGAGCAAGACCTAAACTTGACGGAGACATCCCCCCATTTTGAAACAAATTCATTTCACTGCCAGATGAGCAGACTCTAGCGGTGGGGTTACTTTAGTGTTTACACCCTGGTAATGTCGATCGCAGCTCTCGAAACGCTGCAGTAGATGACGGCTCTGAAGAATGACAACGGGGTTCTCCATTTCGCTTCCTCGGGTTTCCGAAAAGGTGTGCAATGATTGAGCGGAGCAGCACGCACCGGGCCCGAAAAGGTTAAGCGGGCATTGGGAGGCAAAAAGCAGTCAAGCCATGAGGTTCCGTGTAATATGTATATTAAGCGCGGGTCAAATGCCCGGGATTTCTGATTGGTGAGGCGCCAAAACCTGGGGTGCAGTGTGCATAGGGAACGTTTATGAACGGCGTGCTTGGACCGACCTCGTTGCTTCTATTGCCTCGTTTGCGGTAAAACACTTTTGTACATGATTCTAATGTTGAGGTATCGCGATTTCAACGGTGGGATGAAAGACCACAAGTCATGGAAGAAGTGATGAAGGGCAATCCCAGGCACAATGCCGGCGCTAATCCCGCACTGGCGCTCGCTACCGTAGGTAGGTAAAGCCGGGGGAAAGTCCCGGACTTTCGGCACTTGCGCATCTTCACCACACTCACTTTCAACAATGTCTTCTAATGCCCGTACCGATCGCACCTGGCATTCAGTATCTCATGGCTTCGTTATGAATATTGCGGTGTCTGCTGAGAGTTGGTCGAGGCATATATTATGTTACGCTTCACGATTGCTGATGAAGTTTAGAAACCATATCGCGCAACGCCGCTCTACACAGGACACAGTCCTATGTTACGATCACGTCTTACTGCTCAGCAATCTCATTTCTCACATCTCGAAGCTAAGCAGAAAATCATAAAGAAAGAAAGCTCATCTTGCGGAAAGACCATGATGCCACAAGCACCAGCGATGAGAACTCCATTCCTGCTCTTGCTTACCTAAATCGCGATCTTTTATGTCTTGAGACGGCCAGTCAATATCCCAATAAGAATAGCTCTCATCGTCTCCGAAGTTGGCGGACGCGTAGTAGCGACCTTAGACTGGCCCATCCCACAGCCAGGTCCCACCCAAGCAAGTCCAAACCCGTGTGACGGTAGCCGGTCTCAATCCTCACGACCAAAAAGTCCGCGACACTGGCCTGTTCATCGGAGATAATTTACCAGCAATCTTCGTCAATGACGTAACTGGAGTCGTCACCATCGTTGGGCCAGAAGTCAGCAAGTTCAAAGTCGGTGACCGAGTATTCTCACAGTCTAATCTGGATGGGTATTCGCAGAGGATACTGCAGCAGTGGGTTTTAGCGACCACGAAGCTACAATGCTACCCACGAACGCGGCTGCGGCGCTCGTCGCTCTCTTCGATGAGAGTGGTCTCGGCATCTCTGCGCCATAATGCAGCGAAATTAAGGCCTCCAACCACGCTGAGACGGCACTAATAATTATAGGCGGCGGCAGTAATTGCGGAAAATTTGGTGTTCAGTTGCTCAAGCTGGCGGGAATTGCAAAGATCGTAGTTGTTCGTGGCTCTGAAGAGGAGCTGCAAAGCTACGGCGCAACGTATGTCTTGGATAGGCACGGCGGCAATGGTGCAGTGCTGCAACGCATACGTAATGTTGTTGGCGACGATCTGATATACGCCTTCGACACCATCAATCTTCCTGTGGAGCAGTATCTCGCCATTAGCGCACTTTCTTGTAACGAGAAGGGCAGACTCGCACGCCTTCGCTTCTCAGGTGGAGCTCTTGACGAATCAAGGATCATCGGAAACAAGAGGGCTAGGTATGAGGCGCGTAACGTGCTTGGGCTGTCGCATCAAGGCTAAGACTGCCAGGCCTTTTTGGGACCGCGTGGAGTATTGTTCGGAAGATGGAAGCTTCCTGCCGTTGAGGTACGAGGCTATCGATAGACTAGACGCCGACATGATCAATGAGCTGTTGAACCGGTGCAGAGACGGTAGGAAGGTGGTCCAGACGCAATTCAGGGTGTCTGCATGATCAGTATGGCAAGTTCGATAAGTTAGAGCTCATCAGCTAGAGGGAAGCACAGGCAGGAAGCTCGCGGATCTTGGTTTCAGAGGGAAAAACAAGGGTCGTAGAGACGAAGAACAGCAACCGTGAGGTCTGAGGCAGGTGGGGGGCACGCACTGCACTGGCGTCGATGCTCAAGCAATGCGATGTTTCCAGTACCGGTAGGAACTTTCTGCTAGGCTCAAGACAGAGTCAGCCTCACTGAGTTTGACTCTCATTAAAGTGCTCCATCTCACGGTCGTCGATGTTGAGTCTGGCTCGACGGAAGCTGGGGTTGGCTCTTTCCAGTTCGAAAGGGTCAGCGGCCAATCTCATACCTAATCGAGGTCGCAAGTGCGGCGTAGCTGCGCACACATTTCTGCCACAACCCTCTCTCTCCTGGAGTTCCGCTGCTTTGCATCGGCGCTTCAGCCTACTCATCAAGCCATGACCCCACCACCCACCACATGCCCGTTTCAGCTACCTGTATGGCCTAAAGCCTGTCCACGCGCCAACGCTGATATGCGATGAATGAGGCGCAAATGCCCGCCATTTCAGACTGCCGCCGAATGTTTCCTACTGCGAGGCTACAAGCGCCGCAAACCGCGGCACGAGCATCCTGATGTTGCATCCCGCCAGAAACTCGCCCAGTCAACCACGTCGAGCAGCGCAAAGAATGCCAAAGAGACAATACGTCGTCTCGCTACGCAACCACAGTGCTGCAGGCACCGTGATGGGCAGCTCTGTGCTCAAGCAAGCCTGCTGATACTTCATTGGGGGCTGAAAGCGCAGCCACGACTTGGCTAGAAGCGTTGCGGCAGCGAGCTAAACATGCACCTCCTCGATGGGGCACAGGGCTGAGATGATCCAGCGCTGGAGCCGCACTGCACCAAACTGACGATATCTCGGGCGCATCCTGCTATAGAATCTTCTTTCACTGTGCCTTTCTCAGTCTTTTCATCGATGACGTCGCCCGCCCAGCGCACTATCACAGACCGTTGTCGCACAGTACGGGTAACCCCAGTCTGACACGAACGTAAGCTTTGCCGAATTGTCACCTGCGATTTGACAATAAACAAAAGACGGCTGAAACCGCGCTGCAGCAAGTGGCAGCAGAAGCGCGTCGCAGACAGCCCTACTCGCAATGTCCGCGGCAGCAATGGCCGAACACCGTCGCGAAGCATCCAGCAACCCCAACAGCACTGACACCAGACCTGCATTACCTACGCTGGGCTTTGAGAACACCTCGCCATCCTTTGGCATCTCCTTAGCGCCACCAGCGTCGTCACCGGCCACGCGCGCTGGCTACGCTCGAGTGAGCAACGATGCGGCCGACCGCCATGCCCCGCCTACGATCGCGGAGGAAGATGAAGAAGACATCGCAGACAGCTTCCGGGGGCAGCGAAGCAGTGGGCTGGGAATAGCAGCAGCCGGCGACTCTCTAACATTGGGTAGTGAATCCGCAATACCGCCTCATGTGCGCAGCGAAGCGGGTGCTCCCATGTGGAGCCCAAACGTCACACTGTCACCACCAGGCACGAGCGATCCCTTCCTTAGCAGACTCCCACACGACTCGGCCGAGGCCACACCTGACCTGGTGCGCGACCGCTTCAGTCCATACACAGGCAGCTATGAGGAGTTTCGGCGCGACATGCCAGGACACTTGCACACCACTGCCAGCACCGCCGACTTCCAGCAGTATATGCACACGTCAGACACACAGCGGCTGCGCGGCGCACCTTCCATAAGATCAGTGTTCGACAATAACGGATTCCATCCAGGACACGAGTGCCAGACACGGAGAGACTTTTACCAATCGCGGTTTTCGTGGCTCAATGCAATGATCATCTTCATCTGCGTGTTGTCCACAGTTTTGTCCGGCATCTTCCTTGGGCTCGCGCTGAAAGCCCCACGATATGGACGCTTCATCAGCACGAGCGATGGAGCAAAGATGCGACCTGCTACCGCGATCCTTTGGACATCAATCCTAGCCAAAGTTATCGAGCTCTCGTTCGTCACTGGGTTCGTCGCCTTTCTGGGTCAAGTCCTGAGCCGGAGAGCGTTCAGTCGTAGTGGAGGCGTAACGCTATCAGAGCTCAGTATGTGGAGATGGGTTGTCCAGCCGGGCACCCTTATTACGCATTGGGAGACTGCCAAATACGCTGGGCTTTCATTCTTAGGCATGTTGAGCCTGTTGAGTGCGATCTTGGCTACACTGTATGCGCCCGCAGCAACTGCTCTGGTTCAACCAATGCTCAGTCATGGGCGGACGGAGACCAGACTATTGGCTGGAAGCGTGAAAACCGACTTTGCAAACATAACCTATATCAAAGAGATGTGTCAAACTCCGATAGGAACCAAGGTCGATCCAAACTATGCCGGCACAACCTGCACGCAGATCGAACATGCCGGACAAGGCTTCTACAACTACCATAAGTACTTGGCAGATTGGGACAATCGAATTTCAGCTGACAATGTTACGTCGGATCAGGAAAAGCGTCCATTAGGCTTTGGGCTATTGTACGAGAACACAACGGTCACAGCGCAATGGGTCAATATTGTCAACACTACAGAACTGTCTCGACAGCATGGCAGAGTTATCAACAGCGTGTCACTTGCTATGCCACACGCCGGTGTATTTGCAGCAGCACGCGATAGAAATAACGACATCCTCCAACCAGAGGAGCTGGACTCGGAAGGCAGTTACACTCTCGAAGCATCTGTACCATCTCCCGTTGTGAACGTCCTATGTGTCAATCTAAATAAGACCGAGTTGGCGCCTCTTGTCTATACTGAATGGAACGGGGAAGAGGTGGTCAACGCAACAACTTGGGCATCAGGACAGCTGATGAACAGCGCTACGACCACAAACAAAACGGCTGTGGATGATATCTTCGGGTGGACGAAACAAGACCATGTCTTAATGCGGGACTATCCCCCTGTATTTTCCAGGTTTCCCCTGCCTTTCAACACTGTCCTCAACCATACAAGTCTTGCCTGGGGCAGACCGGCCATATATATAATGGGGCAGGGCGGGGCTCCGCTCGAAGGATATGCGGGACCCGACATGACTGATGTTTACTCAATCTGCAAGATTGACGTTGACATCACCCCGTACTGCAGCACAACATATACAGCTGGTGGTTCCGGTGGCAACATGGAGGCAAAGTGCGAGAAGCCAGAGAATGTTACCAAGGGCAAGATGACTTACGTCAACAGTCGTACCGACGCAAAGGTGCGGCGAGGCCTAGCAAATTGGCGCGACGTTGGGACTGACTGGTCCAACAGTCTGTCGCTCGGCACAGGTCTCAGTGATGGTGCCGCGAGTAACTCGAGACTTTTAATGCAGTTGCAGCTCGTGCCGAAAGGTGGTCGGAATGCGGATCCCAAGAATCTCCACGTCGAACTCAATCCGTCACTCCCTAGTATGGCCGAGGCCATCGCAGTCCTGTCTGGTTGCACATTGCTCAAAAGCTTTATCGATGCGCCCTTTGTGCTTGAACCCGTAAGTGGCTCCCACCATGTACGAAGCGACGAGCCCGAGGAAAGTAGCTTACCTTCAGCAGGAGTATAACCTTCCCAAAGGTGCAAGGTCATTGACCCAGCCAAACACTGAGAATTTCAACGCAACGATTGTAGCACAGCAATATGCGTCTGGCGGCGTCGACAGCCCTACCAAAGCATGGATGGTCATCCTCATCTTGGTCTTTCTCATGAACATCTTCGTCCTCATCTACTTCATATTCCACCGCGGCCTCGTCACCGACTTCTCTGAGCCTCCAAATCTGTTTGCACTGGCGGTCAACAGTCCACCCAGCCAAGCGCTAGCAGGAAGCTGCGGTGGAGGGCCTGAAGGCAAACAATACATGGTCAATTGGTTTGTCAACCACGAAGGTGAACATCTATACATGGAGCCCGGTGAGAAGACAGCTCTGTTGGCCAGACAAAAGCATGGGCATGCGCACGACCATAATCACGGTCGTAATACGCCACAGGCGGCGAGACCTGGTGGGAATGGGGTTCTCTTTAAGGTTGCAGCAGCGTTCAGTAGTATACGACTGCCGTTTGGATCCAAGAACAAGGCTCCGCCAAAGGTCAGTCAGCCTGCTGGGGCCGAGCGACTTCGACCTTTCAGTACAGCGGCGAGTATGCTCTCCGCTGCTTCGCCGTCGGACTACGAGATGGAGGATGGTGAGACAAGGACACAGCGACAGTACGCCAAGCTGTCGAAACGAAGGAGTATGCTTTGAGCGTTCTGGACTCATTCAGCAAACGTCGCGTATCTCACATGTGCACCCTATCAGTCAGCATCTTAAATGAGTCCCAACTGGTTTCGACGCTTCACCTCTTCAACGTGTGCCCTGGCATCAGCCATCTCATTGCGTACGCGAGGATACTAACAAGGAACTGCTGTCAGATCTTGCGGCCCAAAATCATACCAGAAACATATACATTTGCAGGATGGTGCAGATTTGCTACCTTTTGGCACTAGATCCACGTAGATAGAAATCAACACCCTATACAAAACGTAAGAACGGGGGTGTACTCATGCCGTTGGAAGATTTCCGACCAGCATTCAATGTGGTTCCCAAGGAGGAATGTGTCTTTTGTGTTTCAAATCTCTTTTGAGAATTACAACTACTATGACTAATAATTCACATCTCGAAGAAAGTAACTGCAGTGCCCTTGTCACACCCCCTATTCAGGATGACTAGCACATGGACGGACAAGTAACTAGATCATAGGTGAGCCTAATCGGTAGGCCTTGACCGTACGGTCCCCAAGAAGGACTCAGTCTTGATGGCGAAGGTATCGTCATGTTGCACAGATTGCCGTTGCAACACGAAAGACCTTTCGTCGCCGTGTCCATCTTACACACATTCCTCGACCATCCCGTAACCTGATCTGGGTAGAACATCAACCAGTCAGGCTGTCCCTCAGAGATACCCTCAGCGCCAGCCCTTGACTTCATGTACCATCCTTTGTTGATAGTGCTAACAACGCTCACGGAGCCGCCGGGCCAGATGCCATATGTAGTGGGCATGTAGTCTTGTGCTGCATTGCCGAAATTCGGAGACGTGTAGGAACTCCTTTGGTTAAGTGTCTGGCCTTCCACTACCGGCTGGCCGTGACCGGTGAGCATAAAGCATGCAATAGGAGTCGGAGAACTGCAAGAGCTTGATGTTGTCGTCGTAGCGTTGGACGATGTGGACGATGAAGTGACGGACGACGAGCTCGAGAGTGTCGTTACTGGAGAGGGCGTGATTACTGTAGATGATACCGTGGGGGTTGAAGAGGCAATCGAAGGTACTGAGGTGGAGGAAACGCTTGTCGATGACACAGCCGACGATGAAGAGATGGTACCGGTGTAAAGTGAAATCCCTGCATCGTATCAATATCTTTCCCAATTTCAGTAAAGTCAGATCGAAGCTTACCATCTACATTGTCATTGGTGCTCGCACCATTGTTCCTGCTTTTTAGGTAGCAAGCGCCGGAGCCTTTACCACCGACGAACGACGCGGCGATACAGTCCGCATTATCTGCACAGGACTGTGCACAGGCCTCGAAGTTTGATGCTCCGAGACTCTGGAAGTCGCCTCCATAGAAATCCTTGCTACAGGCTAGGATGAAAGCGCGATTATCAGAGCCCTGAAAGACGCAGCCATTGTTCTCAGGACATGTGTACTGAGCTGGACAGTTCGGAGGGGCAGATTCAGTTGACGGAGTCGATGCCGCGGCCTCAAGAAGAGCAACGCCGATGACATTTGCGCTTGATGTAGAGTCAGCAGACCACCAGGAAGCTCTAGTAACGATCACCTACTTCGGTTGAGAAGCTCCCAGCATTTGCTTCATGTAACAATTCCCACTAACATAGCTCGCAGCAACGCAGCTGCTTGTCATTGAGCAAGCTTTCATACATGAGGCCAGCGTAGACGTCTACATTTGTCAGCGTAGAATTAAGGTCCGTAGAGGTACTTCAGGTGCTCACCTGTGCTAAGAAAAGGTCTCCTCCGTAGAAGTCAGTAGCGCAGCTGATTTGGAAGATATTGTCATTGGCATTGAATGTGCATTGGTCGTCCTGGGGGCATGAAGGCAACGCAGGGCAGGAAGGAACGATGGTCGAGGTGCGGAGAGCAAGTGCTGCCACGTGAAGGAGTGCGGGCGCCATATCGATTCTGGATGACAAACCTCTCGGTGGAAGTATCTATTGTTGATGGTCGAAAGGAAGAGTGTATGTTAATTACCACTTGGTCACTACTTCAACTTATATACGTTCCTCCAACGCTAGAGGTACGCATAGCCTGAGAGCTTTGGAAAGCCCATACTCCAGTCAGGCCCGAGTCTGTCTGCTCCTGGGAACGTTATCCAGAGTTCGCGACATTGCTCAGCTCGGTACTGTCAAGCCTCACAGGTCCCGAATTAATGGTGGCTTACGCTTATGTCCGTTAAGAAGAAAATTGGACGCAGTCCAGAGTCCAGACTGCTCGGCGTCAGTCAAACGACCGGCGGCTGAACGCTAGAGTAGACATGAAGGAAACCTAGTTGGTGACCGTGCGGTGCAAATCAATCTGCTGTTGCTGGCGAGGCTGCGCTCGCCCAGGCACTGGCCATAACAGGACTTTGGCGACCGACCTAAACCGCATCTATCACAATTGCTTTGCTTGAGGCTGATTCAGGGGTATTCGTTTGAGTAGTCATCGCGTAGAATATCGGCTTCTCCGAAAAGGACTGTGCTCAGTAGCACCATCTACCGTTCCGATACAATTAGCAGGAAATGAAAGAAAAGGCGCTCCCCGGTCTACTCGAAAATACCCGCTGCTGGGCGGTGTTGGGCAGACTTTCGCTAAGAGATCGAGGGTTGCAGCTGCTTCGGAAGACAGCGGGCCCATCCGCACTTCGCCCGCTATTCCCATTTAGAGACTATCTCCAACCGAATCGGACTGGTGCAAGTGTTAGCTTTCTCACCAAGTCACTGTCACTTGTAAAAAGAGGGTGCGGGTGCATGTCAATAATTAAATTGTCAAAGAAATTCGCAAGATCCGCTCCACGTTGATGAAGCACTCTATGATCCCTTACTTTTCTCCTCGAGCAGCTTCCCTAACTTGTCTAAACCTCCAAGCCCCTGGAAGCTCCCATCTGACAAGTAATCGGACAAAATGCTATCCATCTTACCGGTAGTGCTGAACTGAATCGTCCCTGCAGAACCACCTCTCCAGATCTCTGAAGGTGGGCTAGCAGGGTTCTTCATCAGATCCTTGACCACATTCTTCGCCCATGCCTTACGATCCTCCGCATAAGCCTCTGTCGTCTCGCCTGTGACTACCTTGAGCACTTCGTCCTTGATTGGCTGATATGGGGAGTCGTCGGGTAGTGAGTACGGGTTGCTTTTGTTCTCGCCGAAATTGGACTTCAAGGACCCACGACTTTGATGACCAGGGGTTCCAATTCGACGCGCTGAATGTCGTTGAACATGGCCATCGCGACTTTCGAGGCTGGATAAGCTGAGTGGTAAGGTGTGCGTAAGACAGATGAGATCGATGTGTTGTTGACGACCACGCTCTTGCGGCCCTTCTTGCCAGGTTCGGCATTAGCAAGCAGCAGAGGGAGGAACGCTTGGGTCGTCGCCACGAAACCCCAGACGTTTACATCAAAGAGTTGCTTCGCTTTGTCGATATCCAGATGCAGGAGTGGTTGATAGTGACCGCCACCGACGGAGTTGATCAAAACTTCGAGTTTACCCTTGGTCAAAAGGGTAATTTCCTCAACTAGCGACTTGATCGACTCAGAGCAAGTAACGACGTGGGCTAATGTTTGGATCCCCATAGAAGTCAGTATCTCAATCACAACTCACTGAAATATGAATGAGATGTCAAGGTATACAGGTGACGATGTCCTTCGAGTAACGAAGACCTCTGTGCCACAAGCGTTCCCTTGCCTATCGCCTTGGTGCGTAGCATTCGTTGGAAGGGGTCTCCAGCATTCGAGATTGTACGCGTGCATATGTACTGATGAATAACAGTCGTGTAGCGAAGGAGATGCATGACCACCAAAAACACAGGCACCTCTCCGGCCTTGGCCGCTGGCTCGGCGGCGCACGCCGATCATCCGGTCTTCTGGTCTACAGCCTGCGTCGTTCACAATACAGGCCCATCAGTGCTATGTGAAATTTCCCACTAATTGGTCTTGCAGATGACCAACAACCCGAATCTACTTTCCAGAGCATGCATGACAAGTCTTCTCAGCCATCACATCTCCATACCCGCGCGTCAGATCAAGGGCGTTCATGAAGTCGCAAGTGGTTTGACCCTCGGGGTGACATTGAGCCTAGGGAAGACTGTTGGATGATAGCCGGTGCTTGTTTGTCGTGTAGCAGTTTTAAAGGCTGAAATTCAAGCTCTTCTTGTACCCATCTCGAGATCAAAACCAAGACATCATGCCTCATGTTGTCATGTTCGTCCGCTGAGTAATAGAGTATCGTATATTTGCACTCGTTCAGCAAGTTTGACTAGGCGGAAGCTGAAGAAACCAAAGCCTGCGCCATGCAATGTACAATTTGTGCAAGACCCATCACGATATGTAAAGGAAGCTGGCCATATTATGAATTTCAGCAGTCAAAGTGATGTAACGACTGCATGTGATCATGGCCATTGTCTCAGTATCTTGCAGGTACCTTGGAACACTGGTTACAGTATCACGATGTGAGTCTGGTGTGGTCTTGGCTGACAGATGTTCGATTGTTGGCAAGATGGGACGCCTGAGTAGGACTTGCGCCTCGAGAAATCCTCCTTTATGCACATAATTCAAGGTCATGTAAAACGCCGGATCCGCGACGCGGTGTCGCATGCAGTATATGAAATCAGTATGCAAGAGTTTTTACAGAATAAATACGAGAAGTGGCGTACTTAGAAACCTGCAGCGAGCATGAGACCGTAACCAAGGGTGATGATGACAATGAAGGTGATGATAGATGCGGGCACACCGCGGGTGAGGAAGTGTTTGACGTCGAGGTAGCGTTGTCCAGTTCGCTGATCTTCCATCATGATGGCGGCTACGACACGTCAGACTGATTGCAATAATTGGACTGGGTAGGGTGACTTACTCATGTTGGGGAAGCCGCTGGTAGGCAGACCCATAGCACCGCTTGCCATGAGAACGGCGCCCATGACAAGCAGGTTGGGGTGCGGCTCCGGCATACTCTGACCGACCTGCTGTACGAGCGGGAGCACAATAAGCGCCGCGACGGTATGGCTGATAAAAGTAGCAATGACAAGAATGAGACTACAGAAGACGACGAGAACACCGTACAGACTCATTCCCTCGACGCTGCTGGTGATGGACTCAGCGATGGTGTGGAGGAGGCCTGAAGAGTTGACAGACTTGCCAAGGGCCAACCCGCCAGCAGCGAGGATGATGATAGTCCACAAAAAGTTGTTGAAGTCCTCCTTGGTGAGAATGCCAGTTCCGAAGAACAGCACGAGAGGGATGATAGCCACTACACCCATGTCACCAAAAACGTCTTCAAGCTGGTGGCTGACACACCACAGCACGATAGTGACGACAGTAACAATGCTGATGAACCATTGGACACCAGTGAACTTGTCCTTCATGGGTCGGATAGGAACAATAGTCGTGCCCTTGCCTGGCTGAAATGTAAGGACCAAAAGACCCCAGATCAAAAGGATGGAGATGATGCACACAGGCAGGGCGATGAAGAACCAGAGGCCCCAGGATGGCTCAGGGTTCATGTTCTGGAGGGCGATCAGGTTCTGAGGCGAGGCGATGGGCGACGCAGCGCCACCGATGTTAGAGGCAAGAGCAATACCAAGAAGCAGCGCCTTGGTCATGTTCGAGTCCGCTGGCAGGTTACGAAGGATGGGCTGATCTGTTAGCATGAGGCAAAAACGTCAGCAAGTTGTAGACTTACCTGAATAATCGAGAAGCACAGTACGGGCGCGGCGACGTTACTGATCCACATACTGGCGAACATGGCGACAAACATGTTGGTCAGAAGGACCGTCCTCGGCTTCGTTCCAGCCTTACTCAGAACGAAGGTTGCCATCATCTTGGCGATGTTGTACTTGGAGAGCGCAGCTGCGATAGTAAAGCCACCGAGAAGGAGCATGATGACGGGGGTCCACATAGCAGCAAACACATATGCAGCCGCTTGCTTAGATCCAAGTCTCTTGTGCGGCTCAACATCGCTGCGCACGACATCGAGGGTAACGGCGAGGAAGGGTACAAGAAGTGACGTTACGAAGAGCGGAATAGCCTGCAGTTGTTAGCATGATGAGAGTAGCATGATGAGAATAGTAAAAAGAGCTATGCATACCTCAGTCGCCCAGAGAGCACTGACAAAGACCACCATAGCGAGGCAATTTTGCTGCTCGGGTTTCTCCATAATTGGCACCACCAGCAAGACAACGAACACTGCTATGCAAGCGACTAGCGTCCAAAAGGTCTTGCTGATGAGCCATTGCGGGCATCTGTACCTTCCAATGGGTGTAATAACCTCCTTTATTTCTGGCTCGTTCTCATCTCCTTGTCGTCGTACACGCCCTGCGTTGACGTCGCGGCCGAGCAGAGTCTGCGTGATACCAATGTTCGCCGCTTGCGCTTTCCTCTCGATGCCAATCATCTCCCTCCAGACTGTGTTTCGCTCCCACACAACGTGCTCGCGCAGGTGTAACCTCAGCTCGCGCTTGGCCTCTGCGACATCGCCCTTGGTGCAAACCTTGGAGTAGGCGCGCTCGACCTGATCCAGCTTTTGCGTGAGCCTGTCCATGGTGCTCTGCTGGAAGGGGTACGCTGGGTATACGTATTGGTTCAGGTACTGGCTCTTGAGCTTGCGATCTAGGATCTTGTCGAACTTCTTCAGGACCTTCTCGAAACCAGTCTTGTTGAGCTGGATGAACGATCGTAGTTCGCATAACGAGACGTATACGCTGACAGTTCGCTTCTTGAGGGAGACGCCCTCGTCGTAGAGCGCAGAGAATGCCATGTCGTTGTAGTCGTCGAAAGCCACACTTGTCCTGCGCTTCGAAGAAAGACCATCTGAGTTGTTGTTCTCATCTGTGGTGCGTCGACGTCTTCGCTGACCATCAGCGCTTCTCTGTCGCAGTCGTGATGTCTCGTTCGCGTCGACATCGGAGTCTTCGTCGTCGTCTTCGTCGTCTTCGTCGTGGCCGTCGCCGGTTGATCGACCGCTTACTGTGCTCGTGGCCCGCGGGCGGTTGAATCCAATCTGCTTGAAGATGCTGGTGCTGCGCGTCTGCTTTCCAGGCGGCACATTTTGCTGCTCCTGGTCAAACTCATCTTGTTCGCGCTCATAGTCTGCCTCATCGTTGATCAGAGCATCCAGCTCTCCGTAGATCTCGACCTCCTTCAGCTGGTAGAAAGACGTGACTTTCTCCAGTTCGGCGTCGAGAAGGTTGGTGAAGGCTTTTTCGGGGTCGTCTGCGGCGCCGTTCAATAGAGGTGACGATTCGGCGTCGGCGGTCGCGCTGTTCTTCTGGTTGATCTGTGTCTCAAGGCCGTAGATCCTATAAGGCGCATATTTCATCAGCTCCACCATCTCTCATTGCTGCTAAACACCACTCCATCGCGTGCAGGACATACTGCTTCTTCAAGTTGCTGTAGGCGACGTAGTGGTTGCTCCAGTCTGGCACTGCATTGAATTGCAGGCTGTGGGAGAACTTCATCTCGTCGGCTTCCCGAAGCTGCTCGAGCTTCTCCCGTCTTTTGCGCTCTCTCTTGCTCTCGGGTGCCCGTACTGGGTTGCTGCTCTCCTCTCTGGGATATTCGTGGAGCTCGAAAGCTTGCTCGGACGGGCTGTCGCGGTAGGCTGCAGAGCGGTCCAGGGTGGCAGCTGGGTGCAGAATAAGAAGAAAAGAACGTCAATGCGGAGCGCAGGTGCGGGAAGACTAGGGCATTCGTGCAGATGGAGGGCTAGGTCAGGTGCGAGAACAGCCGTCGGAGTGCAGCCAGAAGCAACCAAGGGTGCTAGCGATTGGTGGGTCGCGGAGTGATGCAAATCGTGGCTCTCTGGTGCGCCTCTGAACCAGGTTGTGACGTGTGTTCGGAGGCCAAGGGAATCTACCCGTGCTAAGATGATTGGTTGTCTGGGCGCACCACGCTTCCACACCTCAAGGCAGATGCACACCGCAGCATTGCGGAATCAGTGTTCCATGCCTGATGAGGTCCCTCAGGCTGCAATACATCTGCTTGCACTCTTGGATAGGTTGCGGTGAGCGGCCCACTGCCTTAGCATCTGCGGTGGGGCCGCTAGGAAATTATCCCACTGGGCTAGGAGCAACGCACAACGCACGTCATGCATCGCGGCCAGCCTCAAAGCACGTTCAACCAGGGTTTCGGGCACCAGTGATTTTGGAGAGGAGTTTGGAGAGTCTTTTGTGGTCGCGGCTGGTCCTGGTCGATGTGCCGCGGTAGGGTAGATAAGTCAGATAGCCCAATGGCAAAGGCGAACCGTTGCGTGAGGCAGGTACCCGTAAACGCAAATAAAATGGGTTGGTCAGAGACCAAACATGGGAAACCTCATCCTAACACCTTACACGATATCCTGCTTGTGAACAACATATAGGCGGCATAAAAACCTAGCATGAAGTGAAGGATGGCATTGCTATCTGTTGTCAGACGCTGCAACCGAAGAAATGTAAAAGTAGACCGTAGTCTTGTGTCTTCCCGTAAACCAACTGCCATTGGATATAAAACGCCGCGCAATGCTGCAACCCAAAATTGCTCATGTATAACCGTAAATGTCGTCCAGCCCGAATCTCAGAAATCGCTTTTCTTACACCGCACTCCTTTCACCGCGGCATGTACATACCAGTCGTCATCATTGCAGATCCATAGCGGTCATGCGCCTTTAGCATGTACCGCAAGAAGGTGAGAGCCTTGAGGTAGACCTTGAGAGCCTTGCGACGGCGGACCTTGTCGGCTTCCAGGACCTTACGGAGCACACGTCGAACAGAAGTGACTTTGGTCGTAGTCATACGCGCGAACTGAATAACACTGCCCTTGGCAGTCATGGTTGCGAGTTCTGGTGGGCCGATGGACATGTCAGGGATGAAGGCCTCGGGCACGTCGTGCGATGCGGAATCGATCTTGATGAGTGAGGGTCTCGAAAGTTTGGCCTCAATCTCGATGCCTGATTCATCTTCAATCTCGGCCGTCTCAATGATGCTGCCCAAAATGGGCTCGTACGCAGGTGACCTCGGGCTGCATTGATAATGGTCATAGTCGAATGACATCTTGTCAGAATGGGAGGTTTGTTGATCTTTGATGTTCCTTAGTGGGGTCGATTGCGGAGACGTTCGTGGGTGAGAGTTGCGTTGAGAGGAAGGCGCGTCTGTGGGTTGGCGAGTACGAGGTGAGGGCGATGTAGACAGAGATTCCACGAGCCAAGAGAACACAGCTGGAGCTGGAGAAGTGAAGGCAACAGGAACTGTTTGTCGTCCAGATGCGGAAGGCACGCGAGAGTCGCACCTTGGCGGTGAAAAGAGCATCATCGTGCACAAGTACTACCCTAGGTACCAGCCAGCGGTCCACAACCACATGAACGATTGTTTGAGAACAAAGGGGGAGAAGCGAACAGCAAAAGAAAATACCTAAGGCGGACTGTCAGTGCGTATATACTACGGGCCACCCCCGCATGATGGCGGGTAGCGGGCTAAAGACCCTGCTTTTAGCATATTCATGACTGTGATCGTGTGGTCTAGCGACGTTTGCCTTGAGACAACACAAAGCCGCACGCGACGCCCGCATTCCTCTGTCGTCCATGCGTCTTAGCCACGTTGGCTGGACGCGACCAATGGCGCAAGTGGAGTGGCTTGACAGCAGCAAACGCACCTATAGCCGTCTGTTACAATTGAATTACAGTGTTCGGGATTCGAGAAAGAGGTCGATTGGATGCCCACATGACGTCGTTTTTGACAGTTCGATCGAGAGATCCACGCATTTTTGACAAGAGCCGGCGCTGTGTGCTAAAACGGTGCGTTAGTAAAGGAGCCAACCAGATGGCGTGCTTCGCTTCTACGTCGCGGCGGAGCACTAATTCACCTACCGTGCGACACGCTACTAACCACTTCTCTTTCTTAGCAAATGCGCAGCAGCCCAAATTCGTTACAATTGCATCCACGAAGGATTTCGGCTGATCACAAGGCTTCTCTCGCTCCTCAGCTTACAGCGCGCAGGGGTGTTTGCGGCGCCTCCTTCACTTGCTGTCTTACCAATCAAGCTGGCACGGACTTCCTCGGCCTGCATACGTTCTGCACATGTCAGGGGAGGTGGATGGGATGTACTTGTAGTATTTCCTTACTATCGTGATACACGTTGAGGATTTCCCGATTAATGCACGTAGGTAGGTAGTTGCTGAGGGACGTCCATTCCCCGCACGACGGCCTGCGGAGTAGTCGCACGAGATAACACCCGTCGTTGATCAAAACACTGACGCTGACGCTGACACTGACACTAACATTGACACTGAAGTTTCCCAAATTAAATCTTGTTCTCATTCACTTCTCCGTCGTCCAAGCTCATCGTTTTTCTTCTCTTGTTTATAGTGTTCTTTCCTCGTTCAATACGTCAACGCGTACCCCGCAATCGCTGGCAACAATACACAGCCAAGATGGCGCGCTACACCAGAAAACAAATCGTTACGTTCATCAGCATCGTATATCTCGTCTTCACGACTGCCATAGCAGGGTAAGCTGATCGCGGCACTGCGGGGTCTTGAGCTCACTCTCCCAGTTATGCAGCGTCCCGCGCCAACCGCCTCTCGGTACCCATATCTGACACTCTCACCGGCTTCGCGGCCGCTCTCCCTGTCATCTCTGGCATTCTAATCGAGTGTGGCTACGATCTGACGCGCTGCAAGGAGCGCCGCAGTCACTTAGAACACAGCGAGATTCAGCATCCGCCTTTCATAATCGTTGCCAACTTCATCATCTTTATTTATTCGACTGTGGTCATCACCTTACTTGGCACGCACGCAGCTCCACCTCCAGAGCTGGACTGTGGTCTGCGACGACAATGGCAGTCGCTGTTCAGGGCTAAGGACTCAAGCTCGCTCAGGGCTATCCAGGACCAGTACAATTGCTGCGGTTTCACCAGCTCACATGATATGGCTTGGCCGTTCCCAGGCAAAGGCGTGAGCCAAGACGCATGCGAAAAGCTGTCCGGAAACACGAAGGGCTGCCTTGGACCTTGGAAGGCTGACGAACAGCACATCGCGGGATTGTTAATGGGAGTTGTGGGTCTGGTTGTGGTTTGGGCGGTACGCATGTCACAAGTATGATATGGTTGACCATACTGACATGAAAGCAGTTCGCCATCATCGCTATACCAACTCAACGCGAGTCCTGGCTGCACAAGATCGCCCCAGAGCAGGTGTCAGACTTCATCGCCCGCGAAGAGCACGGCAACACTGGCGAACGACGCCGCATTAACTATCTTCCAGACACCAACCGCTACTCAGACCGCGTCCAGGAAGAAGACGACGATGCCGCCCCGCCAAGCCCGGAGACTCGACGTGCGCTCGAGGAGGGCCGTGCGACAATTGGCACAGGTCTGCCTGGAAATGTTGTAATGGATGCACCCACTACCGAGGAGTGGACAAGAGACTAGGGTGAGACAAAATATGGCACGCCTTCGGTATGAGCCTCGGATGGTCAATGGTAAATGGGAACCCGCTCCGGGAGTTAAGCAAACTGCAAAATTAGCACGGCGTTTCAAGGCGGTCAGTACTTGACATAGCATCAGGGAACAGTAAGTAACCAGGGCCCAACAAATTGAACATGTTCCCCTCTCTTCACACATGTCTTACAAACACATTGAATACGCCGAACCCCATCTCGTCACCACCTCAATCATTCTTCAGGTCCCCATCCTTGACCTTATTCCAGAGCCACCCCACCACCTCGGCGACACCCTTTAGCTTCTGCTTGTACAGCTTCGCCTTTTGCGCCTCCTTCTTCTTGTCCAAAGCGGAGATCGAATTTGTCTTCTCAACTGGCATGGAGTCAGTCAGAGACTCCACAGCAGCGAAATCACACAGCTTACAGCGCAGCTCGGAGATCTCTGACGAGGCGCGCGAGACTGTCTTCGATGATGTGAGCAAGGGCTGTGGGCGCTCAAGCGTGGGTACGGCGCCGAAGGAGACGCGCCGCGGCATGCTGTTGGCCATTGGTCGGCGAAAGGAGGCGTCTTGAGCGGGAGAAGTGGTTGTGGACGAGGACATAATGTTGTGACGGAGACGATCAAAGTAATTTGGCTTGTTGTAGTCCTCAAGGTACAGTAGGTGAGAAAGATAGGGCCAGCGACCTGTGCAGGTGCGAGAAAATTGTGTATATACATCACGGGCTCCTATCAGGAGGGTATGGTGAAAAGCAGTGTAATAACGACCACTCACAAAGCCCACGTGGGTGCCGCTGAGATGAGGTGAAAGGGAGATTGCGAACATAAGGTAGTACCAAGGGCAAGACAAACGCGATGTCAATACAAAGCGTGGAGTCATTTCGTCGGCACGGTAGAGGTGAGCTTCTTCGAAAGCTTCTTTACAGCCTTCGCAGTTCTACCTTTCTTGGCAGCTGCCTCAGACTCGAACATATACGAGCACTTTGTTCCTTCGCATGGAAGCGACGGCAATGGTTCGTACTTCCAAGATGGTGCCTGGCCGAAAATTGACTTACCTGCGGGACTGGTGTCTCGATACGGAATATATGGCTCCTTGTACTCGAACGCAGTTGTTTGCCGTGAAAGAAGTGGATTTGATGATGCTGACGAAGATTTCTTGTTATTCGTCTTATACTCTGGGGGTATGTAGCTGTAGGTCACCATAATGCTTGTGTTTGTGGGATGTAGGGGAAACGAGGAAATTTTCCGGTTATAACGCTTTTCATTGTCAGAAGGTGTTTGTGCACAATGTATCTCTGTACATGTTCTATAAAAAAACTTCAGCCATTGTCCTATTCGATCGGTTGCCACAGTGCGTGACCTAATGATCGAGTTGGCGACCCTCTACCGACTGTGTCTCGGGTTGGTCGGGCTGCCCTCCCTGTCGCGCAATCAATCACGAGTCTGAGGTATAAAATCTAGGATATTAGTAAAGCATTGTAAAGCGTTGGATGTGTTAAAGAGCGCGCCACGATGAAAATTGCGAACAAAGTAGGCAGTATGGGTGTTGGGCACCTTTACACTTCCCCTTGCCAAGTGCACTAGTCTTACCAGGGATGGCTGCTAAAAACGACCCAGTCAGCAATTATATTCAGTAGGTATCGCTTATCTAGACTGCTGGATTGAAATTTCATGTCCAGATTGAGCTTTTGATATTCAGTCTGGTCTCGTCCTGACCCCGCGCCCAACAGGACGAGTGAACTACATTTTGACTACTACGGAGACAACCGGAATGTCGCATACACTCCTTGTAATTGTAGCTATATTTGCGTCTCCATTGACCCGAGATTACAAGTCTGATAATATTACTATTCATTACTACACGCATGCCATCTGCACATTAAACACCAACAACACTCTGATCAAGCACCACCCTCCTCGGCCCCCTCCTCTCCTCCCTCACAACCAGACTCGGACTAACAACCACCGCACCCCTACCCGGGACCTCCCACTCAAAGTCCCATTCCCCGGTTTGCCCAACCAACCAAATCCTCGTCTCCAGTGCTTCCGTTACAATGCCCGCGAGATCACTCTCCCTCTCCTGGTCACCAAACACAGGGTTCGCCCACGGGAAGAAAGTAAGTGAGAAGTGCTCAGCCGCTTCACGAATAGCCGAAAAAGTGTTGCGCGTCAGCGACAGGGCAGAAAGATTCGAGAGGCGGGATTGCGACCGGTTCGCAGGAGAGAGGGCGTTATGTTGGGCGTAAATGTGGACTGTTAGGCGGCGATGGAGGGCCTGTGCTGCTGCAAGTTGGGCGGAGTCTGCGGTACGATCAGCACGCATGGCTACAGGGAAGTGTGAAGGACTTACCGGAATCTCGGGGCTTGATGAAGTTTGTGAGCTCGGAGGGCCACAGTGTCTGCTTGTTTTCATCCCGCTTCGATTCTGTGATGCTCAACACGAAGGCAGTAAGCGCGTGCTTCAGCGCTACCGTTGGATGGGAGCAGTTCTGCAGCAGCTCAACCATGTCCACGTCTTTGCCGAAAGATGCCAAGTCAGAATCCATGCTCGGCGTGATACTGGCGTGGACGCCGCGGTAAAATGTGTCGATGTGTCTTTTGAACTCTGCAAACAATGCTGAGATCCGGGTGCTGACATCGTGCTCAGTGGCTGCAGGTGGAAGGATACCGGTCAAAGCGTCATTCACAGCGTGTGGAGAGGCGACTGGAGCACGTGCTGGGACTGGAACTGGAGTGCGCATCTGGGCCTGCGAGACTTGAACATATGGAATGCCGTTCACCGCACTCTTCTGTGCCATGACCAGCTCGGGCGAAGAGTCGGCGTAGATGGGATATCCTGATGGGCATGTCTTCTGCATGAACTTCTTGTCGCGCCTCTTGAATAGTAGCCATGCCGCGATGAATGCGATGGCAGCACCAACAATACACGTGCCGATTGCGATACCGGCAACTGCGCCCTTACTAACGCCGCCGTCATTGCCACTCCGGCTTGCTGATTGAGCTTCCGGTGGCTCTGTGAAAGTCGACCAAGGTGTTGTCCTGGCTGAAGTTGTGACCACACCCGTCGTAAGATCTGCAGTAGCTTCATGTGACGAGACATCCATATATGAGCTAGCCCATACGCTGCCGTCGTGGTTGGCTCTGGTCATCGTCACTGATGTTTCGGTATTCTCGGTGGCGACTGTGGGAGATGCGAAGACCCCCGTCGCAGAACTCTGCGTTGTTGTTTCTGTACGTTGTGATATCTCACCTGAGCTCTCGCAGCTAAGTGCTTGTTCATTGGTTTCGCACTGGGATCCTTGAGGCTGTCTGCGAACCCATTTCGCCATAATGATTCGACAAGCACACAATGCCACGTGACACAAGCAGCAAGGAAAGAGAAAAGAGAAGAGAAGAAGGCGAGTATGAGAGGAGTGTCATGCACTTAAGTGACCTCACTCAGATCTCACACTCGCACACGCTCAGCCGCAGCACGCAGTGGAGGCCTTACTGCAGCTATCATCGCTTGCCTGCATGCCATGAAGCCATCCAGCCAATGACACAGGGCTCAGCTTACCATCGTGCAACGGGCGCTCGGAGTTTAGGTCGGCTTGCTGCGCTGCTTATGTGGTGCTGGAAGGATGCAGCTGTGGTCGTGCTTGCTGTAGATCAAGTCTCCAATGAGGCTAGCGTGGTGTGGTTAGTGTTCATAGCCTTGTTCGGGATTGGTGTTGGCTCTATTTATGTCCCACCATGGGTCTTCCATCGTGGCAGTGTACACCTCGTATCCAACGGCTGTAAACCTGTGACGGATTCAATTGCATCCTGATGTGGGGCAGTGACTTTCCAGTTAAAACGCTCGCATATTCATCGAGCTTTTCTTTACCAGGGTTGGTGCTGCAGCCATGGTGATAGTAACGCGCGTCGTGTGCAGCTTGTGTACAAGAGTGCTTCAATGCAGATGAATACAGTTTTGACCAATGTTTTCCTAAGGCATGCAATACAAGTTGACTTCGTCATCCCAAAGTAGCGTTACAAGCCTAGCTCAAGACGTTCGAGTTGGAATGACTGCGAGTGGCTCTTTCGAATGTATGGATGATGCTTCTATTCAAATTTTTGGATCATATCCGAACATCATGCACCTCTACTCCTTGTATCTTCATGCTCGTCATCAGTCTCGCCTTGCAGTCTCTTCCTCCACCAGCGCAGCTTCAGCCAGTCACCAGGTCCTTCACGTTTACTGCTGCGTGTACCTCCCCCAAACCCCCATGTCCCACTCCTATGTGCAACCAGATCTGAGTCAGAGTGGTCGTCGTCTTCTGGATCAGGATGGTCGAGCAACGCAGACGAGCTGTCTGAGCGCTTCTTGCCTTGTGACGCACTGTGACTGCGCTGCGAGCCTGCACTGATGCCATCGAACCATGAGCGTCTGCGCATCTGGTCTAACCAGGCTGACTGTGTGTTTTGTCTCTGCCTGGGGAGTGTTCCGGCTCTTGGTCTGCGATCTGATTCTACAGATCGACGAAGATTCGGCGAGGGAAGTGAGTCTCTGTCATTTAGCTCATTCCAGATCTCGCTTGTCTCCTCGGATATTGTCATCCTTCGTCTTCTCTGGGGTCTTGGGCTCGCTCGAGGGCTGTGAGTGTTCGTGTCTAGCCTGGGAGTCTGTTTCGCCCGCGATGCAACGGTGTATGCCGGTCCAGTGCCAGCTCGTGCTAATAGTGGCGTTCTTTCGTCAACTGATTTACGTTTTGCTTGTTCGGTGGCGGCTCCGTGGAGTCCTGGTGGGGCTGCTTCGATATCCAGAGGATCGTCTGGCTCTTCGAATGGTTGTGCATGCAAGAGGCCCAAACCAGGCTCGAGCGCAGACTGTGGCATTGGTACGTGTCCTGGGTGCTTTGTCGATACAGGCGACGTGATGTCTTCTTCATTCTCCTCCAGTCTCCAGCTGAGGCAGACCACGCCTGCCAGGAGTATAATAGTGCCCATCGCGATGAGACCGGCATGCAAGCTCGAAAGGCGTTCGCTCTGGTGGAAGTAGATCAGGCCGTCAATGATAGCGATGATGTTGTAAATGCAGAACACAAGAGGGTAGAGCACGCTCGTGCTGACCAGCTTCAACCCACAGTGCATATAGTACAATTGCGTCAGGGCAAAGACGACCAGTCCTATCAGAATCATCCAAGACTGCCAGCGGTCGAACTGGTTGTGGCGGTCGACAATGGTGCGGACCAGCAGCTCGACTGCGCTCTTCGCTATGAGTAGCGAGTGCGCCGAGAGAATGCCGCTTACGCATCCGTAGAACATGCCTCGGACCAGGCGCAGGCGCGGAGTTGCGCGGGGGTAGATGCGTTGAAGGACCCAATTGGCGACCAGCAGCATGACGACGACAACGCCAGTCATGACCATCCACACGATGAAGTGGTGTCTGCCCAATAATGCCAGCAACTGGTCTAAATTGTGCGAGGGCTCAGCGATGGCGCCGAAGAGGGCTATGAGGAGGGCGCCGACAGCGACGAGCAAGGTGCCGACGAAGGAGTAGCGCGTGAAGGGCTCGTGGAGGATGATGGAGGCGCATATCGAGTTGAAGACGAGGCCGGACGCCTGCAGGGTGGAGAGGACGGGCAGCGGCAGGGTGGTGATCTGGATGGTGCTGCCTACGACGTTCGCCACGATGAACATGAGCATGCCCAGCTGCCAGCGCCGGCGCTTGTAGGGCGGGCGGCGGTCATAGTCGTCTTCCTTCTCTTCCTCGAGCAGGTGGGATTTTCGCTGCAGCGTCAGGCCGATGCTCTGGACGCTGGTGGAGAGGAGGCCCACGATCACTCCGAGCTGCGCGTGCACTGTGAGCTCCTCGGCGCATCCACTGGGGCTGCAGCATCATGCGACGCAGGGATCACTTACAGCAACGCTGGCGCCGGGCGAGAGCTCCACCATGGTTTGGATAAGGGTTGCAGTCACTGCACCGGCCTCTGCTACCTCGACAGCGGGTGCATGCTGTGTCTGGTGCTGTGCGGTGTGTCTGCGCAAGGCGTGTTCGGCGGTGACCAATCACCAGACGTCACGCAGGTGGTCAGTAGTGCACGAGAGAGGGACCGCCGAGCGTGTTGCAGTGGGCTGGACAAGGGCGGATGGCGCAACAGAGTGTTTCCTCAAATACAGGCACTGCAGTGGTGTCTTGTATGCGTGTGTAAGAAGCGCGCACCCATCATGCATGCGAAACGCTTGCAATCCCATGGTCTCGATGTTCCGTAGACATGAAGCCTAGACCCCTTTCAGCGCCTAGTTGTTGCGAGGTGCATCATCGTACCTGCTCCGTGCCCGTGGCTTGAACGTCAATCTTCCAAGCTTCCCGTCGACATCGCCCATCAGCGCAGCGCAGCACCACCTCACGACTCTCTCTACCACCGGTCGATACCCCCCACACGTCGCCCGCCATGTCGCAAGTACACGCCCTCTCCGACGACCAGGTACGCAGCTCCCCGCCAGCGCAGCCCTGCAAAGCTCCCCACCAACCTACGTCAACCGCACCAGCTAACAACTCCCCCCATGGCAGGTCGCCGGCGAGCTCAAGAAGATGACGGCCTTCATCCGCCAGGAGGCCATGGAGAAGGCCAACGAGATCCGCCTCAAGGCCGACGAGGAGTTCGCAATCGAAAAGTCCAAGCTCGTGCGCCAAGAGACCTCCTCCATCGACTCGTCCTACGAGAAGAAGTTCAAGCAGGCCAGCATGTCCCAGCAGATCACACGCTCCACCGTCTCCAACAAGAGTAGAATACGCATTCTGTCCGCCCGCCAGGAGCTGCTCGACCGCCTGTTTGAGGATGCAGGGAAGAAGCTGGGCGACGTGACCAAGGACAAGAAGAAGTACCAGGGTGTCCTGAAGAACCTGATCCTGGAGGGCGCATACGCCCTTAACGAGGACAAGCTGCAGGTCAAGGTCAGGAAGGCAGACAACGACATTGCCAAGCAGGCCATCGAGGAGGCACAGAAGGAGTACAAGTCCAAGGTCAACAAGGAAGTGTCCATCACAATCGACGAGAGCGACCCGCTGCCGTCTGAGTCGTACGTCCATTACTTATGTAAAACTTGAGAAGCATGCTAATTGGTCAAAGATCTGGCGGAGCTTTCATCGTTGGTACCGGCGGCCGCATTGACATCAACAACACCCTCGAGGAGCGCCTGAGGCTGCTCGAGTCTGATGCCCTCCCCTCCATCAGGGTCACCCTCTTCGGCGAGAACGAGAATAGGAAGTTCCGCGACTAAGCGCGCGGCTTTGGATCGAACTTCAACACACATTACGACACGGAGACAAGCTGAGGACGGGCAACGATCGAGTTGAGCGCGGTTGGCCTTTGTGAACCATGTGTTCGCAGGAGACGCCATTCTGATAGAGGAGCTTGTAGAATACTGGAAGATTTAGCGGCTCTTGGAGCAAATTATCACACTTACCACTATTCGCCAATTCACAGTGCCATTCGAACTGCGTTCCGGTGAGAGAGTTCTGCACAAGCATAATATGATATTCGGAAAACAGAACATCGACCCAGTAGTTGACCCGACCGGCTACAGATCACTTTTCGCACGCCAGCAATGCCCACCGGCGCTCCCCAGGTACGTCAGTCCACAGTGAAGAACTATGCCGAAGAAGTCGCAACAGTGTCCCTATGGTATACGGTGCGCGCACGCTGGACGAGACTGCAGTACCACCGACTACCAATGGAAATATCCAAAGTATGAAGTTTATTGCTCGGTGCAGATGGTGGTGACTGCACTCTGAGAAGCAATTTGTCTAGACGAAGCAGTGCCATGCTCCGGACGAGGCAGATGCATGCTATCTACCGCGATATATCCTTCTAGGTCTGACAATGTTGACCCTATTGCGATGTTCTAGCGAGTCGATATTCTAGAAGACTTTGTGGGTAGCTTGAAGAACTTCTCTATCATCACTGCCGTACGAATGGCGAATTTTCGCTGCGCAATTGGATGATGAGGGAACCGCACTTGGCTTGTAAGCATGCGCCCTGTGAGCAATATATGGAACTGATATCTTTGCAGCATCGTGAGTCTCTCGACTACTGAAAAGGTGGCGAGAAAGGCATTGGTTGGCTTTTGGTCGTTGGATGGGTATACGAGACCCAGGCGGCTGTTAACGTCTCCACAAGCTGTCAGTCTCCTACTTAAGCTGCACCTGGTTCTACAGCAACATCGAAATCCATGCCACCAAGGAATACAGAGTCTTTGGTTTCGAGTCCGGGCCTAATCGTGGTTCTGTCGCTCTATGGGCAGGGAAGTACCTGCCCTCTCACTGACGATGGCATGACCATCCATCAAGATATGAAATGTACTTCAACAAAAAACCACTACAATCGATCACGATGTGTCTAGTCGCTTCGCAGCATGGCAGAGTACAACTCACAATCGTTAAATGATTTGTTCAATTTCTCACTTTCGCACAGACACATCTCTGTAGACAGAAACGACGATGACGTCACACTTTCACCAATTCCGAATCCCCACACGCACCACCAGCCGTCTACCTGGTCTCCTCGGAAAGCCCCCAACAGCGCCCTGGCACAACAGCGGTTCGGCGCAGTACCCCGCGATCAGCCCCACAGCCCGTTCTACAATGCGGGGTGATCGGCTTTAGGATTGCCCAAACGGGTATACCGCGATATCTTCATGATGGAAGGGGTGAACACGCGCCTTGTATCTCGTCGTGAACAGCGAATCGCAGCTTCGCGGAGCCACAGTGGTTCAGAGCGGGCTGTGAGTGTAACCGGATGGCGTGAGGGTTAAGATGGCGGCGGCCCCGAGAGCTCGTGAGAAGGGTCGCGAGAGCTGGCTTGACGACGCAAAGTATACTTGAGCATCTGTTAATCCCTCAGCCTATTCAGTGTACTATTCAATCGAATTGCAGTCGATATGGCGAACGGCAGCATGAACGCGGTGCGATTCCACGGCAAACACGACCTGCGCTACGAAGAAATCCCCATCCCGGACGTGAAGCCCGGCCAGGTCAAGATCAAGCCTGCATGGGTGGGAATCTGCGGCAGTGGTAAACCTCGATAAACCCCACACGTCCTCTCCAGTCCTGCTAACACCAGAAGACCTACACGAATACCTGGGCGGCCCCAACCTCTGCCCAACAACACCCCACCCTATAACCGGCGAAACGGTACCGCTAACCTTCGGTCACGAATTCAGCGGCGTCGTCGAAGAGGTCGCCCCCGACGTGACAGACTACAAGAAAGGCGATCGCGTCGTCGTGCAACCCATCATCTACGACGGGACATGCTCTGCGTGCAAAGAAGGCCTGCACAACTGCTGCTGGAGCAACGGCTTCGTAGGGCTGTCAGGCTGGGGCGGCGGGCTGGCAGACCATATCGTCGTGCCGACGTCGACGCTGTACCATCTGCCGGACAACGTGCCACTGGAGATTGGGGCGCTGGTCGAGCCGCTGGCGGTGGGGTGGCATGCAGTGAAAGTCAGTCCTTTCAAGAAAGGCGATGTCGTGTTGATCCTGGGCGGGGGGCCGATTGGCATCTCGACGATCCTGGCGCTGAAGGCGAAGGGGTGTGATAGGGTTATTGTGTCGGAGGTGAGTCGCAAGAGACAGGAGTTTGCGAAGAGGTTTGGCGCGGATCATATCATCGATCCGACCAAGGAGGATGTTCCCAAGCGATGCAAAGAGCTGAGCGATGGGAAGGGCGTGCATATCGTGTACGACTGCGCGGGTGTCCAGGCAGCGCTGGATCAGGCTGTGCATGCTACAAGGCCCCGTGGCTGCATTCTGAACATCGCCATCTGGGAGAAGCCTTGCACGATCACGCCCAACGACTTCAACTTCAAGGAGAGAATGTACATGGGCATTGCGACGTACGAGGTCGGCGACTTCCAGGAGGTGATCGATGCGTTGTCATCGGGAAGGATGAAGCCGCACGAGATGATCACGCAGAGGATCAAGTTGACAGAGGTGGAGGAGAAAGGATTCAAGTCATTGATCCACGACAAGGACAACCAGGTCAAGATCTTGGTCGAGGTCGGAGGTGGAGATTGAGAGCTCTAGCAATGGTATGTGATGTATGAGAGATGTATATGATGGTTTGTAGAGCACCCTTGATGTCACATTAGCGCTGAAGAGTACAAATAAACGATGAAATGTTCCACTGACACCCTCACATTCAAGCCACATCGAATGTTCGAAGAACAACGATTGCTCGCGAGTCGCTACAAGAGCTTCAGCGCATAATGAGCAAACCTGAACTAAAGAAGTTGCCAAAGGTAGTAGCGCCACGTTCCAAGGGCCGACCGCACAAGACGCGCTGGTCGATATGGAGGTCGCGGGCTGTCTAATCTTCGCACGTAGACTAAATGACACGGTACTGGGCAGATACCCCGTGGCACTTTAAGAAGGTGCGGATCACAAGGATCATTGACTCTGAAGTGGAGCTGAGCGGAATCATCGTGTATTCGGTAACACACACTACTCGTCATCGCCATCATCGTCGCCTTGAACGTCCATCACACGCTCGCCAGCTCTTTCGAGCGTGCGGCGGCTCCAAACACGGACACCCTTGTAGATAGCCTTTTCTGTTAGCAAGAGGAGTAGACAAGGCGAAGATGAATACGTACTGCTAGGAACGTTCCTACGCCAATCAAAATGATTATCCAGCTGACTTGCTCGTATCGATCGCGGCCGGTCGCTCGTCCTCGACCACCACCGATCCGAAAGTAAGAGAGCGGGCTGGTGACAATGACTTTCAGGAAGCCGAGAACTCCCATTCCTGCGAAACCTTTGGCAAAGTGCTCAGTCCAGGAGTCTAATTTGTCTTCTGGTTCGTAAAAGTAGTTGCTTCGGCTGTAACTCGTCCAAGGCATAAGCGTGCTCCACGGGTCGAAGTACAGGTTCAGAATGGGATCAGCGAAAAATCCGAGGATGAACACCATCGACGTCATGATCAGAACGGTGAGCATAATTTGGGCAGCTGCGAAGCAGTCAGTATGTTGTATTTGGGTACTCCGCTTGCCATGACTTACTAATGCTACCAACGAAACGACCTGCTCCAAGTCGCGCAAGGCGATACTTGAAGCCACAGGTTGGACACTGCCAGTAATTCCTGCGTCCGTAACTGGGATCGGCATGGCGCCAGGCTTGCAGACACTGATCGTGAACATACTTCGAAGAGCCTTTGCATAGACAGGGTCTAATCAAATGGCCGCCTTCATCTTCGTAAACCACACTGGGGTGAGATGACTGCAGGAAACCTGGGAGATTCTCGGAAGGGACATTAAAGGTAGGCTGAACAACTTCTAGGCAGATTCTGCACTGCCGAGGTGGCCAGTGGGTACGCCTTGGGCGTGTGCCCTGGCTTCTCTGTGAGGACCCTTGTGGAGCCGAGGTACCTGTAGGTTCAGGTTCTGGTGTCGACGAGGTTGCACCAGATGAGGGCTCGTCCTTAGGTACGTCGTCCGGCCAGTACCAGCCGGGCATAGCTTGAAAGCCGGATGAGGAGGACATTGCTTGAATGACTGTACAATAATGAAGAGGCTTCTTGCCCGAAGACGGCAATCATACGCTTACCAATAAAGCCCGGTGAGGAAACATGGGCGCAAAGACGATGTTGCAAGTAGGATCAATCAGGTAACCGCGGGGGTGGCATCGGCCAACGCAAGCGCCTCAGACCGGACCCGGAGCCGACGCAGTGTTCTAGATATGTAAGTGTCACAGAGAGACACGGTGGCAGAGGAAGTAGAGGGAACGGCATCGAATGAAGATTGTTCGAAAGGCTGGAGCGGCCCGAGCGCGCTTGGCAGGCGTCACGTGCAGCTCGCCCGGTCCATGCGTGCTCTCCGCCGCCGCGTCTCATCGATTGCCTAGCTTCACGTCTCCAAACTCACGTCCATCTCGCACCCCGCAACGGCTGTCTGCCCTCCCTCCAAACCCTGACTCTCCGCCGATCTTCGCACCTGCTTCAATCACATCACCATGGCCGACAGATATTCGTTCTCGCTCACCACCTTCTCACCCAGGTAAAGACAGCTCCTCGCCGCGGTGGCTCTTGGTTCGTTTACTAATATGATGACAGTGGAAAGCTGGTACAAATTGGTATGCGCGCCTCTTAATTGCCAGAGCTGTGAGCTATTGCTGTGACAAAGGCACTGACTATATCACAGAGTATGCACTCAATGCTGTCAACCAGGGTGTCACCTCGCTGGGAATCAAAGGTACGTCCATAATCAGTATTTATGGATTCGAAAACTGATGCTGCTTCCAGCCACAAACGGCATTGTGCTCGCGACCGAGAAGAAGTCATCGTCACCCCTCATCGACTCCGCATCGTCATCGAAGGTCAGTCTGGTAACGCCAAACATTGGTATGGTCTACTCTGGCATGGGTCCAGACTACCGCGTTCTCGTCGACAAGGCCCGCAAGGTCTCGCACACCGAATACAAGCGCATCTACAACGAGTACCCACCCACGAGGATATTAGTGCAGGATGTGGCACGGGTGATGCAGGAGGCAACACAGTCTGGTGGTGTCAGGCCGTACGGTGTCAGCTTGCTCATCGCTGGGTGGGACGATGGCATCGAACCTGAGGCTGAGGGCAAGAGCGAGGAGCAGACCAGCGAAGAGAAGAAGAAGGTCAGCGGCAAGACTGGCGGCATCTTGAAGGGTGGGCCAAGTCTGTACCAAGTCGATCCCAGTGGCAGCTACTTTCCTTGGAAGGCAACAGCAATCGGCAAGAGCGCAACGAGCGCAAAGACCTTCCTCGAGAAGCGTTACACAGATGGTCTGGAGCTGGAGGATGCTATTCACATCGCCCTCCTTACGCTGAAGGAGACGATAGAAGGAGAGATGAACGGCGACACTGTCGAGATCGGCATCGTTGGGCCCCCAGAGGAGAGGCTACTTGGTGTCGAGGGTGTCGAGGGAGCGGTCGGTCCCCGCTTCAGGAAGCTAAGCCCCTCTGAGGTCGAGGACTACCTTACGAACCTGTAGAGAACCAGGGTCTTTAAGCTGGAGTTGCGACCTTGAACCTCTTTGGCGCTATCGCACAGTGATCTGGGCTGGCGCAGATGATGATTCGCAAAGACCATAGACACGAGCGATGCAGCATTTACGAAAACTATGACACTGTAATTTTTTGCACCCTCAGGCAACCACCTTGTGATCACTCAGTTCTTTGATTAGTTTAAACCTTCCTGTATTGACGCACAGGCGTGCCTGCTTCGTTCATTGTGGGTCCGACCAATCAAGAGCTAGCGGTAAACGCCAACCTGCGCAGGTGCACTTTACCTCTTCATTCGCTTCATCCACAAAACATGACTTGATCTGGCAATCAATCTTCTCATGCAACGATGGCTGCCGCAATGAAGACCGAGGCGGTTGTACCAACCGGTGCGACCTCAGTTGAAACACAGCCGCTCCCCCTACGCTCATATCAGGCTGAAATGGTCGAAGAAAGCCTCCACCAGAATGTCATCGTTGTGATGGACACAGGCAGCGGCAAAACGCACATGTTCGTGCATCTGTCACAGGTAGATCAAGAAAGCTAACAGCGACCGGAGCAGTGGAGCGGACTCGAGCTGAACTTGAAACATGCGAGCCGTCCAAGGTATGCCTGTGAGACTCTTGCGTGAAAACCATGCGAATTCTGACACGACTCTGCAAAGCGCGTGTGGTTCCTTGCGCCTACAGTCACCTTGTGCGAGCAGCAGAGCCAAGTCTTCAGCCACCTCCTTCCGAGTTACAATGTCCTCGTTCTCTCTGGCCAAGACGACATCGATCATTGGACAGAACAGAGTGTGTGGGACTCGGTATTGCGCAATATTCGCATTATCTTGTCTACGCATCAGGTTTTATACGATGCCCTCGCACATGCGTTTGTGAAGATGGATGACCTAGCTCTGTTGATCTTCGATGAAGGTACGCTCGACTTGCCACGCCTGGAGGTATACAACGGCGACTGACCGAGACTTAGCTCATCATTGCACACTCAATCATCCGGCCAATCGCATCATGTCGAATTTCTACGTCCCCAGAGCACGAAAAGGGGATACATGCCTTCCTAAGGTCCTCGGTCTGAGTGCAAGCCCAGTCATGAAGGCAGATGCCACAACAGACTCGTTGGAGTGAGTTTCATTTGCTTTTGAGTAGGGATTATGCTAACAGATCTGGAGGCAGATCGAGCGTAACTTATATGCAATGACAAAGACACCAAGAAAGAGTCGCTCGGAACTGACACGGCATGTCCATCAACCTGAGCTAATCAGGGTCGACTACCAGGTAGAAGCCCAGCAGCAATCTTCATTGATTAGCGCCCTTGCCTGTATCTACAGAGAGTACGATCTGATGGAAGACCCGTATACGAAAGACCTTCTTCGAAAACAGGAAGACGGGGTCGACGTTTCTACGCAGTTGCAGAAACTGTTCGTCAATCAGAAAACCTACTGCACAGAGCAACTCAGGACATTAACGAAGAAGGCGCAAGACATGGCGCTCGAACTCGGACCGTCTGCGACTGAATGGTATCTACACCAATGCATGGCGAAGTTTGAGAAGACTGTTTGCGATGCGGAGCAGCTACCGGGTTGGTCGAATGATGAGAAGCAGCACTTGTTGACCATCTTGAGAAAACTTCCTTTCCAAGAGGTCGTGCTTGGGCCTTCACTCGACGTTGGTCGAATATCCCAAAAGGTCGAAAGTCTGATCGAGGTTCTCGTTAACCAGGCTCAAGACACGCCTGAATTTACAGGCTTGGTCTTCGTCGAGCAACGAGCTTGGTTGGCTGTCATGGCTGAAACCCTGGCCGTACATCCGCGTACCAGAGACTTATTACGTGTGGGTACCTTTCTGGGAACATCAGGATCCAGTAAGCGCAAGCAGATGGTCGCTAATCTACCTGAAACAAGAAACCAGAAGGCCACACTAGATGACTTCCGAGCAGGCACAACCAATTTGATACTTGCAACGAGCGTTCTAGAGGAGGGAATCGATGTGTCCAGCTGCCACCTGGTGGTGTGTTTCGAACGCCCGAAGAATCTCAAGAGCTTTGTTCAGCGTCGCGGAAGAGCCAGAATGCAAGAATCAAAGTACTTCATCTTCATGCCTGAGGTAGGACGCGGGCGCGCTCCTGAGTCCTGGGAAGCTCTCGAGCAGGAGATGAAGGAAGCTTACCTCAATGACATGCGGCAGAGTAAACTAGCAGTGGAAAATGAGAAAGATGAGGAAGAAGGATCAAGGGTGTTTGAGGTCAAGGCTACCGGCGCCCGTCTGACATTGGATGATGCATTGTCGCATCTTACTCAATTTTGCTCACTTCTTGGTTCTGGTCCATACGTTGACCCACGCCCACAATTCAGATTCATCGAATACGACCTTGGAATTACTGCCGAAGTCACACTACCTATCTCGGTTGACCGTGCGGTTCGCACGGCCAGGGGCTTAAAATGGTGGCGAACAGAGAAGATGGCCAGAAAAGATGCAGCATTCGAAGCCTACAAGGCTCTGTACCTCGCCGGCTTGGTTAGCGACAACTTGTTACCTTTGCGACAAGAATCAGACAAGATGGTGTTAGGATCTCATGTACCCGACAACACACCTTCCATGGTCCCCGCCTCATCGACACTTGATCCGTGGCTTTTGGTTGCACAAGAGTGGCAGCGCAAGCCGCGGGAATACTTCCAAACACTCATCAAGTTCCACACGCCTGGTCAGGAACCCCTATACGTCAGACTCATCACTGTCACCCCTATCCCATTTCTAGACGACATTCGACTATACTGGAATAAGAGCAAAGTCTACACGGTTACGACAACCAACGAATCGGCAGCCAGTGTGAAGGCGGAAGATCTTATCACACTACGTTCCATAACTCGAAAGATCCTTCTGACTATGTATGCGGGCAGGATGCAGGAAGAAAGACATGACTTCTTGTGGTTGCTAGCACCCTGTGACAGATCTGGCCAGAGTCTTAACTCGACGAAACTTGTGAGGTGGGATAAAGCCACCAGCGGCAGCCAGTCAGCCCTGACACTACTGGAGAGGACCAAGCACATCTCAACTGACTGGGGTCTTGTCTCACAGGTCGGCGATAATCGGAAGTATATCCTGCAGACGAATGAAGACACTCAGTCAGGGACGCAGTCAGGGACGCAGTCAGGGACGCAGCCATCAGATACATGCCTCCAAGCCATGCGTGTACCAAAACGTCGGGATTTTTTGCATCCTCTCGTGACGGATAGCAATGCAAATGATGCATACACAAAATTTGAGGTGCTTGAAGCTCCAAATTGTGTAGTAGACAATCTGCCGGCTTCTTACTCGGTTATCGCGCTTCTACTGCCATCCGTTCTACACAAACTGGAGGTCGGTATGATTGCAGACACTCTACGGACGACGTTGCTTAGTCCTACCGGACTTGAGCCTGACCATCTGCCACTTGTAGTAAGGGCACTCACGGCATCATCCGCCGACGATGAGAGTAACTACCAGCGCCTCGAATACTTGGGAGATTGTATACTGAAGTTCATCTCCAGTCTCCATCTAATGGCGAAAAATCCAACTTGGCCAGCAAGCTACCTGACCGTCAAGAAAGGTCACATCGTGAGCAATGGTTTCCTCGCTCGCGCTACCCTGACAGCCGGACTTGACAAGTTCGTCACCACCAAACGCTTCACAGGAGTGAAATGGTCTCCCAGATATTGGGAAAATGTGCTCGTAGCTACTACGCAGCCAGAGAAGACACTGAAGTCATCGAAGTTGCTTGCCGACATCGTGGAATCGCTCATAGGCGTAGGGTACGTTCATGGCGGATTACCGAAGGCCTTTGTCTGCGTACAGACGCTGCTACCGCTCGAGCATTGGTCACTGATACCTGAAGCTAACGTCATCTTGTATGAGGCGGCACCAACGGATCTTGCTGTCACACAGTTCGACGTCTTGGAACAGCTCATCGGGTATACCTTCCGAAAAAAGATGTTGCTTCTAGAGGCCCTGACGCATGCTTCTTACACGGGGCCTAATGTCAATTGCAGCTACGACAGGCTGGAGTTCTTCGGTGATGCCGTGCTTGACTATATTGTCACAACACATTTGTACGCGCACACTCCGCCATTGTCCCACCCGAAGATGCATGCCATACAGACGGCAATGGTCAATGCAGCATTCCTCGCGTTCACTATGTTCGAGACGACGGTCGCGGAAGAGACAATAAGCAAGTCGACTCTAGAACCAGAGATCCACCGAAGAGCGTTATGGCAGTACCTACGATCTGGAAGTCCTCAAATCATTACAATGCGGGACCTGTCGTTGCAGCAGCACGCAGAGGTTCGGCAGCGACTCATCCTCGCACTAAGTCACGACGCAGAGTTTCCCTGGCACCTACTGGCCCTAATCAACGCACCAAAGCTTTTATCAGACATCGTTGAAAGCGTCATAGGTGCGATCTATGTCGACAGTCAGGGCAACTTGTCTGCCTGCGAGGCATTTGTACGGCACTTAGGCATCCTCGACCACCTGGAGCGCATCCTGCGCGACGACGTGGACTGCCTACATCCGAAGGAGCGACTAGGCCATCTAGCTATCGATCGTAGCGTCGAATATGTTCGCATGCCATTGCGCCGTGGGCACAATTCTGGTGACTTGCCGTCGAGTATGGGCAAAGGTTGGAGATGTCAGGTCAAGGTCGGTGGTGAGGAGGTAGGAGGGGTTGTCGAAGGGCTGACAAGGCTGCACGCTGAGACCATCGCTGCCTGGAAGGCTAACGAGATACTGAGAGGTCAGAGGTTCTGCGCTGCAGAAAGCAGTGAGGCTGAAGATGCCTTCTTCGATGCCGACGAGGGAGGTCGTGTGATGCTTGAAGACTGACGGTAGTTAGTGAGTGGCAGCTTACGGCAAGACACTCAGCTGTGTTGAGTCTGGTACAATGTCGAAGTGAGCTGCGACAGCGAGTGCGAACCCTGCCCTGGGTCAGGCGTTCGGTACCCGTGGAGGAGGCAGTGTTGTGGACATTTTCGGAGAATAATTTTTTTCCAAGGTTACAATACCCAATCCCGTCAGGTGTTTCAGTGCTTCATGTTATCCACAAGATTGTGCCAGGTGGGAAGGCGCGGAAACAAAGCCGAGTTAGAGTACGAGGGGTGCTGTCAAAGCCGCCTAGCATGACACGCAGGAGCCGTTGGGTTGCGATCTGTACTTCTTGAATGAAGTCATTGGCCAACCACGTCGAAGTGAGTAACTGAATGTCTCGCTTTCCCTACTAAAGCCTGCGACCTTGACCCAGATCAGTCAAGGGTTGGTGCTTGAGTGAAGGCGCCTTTCGAAGGATCAAATCACCGTAAGGCTAAGCGACAAGACCCCTGCAGATGAATGAGCAATGACCCCAAAGTACCACGCGCTGGAGCGAACGGAGCTCACCTTCCAACTTTGATCGTCCGAAAAGTCATGTCTCGGTGACAGAAAGAGGATCGTCGGTGCAGTGCCGCTGCTTTGACCTTGTGGGGTTTCGCGTGGCGTTGCTCCCCGTGCCCGTCATGAGGCGTGTGGCGCACATCGACCATTGCCTTTTGCACAAGAGTGACCATGCCGTACGCTGACTCCGGACCGTCCCTTCTCATATGGGGGCCATCTGCCTCAGAGTGTCGTTGCGTTATTGCGGCACTGAGACACTCGACTTTCACCCAGGCAGCATGGAATCTGTTGCCAATATAAGACCAGCAGACATCATCGTGGCAGAACAAGTCATCGCAACCCCGCACAAATCTCTTCGTTCCTTTTCTACTAGACGATACAATAACCTTTGAAATATCGGCACCATACGACCGACATCAACATCTCCAACTATCATGTCTTCGTCCCAGCAAAGCCCCCAACAGCCATCCGCTGGGAGAGCAACGGGAGCGTCTGGTGGTGCATACGGCAAGTTTCCTTGCAGGAATGCATGGAGAGAAGGGCATCCCAGAGAGTATCACTTAGTCGATACTGCTGATGCTCTGTGTGCTTCATGCCAGGTATGATTTCAGCTATTCCCAGTACCGTGGGCCAGCATCCCACTAACCTTCGCACCAGTGCGAACCTCGCCCGCGGCGCTGAGAAACATACCGAGTCTCGGCGACTTCGTACGAGAGAGTCATCTCAAACAGTGACGGCATCGCGTCTTGTCGAGCTCAGCAGTCGAGTACTGGGATGCCCGTTGAAAGGATGCGAAGGATGCAGAAGAATGGAAGATGCCGCAGGAATTGAGAGGATTTAGAGAGTTTCTAAGCGAGCTGAAGTGCTTATTCGTTCGGGACTGGCGGCAATGTGGAACGGTTTCTGGAATATGTGTTCCCTTGACACCTTAGAGTAGCACTGCACGTGTGATGGACAGCTCTAGTCACCCGTGCGGCCTGCTAGACTTCTTCTCATATTTTAGATTTTTCTTCATAGCTCACCGCTCTCTACGAAAATCATCATTATACGTGGAACCATTCGACTCTACACTTCCACCAACCATTTGCCAAATCTAGATAGACAAATGAAGATCGTAGGCGTATCTTGGTACGCTATCGATGGTATGGCTGCTAATTTGTCCACTGTTTCCACGAAGTCGCAAGCAGAATCCTGATAACATCAAAAGCAGCGCTGGAGCTAAGCAAATGGCGCGAACAGCCGGCGTCGACGGGAAGGACGCACTGACTGATGGATTGCGCCTGCCGCTATAACATACTCGCAGAAGATGCTACCTGATGGGCAACCACAGGCATTAACGCGTGTCATGCCTATGCCGTTACCAGTGCTGCGGCGCAGCCTTCCCTCCTCTCCCCATCCAGGAACGCGAGCGCTGACTCCGACGCAACATTCATCAGCGGGCTGAATGTTCCCGTCTATCTACACCCTACCCTGCATAAACCTCACTCTTCGCACTCCTGGCTTATCTCTACAGAGCGTACATGCCACAACGGACGGCTCCTGTATCCGTCCCGCATGCGTCATTCATCACCTGTTCTCTACGCTGCAAGATGAGCGCCACTGTCACTCAGCTGATCACACCCAACGCCCACTGCACGACTGAAGGCACCAGAAGCTGCTCGAAGATGCATCCATCCCTGCACTCTCACCACTGCAAACTTGGCACTCATGTTAGCTACTTTGAGACTTGAGTAACACTGAGCACACGCCGCAGCACATCGGCGCGTGGGACAATCAGTGCAGCAAATACCGCTTCTGAGGTCTACGTTGCCACATGAATTCTATCCATAGACACGAGCAGTGCGTCTATCGCGGTACGACTCCTGCATCACCCGCTCGGCATCCATCCATTAACGTTTTCGTACCGATCAGACCACCTTGTTGTTCGCACATCACTCTCGGCTTTCAACGACCTCCCAGACATGATAGCGTTTCTGTCTCAAACCTGTCGTGCAGAAGACCGCACCCTCGGCCCGACCAGCAGTATGAACTACCAGTGAAACGCGCGCCCTCATCCGCGACCGGCATGACCTCGAAGCCACAAAAAGGCTAAAACTGAGGGTCTATCAGACGCCGTGTACAGCCACGAATGTGCTGATATTCGGCAGTGCTCTCAAACAGTTCTTGAGAAGGACAGCTTCTGCGCAGCATGCACTTGTCCAGCTCAACATCGCGTAACGACGACGCACGAAGCGTCCTGCAATCCGTTCCTCGTCTGTTCGCAACAGTGAGGCGCGGACGCCCACGACTCATGGTCGAGTCTGTTCACATGGATGGGCAGCGAACGCGTTCTTGATCAGAACATTGGTCATTATGGGGATCCCAGTACGGTAATCGATAACATAGCGTCAACAGCGTCCACCAGGGCACATACCGTGACACGAGCCTTGCAAGGCATGAACGCTCCGCAAGCCGCCCTCGACAGTAATGGCGAACACCCCATATCGGTGACTGCGAAGCATCGTTCGCATCGTCACCTGCATGCTGAGCTGAGATTCGCGATCTCCGTATCGCAGAAGATGGTCGTCACAGTTGCATGTTCCAGACCGGTGCAAGACATCCAACCAGTGATCTGAAAGTAAACCTTCTAACGATATGGCCGAAGTAGCTGACTGAATTGCGATGCATGCGCGTCCAATTCGAATGGCATTGCGATTTGCAGCATGCATGCTTTGCTGCACACTGCACATCGGCTACACAGACTCGTTCTCGGCCGTATCATACACGGTCCTTTTTGCACGGCTTCTCAAACGTACACCCCGATCCTCCTACATGGCTCGATGTCCGTTGAGCTCGCGATGCTCGGACATGTACGGTAGCAACGAACGGGCTGGTGTTCAAACCCAGCGGGTCGCTACACCTTCTTCTCGCAGCTTCGTTCCTGCATCAGAAGAGCTCCGCGTCTGTACGCCAGTGACTAATAGGGCTGGACATAGATTGAGTTGTGTTTGTACTCGTACCTGAGGCCATCAAGATGAAGACCGCGCCTCAAGAGGCACGACTCGGGATGACCGCGAATCCATGTCTTCCGGATTCCGAATGTTCTGGCTGCATGTGGTGATCCTCCGCTCAGCCCACAGACAAAAGTCCACTCCTAGGCGCGCGGCACAGCGGGTCTCAGCCAGAAACGCGTTGAACACATTCGAAGCCTGCGAGACGCATCGACTGATCCTCAGGCTCGCTTCTGGTAATGCCTCGTTGTGATTCGGTCCGACGACGTCTGTCAGCTGTGCCGCTTTAAGCGCCTCACTAGCGCATAAGGCTGGACTTAGTTACCAGGCTGCCGGATTAAGGACGAAAGGGAGTGGACGAGACGAGACGACAAACCGTGGAATAGGGCTAGTACGTCTACATCGGAGAATCTCCGCGTGCGTATGGCACTCAGGCAGTGCTCATGTATGACGCGTTTGATGGATGGCATGAGATGTTCAAGTTCTTTCATCGAGCAAGCCTCGAAGCTCGGGCCACCAAGCTATTGGGACCAGGAATCCTTGCACGCGGCTGGCTGATTATGTCTCACACGGTAGGATGAGACAATTGATTCCTAAAGGACATTGCGGACTGTAAACCTCTTCGAGAAGGCGGTGGAATAACTTGGTGCGGAGCTATGCGGCACAGTGCAAATTCGGTGTGGTTCCACGGTGGCATCGAAGGCACACACGGTATGCCGATTGTGTCGGGAGCCGAGAAGGGGCGATACGAAGTGCTCGAGTGCTACGTGATAGTCCGCCTGATATCGTTGGTGAATTCGACAGCCAGGTAAGTGTGCATGCGTGACACTATACGAACGTGATATCAGTCTTTGCCGAGAACAAGCCGTCGAGCAGAGCTGAAGCCCAGGCTCGCACCGAAACACATTGTGGGTCGTCATGCTAACGTGTCGGAGACGTTGAAGTAAGTCCTACATGCTGTAGCTTCTGTGATACAATTACTATTTCCAAACCACTTATTGCCTTTTCGCCTGCACGCTATCGTTATCACAAAATGAAATCATCGTAGTCATTTGACTTCCACAAAATGGATCTGCACCATAACGCCTTGCTGAACCTCGGTTATGGTATGCAGGAGAGTCGTTTAGTTTCCAGTTTCTGCAGTCATAGTAAGCATTTCGTTCCGTTATCAGAGTCGGGAGCGTAGACTTACCAGTCTCAACGCCAGGCTGTCGGCCCTCCAAGCCGCCCGTCACTTTCTTAGTCAACTTCTTGATGCCAATCTTGCTCTGGTCCTTGGCGAAAACAATATTCCTCGCGGGCTTCCACTGCATCAATCCGCGGTGCTTGCGCTCCTCGGTCCGCTTGTTCTGCTTGTTGATGCTGCTGTTCGACTGACTGCCGTTTGAGTCCGATGTCTCCCATGTGCGTGCCGTGCTCTGGCTCGGACGGCCTGCTGTACCGTCGGGTGACAGGTCGGTCGCCTGGTGCTTGATGCCGCCGTCCTGCTTCGACTGGTCGCCGCCGCTGGGCCCGCCAGGCATGGCAGATGCGTTGCCGGCGGTCATTGCGTCTTCGACGCCCAGATCTGAGCTCGATGTGGAGTCGTTGTCGGAGTCGTCGTCGTGGTCTTCGTCGGAGGACGGGTGGAAGCGGTCGTGCAAAGGTTCTTCGACGCCGGGCTCGCGGCGCTTGCGGCCCTTGGTATCCATGTAGGCTTTGGGATCTTCGCCGAAGGCGCCAGACCAGTCCTTGCCGTCCTTTGCGAGCCACTTCTTTTTCTCCTCCTCGTCAGCGTTCTTGAGGATGTCGCGACCTGCGGTGAGGGACTCTTCGTGGAGCTGCTGTACGCGCTCAGGCAGTTCCTTGTCGACCTTGCGGGTGCGCACGCCTTCAGTAAGACATGCTTCCCAGGTCTCGTACGTCTCGCGTGAATCATTGTCGACGACGAAAGATTGATGGGACTCGTCTGTGCCGGCCTTGAAGCGCGCACGGAATTGCAAGCGACCGACCTCTTTGAGGTCCTCAAGGCCAGGCTCCTGCGCACAGTTGTCTTCGGTGATGTAGTTCTGTGTGAGACGCTGAGGGTGTTGTGTTTGCCAGATAGGGATGTTGATGTCGGCATCCTCGTTGTCGATGAAGTGCTGTAGCCAAATGACAGCGTAGGCGTCTGCCTTGCGCTTGCCGGCTGTGTGGAACTCGAAGACGATAGGGGATCTGTAGCGATGCTTCACAGGCAGGCGAACGTTGTCGCGGCCGTCATGCTTCTCCATATCGAAGTAGTAGCCGTCGCCCTCAGGCAGCTTATGCGCGTGGGCGCGGCTGATCTTGCCTGTGCTGCCACCTGTTCGGAGCTTGAGCTTGGGGGAGTGGTTGTAGCCAGTCATCAGGATATTGTGAGATCTGAACTCGAATGTACCAACGTCCCAACCGAGCATCTGGGGAGGCAGGCGTGTCTCGATGCTGCGGAACAGAAGTGAGATGCGAACGCGACCGAAACCAATACCACCATCAAGAGGGTACCAGCGAGTGACTTGCGAAGAGGTCTCGAGGATGTCAGAGAGCTTGAGGGGTACAACACCAAGGATGGGATCGTGCTCGCGGTTGCGCGAGTCGCGGACTGTAACAGTGATGATAGCCGAGCGCCAGTCGCGAACAAAGCGCTCCGTTCCAGCGTTGAAGATGGGTTGAGAGGAGACTGCCTTGGCGCGGGTGCGGTAAACCAGCTGATCGTTGTACAGAATAGTACAGTATGAGGTAGGAAGATCGCCGCCAGTCTCCTCGGTGGCCTCGCCGTAAGGCTTAGCGGGCTCGTACTCGCGGCCATTCCTACTGCCCGCGGTACCCTTGACGTTCTCAAGTTCGAGGTTGACAATCTGGTGGACGATAATGCTGCATACACCACTAGGCCAGAGCGGGTCCGGAGGAGTGTGCATGACCGCATCGTCGTCGTCTGAGTTGATTACACCTTTCTCATCCTGAAGGCTGGGGTCGTCCTTGAGCTGGTCTGGGAGAGACTTGTTCTTGCCGTCTGTCCTCAGCTCAGGCCTGAACTTGGGCTTACCAAAGTAGCCGACCTCCCAGTGCAGCTCGCCAGGCATCTCGCTGTCCGCATCCATACCCGCCAGCTTCGAGACTTGAGGGTACATTTTGCCAGGGTGCTGAATCATCTTTTGCATGGAGAGCTCGACCTTGCCAACGATATCATCCGCGGTATGCCTATCAGAGTCCCAAAGTTCGACACTCAGGTTCTCGTTCGCCTTGATCAACTCGGGGCTAACGAGAAGAGCAGCAGTCTCCTCCCAGATGGGGTTGAGATCATCGGTGATGACGCGAGTGCAGTACATCGGCTTTCCGTATTTCGAGAATGCGAGTGTGATGTATGGGTCGCTGCCACCGTGCTTGGAGCCGCGTCGATCCTGCTTGCTGAGACCCTTTGCGCGGTGGATGCGAATCCAGAGCACACCGAGGGCTTCGGTATTCTTTTGGATTGAGTCGCCCTGCAGAATAGCCCTCATGTCAATGGACATGGACTTAGGAGCAACGTACATGCTCGCCGCTGCTTTAATTGCGTAGTTAACAAAATTGCTGATCAGCGGGAGGTTAAGAAGGTTGGGCGCCTTCTCAGACATGGGAACGCAGCCGGCCGTGACCTGGGGAACACCCATCAGGGTGAATGTTAGGTTCTTCAAGAAGGGTGCCTCGGGTGTCAAGTTCATTCGCAGGCGGACAGTACCGACTAACGACTGAAGCTCGACGAAAATTGGCAGTGGGACACCGAAGAGACCCTTAATCCCCAGGTAGAATACCAAGTTCATGTGCATATTGCGGGCCTTGTCTGATGTACGCTTGCCGCTCGGCTGGGCGTGGTAGGCGAACGAGACTTCCAGATTGTAGAAGTCACCGCCCTCCTCGTCTGCTGCCGCTTCTTGGGGGTCTTTGGTCTTTTTGTTCTCCTCGTGGATGGCCTGCTTCACCTCGCCCATGTGCTTGTCGGGTAGCGCGCGCATGCTGAGAATTCGAAGAGGGTTGCTTCCCTGGTTGATCTCGGCGACTCGGACGTTCTCGATGATGCCTGGAACAGAAGCCTGCATGACATCCTCAAGTGTATCGGCAACGCCCTGGAACATGTCAGGGTTGATAAGCCCCCACATTATGCCAAGGAGGGTGTTCATCCATTCGACGGATTCGGGGAGCAGGTTGAGGGTGGCCTGAAAATGTTAGCGTTTGAACATTGTGCATCACCTTGTCCTTACCAGTTGGCCCCGAGTCTGCTCGCTAGACCACTCGACCTCCCTACCGCTGCGCACAACCTCCTTCATCCAGAGCCAGACTCCAGATGCCAGACACATGGCCAAGGGAATCAGGCCCTTCAAAGCACCACCGAACAATTTACCCACGACTACTGTAGTCATCAAGATGCCAATGCATAGTATTCCAGCCCGCTTCTCTAGCTCAGCGAACATGGGCTCATAGCTGACGGACGGCGTGGGGTGGAAAAGAACGTTAGTCTTTTCGCCATGGATGGGTACATCAGAGGTAGTCCCTTCGGCGACTGGGTCTGGTGGTGCGGTCACATCTTGCGCCTCCTTGTACTCGGCGAGCGATTGTGAAGGGTCTGTCTTGATGGGCTGCACAGATTAGTACCACATGCTGCAATAAATAGGGCTTGAGCTTACAGTAGGCTTATTCAGGTTGGCATTGGGCACAATCAGATGTGGGTTCTCGACCTCATCGATCATATCCTTATTCACGTCCGCAATCACGACTTCCCGACCAGTTGTGGGGTCTGTGACTGTTTTCTCTGTGCCCTCGATCGTCTTCGACTGAGCCTTGTGATCTTCGACGCCATCCTGGGCTGGTGTCTTCGGTGTCGTGGCAGGCGTCTTCGGTGTCGTGGCAGGCGTCTTCTTGCCTGTCTTGGTGGGCGTTGTGGGCGATGTGGGCGTTGTACCAGCAGCAGTAGTTGGCGCTGTTGTCCCAGTCTGTCCGTTCGCAACATTGGCAGCGTCGATTTGTTTATCACGGTTCTTCTTGTCGCGGTCGAGGTTCTCTACGAACTGCCTCACGGTGGGAATGGGGTTGTGCCCGGAGTAGTGACCGCCGGGGCCATGCTGCTGTTGTGCCATCTTCGCGGCGTAGGATGGGAGAGGGCTGCAACAGATCCCTCAGCGCAATTGAGGCTGTAGGTAGAGAAGGAACAGGTGCCACAAAACGAGAGAGAGGAAATTCATTAGGGTGGGCGTGGCGTAACCTCAAAGCAGGGAAGCGCAGCACTGAAGCTGATCGAGAACCGCGGGGAGTTCGCGTTATGACATCACAACGCAACCGAGCGCTCTGAACAAGCAACCGCCCTCCCCTTTCCGGCCTCAGACGCGCTGCGTTTCCTTGGGAACACGCAAAGCAAAAGGAGTGGTGCGAGCCTGGTGCGCCCGCCTGCGGCTCAAGCCCCTACGAAAGCTGACTTGATCGCTTTGATGACGTACGATAAGTTACGTAGATCCCGCACCGATCGCTGCTGCGGGGCGATCACCGCTCAAGCTTACCGCAAATGGTTGACACCTCTAACCACCACGATACAACTGACCCACCATACAAAGCTGTAGCTGACGCAGCACGAATATGTCGGGCTGGTTCACTCTCTTCACCAACTGCCGCTACGTGCTCGATGGCCAGCTCGTTGACGATCACCTGGTCATCTCGGATGAGACGGGGCTGATATTGAAGAGAGAAGGGTACATTGGAGGTGAAGCTGTTGACTTGGACGATAACATTATTGCCCCTGGGTTTTTGGAGTTGCATACCAATGGTGCCAATGGATTTCACTTTACCCATTTTGAGGACGAGAAGAGCTATGGCAGAAAGGTAGACAGCATTGCAAGGTACTACGCCACACAGGGCGTCACTGGATTTTGGGCGACGATACCAACCGTGAAAAGCGAGGAGTTCCAGAAGGTATGTTGCCAGATGTAGCAGCAAACACGATACTCGGGCAGTCACCCTCAACCAAGTCAAGACCATCGATCACTATCAACAGAAGATTGCCAGGGCTTCAGCTAAAACTTTCAGATTCTCCCATCGCTGGCGCCCCGCGACATCCCCAAATCTGCGTCCTTACTCGGCGCCCACGTAGAAGGACCCTACCTACACCCCACAAAGAAAGGCGCCCACAACTCCTCCCTCTTCCAAGCATGCAGCACGCCAGCACCTTCCATCTACGGCTCGTCAAACCTCTCCTCCACCGTCAAACTAGCCACGATAGCTCCCGAGCTCCCTGGCTCTGCAGCCCTAATCTCCTCCCTCGCTGGCCAAGGGATCCGTGTGTCAATGGGCCACTCGACGGGCACGCTGGACGACGGCCTGTCAGGACTGCGCGCAGGCGCAACATGCCTAACCCACGTGCTCAATGCCATGCCGCCGTTCGGCTCCCGTGACCCTGGTCTGGCTGGCCTGATCACACTGCCCTCGACGCACGCCCCTGCGCCACCGTACTACACCATCATTGCAGACGGTGAGCACTTGCACCCCAATACGGCCGCGCTCCTGCATCGCGCGAATCCCAAGCGCAGCATCGTCATCACAGATAGCATTGAGCTTGCATCTCTGCCGGACGGTAACCACCCCGGGCACGCGCAGATACCGTTCGAGCAGACGAAGAAGGACACGCGCGCCACGATCGCGGGGACGGACACGTTGATTGGAGGGTGCATTCCTCTGCAGGAGAGCGTGAGGAATCTGAGGGCCTGGAGCGGTTGTGGGATTGCGGAGGCAGCGGCAACCGTGACGGAGAACGTGGCTGGGCTGATGGGAATCGACGGACAAGGTGGACGTGGGGTATTGAGAGAGGGAAGAAGGGCAGACATGACGATTCTGAACGAGAGTGGAGAGGTGCTGCAGACTTGGATCGCAGGGCACAAGGTTTGGGATAGGGAAGAGGATGTGAGCTTGGCGGAGGAGGATAAGGAGAGAAGAGGATGAATCTAGAGGACCAGGATGGGTGTAGAGTGTATCGAATTGCCCATGGTTCTCTACAAAGCACCGTCGACTTTTCTTATTCTCATCTTCGATTAGGTACATTGTTGAGCAGCTACTGACGCTCGGTGTCTTGACTGAGTCCAAAACAAAAGACTGCATAACCTCTTGGTCAAACTGCCATGCATAGGGCTTCAACTCGTGCCTACTGGTCCCACCACGTCTGAAGCAGCCATCAACATAAATTGTGGCCACTGTTGTTGTCCGACTTCTGGATCCTGATCAGCGATGCGAAAGTATGGCATGCTAGGTTCCCTTTGACTCACCTTTGTTCTTTTGGTCAAGGTATCGCTTCAGCGCTAGTTTCTTCTTTGTTGAAGATGATGTTGAGACCTGAGGGCAGCCGCTTAGTTGTTTGTCGCTGATCTTCGAAAGGATGCCGTCTTTGCTCGATGGGTCCAGACTAGGCTCGAGTTCGGTCAGGTGGAAAGACGGCTGGATGTCAAGGATCCGCAGGGCCCTAGCGAACCTTGATGTCTGTTCGTCGCTGAGATCCAGGCTTGTGCGATCAATTTTCTGATGGAATGCAAGCCGAGAATCGCTTTTGAGGAAAGCGCGATTCTGATGAGCTTGTGTGCGACTCCGTGGTGCAGCATTTTCGTGACTGCCCGTAGGAAGGACCAGGAAGCAGGATGTGTAATATCCTGCACTCAAAGGGCCATGGACATCTGGAAGGAATTGCACCATACGATCTGAGAAAGCCTCGTGAAGAAATGTGGCATCTAGACCGAAATGCGACTTGAGAATCTTTGCGTCAAAGTATTAGCGTAAATACTGCCAGCACAGTAGGAGTGCATCCAACTCACCTTCTGGCTAGCTGCAAACGTCTTCAGGTCTGTGTACTGAGCAGATTGAGCCCGGCAGAGACAAGTCATGTCAAGCCATTGCTGACGCGCTGCCTCGTGTGCTTCAAAAATCTCCTCGTGCATCCAGTCACCAATGTCGTTGCCTATCATCTCTAGCTTCTCGTCGAGATCGTAGTCATCTGGACGCAAGCCTTTGCCTTTATCGTGGTGCGTACAGCATGGTTGTAGATTGCCGTACACCTCGGCCCAAATGGCTTCGATTTCATCAACTTCCAGCGAGACATGTTGAGTCTTTCTGCATCGTCCCTGAAAGCATTTAAACTGCGCAATCCATTCGAGCATAATGTCGGCTTTGGTGGATTGGTACAGAGCTTCGATAACGAGGTCGAGAATCTCCTGGGGCATGGTGGCGAGCGGCCCACTGCCAGTGCGATGGCACAAGCGGAACATGTGCACTGGCGGTAGGAGCATTTCAAAGGTTTCTAGGCTGGCACCAAGCTCGGCTGCGTCTACTGGAACGGCCCACGTCAAGCGCGGAAGAGGTCTGGGTCCGGGCCCCGGGAGGCCATAGTACTCTTCTTCGTCAGGCGAGTAGTGCACGTAGCACATCGCGTTGCGTTTTTCGGCTTCACTCTTGCAGGCAATGTCAAATGTGAGGGTTTCGGGTCGATGGTGGGGTGAGGGTGGCAGGCTGCAGTCGAGCTCGAGGAAGGAACGCAGAGGCCGCACTAGCCACGTACGTCAACTTGGTTCGAAGGAAGGTACGCTCAGCTCACCGCGCCAGATCCCAAAGGCCGTGGATATTTCACGTGTTGAGCAGAGACGTGAAGAGTAGTGTGGACAGTTCGCGCTTCCAGTCAAGCGGATTGAAGTGAAGGCACAGACGAGCGCGGCGCGTATCAGGACCCACGCGACTTTCCCATGTATCTATAAAGCACATGGCGGCACGAGGCATCCTTGACCACCGCAGTGACGAGTCTCACCATGCCGACCAAGGAAGACGAAGCAGCCGCCACGGCCGATGATGTTTCGACACCAGGCCCGCTGCTAGTCTTGCCGCTCGGTGCGCACAGTCTGATGATGTTACCATACCTCGACTTCAAGTTGACGATGCCATGAACAGGAGCGCCATGCTCTGGCAAGTCCACGCTCTGCGTCGCGTTGGCAAAGCGTTACGACATCGGCCACTTCCCCCTCGGCTCCAAACTAGACCCCCCCCATGAGCCATGAGCCCGCTGACCACGCTGCCAGACTCAAGATTCTCTTCTCCGCCTCGGAGCTCGAGACTTTGCGGGGTAATACACATGCAGGACACGTCTGACGCCCAGGTACGTCTAAGAGCGCATCTTCGACACCGGCTGTGACCCCGAGAGCGTGCGTATACTGATCGATGGCTTCCCGTGAGATGCTCAGCGCTGGCTACGGTTCAAGGAGCTCGCACGGTTCAAGGAGCTCGCACGGTTCAAGGAGTTCGCACGGTTCAAGGAGCTCGCAGGGCCGTACTAGGTGCCCGGCGAGAGGAGCCTACTGATCGTGCCGGAGGTGGACGACGTGGTGGCGCTGGAGCGGTTCACGAAGAGAGGCAGGCCTGGAGATGTATTCCCCAAGAGGCTCCGAAGGTATACCGAGATGATGACTGAGATGGAGAGAAGAGATGGTCGAACGGTGCTCGGAATGGGCAAGGAGAGAGGGGACCTGGAGACTGCTGTGGAGAGTCTGGCGGAGCTGCTGAGGCAAGAGAATCAAGGAAATGGTACACGGATGACTAGTTCGTAAAATACACAACAACTGATATGCGTTTTAGTGTAGACGTGATTGGCGGATGATGGTCGTGGATCGCGTGTGGAGAAGCCCGAGGCAAAGTCAGGGTCCAGTTCAGCCCTACGAATATTTCGCTGACATCCCACTTCAACCCCGCGACGCGCCGAACAACGCCGCCAACAAAATGGAGGAAGACCGCGTAGCCACCAACCTCGGCCCCGAAGTGGACGCGGGGATTGTCGAGGAACCAGCCGTCGTGCCAAAGCAGCCCAGGAGGAGATTCGTAGGGCGAAGAGCAGTCGAGAAGAGCGGCGAGGCGTCCGCAGACGCCAATGCGAACATCGAGGACTCGAGCGCAATCCAAGGTGTGAGGCGCCCTTTGAACAGACACGCACGGTCGCATGGCTAACATGCAGTGTAGTTGCGCAGCCTCGCCGCACTGCGCGAGCCCTGAACGCGATTCCAGACGACATCCTGCACGACAAGGACATCAACGATGCCATTGCGCTGCTCCCGCCAAACTACAGCTTCGAGATTCACAAATGCATCCACCGCATACGCACATTGGGCGCAAAGTCGATAGCGCTGCAGTTCCCCGAGGGCCTGCTGCTGTTCGCGACGACGATATCAGACATCCTCACACAGTTCTGCCCGGGCACGACGACGCTGATCATGGGTGACGTGACGTACGGGGCATGCTGTATCGATGACTACACTGCACGAGCACTCGGGTGCGACCTGTTGATCCACTACGCGCACAGCTGCCTGATTCCCGTAGCCGTGACCAAGATGGCGACGCTGTACGTCTTCGTCTCGATCAGCATCGACACGACGCACCTCATCAACACCATCACCTCCAACTTCCCGACCGGAAAGAGCATCGCGCTAGTCGGGACGATCCAGTTCAACGCCACAATACACGGCATCGTGCCCCTGCTGCGGCGCGAAGGATACACCGCAATCGTCCCACAAATCGCACCGTTGTCCAAAGGCGAGATTCTAGGCTGCACATCGCCGTCGATGGCGATCAAGCCCGGGCAGCTGAACGCCAGGGGCAGAGAGGAGCAAGTCGCCGAGCTAATCCTGTACCTGGGCGACGGCCGCTTCCACCTCGAGAGCGCCATGATCGCCAACCCCTCCTTGCCCGCGTACAGATACGATCCGTACTCGCGGCGGCTCACGCACGAGACGTACGAGCACGACGCGCTGTACTCTCTCCGCCGGACTGCGATCCTCACAGCGCGGAGAGCGCGCAAATGGGGCATCATACTAGGCTCCCTGGGAAGGCAGGGTAATCCGCACACGCTCTCGCTGATTGCAAACGCGCTGTCGAAACAAGGCATCCCGGTCGTCAATATCCTGCTGTCGGAGATTTTCCCGGGGAAACTCGCGCTGATGCCGGATGTGGATGCGTGGGTGCAGATTGCGTGTCCGCGACTGAGTATCGACTGGGGGTATGCGTTTGCGAAGCCGCTGCTGAGTCCGTATGAGGCGCTTGTTGCGCTGGGTGTGCGGGATGCGCCGTGGTTGGACGGGGATGAGCGGGAGGGGGGGAGTGTGTATCCGATGGATTTTTACGCCAAGGAGGGGTTGGGAAGGACGACTGTTGAGGATGTTGGGAAGGGCGGGTGTTGAGGACGTTGGAAGGGCGGGTGTTGAGGGTGTTGAGGATGTTGGGAAGGACGAGTGTTGATGTGGAAAAGGACGGGTGCTGAGGATTGGAGCGTGAGCGACGTGTATGGATTCATCTCTGCGAGGACGATATATGCAAAGACTCCAGCTTAAAAGCGTCTCTCTCGTCACTCCAGGACAGGGCTCGTCGGTATGCGATCATCGACCTCGGGCCTCCACTCATCATCGTCATCGTCGTCGTCGTCACTTTTCTCCCCCCCGCTCGCATCGTCGTGATCCCCCCCGCTCGCATCGTCGCGATCCCGTCCGCCCGCCGCTTCGGCATCCAGGTCCGGATCCGTCTTCTCGCCAAAAGCACTCTCCTCCAAAAACACCCGCCCCCTAAGCTCGTCAGGCAGATAGTCCTGGCGCACCCTGCCGCCCACAAAGTCAGGGTTGTACTTGTACCCCACGCCATAGCCCAGGTCGGCCATCAGCCTCGTCGGCGCATTGCGCAGATGCATCGGGATGGCCAGGGCAGCGGCACCAGGCTCCTCCAGCGCGGCGGTGGCGGCGTGCAGGGCGCGGTAGGCGCGCGTGCTCTTGCGACTCAGACTCAGCGCGACGACGCAGTGGGCGAGGGGGATGCGGCACTCGGGCATGCCGATGCGGTCGCATGCGTCGTAGCAGGCCGTGGCGAGGGGCAGCATGGCGTTGTCTGCGAGCCCGACGTCTTCCGAGGCGACGACGACGAGGCGCCGCGCGATGAAGCGCGGGTCCTCGCCCGACTGCAGCATGCGCACGAGGTAGTACAGGGCGGCGTCTGGGTCGGAGCCGCGGATCGACTTGTGCAGGGCCGAGACGGCGTCGTAGTGCTGGTCGCCCGCGCGGTCGTAGACGAGCGTCTTGCTGAGGCTCTGCTGCAGCTTCTCCCGCGTCATGGCCGGGTCCTGGCCGAGGCTGATGGCCAGCTCGAGCAGGTTCAGGGCGGTCCGGGCGTCGCCGTCGGCGAAGCGGGCGAAGCGGGCCAGCATAGAGGCGTCGAGCAGCGGCGACGCCGGGCGCGTCGTGGCCAGGGCGCGCTGCAGGATGCGGACCAGCTCGGGCTCGCGCAGGCCGTCGAGGGTAAAGGTGCGGCAGCGGCTGAGCAGGGCCGCGATGATCTTGAACGACGGGTTCTCCGTCGTCGCGGCGATGAGCGTAATGGTGCCGCTCTCGACGGGGCCGAGGAACGCGTCCTGCTGCGTCTTGGAGAAGCGGTGCAGCTCGTCGCAGAACACAATGGTCCGACGGCCCGTCCGGTGCAGGTCGCGCGCCGCCTCGCCGAAGATGGCGCGCACCTGGTCCAGCCGCGTGCTCGTGCTGTTGATCTCGACGAAGCGCGCGCCGGACGTGTTGGCCATGAGACGGGCAATGGTCGTCTTGCCTGTGCCGGGGCGCCCCCAGAGCACCATCGACGGCACCCGCCCGGCCTCGACCATGGCGCGCAGGACGCCGCCGGGCCCGACCAGATGCTGCCCGCAGACGTCGTCGAGCGAGGTCGGGCGCATGCGCTCGGCCAGCGGCATGGCGTCTTCGACCGCCTTTAGCCGGCGCTGTCGCTTCGCCGCAGCCGGCGCCTCGCCATTGTCGTCGCCCTCGCGCGACCGTTTCGGCCGCGTCGGCGGCGGCGGGGTCGATGGCGGCGGGGTCGATGGCGACGGCGAACGCGACCGCGACGGCGGTTTCGGGCGCTGGGTGGCGGCGAAGAAGCTGTGCGTCTTCAGCGGGGCGACGTCGGCGACGAAGCTGTGCGTCTTCAGCGGGGCGGCGTCGGCGACGAGGCTGTGTGTCGCGGCCGGCGCGGCGTCGGCGAGGTGGTCATTGCAGGCGCTGTCGAGGTGCTCGTTGATTTTGCTGTCGACGACGGGCTTCTGGCAGATGGGGCAGTCGAGCATTTCGTCGCCGGCGAGAGGTGCGAGGCGCGTCGCGGAGAATGGCGCGCGCCTCGGCTGTGGCTGCGCAACGACCGGTACCGGTAGCTCCGACGTCGCAGCCCACCGCGCAGTGACTCCAGCGCTCCCCGGCCCCGGCCAGCGCAAACGGCCCACGGACATGAGGGGCATCGCGACGGCTGCCTCCCAACACTCGCCCGCGTCCGCCTCCCGACTCGCGCCCGCGTCCGCCCCTCGACTTGCCCTCGCGTCCGCCTCTCGACTTGCGCCCGTGTCTGTCTCTCGACTCGCGCCCGTGTCTGTCTCTCGACTTGCGCCCGTGTCTGCCTCCCGACTCTCGCCCGCGTCCGCGTCCCGACTCGCGCCCGCGTCCACCTCTCGACTTGCGCCCGCCTCCCGACTTGCGCGCGCCATGTCCGCAGCCGCCCGCCGCGACGACCCCTTCCGCCCCGCGGCGCGCGTCGCCCGCCAGAAGCAGGATGTGTGGTCCATGGTCAACGAGGCCGCCGCCGCCTCGCCGGTCAAGCCGATTGTCAACATGGGCCAGGGCTTCTTCGGCTACAACCCGCCGCAGTTTGTCCTCGACGCCGCCAAAGCCGCGCTCGACCAGGTCGACTGCAACCAGTACGCGCCGACGCGCGGCCGCCCGCGGCTGAAAAAGGCCATCGCCGCCGCCTACTCGCCCTTTTTCGGCCGCGAGCTGGACCCGGACAGCGAGGTGACGGTGACGACGGGCGCAAACGAGGGCATGCTGAGCGCCTTCATGGCCTTTCTCGAAAAGGACGACGAGGTCATCGTCTTCGAGCCCTTTTTCGACCAGTACATCTCCAACATTGAGATGCCCGGCGGCCGCGTCGTCTACGTGCCCATGCGCCCGCCCCCGCACGGCGCCACCAAGACCACCTCGGCGGCCGAGTGGTCGCTCGACGTGGCCGAGCTGGCCGCCGCCATCACCCCGCGCACGCGCATGGTGGTCCTCAACTCGCCGCACAACCCCATTGGCAAGGTCTTCAGCAAGGACGAGCTGACCGCCATTGCGCGTCTCTGCGTGCAGCACAACATCATCATCCTCAGCGACGAGGTCTACGACCGCCTGTACTACGTGCCCTTTACCCGCGTCGCCACCCTCTCCCCGGAGATTGCCCGGCTGACGCTCACCGTCGGCTCCGGCGGCAAGAACTTTTACGCCACGGGCTGGCGCGTCGGCTGGCTGATTGGGCCGGACCACCTGATCAAGTACGTCGCGGCCGCGCACACGCGCATCTGCTACTCGTCCGTGTCGCCGCTGCAGGAAGCAACCGCCGTCGGCTTCGAGCAGGCCGACGCCCACGACTTCTGGGCCGAGAGCAAGCGCGAGACAAAGGCCAAGATGGACAAGTTCACCGCCGTGTTCCGCGAGCTGGACCTGCCCTACTCGGACCCGGAGGGCGGCTACTTTGTGCTGGTCAACATGGCCAAGGTCAAGCTCCCGGACGACTACGACTTCCCGCCCCACGTCGCCGAGCGCCCGCGCGACTTCAAACTCGCCTGGTTCCTGATCATGGAGCTCGGCGTTGCTGCCATCCCGCCGACCGAGTTCTTCACCCCGGACAACGCGCACATGGTCGAGGACTGGCTGCGCTTCGCCGTGTGCAAGAATGACGACGTGCTCGACACCGCCATGGAGCGGCTGCGGGGGTTGAAAAAGTACATTTACGAATGAATGCATACGAGTCCGGTTCACGAATGAATGCACACGAGTCCGATCCACGAATGAATGCATACGAGTCCGATCCACGAGTGAATGCACACAGGGCTGATCTGTCCCCCATGAATGAATGCACACAGGGCCGATCCCCATGAATGAATGCACACAGGGTCGATCCCCATGAATGCACACAGGGTCGATCCCCATGAATGCACACAGGGTCGATCCCCATGAATGCACACAGGGTCGATCCCCATGAATGCACACAGGGCCGATCCACCCCACATTCGCACTTTTCATTACTTGCGTTGCGAATCGATCCATTCATACCAGCTCACGCCATGCGCGACCGTCTAAAGCTGCCTGAGCGAGTTACCCGGCAGCATGTCTAACCAACCAATCATCCTGTCTTAAAATCCCACCGACGCCGACCAACCTTCTTTTTTCGTAATTCATGCGAGGCGTTTCATCCGCTCGTAAAAAGTAGTGAGAATCGGATGCACTCGACACCTTGGCCGTCCGTCATCCACCAACCCGTCTAGTACTCACTCATCCACCAACCCGTCGAGTCCTCACTCATCCGCCAACCCGTCGAGAACTCACTCATCCGCCAACCCGTCGAGAACTCACTCCCGTCTAAAACTCACCCGCCAACCCGTCTAGTAGTCGTTCTGGTTATGCAGGCTGATATCCTGACTACTCCCATTCGACACCTTGGCGTGCCCATCCCCCTCGCCGCCATCGAGATTCGACAAATCATTCGCAGTCCCCTTCTGCACCCCATTGGCGCTCTCAGGGTGCGGCTCAGGACTGCCACTCTCACCAGACGGGATGACGTTGCCGTGCTGATCGACCTCGACGCCCTTGGCCGCCATGCGAACCTGCTGCGGGTCCGCCGTGCCGTGCAGCACAGCCGCGCGCGCGCTGTCCAGCGCCTTGGCCTGCTTCCGCTCGCCGCGGATGCGGTCAATGTGCGCAAAGTAGCCCGCGTCCACGGGCGTCACGTACTTGCCGCAGAAGACGCCCACCTCAAAGGTTTGTGTCTGCCGCGGTGAGAGCGATGCGCACGCCCGCGTGAGGTCCTCCAACGTCTGGAAAATGACGCCGTCCGCGCCAATGTGGTCGGCAATCGCTGCCGCGTCGCGCTGGTGCGCGATCAGCTCTGACGACGACGCGAGGTCAATGCCGTAGATGTGTGCGTTGGTGATGGGCGGCGCGCACGACGCAAAGTACACCTTGGTAGCGCCGGCCTCGCGCGCCATGAGGACGATCTCGCGAGACGTCGTGCCGCGGACAATCGAGTCGTCGACCAGGAGCACGCTCTTGCCTTTGAACTTCTGCACCATCGGGTTGAGCTTGGCGCGCACGCCCTTCTGGCGCAGCTTCTGGTTCGGCATGATGAAGGTGCGGAAAATGTACCTGTTCTTGACGAACCCGGCGACGTACGGCTTGCCCAGTGCCTCCGCAACGCAGACGGTCGATGTGATGCTGGTCTCTGGGATAGGCATGACGACATCGATCTCGTCGAGCACCTTTTGACCCAGCTGCTTCTTGACCGTCTCGGCGAGCGTGTAGCCCATGTTGCGTCGACTCTCGTCGACGTCGATGCCGTCAATGACCGAGTCGGGCCGGGCAAAGTACACGTACTCGAATATGTCGGGGGTGTACGACTCCTGCTTCGCCACCTGCCGGAAGACTGGCTCCTTGCCCTTCTCCAGGATGACGGCCTGACCGGGCAGAATGTCCTGGAATGTCTTGTACCCGTTTTGTACCAGAGCGACGCTCTCCGATGCCATCATGTAGTCGAAGCCGTGGCCCGTGTCAGACGGGCGTGAACCGAGCACCATGGGGCGAATGCCGTAGGGGTCGCGGAAGCCAATCAGTCCGAAACCAGCAAGCATGGCGGTGCAGGCCCAGCCACCGACGCACAGCTTGTACATGCGCTCCAAGGCCGCGAAACAGTCGTTGGCGTTGATACGGGCCTTGCCAGTCTCGTTGAGCTCGTCGGCGAAGATGTTCAGCATGAGCTCGCTGTCACTCTCTGTGTTGATGTGTCGGTGAGCTTGCTCGTCGAGCCGCTGGCGGAGGGCGGGCGCGTTGATGAGGTTGCCGTTGTGCGTCATGCAGATGCCGTACGGGCTGTTCACGTAGAACGGCTGAGCTTCCGAGTTGGCACTGCTGCCAGCGGTGGGGTACCGAAGGTGACCCAGGCCCATGTATCCAGGCAGGTCGGCGACGCGGGCACCGTCCTGGAACACCTTGGACGCCATGCCGTTTCCCTTGCACTGGTGAAATCGTCCTCCCGAACTGCAGCTCACAATACCAGCAGCATCCTGCCCACGGTGCTGGAGCAGATATAGGGCATCATGGATCTCTACGGATGCCGACGAGGATTTGGGGTCACCGTGAATGACGGCAATGATTCCACACATGGTGAAGTTTGTTTAGTATTAGTTATTGGTGAAGAGGATCTGGAAAACGCGTCAGTTTTGCTTCCTTCGGAAAAACGGATCTTGAATAGTGGGGGTGTGGTATCAATCAGAAAGTCATTGTGCGCTCATTCGAATGTCGCAAGTCTAACATCTAAAAATTTGACAGGTTCATCATGTAAGATAATATTGCGTGCGTAAAACATGACGCTGGAGGTGTTCACGCTACTCACCAGGTAAGGTCTGCGCGCGAGCGCAACGCGTTCAAGTGTAGTGAAAGTCGACACTGGGAGCTCGACCAGCGGCCTGATTTGCGCAACGTGCACAAACTCGAGTCGCGTGGTGAAGAGGCGTGGATGTCCTCGGCAGGTGCTGAGCGGTTACTGCGTACGGAGACATTTTGTGAAAGAGGAGCTCGTGGGGAGCAGAATTTTTGGTTAAAAGGGAAGTCGCGGCCTGTATCGGAGGCTTGGCGCGCAATGACCCGCATCTCCGCAATTGGGAAGCTTTCACGATTCCACAGACTCGTTCGATCATGGACGCACCAACAAGGGGTCGCTGTGACTCCTCCCTAGCGATGCAATCTCAGAGAGTGGTCCAGGTGAAGCCACGCTCATATGTTGGGGTGATCAGCTAGGTACCACCTCGCCTTGGTCGATCTCACCAGTTTGCCTGACGTTGAAAAAGTGGCTCAACGTTGTCGTGAGGCTGCGATTTCCCTTTCGGCGGTAGTGCTAGTGCGGAACCACCTCCGCTGGCTGTTGCCTCCTACAAACTCCGACTGATACAACAAACACAACGCGTCAGTATCTGGCACCACTTGGAACCAATACAATCCATCATTTGCACTGCACATTGAGTCTGAGCATGCTCATTGACAATGATTGGACGCCTGCAGAGCGCCTGCACAAGTGGGTCCAACACTCGACCCCAAGATGACGATGCGGATAGCAACGTACCCTCGGAGTGCGGCACATTCTCATCGACCAATGCATCGACACCTCATACGTCAAACACCTCGTCAACAGAACAGGGCACTTTCGATGGTTTGACACACTACATCGCATTAGGCTGTCTTCATCTAGAACATGATGTCTCTGCACCTTCTGACTCAACTTCCAACCCCGATTTTCCTTGGGACGAACTCTTCCATTCGCAGTTGCTAGAAGAAGTCAAGCTGATCATTGGTGTGCAAACGTCTCAACTGCTAGATGCGCGATGGATCCGGCTTTTCCTGTATCGCTCTGCACCCAACAGACTGCGCAGTGTTGCTCGGGTCTATCTGCTGCCTGAAGATTGGAGTCGCCGTTCGATAAGCCGCAGCAGTGGCACCTTGAGAAAAGCGCTTCGCCAGTTGCTTGACCGGATCGATGTGTCGCCCAATGCATGGGCTGGCGATGTTGCGGATGCCCAGGTACAAGCATTCGACCCCTGGGCCGGTCGATTGGACACTTCACTATACTACCTGTTCAACAAACTTCCTTCGCCAGCGCCAAACCCAGCCAACATCAGAGATCGCTATACTAGGCGAGCAGCCTTTGATCTTTTGGGGTCAGCGCAAGCTTCGGAGTGGGAAGATGACGGGCAGCAGCCACTCAAGGGGTTGAGGACGAGGCTTTATCCCTACCAAGCAAGGTCGGCAAGCCTCATGATTGAGCGCGAGGCGGCACCTCAACTCCAACTTGACCCGCGATTGGAGACACGCACGTCACCGAATGGCGAAAAGTTCCTGTACTGTGCGCGGGATGGCTCCTTTCTGCAAGAGCCGAGATTCTACGAGGCCAATCGTGGTGGAATATTAGCGGAGAGCATGGGTCTAGGCAAGACGATCGTTTGCCTCGCAGTCATACTTGCCAGCCAGGGCCACCAGCCCCGAATACCCGAGCTCTACCGACGCCCCTTGCCCATTCGTTCTCGTGTGGGCTCGTTGAAGGACATGGCAGCTAGTGTCCCTGCGCGATACGCCATTCCTGCCAAAGTATGTCTGGAAGAGACGGCAGAGGTCGCTGATGTGAACCTCCCTCGACTGAAGGCTGTGCTCGATGAGAACGTGCCATTCTATGAGATACCATCCGAAGTGCCTCGTATGAACCGCACGACTCGGATACCACCAGCTCGGCAGTATGTCATGTGCTCTGGCACCATACTCGTGGTGCCCAAGAACTTGCTCCACCAGTGGCAGTCCGAGATCAGGAAGCATCTCCTGCCACAGGCGCTGAAGATTCTCGTCGTTGACACAGTGTCTAAACGCGGTAGAGCAAAGACAACACCAGCCGAGCACACGGATTTAGATTTCACGAGTGAGCTACCAGCACCCACAGAGCTTATGAGATACGATGTGGTGCTCTTCACGCGCAATCGGTTCGAGCAAGAGATTCAAGACGGCGCAGACAGACAAGGTCGACGTAATGTAGCCGGCGTATCGCGTACCTGTATTTGCTCGTATATTGGCGCGACTCGCATCCCAGACTGCAACTGTTTTGGAAGCGGCATTGTGTATGAATCGCCTCTCTTGAAGCTTCATTGGTTGCGCATCATCATCGACGAAGGGCACAATTTCTCGTCGGCAAGCTCGAACGCGGTCCTGGTTGCAAAGCGAATCCAAGCTGAAAGACGATGGGTCGTTTCGGGCACGCCTGCAAAGGACCTTGTGGGCGTGGAAGTGGACATGTCGACGCTGGAGACCGAAAATGGAGACCCATCTTTGCTCCGTGAGTCAGTGATTGAGCAGCGCAAGATCTTCAATCTCGCAGACGAGTCGAAGGCCGTGAAAGCACTGGGCTCGCTCGCATCTCACTACCTGATGGTCCAACCTTGGTGTGCCTCGAGCGTCGAAGGCGGTCTTGATTGGGACGAATATGTCTATCGACACGAGCATTCATATCGGAAGACTTACTCGGGTTTCTCGACCTGCTTCGAACGGACCCTGCAAGGACTGGTGGTAAAGACAAGGCCGGAAGATGTCGAAAAGGATATCGTGCTACCACCTCTGAAGCACAACGTTGTCTATCTCCAGCCTTGCTGGTATGACAAGATGACAGCGAACCTGTTCATCCAGGTTCTTCGCGCTAACGCAATCACATCTGAACGGTCTGACGTCGATTACCTTTTCCACCCGAACAATGTCAAGGCAAAACATAGTCTGATTCGCAACTTGCGCCAATCGAACTTTACATGGACAGGTTTCAGCGTCGAGAATGTGGTAAGTACCCTCGAAACAAGCGCCAAGTACCTCTCAAGGGATGATAAGAAATGTACTGTCGAAGATTCACAATCTCTGCTCGAAAGCAGTCAAGCGGTAGCAGAGCTACCAGCAACTGTTGACTGGGTGGCTTTGAGCACTGCACATGAGGTTGGCGTTGCGGTCGAAGCCTGGCCAGCAGCATCTGAGGCAAGTTTTGCTTTTTCTTACCCCGACAAACCGACATTGATCGGCATGACTCAGCTGCTTGAAGGACAGCTGCATGTTGACAGTCACATCAAGTCCGACGTTACTTCTAGCAGTCTAGAGTCTGTCGGTAAAGCTTGCAAAGCCAAGATTGCTGCCATGGCCGAAGCGGAGCTCAAAGTCAGACATCCTAGCAACGATGCGTCTAATGACATTGAATCGACTCCCAAGAAGCCTGGCATACCCCAAGGGCTCACTGAAAATTCTCAGCCCTTGAACAGTCGACGAGCGTCTATACTTGCTAGCAAGACATCGCCCAATAAGCAGGGTAAGACCGAGCCTACAGGTACTCCAGAACCAACTACACCATTGCCGGCTCGACCGAGAAAGCGGAAACTTACTCACGACGACGAAACCGCGATCCTTCCTGACAATTCTCCATTGCTCGACACTCGCATCATTGCCACCACTTCGGCCAAACTCACATACGTCGTTGATAGAGTGGTTGAGCACCAGGACACCAAAAAGATCATCATCTTTTACGACGGAGACAACGCCGCGTTCTACATTGCACAAAGCCTTGAAGCCCTCTACGTCAATCACCGAATCTATGCACGACAGATCGACAATGAGAAGCGCTCAGAATATGTCAAGCTTTTCAACGAGGATGACTCGGTCAGGGTGCTGCTCATCGATGTCGCTTGCGGCGCGCTTGGTCTCAATCTGAATGCAGCCAGTATCATCCTCATCGTCAACCCGATCAACCGCCCGGGCCTGGAAGCCCAAGCTATCAAACGTGCCCACCGAATTGGCCAGACGAAGGAAGTCCTGGTCGAGACACTGGTACTCAAAGACACTATTGAGCATGCCATCTTCGAACGAGCAAAGAAGATGAGTCGCGCCCAACACTCCGAGGCCAAGGAGCTGGAGGACGATGCTGGTATCACTGAAATCATTCAGAACGCGCAGGTTTTGCCCGTGTCAAGTCACGAACAGGGCCTGGCGAAATTCGCATTGTTGAAGCTTCCACAGCAACTCTTCGGTCGACCCAATCGAGACAAGTATCACCGTATTCAGGTGAAGGATACGCCAGAGAAGGCTAGAAAGAGGCCGAAAGTCACTGTGAAAGGCTTGAACAGCACAACGCCCTCGAAGGGGAGTAAGGCGAGTACGCCGATCGTAATTGATGATGTTCCAGGAACAGGCTCGTGACAGGCAGGCTTACACCGGACCTTTGAGCGACTGGAGGAGCATATTTGAGCATGTTTCGAGCGAGTTGAGCGTCAGTATATAAGACCCAGCACTTCCACCGTCAATACCACTTCGGCGTTCACACTATGTCCGACCACCTACGTCATTTCCAACATCGATGAACACCTCCCTCTTCCACTGCCCTGTTCCAATCCCGTCCTCCGTCCGATAGAGCACCATTCGATCACACGGGAAACACATCGCAAGCCATCTGTAGCCAGACGCCCGCCTTCCCAGTTTACACATTTGTTTCTTAGGCTATACCGCTTTGCTTCGGAACCCCGACGACTAGAGCTCGCCAAGGTCGTCGCTATCACTGGGCATAAGAAATGGCAGACAAGCTTGGTGTTCGGGTTGACGGTATCGCTAGCGCCACGCGAGCCAAGTGCCATGGTCGGCATGCGCGAAGACAGCAGTTCTGCGGTGGCAGCGTGAGACTTCCACGAGGCGTTCTCAAGCCGTCGATAAGGCAAGCAATATTCTGCCACACAATTACTCTACGGATGCTCAGTTCTAAACGATATCGATTCCGAACATTTTGAGGTCAACAGCGGAGTGGTAAATGTGGAGGCGGGGAAGCCAAGAAGTCCTCCGCCCAAGCCACCACTGCCAAGCAGGTCGCGGACTCGTCATCGGCCAAGCATCCACGGTAGGGCTTACACTTCTCCGCTTCCATGTCTGCTACGAGAAACCCAAGACCGACATGACGGCACCAGGTCTAGCTGCAATCGGAAGGTGATCCTGAGGATAGTCAGGTACTTCGCGAACCTCGAGTATTTATACCAGCCGTGAAAGAGCGATAATGTCGATCAGTCGCAGTTGCATCTCTCCTCACTCCTCAAAGGAAGACAGTCAGGATGGTTCAGCTGCTTTCCCTCGCCGCTTTTTGCTCATCCCTTGTGGGATTGAGCAGTGCTGCTGCTCTTGGCACTGCCGAGGAGTACGCCGATGGATCTGTGCATGCCCGCATCATGGGTATGAAGATGGTACAACTGCTGGTATATGGAGGTGATCATAGCTAACATGCTCAGGCTGAGTGGGATGCTGAACTCGCCTCTGGCGCTATGGATAGCTCGCAGTACCCCGAGTTAGGACACACTGCTTGCAAGGACGGTTTTGCGGCCGCCATTCCCGGAGACCAGAACAACACCTTCAAGTGCAATAATGTGAGTATGTAGCCCTTACTCGGTGGGTCTAGGCTAACACTGTCAGATCGACCTGTACCACTTCCTGCCTCACGCGCAGCTCGGCAGTGTAGGTCAGGGCTCGTCCTCCTGGGGTTGGACCTCCGAGGATGGACGCGAGTTTGTGGCCATCGGCCAGTTTGACGGTACTGCATTCGCCGAGATTTCCAGCGAAGGCAAGCTCGTCTACCTTGGCCGCCTTCCCCCGTACGATCCTGTGGGCTCTCGATGGCGCGAGATCCGCATTCTCCGCGACTACGCGGTCATCGGCTCCGAGGCCATCAACTCGGGCGTTCAGATCTTCGACATGAAGAAGATTCTGGACCTCGACCCTGCCAACCCTCACAACTTCACCAATGACGACCTCACCGGCTACTGGAATGAGCTCCCCGTCGGCCGAACGCACAACATCGTCGTCAACCAGGAGCTCAACTACGCCATGGCCGTTGGTTCTGTCGGTGGCAACGAGACTATTCGTGTCCGCGGCGACCTGCCCTGCCGCGGTGGTCTCATCTTCCTGAACATGACTGATCCCAGTGCTCCATTCTCGCCTGGCTGCGCGGCTGGCGACGGTTACGTGCACGACGCCGAGTGTCTCGTATACCGGGGCCCTGACAAGCGCTACTACGGGCGTGACATCTGCTACGGCTACAACGAGGACACGCTGACCATCTACGACGTAACCAACAAGTCCGGCAACGTCACAAACATCATCTCCATCACCTCATATCCTGGCGCCGAGTACGTGCACCAGGGCGTCGTCAACAACGAGCAGTGGCAGGAGTACATATTCCTCGACGACGAGTTTGACGAGCGCGACGCAAAGGTCGGACCCATGACCCAGGGCCTGCCCACGACGCATATATTCGATATCCGCGACCTCGAGAACCCGCACTACAGTGGCAACTTCGAGGGCAAGCGCCGCGCCATCGACCACAACCAGTACGTCGTAGACGGCTTCCTGTACCAAAGCAACTACGGCGCGGGCCTGACCGTGTACGACATTGGCTCCATCACCACGGACCCCTCTGGCGACTCGGTCTGCGAGGCGGGATTCTTCGATATCCATCCTGAGGATGATGAGCTCGAGGGCGGCGGTACGGTCGCGTTCCTCGGCTCCTGGAGCAGCTACGCCTACTTCAAGTCTGGTTTTATTTTCGTCCACACGATCGAGCGCGGCTCCTTCGTCGTCAAGATGACGTCCAAAGCGTGCCCGAAGCCTGCTGTGTGCAAGTCGGACAAGTGCCTGAGTAGCTTGAGGGCGAGCAGCATCGAGGGCCGGCTGGAGCAGAGCGTTGAGTTCTGCGACAGCTATCTGAGGCGGTTGAATGATGGTGCGCAGGGAATTCCGGATTATGCACGCCAGGGCTGTGGTGGAAACGCGACGGAGGCTGTGGTTGCGAGGGTCAGCAGTGCGTGTGCGTGTGTGCCGACCGTGGCGGTGCCGGAGCTGCCGCGGACGACAAGCAGGCCGCCTGTGCCTACTGTGCTGCCGCCGAGGCGAGTTTAGAGAGAAAAACTCATAGTCTTGTTGCGGCGATGGCCGGCAGAGTCGGTGATGCCGTTTACAAATACCACAAGTTCGTGCAAGGAAACGTCTCCATCATCACACCAGCTCAAATCTGATAAAACCTGCTCCTGACTGCCAAACCATCTCACATAGCCACAGCCGCCAGACAGACATACTTATCCCCCCTCTTTACCGCCGCCCCGACCCACCTTCATCCTTCAAAATGCATGGCACGCCGCCACTCCTGGATCTACCAGTAGAGCTACATCTTGAGATTGTCTCGTATCTTCAGATTGCAGACACACCAGCATTCATGAACTAATGAGTAAATACTCTTCCGTCGGTGAAAACCAAGTGTTTTGACGAAGCATACACTGCACATATGCTCGTCTTCTCCACGCACCATCTCGTATTTTTTACCCCACGACATCGCGAACACCACACCCGTTGGTTAAGGTCAGTGGTGACTCTTTTCTCAGGGTTATAATAGCCGTTAACACCATGAAAACTGCAGCCCGCATAAAACCGCCCATGTCGAGATTGGACACCATGGGGGGTACGCTTTCAGTTGATTTTCGGTGGACAGAGACTCGCCACGGAGGGGTAGGCAGCGACGACAGAACAGCCAGCCGCGTCGTCGTGCGAAGTCGGTTTCTTCCATCTGCAGGAGAGCAATGGGATTGTGGGTGTGGGATGGCGTTGTGGAAGTAGTGATTTATCAGCCGTAGATAGAACGTGGAAGCATCCTTGTCAGGTCTGAAGTACGAAATTATCTGCAGATGGATCTCTGCAGGTCATAATATTAATGGTGCATGACGCTGTGAAGCTCTCACTTCTCTAAAACGAGAAGATACACAAGTAGGGCGAGGTTAAAACAGTGAAGACGAAAGTGAACTTTTGCTGGGAAGCCTGTATAGATGTTGGCTTCTAAAAGGCTCTGGAACTGCCATCAAGAGTTCGCTGTCAGGTCGTTGTAGTAATGAATCGTCTGGTCCGCACACCCAGCCGGAGTCTGGTACAGATAGTTGCCCAAGTTGATGTACAGCTGCTGTCCAGTGCACACATACCAGGCCGCAGAGTTCGGTCTCGTTAGACTCGCAACATTCCACGTCAGCCCGTCACCTTGCCACGCAAATTGACCGTAAGTGTTCTTCGCAGTCGAGAATGTGACAGACAGCGAGTTGTCGTTGATGTACCTCGTCTCCGATACAACGGCATAAAGAACCTGTACGGCTGCACCAGGCGCGGAGACTAGCTGAACGAGTTGCCCATCGACGACCTGAAATTGACCTGCCGTGGTGTAGTCATCGAGCAGAGCAGTACCGGTTGCGTACATGGGCTTCGTTTGCATGTATTTGTGGAAATTTGGCTCTGCTACAGCTATTGTCAGATCGAATCACAAGACAAAGAGAATTCATCATAAGCGATAGACTGGGACGACGTACCAACGGCGCGGATCCAGTAGTAACCACTCTGAAGAGTGGTGCCAGGACCAGACCCAGCGGGTGTGCCAGTCGCAGCAGGCGCGCTGGAAATTGCTGCGGTACTGGTCCCTACAGCAGTCGTTGTGAGCTTGGTTGATGTGAGCAGGGTGGTGACGACTGCTCCAGGTTGGCATTGCGAGTAGTAGTCACTGCTCGGTATTAGAAAAGATTTACTAAATGTCGAAACCTCTGTTGGCTTACTTGAGCTTCACGCAGCCAGAGCTTGCTGCACACGAAGTCTCTCCGCTCCAGTTGATCCCACCACCTTGGTGCTGTCAGAAATAATACGGAATGGTCCGGTGGGGAACCAACACTGCTGCCAATCTCCTACGACTGCATAAGCTGAGCCTGCCAGAAGCGCAACACTGTTGGCACTGCTAAAACGCATCTTGTGATGGAGCTTGGGATTGATAGATACGATGTTTAAACGGTGGTTTTCTGAATTCTACCTCGCACCTTCTGAACCTATCTTATACCACCGTGTCGTACACGTTATGCTCCTAGCTCTGGGTACTGTGCCGTCGGACCGCGCCAGCCGTGTAAAGTAATTGCACTGTACTAAGCGAAAGGCTGTGAATTGAGGCCACATGATAGGGAGAACAAGGCTTGATTAGACTTGTCCAGAATAAGCTCTCCGCCGTGCACCTGAGCTGAGCTTGACATGCACCGTGGAAGTTGGACCCGCAACTGAGGTTGTTTGACTTGGACAGCACGACCTTATCAGTGCTGAATACATCTCCGCCTGTGAGAGTCGGTACATCCCAGAAGATCACTTGTTACCGTTGCAGCAATAGTCAGTCGATTAACTTGAGTCACCGGGCAGCAGCCAATAGCGTTGTACGATGGGACAGAGGTGACTGGTGAGAGTCGAGTTCGTGGGGAAAAGGGCCTGGCCAGAATGAGTTAGCGTCTTTCTTATCGATTAACTTTTCCACTTCGACGCCACCGCGGCGCACACCACACGATCTCGAGAGGCCTCTCCATGTGCACACGATTGACTGAACTATCCTCTGCAAGATAAAGGAGCTTTGAAAGAACCAAAAAAAATCTCGGAGAGACTTAATCCTCAAAAACTACCTAGACAGGCGGCAATTGCCTTTCCACCATGGCGAAGAGAAAGCGCAACAATGCCGCCAGCAATGCCGTGAAGAAGCAGGCAACGGCAAGCCTCCCAAGCCCGCCTCACGAGAAGGAGACATCATTGGGAGCCCCAAGTATCCATGCAGTCATATCGCCAGAAGAGATGGAGATCGCAGTGGAGACACTTCAGTCGTTGACGGAACACCCGGTTTTGATCAAGTCGAAAGCGTGCAAAGACCTGCGAGCAGCAGTGTACAGCTTCCGTCAAGCTAGCACTACAGGAATGGCGGCAGCCGGTACGTTTACAAAATTCATGTATCGACTCAGAGTACTGACCCACGGCAGAAAACAGCAACCTCACAGCACGCATCTCTGCAGCACTCACAGATGGCAAGTACACTGATGCCATGATTCTGCTTGCAGAAATGCGTATCAGGAAAGAGACCCCATCACTGGGGGCTTTGTGCCGCTGGGTACGCACACTGGACGTCATCTCTGGACTGTCGATTCACGTACAAGTGCCCAGCCAAACAGTTGTTGGCAAGAATGCCAGCAACGAGGAACTAGTCAGGGTCCTGGATGCTATCCTCCGTGTGACTGGTCCCACAGACACCACATCCCACGGCATCGATGCTACTTCCGGGCCCATCTCGCTCCAGGAGACATGGGATCTACGACCAGCCACAGAGCCCACGCGACAACTGCGCCGCAGCGTCGCAGACAAGTCCATCTTCACATCGTCACCTATCAACAAGGACAACTTTCGCATCATCGAGACCACACCCGCACCTCTCCGTAAACCACCAAACCTCCACCCAGCAGTCCTTTTCGCCTCGCAAGACGACACAGTCTTCCTTGGCCAAGGCCCAAAGACAGAGGTTTACCACCATCCCATCGTGCCAAACCTACGTCTCATCCGCGACGTGCTGTCCCCTGAGGAATGCTCGTCCATTGTCGCCGCTGGCGAGACAATGGAGTTCATCCCCGACGCACCCATGCGACCTCAGGGCGAGGATACAAGCATCCTCGCGCACAACTTTTACTGGATCGTAGACCAGGCGTTCCACGACAAGCTGTGGGAGCGCGTGAAGGCGTTTGTGCCGGAGAGCGTGGGCGGGAGGAAAGTCAGGGGAATTAACAGAAGGTTCAGGGTATATCGGTACGTGCCTGGCGCCGAGTACAGGTGTCACATTGGTAAGTTCTCCCTCTGCTACACCGTCGTTCAATGTATGCTAACTTCTGTAGATGGCGCTTGGCCACCCTCAGGCATTGATCCCGTCACCGACGCGTACCAGTATGACGCATCGCCGTCCGACGCCCGGCAGTCGAGTTTGTTCACGTTCCTTATCTACCTGAACGACGACTTTCGCGGCGGCGAGACAACGTTCTTCGTCCCGAGCGTGAAGGAGGGCGTTATTAACGCGTACCCAATCAAGCCGATCATGGGCAGTGTGGCGGTGTTCCCGCACGGAGAGGCGGCGGGTGCGCTGCTGCACGAGGGTACGGGTGTGGTCGAGGGCGCGAAGTACGTGATCCGGACGGATGTCGAGTACGATATAGACGCGAGTGTTTGATCCACGAATGCATCGTCGCTCGTTCCAGCCTCCCGTGTGTGTGTGTGCTCGGTCGGTCGTGATGTTGTCGCTATCGTGAAAGCACTCGAAATCCGCACGCCGGCATTCGCGCTGCGCCGTGCCGTGTGCTAGCTGCGTATTTATTCTCCTTCACCCGCGGTAGCTCAACGCTCCTCTGTCCCCCCACCCACCGGCTCCGGTCGCCCAGAGAAAACCAGCTTATGCCCCACAACCTCGACAATCTCCAGCTCCTCGCCCCTCCTAGCGTCCCCATCCGCCTCTGCACCTCCCATCACCGTATCCTCACCCTCTGCACTCCCCCTTCTTCTCACCACCGCAAACCGCTTCCCCAATTTCTTACACTCGCCAACCATCCTCTGGTTCTCGCCCACATACAAATACACCCTCTTCATCCACTTCGCGTCCTCGGCGCCGTGGAGTGCAGGGTTGTACAGCGGGAACACGAGTTTGCCGACGCGTGTTGATGTCGCGCTCGAGGTGGGCGTTGGGAAGTGCACCGTGCCCTGGATCTCGAGCAGGGCGAGGCCGCTGGGCGTGTGCAGGAGGGGTGGGAGCGGGTTTGCGATGGTGGGTGGTGGGGTTTGGCCCGGTGGGTACAGCGGGACTGATGGCATTGCTGTGTGTTGCGGGGTGTGGATTATATACGGAGAGGATGAGAGTGCTGCGGCGGTTCGGATTATTGATTACGGGCCAGTGTTGGCTGTTCTGGCAGTCTTCAAACTTCGGAGATGCGGGAGACGCGTGGGGCGGCGCGACGCGTTTGCCGCCCTAGCGTTGCGGGGCAGTGACGGCATTGATCTCGCATTTTCAGAGACTTGTAATGATGGGTTCATGTTCTCATTATTTTGGTGTCTATGTACTACTCATCATCATCATCTCTGCACGGTATTATTACTCGTTGCACACTCTACGAGCGCTTGCCAAAGACCTTGTCGAAGTTGGTGAGGGTAAACCTGTAGCGGACGTTGTCGTTCTTGTAGACGCGCTCAACAGCCTGCTTGCAGCCCTCTTCGCTAATGTCGATTGTCTCGATCCAGCTTTTGATGTTCTGCTTCGACGCAAGCAGAAGCATCTCCTCCATCTCGGGCCTGTTGCCAATGTGCGAGGCACCCATGTAGCAGCCGTTAGGGGCGAAGGTCTGAGCAGGCATAGCGGGAAGCGGGTTGTCCGGGAAGCCGACCATGTGGAAGGTACCGTTGACCTTGAGGATGGAGAAGTACTCAGACAGGTCGAACTTGTCCGTAGCATCGGCGGTGTTAATGACGAAGTCGAACTTGAACTTGTAGTCGTCGGCCCAGCCCTTCTTGCTTGTGACGATGAAGTCCTTAGCACCCATCTTGAGCGCATCCTCCTTCTTGCTGGGAGAGTGGGAGATGACAGTCGTCTCAGCGCCGAGGGCAACGGACCAGAGGACACCGAAGTGACCGAGACCACCAAGACCGATGATACCGACCTTCTTGCCTGGTCCGGCTCCTAACCTCTTAAGAGGCGAGAATGTGGTGATACCGGCGCACAGCATGGGTGCGGCGATATGTGTCTCGAGGTTCTCGGGGATCTGGAAGACGAAGTACTCGTGAACACGGACGTGCGAGGAGTATCCTCCCTGAGCAACAGTGCCGTCAGGGTGCTTAGCACCATACGCATCGACCTGGTTGGGACAGTAGTTCTCCTGGTCGGCCTTGCACTGGTCGCAGGTGAGATCGGCACCGACCTGGGCACCAGAACCGACGCGGTCTCCAACCTTGTGCTTAGTGACCTTGGAGCCAACCTTGGTGACGCGGCCAATGACCTCGTGCCCGACGCACAGAGGAAGCGGGATATCCTCTCCCCATCCACCGGTGATGGTGTGAATGTCCGAAGCGCAGACACCACAGGCGTCTACAGCAATGTCGACGTCGTAGTCCTCAAACTTTTTAAGGGGAAGCTGGGCGTAATCAGCAATTGCATTGGAGTTAAATGATCGCACAACGTACCTCCTGACGCTTGAAGGTGCTCCAGTTCTTGATGTCGTTGACGGCGAACGCGTCAGTGGTCTCAGGGTAAGGCATGTTGGTAGATGTGTGCTTTGTTGGGTGTCCGAGAGGTGAAGATGAAGCTGGTGAGAAAGGAAGTTGTTGAGGGGCTGCTGCATATTTGAGTCGCTCCTCCCTTACGCTCCATAATATCGGTTCATTGATTTCCGCCAGTGATGTCAGCTGTGAGAGCGACATTAGTTCATATCATCCGTCATAGCTCCCTGTATACTTCGCGTGATTGGGCGGGTCTACAGGCGGCGAGGCCTTTGGTAGGCCGTTTCTGTCGGGTACCTTTTCGCGGCGTCACGGTGACGGAGCGAAAAGTTACAAGATGCGACATCGACGATAATTGCTGCAGAACTTCGCGCCTAGACTCTGACTATGCTGCGCCGGTAGCCGTCACGAAGGCGACTGCTTCGTTATTGAAGGTTTCATCTCAAGTCTCGAGACTGCAATGCCGTCATCGTTAATGTTTAAACGCTGCCCCACGTAGAACTTCAGCCTCCCCCACGACGTACAGAGGGGCAGCTTACTAAATGTGGCTCCACGAATCAAGAGACGCTCAGGTGCCAAGTCTCGATGCGATCGGCTTTCCCACCGACGAAGCGCTCTCCAAGTCGCTTGAACCATTCTCTTTGCAGGATGGGCCTGCCGACAGACCGACGATCGGCCTCCATCCTTACGATCTCTGATGAGAGTAGCATTCCTTCAGGCTGCACCGATCATCTCGAGTGTTGACCGAGGTGACTAAACTCAAAGATACCCGACAGCAGACGGAGCCTGTGGTCCACCTCTTACCTGTTCGGATCCTAACGGCTGCACACTACGGTCTTGAAAATACATCGATAGGTCTGCTCGGGTGCTGTCTCATTGTTGTGGTGCATGAGATCTGCCTGGGTCAATGTTCATCTCCTCACGAAGCTGCATCAGGTCGGCAGTGTGCAGCGCGATCGAAGTCGCTGAAGAGGTAGCTGCACGCGAGACTTGAGAAGGCGCCTGTGGTATATCAAGGTACGCATGGAATGTGACAGTGCGCCCATCATGTTCGTATAGTGAGGATGTCAAACGATAAATCGGCATCAGGAAGTTTGATGCGGTCGAGGTGCAGCAACTTTGACACCGTTTTGTACCTTCCTTTGGGTTCAGCCGGGTACTCTCGCGCTAGGCTTCTGTGGGGTAATTAGCACTATACTTTCCATCAACCACAGTGTCGCAATCACCATCTGACAGGAAAATACGTCAACATGCGATCATCGCACTTGCCTCGTATTATTCTGCTTCATCAACGTTCCGTCTCACCTCTTATCGAACGAGTGTATGTCCATAGACTTGGCACTTCAGGCGCAAGTGACGATGTACGATCCTCATCTACCAAGTACGTTGTCATATCCTCTCAGCATCTCCTATCAACGCGTGCGGTATATTTAGACTGTCGCAGATGATGTACCTGCATACAAAGCATTGAGGGGAGCGGGCTTAGTACAGTTAGCGGTCATACTACATTCTGAAACTCCACTTGTGAATAAACCGTAATGAGCCCGCCGTACTGGCAGCGGTAACTAAATGTCAACTCCGAACGCCGACACTTTCGAAACTTGAAGTGTGGACACAGCATCTGTTGGGCGACGCCGGGCTCCTGGCATCTCCACACGAGACTGGGGTATGACCGTTGTGGCCGACGGCAGAGCGCCATGAGGTATGTCGACAATACAGCATACCAGAAGTGGGAGATGTGGACGAAAGCAGACAAGCTCACGCGAGGCTTCAGATATACAATTTGGTTGGCAAGTCAAATGTGTAAGTTCTCGAGGCATACATTAAGCGGCACCTAATCGGTCACAGCGCAGGGATCAGCTCTTCAAGCTGGACGAGACGAGACCTAGATTAATTCCGACATGTCACCATTATTGCCAATGCCAGCGGCCATTGCAGACGATGACGGTCTCGCGCGACACAACAATGGGTTTGGTCCGGCAGCTGCAACTGGAAGGCTTCGCTGTTGAAGTGCGACGTTGCGCAAGGGCGCCATCTCAAACACTTGGTTATTTTTGGGCATACTGCGCAGGCTAAGTACTTGCTTATCCTGTGGCGACTCTTAGAGTGGCTAGGAGTCAGCGACGACATCCGGCAAATATCGCATTGGACGATAATCAAATTCCAATCCACCGCGAAAGCACTCCAAAGTGGTGGCTGTCGAGAGGTCCACGTGCTAGCGAACCTGGGCGATCGCCTTCCGTAGCGAATGGGAAGCCCGTTTCACTATAATCGGGTCGGACACTGTAAATGAACAATTGCGGGGAGCGCCTGACCTCCGCCGCGCCCAGCGTACTCGGCCAGGGTAGGTGGCTGATAGCCTGACACCTTTATATCCCAAAGCCGCCCTCACAGCCATGCGGTGGGGATGGCGATTTTGCTGCAGTCCACCTCCACATCGACAAGATGCCTATCTATCCACTCCAGTTCACCTGCTTGGGGGTGATTTGTGGTATGCCAGCACTGGCGACTGTTTTCGTAGCGCTGAGGATCTATACGCGGCGGAAGCTGAATTTAAGGCTGAGCTGGGGTATGTACTGCGTCCTTATGTTGGTGTCTGGAGTTAGGTTCTGACCATCACAGATGACTGGCTCATCATCTTGCCCACAATTTTATCGATTGCGCTCATTGGCCCCTCTTACAGACGTCAGTACCCCGAGGAAGGATATGCTTCCAGTCGCTAATCGAAGCAGATGTCAAGATGTGGCACATTGGCATTCACATTTGGGATGTTGATCCCAACACAATCGAGCCGAATTACGACGAATACTATGCAGTATGTCTTTCTAGTATGTGTGAGGCAAGCACAGCTGACCAAGATAGGTGCAAATGGCTTTCAACCTTCTCAATATTCCGATTTTACCACTCGTTAAGGCGTCCATCATTCTGCTTCTTCTACGCGCCGGATCGATTATCACCTGGCTCAAGAAGGTGCTCTACTGCATCCTTATCTTCACGGTCGGAAGCTCACTGATCCCATGGTTTCTGTACATTTTCACCTGCCCACCGCAGACCGGCAACACATGGAAACCACGAACTTTTGGGAACGTACACTGCATGGGCCGACACCGGATGGGCGAAATGCTGATTTGGGTGACCTGTGCAAATCTGCTTACCGATCTTCTCATTCTACCCATACCCTTCATCATTGTCCGAAGAATGATGAGCGCGCGCTTACGATCAAGAATCGTGGTTCTGACGGTCTTCGCATGCAGTCTGGCAGTGACTGGCATCGGGGCCGCAAAGATCTACCTCTCCTACCGCGACCGACTCTACAATCTCTACGTGCCAGACTGGACCTACCCAATCGACTATTGCATCAACCACATCGAAAACAATGTCGCCATCATTGTAGCCAACATTCCCATCCTGCGCGGCCTCGTTACACGCTGGGTCTTCAACTTCCGCTCCGAAAAGACCGGCCCAACAGAGCGCCCCATCCCGCTGCGCAGAAAATCAGGCATCTCAGACAGAGCGCACAAAAAGCATAGAAATCCACTCATGCGCCGCCTACTCCCCTGCATCGACGACTTCTCCTCCAGCCTCGCGACACCCGAGCGCTCAAAGCAGCGCCCCGAGCGCATCCTAAGCGGCACATCCATGACCCAAGCGCAGTCAGACTCCCGCGGGAGGAAACTGAGCACGTACCTGAGCCGCTCCAGCAATGGCTACGAAAGCGCGGACAGCAACGAGAAAGGCACTGTGCGCGCGACGGTGACGAGCATCGGTAGCGCGCCCACGCTCCTCGGGTCTGCGAACCGCGAGAGCAGACACTGGGATGGCAGCTTGCTGCACGCAAAGCGCAGTAGCCCTACGCTGCGCCCCGTCGAGCCATTCGGCAGCATGGAGCCACTGAGCGAGATTCAGCCGCTGGAGCAGGTGCGGATGCGCAGCGCATTGGATGGGGAGGCGTTTGATCTTGTAGATCTAGAGGAGGGCTGGCTGTTTGAGGATCGAAGTCGGAATCGATCGTTTGTTGAGTAGCGAGCGCAGCGTTGCTTTGAATTTGATACCCACAAATCGTACGTGTTTGAGCGAAGATGGGGGTCTTATACATGCTAGTTCTACATGTCCATCTGCCTACGTCCTTTCTCTCATGGATCCCCCTGCGCAACGACTCCACCGTATACGCACTGCTCCTCAAGACTTGCACTCCTCTACATCCTAAAGATCAGCATCGGCTATAGCATGCGGCACGGCGCGTTCCACGGTACTGATCGGTCAACGACCCATCCCAGCCTCGACCACTTGCGATGAGTGCTGAACCGGCACCGAGGCCCGCATTCCCGTACTGATCGCACCCACGTCTTGAGGCTGCCGAATTGCGAAATCCGGGGTAAAAGCCATGTGTTCACGTGGCAGGCAAGGGTTTGTCGTTCCTTTCGCCCCCCCCCCCCGTGAGCATTGGTAGGAGCCGAATGTGTGCATGAGCATGTCGAAGAGGGGAAGCCGGCATCGCTCATATAATGACAGTGGGGGCTAGGAAGGGTTTGCAAGACACGCCTCGAGAGCGTCACAGGGCAGGCCTTGCAGCGAAACACAAAGAAGTGCTGTGCAGCTGAAGGACTGCGTTGACAAAGGGCTTACTGCAGTAAGACAGCAGCACCACGCAGCAAGACAATGGGGGCTGGTACTCCGCTATCCAATTCGTTCACGACACTGAGCTGACTGACGGCATTCGCGAATGCAAGTCCTCCGCAGTGCACCAGGCTGGTGATCAACGAGCACCACCCCACACACTGCTTAGCTCAGACTGCGTCATTGTTGGGTAGCCACAAAAGCCTGCCTCCGACAAGGAGCGGAGCATCGCGGGCAGGAATTGACGCAAGTCCATAGCAGCTTCGCTGTGAGCCTAAAGAGAGTTAAGAGGATGGCGAGACCACTTTGTGGAGTCGATGTACCTATTGGAAGTACCTAGCTAAAGGTAATATAGGCTCCGAGGGCCTTGCGTAGTCTTGCAATCTATTTGCCCCGCTGTTGATATGGATAAAATAAGCCAGGATGGCTGACCAGCATGATCTCAACGTTACTTGGCTGAGAACTTCGGGAAGTTCAAATCGGGCGATAATAGTAATTCATGCGAGTGGTTAGTCAGAGTTAATGTGTCAATGGCGATAAATTTAGAGCATGAGGCAAATGTGGGGATGCGTGTAAATTGTTGTTGCTCACGAGCTTTAAACATAGCGACTACCGAGAGCATATTGCGCTAAAGCCGCGCGCCTTTGCTGCTGAGAAAGACTTTTGCAAAATTCTCGACAGAGAGAAGGGTGACTTTTGAAGTCCTGAACGATGAATATCTTAAGAAACTTTGGCTTACATCCGCGCAAATGGTGGGTGTGACGGGGTATTACTGGCGAACGACACCTGCATGTCAGCAGGTGACAGTCGAGGCCTGATTGCATATTGCGGGTGACAGGGGTACAAAACTTGGGCGATCGTACGCGGTCCGAAAGATTGGGGTAGGTACATGATCGTCAAACTCATAATGAGAGCAAAGCAGCTAAGCCGGCGGCAGAAAGGGCGACCCCGAGTGAAGCCAGCGTCATGTGTGCTGACGAGCTTTTTGCTGTCGTTGCATTTCCGGAGAGCTGTTCGGCAAGAGTTACTTCGTCATTGCGGACACAGCCTGTCTTCGCTGTAATCTCGCTTGGACAGACAACTCGTTTGAAGTTCGCGCTGTGAAACGTTAGAGACGTGGCAGCTCGAAGAGACCCACGCACATACCTGGGAAAAGAGGCGTCTTCCAGCCAATCGAAACGCCACCGACAAGCGGCTTGCAACGACTCGGGGAGGTTTTTGCAATCGTCTTTCGTGGCAACGCCTTCATGGTCTTGGCCGAAAACGGATTGGGAAACGCCATACTGTGTCGCGCATCCATCAGCCGAAGTCGTGTTGCCGCCAGGTACCTGGAGAGAGATTAGTGTACAGTTGTTAGCAACTATGAGTGGACTTACCGCTAATGTGAATCGATTTATTGTGTTGACGTCGTAGGCAGTATTGGATGCTTGCACAATCATCCTTTTCCCTCTTAAGGGCTCACTTGTAAAGTCAAGCTGGTAGCATGCGCAGCACCATGCGTCTTCAATCGAACCACCCACAAGCGCCTTGGTCAGGTAGACGCCTGCGAAACCATATGAGAGTGTGTCATTAATAGCCCAGGGCTGTTGCTGCGAACAGGCGAACGCAGTACCGCCATTGCAGCCGGTGCCAGCATCGATGCTGATCGGGTTTCCGTCTGCTGAGCAGGATCCCACAGGGTTATTCACCGACGCTTTGCCTTTCCATCCACATGACGGTTTGCAACAGTCCCAGTAACGAGTCGTGAGCGCTTCTCCACTGTAGTTCAGGTTGGCGCACCTCGCCAGGACTACGAAGAGTTCCAAGACAAGAAAGAGGTTGTGCTGCGATGTAGGCATCATTGCGTGATGAAAGAAGTAAATGTGAAGCAAAGACCAGAAGGCATGGTTTGATAACAGGGGCAGTTGCGGGCCACGAAATTGTATTTCAACGGTGTGAAGGAGGGGCTTGCTTTCTTCGGACGTCCATAAGGAGAAATTACTTTGGTGATGCAGTCGTAGCGGTGACATATGCTGCACCTGAGCCGTTGTCGCGCAGGGATCGGCTAAGGCCGAACTATTGTAAGGGCTAGTGATCCTTAGTGGCCCAAAATGACATGTAACCGAGCCCACTCGGATCAATGCGCCCCTTGCAATTTACTGTGAACGCCTTCCCCACACTTTCGCAACACGGTGTTTCGCTCCCCGCAATCGGACCGTGGCTTTCTATTCCCACTGAGGCATCTAGGTATTGCTGTCTCCAATGGAACCCAGTAATCCCTACGAGAACGGTTCTGACTCGAACTTTTACTCGTTCTCCCGAGGTTCGTCGGCAGTCGTTTCAGGGCTGTTCATACCAAAAATACCGTGAAGCCATTGTCGTGGGAGTCCTTGCTACGCTTAAGCGAATTACGCCGTATCTACATCGGCACTATGCAGTCGTATATCAGTCTGTATCTGCAAGGGCGTGACAGAGAACTGGAAATCGAAAGGCACGTGGCGTTGTGGCTGGCGGGTAACCCGCCTGCAAGGCGCTGGGCCCTGTGCGTGATCGCCTGTGTCAAGATTCAAGATTGGATGCAGGCGCATACAGTGCATCAGACCGAAGTCAACAGGATATTGCATATGCCGCAAGGATGCACTTCGGCAGTTGCAGGCGGTTGGCAGGCTGTGCTCTTGTCAATGCTTCATTTTGTCAGCGATATCATCGCACTAGCACTTTGGATGGAAAGGAAAGGGCTTGCCGAGTCGCACCACCGAAGCTGCGAAAGCAGTAGACGTGACAGATGATGGAAATTAGCAGATTGACCAGCGATGCCTGATTGTCAAGTATGTAACACGATTGGATAACTGTTGGACCTCTCACCTGCACAACGATCTCGTAAGGGCGTCATACGCCTCCTCTGCCTTTGGCAACTAGGCCTTTCTGTCCCGAACTGGTGGCTCCTGCAAGCAGCAATGTAGCCTGTCTGATTGTAGAGCACAGACATCAGTATCTCTGGAATAGTTCAGTATGCTTAAAATGGGTCCTGGGCTGCATCATCTGTGTGGACTTGCTATATTTGATCATGGCATTATGGAGGATTGTCTTGCGCAGGGGTAAAGTTCGAAAGTGAGGTCGAGAGTGATACCCGAGGCTTTCCGAGAGACTCGAAGCGCGATACTCTTGTTGAAAAGGACAACTCTTGCCCCGAAGTGCCATTATCTGCAATCTACAGCTGTGACCAAAAGATGGACATCGTATACACGCTATGGCATGCACCCTCGGTAAAGACCTAGCGAGCAGGGAGATGTAATGCGGCGGCATCGACTTCCTCTGCAAATGTTGTTAGTGGTGGTTTTGATTACTCCATGCAAGAATCGTACGTTGCGAGCTTGTTGGAGTATTGGTGGATGTCTAAAGTGTGGCGAGGTTGACGAGAAGGGTTGTGGACGCTGCTGATTTGGGACAGACTGGCTCAAAGAACAAAAGGGAGTTGGAAACTGGATATGGTATGCATTGCCTTCCTGATGCTGGACGGAAGTCGCTACAAGCGCGTGGCACGCAAAATCGTTCTTGCCATCAGTCTCAAAGACGCTTCTCATTCGAAGGGAGAGCAACATGTGCAAACCCACCCTTGATTGAACCGCTCTTATTTTTGTATTTTTTGTCTATTTGACCTTGATTCCTGTGCGTGCGTTCTATACACCACGGCGACCACCAACAGTTTTCAATGTCTCCTTCATAGCATCTGTCAACTTGCTTGCCAACAAGTCCTTGAGACCCTTCTTCTCCGGCTTAGGCATGAATCCAAGCTCGATGAGATAGCTGATGTAGGTCCCCACCGTGTCCTCTGTGACAGCACCGCCAGCACTCCAGTCCTGTCCTGTCCACTTCTCGTCCTCTTTGAGCGCCTTGGCTGCATTCCTATCGTCCATCTCTGGCGCCTTGGTGTCGGCGGGCAAGTCACCAGTAACAAAGTGGTAAAGCGGAAGTAGTGCGTTCTCCTCCTTTGTGCCCGAGCGGTCAGCAACGTAGGCCTCCATGTTCTTCTTCCACTCAGAGTACGGGACTTCGGGGACGTTGTAGCCGTAGGATTCGAGCGAGCCGAGGAACTGCTGGAATGTGATACGTGGGTGCGAAGTGATCTGTGACACACCGAGCGGCGCAACAGGTGGGTTGAAGGTCGATGATACTACAACACGCGCAACCTGGTTGACGGGAACCATGTTGATTGTGTTTCTGATGTCTGGACGAGACTTGAGCTGGACACAGCTCTTGAGGATTCGGATGAGAAAGTCATCAGTGTTGGTTGTGCCGTTCTCTGGATCTCCGAGGACGTAGCCAGGGCGGATCACGCACCCGTTCAGACCACGCTTGCCAGCTGCACGAGTGATGTATTCAGCAGCCCACTTGGACTGGCCATATCCTGTGCCGAGACCCTTGCGAGCGCCCTCAAGGTCGTCTTCCTCAAGTACGCCAGTACCACCTTCGGCAAGTGACCTCTCTGAAAGCTTGACGAAGTAGTCAGTGTCAAGGACGGACGTGGATGAGACCAGGCCAAAGTTCTTGGCCTTGCCGGTAGAGCAAAGCGACAGAGCAGTCATTGTAGACTCGACGTTGGGACCGCGCAGCCGGGAGTAAGGCAAGACCCAGTGCACAAGAGCACCGTTGTGAATAACAACATCAACTGAGTCGCAGAGAAGGTTCCATGTGTTGGGCTCAAGACCAAAGTTGGGCTTTTGGAGATCACCGACAAGGGGCTCGAGGCGGGACTCCCAGCTGTCCTCCCAGATGCCGTATGCCTCGCAAGTTTTTCGCACACGGTTGAGCGCACTGTCAAGATCCTTCGCGCGAACCAAGACAGTAACCTTACCGGGACGTGCGAGAAGGTCACGTAGGATGTATGCTCCAAGAAATCCGGTGGCACCCGTGAGGAAAGTGTGAATATCCTCGCCAGGCTTCAGTGCTTCCCTGGTTTTGAAGTCGCTCAGATGAGCAGCGAGATCTCGTGCATCTGCAGAGTAGGCTTCGTCTTCTGGGTCGTCGTCGATAGCCTCTGCAGTATCCAGACGCAGACCGATGGGATCGATCGCCTGATCGATGTTCGCAGAGAAAGCGCGAAGTGTGGGGTACTGGAAGATCGTAGTCATTGGCACGTCGATGTCAGTCCATTCCTGACGAATCTTAAATAGAAGCTGTTGGGCAATGATGCTGTGTCCACCAAGGTCGAAGAACGAGTCGCTGCCGCTGACAGCCTCAGCCGTAACACCGCGGTCGCTGAGCAGGTCAGCCCAGATCTCGGCCATCTTCTGCTCAGTAGGTGTCAACGCCTGGCCAAGCTGCGACGGTCGCCTAGCGCCAGCCGCTGCGATCTCCTTGGGCTCAGGGAAAGGCAAAGCTGGACGGTCGATCTTGCCATTGGGATTAAGAGGGAATCGCAGCATGGGAACAATGACCGACGGAACCGCATATGAAGGAAGCTTCTTCTTGAGATGCTCGCGCACATCGTCTCTCAGGTACTTGAAGCGCTTGAGCATGGAAATCATGTCTGTCTCCTCGGTAGAGGTCTCGTTGGCGCCACGCTCCTCAAGCCAATCGTACCACCGCTTCATCTCGGGCACGATGTAACTGACGAGTTGAGGCTCCTCGTAGGCGTCACGCTTGAGCAGTGTGACGTTCTCGCGAACCAGCGGGTGGGCGGACAGATGCGAGTCGATCTCTCCAAGCTCGATACGGAAACCACGAATCTTGACCTGGGAGTCGACGCGTCCAGTGCAGTGGACGTTGCCGTCTGGTCCGTAATGGCCGAGATCTCCGGAGCGGTAGAGTCTGTCGCGGGGGCCCTTGTAGAATTGTCGCCACGGCTCGGCAGCGCTCTGGCTCTCAACTCTTTGCTTGTCTTCCTCAGCCCACTTCTTTGGGTCAACGAACCAGTTCTCGACGAATTTGGAAGCTGTCATATCCGGCAGACCCAGGTATTCCTCAGCAAGACCACCTGCCCGCACGTAGATTTCTCCACTCTCACCAATGCCACACATCTTGTTACGGTCGTCGCGGTTCACGACCAACAGTTGCACGTTGTTCATACCGCGACCTGCAGGTACGACATCGCCGATGCTGTCCAGGAACTCGGGTGCTTCGGTAGCGCTTGGGACTTCGAAGTAGCTGACAGCGCGCTGTGTCTCCGTCGTGCCGTACATGTTGACGACGCGTACGTTCGGTGCGAGGGCCTGCAGTCTCCTGACGTCACGCTTGATGAGTAGATCACCAACAAAGAATGAATGGTGCAGCGTGGGGAAGATAGCCGAAGCACCGCCAACCAAGATCTGTCCCATGGCTGGAGTCAAATGTGTGACTGTCGCGCCGTATTTGCGCATCCACTCAGCCAATTTTTCGTGCTGGATATCCTCCTTGCTCGGTACCAGCAGCTGGGCGCCAAGGAAGAGAGGCGTGAAGATGTCACGCTGGATGGGGTCGTGTGCGATACCAGAGAGCATGGTGAACTTGTCGTGCTCGGACAAGCCAAATGTCTCGGCCATCCACGGGAAGTAGTGGGTGAGGGAGAAGTGTCGGCCTTTGACGCCCTTGGGCTTGCCCTCAGACCCCGATGTAAAGGACAGCGTCGGTGTCGAGTCTGGACCGACCAGAACGCCTGGCAGGTCTGCCTTGCTCGTCTGCTGCTCTTCCAGAACGTCCTTGCCGTCTCTGGCGCCTCCCACCAGCGAACCATCTTCCTTGAGCTCGAGAGCCGGTACTTCGGTCTTAAGCTGCAGGTTGTCTGCGATGTATTGGCGGACCTGATCGGAAATCTGGCCTGCTTCTTGTGTGGCCTTTTCGATGACTACGAGGGCGCGGGGCTGGGAGACTTCGAGGTAGATGCACTGGCGATCTGGAGGGTATCTGGAGCTGATCAGCGCTACTTGGAATCGATTGGTTTGTTATGCCTACAGCGGGTCCAGCACTGAGAAGGTCGCGCCTGCCGCCAGTACAGCCATGATGGCAACGACCAGGTCAACGCCGCGGTGAGCGAAGATCATGACAACATCTCCTCTTTGGATGCCACTCTGGACGAAGTGATGTGAAAGCACCGAGACGGCCTCGAAGATGTGCTTGTATGTGAATGCGCGCTCTGGCGTCCTGCTTGTAGCAGTCTCGACTACGCATCGTCGCTCGGGGTGCTTGCGCGCGTTCGCAGCGAAGATCTCGTGGATCGGACCCTTGAAGTCAGACCACTTAAGGTCTGCTGTAGGGTCCGGGATATTTGCTTGGGCGTTGGAGCTCATGGTCGCGTTCGATTGCGATATGCAGCTCTACAAGATTATACGGTGGGGTCGTGGGTGGGTACCAATGGACTCAATCCAACCTGGCTCTTGTCTATAAGGTTTGATTGAGGATTCCACAGGAAGAAGCGTGCATCCCTCTATGACTGTATCCAGAGGGAAAAGCCCAGAGAAGATTGATCGAGGGATGACGCAGAGGGGGACATGCTTCGACTCATGCGGTGTCGGCGTTTCAATCGGCCCTGGTCCCGCACTAAATTTTAGGGGAGCTCGAAGTTCAGCCCTATAGGACTTTCGCGCTACCCGTGCGGCAGAACACGCGTCACAGGGAGTGAGAAACGTCTTTGACGTCTTGTGAGATTTCGCCGCGTCTTGTCGCTCCTTTGCGTCGTTTTGTCTCGCCGTTCGGCTATGCGCATGTTCGTACTCTTGTCCTGTAGATCCTGCCACTTTCCCCCGCGCAGCCAATACGGATACCGGCTCTACGAATCTCACCAGCAGCAGTCGCAGCATCCACCTATGTCGATATAGACGTTGTATCCTCTCCTCTCTCTCTCTCCTTGAATCGCAATGCCGGTGCAGCACACCATCTTTGGGCGGCCTCTCAAGCTGCAGATGCCGCCGCGGAGGTTCCAAGCGCTCCTCGTTGTGTTACTGATCATCGTGCTCACCATCGTGCTCAACGGGGCCCCCTCGACCGCCGACCTTCCTACCTACGAGTCCGTGGCCGAGGCCGTCAAGAACCCACACATCCCCACAGTCCACCTCCCAGATGTAGACAGTCTTCCTGCTGTTCCGAATCCGTTTGGCCCCTCGGCACACAAGCCGCCGAAGCCTGCTGCGCAACCCAACAGCACCGTCGCCAGCTCGTATGGCAAGCTCGAATGGCTCACCGACTTCAAGTGGCGCAATCCCTTCTCGTCCAGTGTCACTCTCGATGAGAACACCGCCCTGCTTCCTCCGCTGAAGGAACGGCCGCCCATCTACACCTACTACAACGCGCGCAAGAAGCAGACCAAGGAGGTAGCCGAGGCAGAAAACCGGCTGGTGCTCGCATGGCGCCGAGCATGGTGGGCGCAGGGCTTCAGGCCAGTAGTGCTCTCGCGGAAAGAGGCAGAGCAGCACCCGCAATATCAGCTGTTTCAGCGCATGAAGCTCGACTCGAGGGTCGAGGTCGAGGTCATGCGCTGGCTGGCATGGGGCAACATGAGGGGCGGCATACTCGCGAACTCGCTTGCGCTCCCAATGGCAGAGTATGAGAACCCCATGCTGGCCTTCCTGCGTCGACAGGAGTACCCTCAATTGTCGCGGGTCGAAGGTCTCAACGGTGGAATATTCTATGGCGACTCGGCCGCTGTCGAGGGAGCCATCAAGAAGCTGGTCAACAGCCCGCTGCTGAAGAACATTACGGCAAACCAGGATAAACTCGCAGCAACTGCGACAAAAGACGGCGGTGCAGTGGTCAACATTCTGACCCCGGCAGACATCGTCAAGGACACCAAGGCAAATGGCATCGCCTACTACAGCACCGACGTCATCAGCAAGTCGTACAAGACAGTCGCCGACAAGCTCACAAACGCCACGCAAGCTGAGGGCATGAACTTGTTGAGCAGTCTGATCAACTCGCACATTCACCTCACTTTCCAGGAACAGCACCCGGAGGGTCTGGCCATCGCCCAACCTCTGCCCGAGCATACCACGTCCCTGATCGAACTCTCCATCGAAATCGCCCGCAACCTTACGCAATGCCCGTCGTCGCCCATGCCAAAGTCATGTCCACCGAACCGCCCAAAGTGCGTGCCTTGCAGCACTAAGAATGCGCCAAAGCTACAGCTCTTTCCCGAACTCGTGAACAGCACCCAGTTCTTCACAATTGGCACAGTCCCGCACCCATACACGATCAACTCGCTCCACTACACCCGCGACAAACTCGATGTCTCCTTCCTCCGCAACAATGCCAAGCGCGATCTCTGGCTCAAGACCCTCACACAAAAGTCCATAGCCACCGAGCATTCTGAGTCTTTCCGCCTCCTGCAGTTCAAGGAACTCGTTGCTGCTAGCCCGGCGCATACACTGTGGCTCACCGCTGAGCGAACAAGCAAGGATGACTTGGACTGGATCTTTGGCTTCGAGCTGCCTACCACCGCTTCGAACACGAAGGAGCCAACGAGTCCAAGCGAGAAGAGTGAGCTTATTATCTTCCCGCGCCCGGCATTTCCAGAGCCGGTCAAAGGCATTGAGGTGCCTGATAGCATATGGACGGAGAGGGAGAAGAACAGATTGGACAAGGCGCGCGACGCTATCAAGTCAAAAGATAGATTTATGCGCGGCATTGTTGATGCTGTTGAGCAATGGAATCTGGCGGATACTGAGGCCTGGAAATTTTCGAGGGCATACTCAGCGAGGAGGAGAGTGGAGAGGAAGAAGTGGGAGCAGGAAGAGAAGAGTTACGTGGGAAGTGAGAGGAAAGCGAGCGGGAAGGGACGATGGACTGATAGGTTCATGTTGTAGAATACTCGTCCATTTAATTGCATCTCGAGCTGGCGTTAGGGTATGTACTATATTTCCGTAGATGTCACTACAAACCACGTAGTAGTCGAAGAGCTCGAATCTACCAGTGCGTTGTTCAGGCAGCCCATCATGCAGGGAGGTGCCACTTTCGATCGTATGATGGGGCCGCTTCGCTACATATGGCAGGCAGGCGCTGTGCACGCTCGGCGCTTTGACGTCAAGCGGCAACCACACCGTGCTTGTTCTTGTCCACCCTCAACATCAATATCTCATCATCAAAATCGGGTGCATGGTGAGTGACGGGCTCAGAGCACCGCCCGCTCCAGGCACCTTTCACGCCTAGCTGAACAGCAAACCCCGATATCATCGCTGCCTGCCGTCCCGCTAAGCTCGCCTGACAAGTCGGCTCCACTATGTTAGCAGTACATATCTTGAAAGCAAAGTCGTAAAACTACTGTAAGGCATACTTGACGCTCTGTCACCTCGCCCTGACCCAAGCATAGTCAATGGAGCCTTACGCCTACAAGTCGCTCAACAAAGGCGAGATCAGATTGCTGAGATTGCATCCCAAGAACAGCATTGGATCGCTATCCGGATCTCTCATCCATGTCCCGCTGACCAATCCCACCTACTGCGAAGGATCCGCAGACAGCGAACCGCATCTTGAGCATCCATACCCATACGATGCAATCTCCTACACTTGGGGCACAGATGCCAGGAAACCGTTCAGTCTCGTGATCGATCACAATCGAACCATTGGGATCACTGCGCATCTACATTATGTTCTCCAGAAGATCGTACAATCCCATACAAGCGTCCTTATTTGGGTCGATGCTATCTGCATCAATCAAGCAAACCAAGACTCGGAGGAGAAGAGTCAGCAAATTCTACTCATGCCAGACATTTACCGTATTTCGAAGCGCGTACAGATTCATCTAGGCCCAGAAGCCAATGATAGCCCCCTTGCGATCAAATTCCTGGAGCACATGGCGGAGTACGCGGAGTACCTAGACGAGAGTCTAAATGTCTCAAATTCGGAAGCATACGCACTCGCCTTGGAGATGGGATATAGCCCTCCCGTAGAAAGCGACAAGACGTGGAATGCTCTGCGCTCTTTCTGGTTGCGGCCTTGGTAAGAAGTGCAGTGCAGTATCTTTCGCAGCTCACTAAACCCGCATATAGGTTCCGCCGCATATGGGTTACACAAGAATTGGTCAATGCCCTGGATCCCGTCATCCATTGCGGAGACCTGGAAATCGACTGGAGAACTCTTTGGTTGGCTGCCCGCGTGTTCCAGAACAACAACCGTCTGATGGAAACGGGTCTGACGATTTTCACCCACCATATTGGCGTGGATGCACTAGAGGGTGCAAATTCCTACTACGCCATAGCAGATATGCGGCTCCGAACCTGGGGTTATATGAGCTCAGCCTACATAGTGACAGCTTGGGCACTAGGGGGGGACAAGCAGACTCCCGCTGGACTTCTTGGCCAGAGAGGTCTGCGCCCTCATGAGAAGATTCCAATCCGACGGGATCGATCCGCTCTTTTGGCTTACGAGCGTTTGTCAAGGCCGAACGCGTTACGGGATCGCGCAGCTGGAAGCATCTTGTTCAACTCTAAATACCCAGACTTGGTCACTATGCTTAGCAGAACGAAGATCTTTCTGGCTACTAATCCAGTGGATCGGATCTACGCTCTACTAGGTCTTGTCTGCGATGTAGATCCGCACGATCCGGACTTCAGGATTGAGTACGCGGCTGCGCAAACCCCAGCCGTAGTTTGTCAGCGCTTCGCAGCTGGCCTCATCAAAAGAAGCGAAGGTGCTGCTGTACTGGGTATGGCTGGAACAACGAGGCAGGCATGCCGAACCGTCTCTGATAGTCCCTCCTGGGTTCCAGACTGGACAACTCCAATACGTCCGAACGACTACGTAGTCTCCTTAAACTTCTTGATGCACGGCCTTAATTATTCCGACAAGCAGTACGGAGTCTCCTACTACACAGCGGGCCCGTCTACTATGGAAGCACGGTTCGAAGACTCCGACAACACGCTCGTTGTCCGCGGTGCCTTGTTTGACACCCTACTCCATATTACGAAGGGAAAACTATTCGCCCCACCAACCTGGTACTTGAACATTCTGCTGGCATTTTCAGCGCCAGGGATAGTCGCAGAAAGAGTGGAAGAGGCTCTTTGGAAGACTCTAGTCGCAAACAGGACAGGCAAAGGGGAGGAAGCTCCACCGGAGTTCGCTGCGCAATACCTAGCGTACAAGCACCGAATGATCCGGGGATTTGGGATTTCATGCTTGGTTGTTGGCTTTCTCTTCTTCCTTTGTCTGCCTTTCATCATATATGGCTTGAGGCGACTCGGCTTGCTCTATCTCATCATGATGTACACCCCAATCTGGCTCATGGGCTGGGACAACCTGCCCTTACCCACCATCACAGCCATCATCCTGCTCCGCAACCACTCCATACCAGTCATACTGATCGGTTGCTGCATACTGGCCTGGCGAGCCAGAGAGCTCTTCACTGCGTATCTGGCCAAGATCGAGGTGGGCTGGCAGTACCTCGCCGGGCTCGTCATGGCCTATAACCACTCCGGCCCCAGGTACCACAAAGGCCCGCCCGAGTGCGCGGACTTCATGGAGAGCTTTTTGCTCCTCGCTGGCCGGTATAACTTGGGTATCACTGTGGCTGGATTTGTGGGCTTGTTTCCACTAGCTGCGAAACCGAGTGACAGGGTTATGATACTGGAGGGCGGGTTTGCGCCTTTCTTGCTGAGAACGGTGGAGGCTGGTGATGCTTTCAGACTTGTTGGCGAGTGCTATGTTCATGGGATTATGAAGGGTGAGCTTTGGGATGAGGCGAGCAAAAAGCTAGAGGAGGTTCGCATTGTCTAGTAGCGCGCTTGGGGGGGCTGTCGATGATTTCTTACGGCATCACGCTGATGTTTGACTGTCTGCAAAATACTGTCTAGCCATCCGAGCTGTGGCTGGTTGGTGCGCTTTTCTATCTGGATGCCGCAACATTGAATAAGTATGTATCGCCAAATACTGACACAAGCTTGAAGCAGGACTGCAGAAGCTTTCTCGACCCTGCAAAGAATGTCTGTAAAGTGAGAGCGGTCTTGAAGATCCAAAAGGATTCCACTTGCCAAGACACTGCAACAGTAGAACGGGCGGATAGTAATCTGTCATGTGGGCGCTGGCTAAGTGGCACAACTTCGACATTACCGATACCTCAGACGATCACCTCTGGGCTGACGAACTTTGGAGGTTCTCTTCTGACCACGATTGGCATCCATTCTGATTCAGCGAGACGACACCGTGGAGCTCAAAGTCCATCGCAAGCACCATTGAGAGTTCGAGACAGGCACATGAACCGGTCTCCCCCAAGGCCCAAGGAGCCAGATACGGGATAGTCCCCGCCGTTAAGTTGTTTTTGATTTGCGCTCTTATCATGTATGGGCTTTCATCGGGACATTGGCGTCTTTTACAGACCGTGAGGTTGATTGGAGCGGTTCTTGATCCTAGACTTCCATTGTTCGTTATATAGATCACAAGCGATTCTTGTTGTGACACAAACACACCATTAATCCTGAGCGTAACACGACACGGTCATCGTGCAACATCAGTCGCAGCGATGTGCCAAGTATGAAGTCGTTATCTTTGAAAACTACCAAACAATGATGCTATGACCCTCCAATCGCAATCATATGACTGACATATACACAAAGCTGCATGGCCAGCCTCCTTACTCCTTGCAATGCAGTTTTGTCATCGGTTGGCTCTGCTTTTGAACAATCTATACAAAGTCACGAACCACTATATGCGTTGCACACACCCTGGAAGTTCGATGAAACGCTTAGTGTTAGGCACCCTTAGCGTCCTCAATGTTCTCAGCAGGCTTGTTGCTGGGGTACAAGAACTCGGTCTGGGGGAAGAACTCCTCCTTGATCAGACGGGGAGAGGTGAAGCGGAGGACAGGGTTCGAAGAGCCAGCCTTGTCGTTGGTACCAGAGGCACGGGAACCACCGAACGATTGCTGGCCGATGAGAGCAGCGGTGGTCTTGCAATCTGAAGTAGTAGTTGATTAGCATACAGTTGAAGTGCGGTATTGGGCGGGAATGACTCACTGATGTAGAAATTACCGGCAGAGTAGCGGAGAGTGTCCTCAGCCTCGCGGACAGCGGAGCGGTCGTTGGCGAAGACGGAACCGGTAAGGGCGAAGCCCCCACCAGCGCCATCGACCTTCTGGAGGATTTTCTTCCAGTCAGTATCCTTGTAGATGTGAATGGAAAGAACGGGGCCGAAGATCTCGTAGTTGAAAAGCTTGTGGTCGGGAGAGTCGGAAAGGTAGACAGTGGGCTTGACGAAGTAACCCTTAGAGTCGTCGTATGTTCCACCGGCGAGAAGCGTGAGCGAAGGATCGGCGTTTGACTCGTCGATGATCTTCTTGATCTTGTTGAACGAGCGGTCGTGGATAACGGGGCCCATGAATGCCGACAGATCTTTGTCGGGATTACCGATGGTGATCTCGTTCACATCCTTGATGAAAGCGTCAAGAAATTCCTGGGAGCGGGATTCGGGAAGGTAGAGACGGGATGTGGCAGAGCACTTCTGCCCCTGGTACTCGAAAGATCCACGAATGGTGTGCTTCACGGCGGATGGAATATCACCGGTAGGGTGGATGAGGGTGAAGTTTTTACCGCTAGTTTCACCGACCATGCGGGGGAACTCGCGGTAAGTACCCTTGCCAATGCCCTGACCAATGCGAGCGCAAAGGGAGCGGAAAACGTCCGAAGAACCGACAAAATTGAGACCAGCGAAGTCGCGGTTAGCAAAGACAACGTCGTTGATGACCTCTGGGTCACCGGGAATAAATTGGATAACATCTTTGGGGAGACCAGCTTCGAGCAAAATCTTGTAGACGATGGTAGAGGCGTAAACATTCGAGGGAGAAGGCTTCCAGAGGACAACATTACCCATTAAGGCAGGTCCCGCAATCAAGTTACCTCCAATGGCTGTGAAATTGAAAGGAGACACGGCGTAGACGAAACCCTCGACAGGGCGGTAGTCCATGCGGGACCACATGCCATCAGAGCCACGGTCAGGCTGGCGAGATATGATCTCAGCAGCATAATTGCAGTTCAGGCGGAAGAAGTCAGCCAACTCAGCGGCGGCGTCGACCTCGCCTTGCCAGATGTTCTTGCCCTGGCCGAGCATAGTAGCTGCGATCAGCTCATAGCGGTATTTCCCCGCAACGAGCTCCGCAGCCTTGAGGAAAATAGCAGCACGGTCAACAAAAAGAGTCTTCTCCCACTTCTTCTTGGCCTCAAGAGCGGATTTGATGGCATCGGAGACCTGCTCCTTGGAGATAAGAGGGTAGTTGGTGAAGACGGTGTCCTTCTCGGCGGGGATAGGCTGGTCCCATGATCCAGCAGAGGGCTGTGATGTGCCGTTCAGGAAGATCTCAGATTTTAGAGGAAGCTGTGACCTGAGCCTCTTAAGTTCCTTGACAAGCTCAATGCGCTCTTCTGAACCCTCCTTGTAAGTAGGGTTGGGCTCGTTGCGTGCTGCAGGAAGCCTGAAGGGGACTGTGACGTTGGTGCGGGCCTGGAGACAAGTGAGAGGCGCTTGGATCAACGGCCGCCTTGTGGCACGAAGTGAAGTGATAGTGCGAATGCTCGACATTTTGAGGATGCGAATGTGAGAGGACTCGAAGGAGTGAGGCTTCTGAATCTCTCAATGTTGGGCTCTGCCTTTTCAGTATGCACAGTGAGGGGAACTGTGGAGAAGCTCAACCACCGACCGGCTGGCATTCCGTTCACCAGCTTTGGCTCAGCCGTCATTTGCCGCCGAGATAGTCACAAGTCACATCCACTGTGTGCAGTGTTGAATATGCCGATATCATCTTTATTCCTTGTACGAAATAGTCCGCTCGGATGCCTGTCCGACCAGTTGAGATGAAGCACGACGGCCAGCAACGCGAGAGGCATCTGGAGTACGATAAGCATCGTAAGACAAGGCTTGAATTGAGGGCAAAAAAGTATTGCTAAACTCGTTATTGATCTTCGTCAGTTCTGTAGCTAACAATGCCTTCTCAAATCCCGCCTGCCGGTGGTTGGTGCCCTGCAGGCTACGGTTAGTAGTTACCCTTTTCGACCCAGTCAGATGAGGTGAATGTTGAAGACCAGGCACACTGTTTTCGCCACCTCTCTACAACAGGGCTTGCAGGCCTTGTGGTATTGGGTATAAATGCGGAAACCATGCTGTTGACGAGGGAGAAGCGCAAAACTTTGGTCGCGACCGCGCGGCGAACCGTAGGGCCGTCTTTCCTCATACATGGATACGAAGTACCTAGATCTCGGATGGGCTTCCGAAGATTCTGTTGCGCACATTATCGTTGCCATGATCCAAATAGGTAATCAGATCCAAAGCTCCAGCGATCACACTGCAGCTCTCACTGCGAGTCTGCATGTGCGCATGACAGCATGAGGATAGCTGTGATGCCCGAAGGATCCGACTTCGCGAAGACCGAATGAGGGCTATGTAAGTTACCCCACACCGTGGTGCAGGGCCGGTTCCAGGCATGAGAGATAGCAATGCAGCGCATTGTTCCTCCAAGGCAGGTTGCTGATCTGGAGATCTTTCATTCTTGAGTAAGGCAGAGACGTTCGGAGGGCGCAACTTGCAAGGAATAAAACAACCGCCAAGTCTTCATTACTAAGACATGACTTCATCCCCAACATTCCCGAGATCCCCACACGCTCACACGCTCACGCAGCAGCTCCCTCGCGAAATGCGATCATGTTGACCGCACAGGACCATACAACCAGGAAATGACATTAGCTTGAGCCTCATTGCCTTGTTGACAATGACACCAGATGTGCCCCGGAATAGACGGAGCTTTATCGGCCTTATCGACCCCGCCTGACTGTGGTCAATATTCTTTCGTGGATTGCTGCAGAATGACAGACATCTGCAGTCATGGCTACTTTTAATGAACAAAGAAGAGTAAAGAAGAGATCTTCGAACGCGTACGACCCCAGATAGTGGCAGTCTTGCCTCCCTTGCTAACAACCGTGCAGCTGCTCCAGATGCCGAAGACAGAAAATCAAGTGCTCTGGCCAGCAGCCCTGTGCGAACTGCTGCAAGCGAAACCTGACTTGCATCTTCAATGATCGAGAAAATAAGGTCTTGGTCACCCAAGGGTATGCTACTCTCCCACGTCGCAGGAAGAGTCGGCGACAACACAGAAGCGATTGTGGCCTTCAAGGTTCTGTTCTAGGTGCAGATGATTCACAGAGGATTTTGACCAAATCCCGCATTTTTGAGAGTTCTGCTCTTTTTAAACCGATTGTTCCTGCAACATGAGAGCCACTCTAGGTCTTAGCGAAGCGTCTCTTCTGACCGGTCTTGCAGGTACCTCTCAGACCTTCTGGCCAAGGTTGCACGACTTCAGCACGTAAACAACGCACCTTCCACTTCAAACCCACCTCTAGAAGACGACCAAAATAACCGGGATCGAACAGGGAGAAGTCACTCGCCAGACGAGGCACCTGGGCGGACGGCGCAGTCCAGCGAAGGTGGGACTCGAGAGAGCTCACCGGGGACAGATGGCCCTCGAGAAGCACGCAACCTGACCAACCCTCTCATTGAAACCCCTTCCAGGTTTATGGCAGCTGCCAATGGACAAACTTGTGGGATTTCTCCGTCGGCTCCTCATCCACTTAACGACACTGACCCGTGACGCAGTTTACATGGGAACATCGTCAAATTGGTCATTCCATGGCCAAGTACTGAGTTTGGTCCATGAGCATATGCATAAATCACCACTCCCCGCCGCGGATTTACTTTTCGATGGTTCTGCGTATGACCTTCCATGGGATGGCACCCGCCACTTGCTCGAGTCTGCTTCGCCAGTCATACCGAGCATCGACTACGCTATTTTCTTGATTAATGTAGTTAAGTTCCACTGCGCTCAGACGATGCATGTCTTCGAAGAGGAAGAGTTTATGTTCAATCTGCACGCTTTCTATTCCAGTACAGGCGACAAGGCTATGTGGAAAGAAAGTTTATGGTACATCCATTTCCTGACGATAGTAGCATTCGGCAAGGTGTTTGTCCAGCAGAAGAATTGTTCATCCAGACCCCCTGGCTCTGACTTCTTTACACATGCTCTACAATTGCTTCCGGACACAAACAGGTTGTGTCGAGATCCCATCGTCGCGACGGAGGTTCTGTGCTGCATTGCACTCTATCTGCAGTCTCTGGACTCACGAAACGCTGCACACGTCACAATCGGCCAGGCGATGCGAATAGCTCTTATTCAAGGTATGCATACCGACATGCCAGTGATGAACCTGGGCGAGGCGACTGTTCAACGCTGTCGTAAGATCTGGTGGACCATCTTCGTTCTCGACCGCCGCATGACCTCGCTGATGGGTCTGCCACAGTCCATACGAGACGAAGATGTGTCCTGTCAGCTTCCAAACTATTCACACTTGCCTCAGCGAGCAGCTGCTCTAAGCATGCAGATCAAGCTTGCCAACGTGCACACCGACATTGCGAACACAGTATATGGTTCGAAAGGGAGGCTTCGCAAGAAGTTCGTCCTCAGTATCAAAGCAGTCCTCGACAAGCTGTCTGGCCTAGCAGAAGAGCTCCGCAGTTCGTTTCCTCTTCAGGCTGATGAGCGCTTCGGTGGCATATCCAGAGTACCGGCGCACTCTCACCTATACTACTACCAGGTAAGAGCTTTCGGTTCCCCTGCAAATCTTTGCTGACAGCTCAAGACTGTCGTAATCGTCACTAGACCGCTGCTGTTCTGCTGCATGAAGAAGGTCTTTGAATCGCCACAACAAGTCGTTCCTCTGATATCTTCGTCCAAGATTAGAAAAATGCTTCATATGTCTCTGGAAGCGTCGCAAAAGATACTGGAGATTCTCGAAAGCTTACGAGACCAAGGACTGCTCGGTAAGACCCTCCTGTCGTATCTTGTTCCCCACGCTGATGTCTTCAAGAAGTATTCCTTCCTTGGGATCTTGATGCGCTTTTCGTATCGACCATGGTCCTCATTCTTACTCGCTTCGTCGATTCCACCCTCTTAGACGACCGGACGCTATGGCTAGAGAAGGCTCTCGCGCTCATGGAAACCATTGTTGTTGGTGGCAACCGTATTGCAGACTATCGCATGCGTGAGCTGCGTAGATTGGATGAGATGCTTGCAGAGTATGCTGCCATGCAGGAACGACCGCGACTCACCGAGGCGCTCAATGATCAACAGATTACGCAGTCCGACACCAACACCATCCAGATCGCAGCAGGAGTTCCTGAAAGTTCTTTAAGTTCGAAGCCCACGTTCACCTCGCCAGAAGACGATCCCTTGTACTCAGGCTTTAGTGATGAGGGAAGTGGCTTTGGTGATGATCTCACGGCTGAACAGATCCTAGCGGTCGCTGAATCTATGGACATCGAGGGCACAGATTGGCTCTCTTTCGGTGTCTTTAGCAACTACCAACCTCTGCAACCTCTAGATATGGTAGATCCATCGATGCAGTAAGACTCGGTTACGCGAGTGCAAGACACAGGCAGAAGTGTTGCATGTGGGTGGAGTTTGGAGTACACGGAATGACATAGACTTGAGTGAACTAATGTGAGGTCTGAAAAAGTCCTTGACCGCATGAGAGTGTTTCCTATCAGGACTCTCACTGTATTCCCCGCCGCAACAGTTATGCCACGTCAATACAACCTCCCCTTGATCCAGGTACACGACAGTCAATGCAAAGTCCGAGATGAGACATTTGAGAGCAGTACCAAGCTACGGCTGTCTTGTCACAAGTAATGCGCTGTTGAGATGCGCTGTCAGCGAAGCACACAACGCAGGCTCATTGCCGAGAAGTAAAAACATCCATTACACAATTGTATATGCTTTCTAAGCTAAACAATCTACAATTTGGCGACAGATGGTGTGATGTCCTTCAGCTCTTGGACATCACCGACACGCCAGCTGACATCGTCCTGGCTAGCGACACCCTCATTGGGCTTGTTCGTCTTCCACTGCCACCTCTTCTCGGTCTGCTTGCCCTCAGGAGCGTTGAGAAGGTCATTTACCCACGAACCAACGATGGGAAACATCTTAAAACCGTGACCAGAGTCACCAGACAGAACAATGACGCTGCTACCGGTCTCAGGCAGGTAGTCGATGACGAAGTCCGAATCGCTGGTGTCAGCGAACCAACATAAGGTCTTCTCGACAAGAGGACGGTCGGCGAGGTAGGGGAGTGTTTGTTGGAGCAGTTCGCGCATCTTGCGCTCATCTTCGGGAGGCACGAAGCGCTGAATATCCTCAGGCGCCTCAGACACACCGGTCTTGGGGTTGGTATTGATGAAGCCACCACCCATGGGGCAGAGCTTAAGGAGATTAGTCTTTGGATCTGGCTCGAAGAAGAAACCAAGATCGCGAGCATATGTCACGGGGATGCCGCGAAGCGCTGCGGTCTCCTCGTCTGTAAGGCGGACGTGAGCAACAGACCATGACTTCGCAGAAACTTGCGCGCCAGCCTCAGGCACGATCTTCGATACAGCAGCACCGGTGGCGACAATGACTAATGAAGCAGTGTGGAATTGGCCGTCTTTTGTCCTGACGCCAACGCTCTTCCTGCTCGACCCGGTTCCCTCGTAGACGATTTCATGGATAGAACCTCTTCTTTCGCCGAGGAAGAAACGGACACCATTCGACCTTGCAGCGCGGTAGATTCCACGGAGAGCATTCGCAGAGTGAACGTAGCCGTCGTAGCGGTTGAAGTAGCCCTTCCACCCGGGCATCTCACCCTGATTGAATTGCCAGCAGATGTCCTGAAGTTCCTGGCGCGTGGACACAGTCGAAACCCAGGGTTTGATTTCGGGGTGTGCCTCACCCGCCGCTTTGAAGGAGTTCATTGAGTTGATGGCCTTTTGTGTGCCGGCGCCAGACACGCAATTCAGGTAACCGACTCGGTGGAAGTAGGGCATATAGAGAGGGGTCTGCCATTTCTTCGCAGCTTCCTAGATGAATATCAGCATACGTGTTTGTCCAAACAGCAACTACTACACAACCTACAACGCCAAGTTCTGTGTACCAAGGGTCCTCGTACTCAGCACGCATAATTTTGTTCAGATCGTTTGCCGCCGACCATCTCGAGGGAATATCTGAATCCTTCTCGAAGACTGTAACAGCTGTGTAGCCCTGTTGCGACAGCTCAAAAGCAGCCGACAACCCAAACGCTCCTCCACCGATGACAGCAATGTGCTCATGTTTTGAAACACTCATTATGACAAACTACGATGGCCACAGTCAACGAAAGTAACAACGGATCGAAGGCAAGCGAGGAGATGGGTACTTGACTGTTTCGCACTCGATGGAACTTCACAACATAATACACCAGTATTCAACTGAAGCACACTGATTCCGAACAGCACGCCGCATATCCTCCACTCGCGCCAAATCGGTCTTATCGATAGGCTACATGCATTAGCGTGAAGTAGATGCGTTGCCCCGCAGTCGCAGCACCACCGGCAGGCATACCGTGCGCGCAACGGGCATGAATCCGACACCGATACCCCACAACATTTAGGTAAAGATCACCGGAACGGACCCGGAATCCGATGGCCAGACGGTACGATTATGTGGTTCAGAAAAGATATTCAGTGCGAAGCAAAGCGAAGCTGAGACCGGAACTCGGTGTGGTTCACGGGACGGATTCGGACTGAAAGGGTCCGCAAGATTCACGCGTTGACACTCGAACTGAGCATTTTACGTTTCTGAGAAGGCTGAAGTAGCGAATATCACGACATTCTCTACTACAGCTCCATGTCTTTGATAACTCAGCAAATTGCCCCGGAGCGCCCAAGATTCGCATGGGGGGATTGGAAGGCAAGCACATTGCCCGCACAGCTCGCAGGAGACCTTGGCTCTGAAATTGTATCGGCGACACTGATTTCATCTTTGCTCACAGCAACTGACCAGTAAGTGGTACCGCCAGAATCAAGCGAGATCAAATGGAGTCACATGTTGACAGATCTCAGTGCGGTTGTTGAGAATGCAGCCTGGCCTGCGCGAAACCCATTTGCACAGACGTTGAAGACGAACATCATTTGTTCGTTTCGAAATCCAAGGCGGTTCCTTGGTACTCAACCATTCATCATCATCTGGACACTGTATGCAGCGACATATGCAACGGCAAACATAGTTGAAACCACAGCGAGGCATCTGACTCAGCAGGCTGATGAACTCTTGGTGCAATCTGTTACATTTTTGTCGACAATCACGGTTAACATACCACTAGGTGCTTGGAAAGATGTACGTTTTGTCCAGATTTTTGGCAGGCTGTCGGCACCGGGTGCCGCACAGATAGAAGCTGCAAAGACAGCACCTCCGCCAGTGCAACGACCAAAATTTCCCAGAACAGCGGCATCAACCTTCCTCATTCGAGACGCAATCACCATCTTTGGAGCCGTCAATTTGCCTCCCATGGTCTCAGTATCACTGCAAGAAGACAAGTTTGCAAATCCAATGCTCAAAATGGCGACGATGCAGCTCCTGATTCCAGTGTTCTCGCAGATTTTTGCGACACCTATTCACCTCCTTGGTCTGGACATGTACAGTCACCCAAATGGCGCGTCTTGATGTCAAGGATTAGACAGAACCTTGGAGCAAAGACTTTGGTTAGATGTGCCAGGATCGTTCCGGCTTTCGGTGTCGGTCTCATTGCAAACACTGGACTGCGAGAGTACTTCCATGTGAAGGCCGGATACGTGAAGAAAGCCGCATGAGACAGCAGCATCTGAGAAAGCTGCCCTGCAGCAGATGCGGAGTCCACACTCAAAAGGCAGAAACCAACATAGAATCATGTACCCGCATTCACCGGCGTTCTGTAGTGGCTACACATGGCTTGAATCGGAGGGTCTACACGCTATTCCCACACATCATCGGCTTTCAGCCTCATTTTGCCCTGTACAGCCAGCGACTGAGTCAACTTGGTAACAAGCCATTCAATCGAGCATCTAAAATTTGTTCGGGCCAATTACGTGGCTTAGCGTGTCAGCTCCTGCACCCTTAGACCGAGATCTTAACCCGATCTGACGCACCTCACCCCGCATGCCACGCTCCCCGACAAAGAAGATAAGTTGGGCCGCACCTCGATGTTCGTACCGATTGTAATAGTACCTGTCACATCATGCAGGATAGTGATAAGCATTGTTGCATGGAGCTACGCACTAGTCAGTACCAGATATGGGCAGTAGATGCGAACCGGCAGTGCATCCGACCTACGGTACTTCGATGCGAAGGTCACAAGGACATGTGAGGGCCACCTTCTCGAAGCATATAGCGCTGAAGCGGGGTCATTGATACATCTTACAATTTAGCGGATGGACGTGGGCGATAAGCCAAAATAATCATCATTCACGGTGTACACTTTAAGACTTAATCTTCACGTTTGTGTTAGGTTCGTATATCCTGAGGGCTTACTTCCTCACTACCTTCCCACTCTCCGCTCAGCCTCATACTAGACAGCAAGAGTACGATGCTTTACGCCAGATACGGCGCCCCTGCGGTGCTGAGGGCCGTTGGACGGAAGGATGGGATCACACTCACCGCCATCAGACTGTCATCAGCCTACACAGCAAGAGGCGCATCAATGCAGGAGACAAGGTCACCCATAAAAGCAGCGCCATTGTCAGCAATGCCTCTGCCTATGTTCTTAAGATCACTTCTTGTTGCCACGATCTCGTCCAAGAAGTGGCTACTCGTTCCTTCTCTCCACCTCCTCGACTTCTTTGCAAAGCCGAACAGAACTTGGGTGTTCAATCTCGACAAGAACCCCGTGCTAAAAGCCATCATCAAGAAGTCGTTCTATGATCAGTTTTGTGCAGGCACAACACCAGCCGAAACTAGAGCATGTGTGAAGGCACTGAAGGATATGGGATTCCGCGGTGTAATCCTTACATACGCACAGGAGATGGTGTTTGACAGCAAGAGCGGTAAAGGGTACAGTTCCGGAGCTGTAGCGGAAGCCAAGGAGGAGAAGACGGGTGTCAAGATTGACGATGTTATTGAGTCCTGGAGAACAGGTACTGTCGGTACCATTGATCTGATCGAAGAGGGAGATATTTTGGCTATCAAGTGGGTTGCCACCACGCTCTCACGGTGACTCTGTATTGACGCGATCATAGGACATCTGGAGCTGGACCTGCAGTTGTCGACGCATTCCACAAGGGCGAAATTCCACCACAGCAGATGCTCGATGCTCTTGATGCGATCGGCACAAAGTGCAAGGAGCGCAATATCCAGATTATTGTTGATGCCGAGTCTCAACACTTCCAGGAAGGGATTGCTCGTGCTTCTCTCGAGATGATGCGCAAGTTCAACACCGATGGCCGCGTTGTCGTCTATAACACATACCAAGCATACCTCAAGAGTACTAGGTCGCTCATCGCTTCTCATCTCGCTGAGGCCGAGAAGGACGGCTTCACTCTCGGTCTCAAGCTCGTTCGCGGTGCTTACATGGCTTCTGATGATCGCTCCTTGATCCACGACACGAAACAAGACACAGACGACAACTACAACAGCATCGCTCAGGGTGCCCTCCGCCAGCAGCTCGGCGAATATGGCGTCTCTCGTCCCTTCCCTTCGGTCAAGCTCTTTCTTGCATCCCATAACCGTGAGTCTGTCGTTTCCGCCCAGAAACTTCACGAGCAGAGGGTTGCTGCCGACCTTCCCACTGTTGATGTCAGCTTCGGTCAGCTCCACGGCATGTCCGATGAAGTATCATTCTCGCTCCTTGCTGAGAAAGGCAACAATGGTCAATCACCTGCTGTCTTCAAATGCTCGACATGGGGGAGCATGAGCGAGTGTATTGGTTACTTGTCGAGGAGAGCAGTCGAGAACAGGGACGCCGTTCTGAGGACGAACGACGAGTACACAGCGCTTCGGAAGGAGGCCGGGAGAAGGCTGCGATCTGTTTTTGGCGCTGCATAAATTCACAAGAAGCGATTTCCTCAAGCGTCAAGACGAAGTCGAACACGAAATGTTCCAAATAATCATCCACGACCCCCAAAAAAACCTCTATCACCTTTTTGTATGTGATGTTCACCTATCCTGGGCCTCGACATGGACAGGAAGTTCACCTCCTACAACGGTGGTAGTAGATCTGTCGTGATGCATTGTGGGGTCGCTGCGGAGAGGGCGGCTAATATCGGTCTCGCGAACAGTTCCTCTGTCAGGCTAGTCTTATCGCGGAAGTGTTCAGGGACTGGCCCAATGACATAGTGCGTAGTCGGGAGGCAGCCCGAAGCAAGGCACTCTTTGGTACGATTTGAGGACGACTATGAGACGAAAAGAGCATGACTTCTTTTTTTAATAACCCACTTGCAATCTCCTTCCGACTCTTGACTGAAACAACGGAACTGAGAGCGTCGTTGTAAGACCATGTCCGGCAAGACTCTGTCAATTTTGGGTTGTGGCATGTGGACGATTCACTCGATGTTAGCCTAGCTAATTTGGGATAGGCAACCTTGGGCAGCCAATTCTGAGCAGTCTTCTCGGCGAATCTGGCAGCGACAAAAATTTAAAATTCGATAAGTACATTGCATGCGTAAGGAGCGAGGCTTCTGAGAAGAAGTTGGGCGAGAAATATCGGGAAGCTGTCGAATCAGGGAAGCTTTCCATCTCAAGAGGGGACAATGTCAAGGCTGCACAAGACGCAGATGTTGTAATACTTGGAGTTGATCCAGCAGATGTTGAGTTAACTCTCAAGCAAGAAGGTCTGTCTGCTGCGCTGAGCGGGAAGCTTCTAATCAGTCTTGCTGCTGGGTGGACAAGAGCAGACATCGAGAAGCTGCTTATATTGAGCAAAGACAAGATCTGGGTTGTTCGCACTCTGCCAAACATCGCCGCGCAGGTTTCCGAGTCACTCACAGCGATCGAGGACCCTGATAAAGATATACCGAAAGAACTGGTGGCGATCACCGACACAATCTTCAACCAGGTTGGAAAGATCGCGCACATTGACCCGAGGTTGATGAACGCTTCGACAGCCGTAGGAGGGTCGACACCCGCGATGTTCGCTGTTATCTGCGATGCTTTTATCGACGCATCAGTGGCTGTTGGTATGCCTAGGGCAACTGCGCAGACCATGATCTACCAGAGCATGGTCGGCACAGGACGAATGTTGCAAAGCGGCATTCACCCCGGCGTTCTCAAGGATCAGGGAACATCACCGGAGGGCTGCACGATAGGTGGTTTGATGGTGATGGAGGAAGCTGGTATTCGTGGTCATCTTGGCAAGGCGCTCAGAGAAGCCGTGACTATTGCGCGCTTGATGGGTCAAAATCCTCACGTCAATGACACTCGGCAAGGGCAATAGAATGAAGAAGAGTCCGTGGTCGCAATCGATCACGATACTGATAGAAGTGGGCGATACCGTGTTGTCTGCAAGTAATTTCTGCGCGTGAAGCGCGTTGTTTTTTCTGAAGGTCGTAAGCACGCAAGAGCTCCTTTGTAACGGTTGAGAGGAGAAGCAGATCACGTGTTGTTGGCGGTGGTCTTGTGCTGCTTCCTCATGTTGTTGAGCACCTCTTACCTCAGCTGCATCACAAACACGTCGTCAAAACAGACCCCGCAGCGAGCCTTGGAGAGAAAAGATACAAGCAGAACAAGAACACAGAACAACACAATACACTCGTTTACATCTGCCCTTGATACCGCAACATCCTTCCCCTATCGTCATTTACACCAGCTGTTTCCGGCTCGCTACGCACCGACCCTGACTTAACCTCTCTCATTCTTGCTCCAGGTTAACAATTCAGTCTTTCGACTTCCTACCATGTATAAACGCCGCCAAGCTAACGCAGAAAAGCCCATGATGCCACATGCGCCTGCAAATATCTGTGCGTACAGGTAATCGCCATGCCTGTATTCGATCAATGCACCTCCAACTGGACTGTCAATCAGAATCCCAAAGCTTGATAACGCGAAACCCATGCCAAAACGTGTGCCTGTCTTTCTTGGATCGATCGTAAGATCTGCCATGGTTGCTGGAAAGAGCCCTTATAGAGTGCTAGCGAACAACCCGTACACGACTGCAAACACGTACATCGAGGCTGTCGACTTGATCGCAATCTACACGAAGAGCAAGAGTGCGGTTATTAGGTTGATCGGGAGGCCCACGTGAACAGGACGGAAGTAACGATCCGCCATGTACATCGGAATGAGTCGACCGGGAACTCCAACGCCATTGAGCACCATTAGAATGGGTAAAGTCTCTTCCAGACTCAGTTCTAGTTGGTTGCGCGCGTATGCGTTGACATAGAAGAATGCGAAGTAGCGCCCACTAAAGTGTAGGAAGGAGCCAACTATCTACACGGGTTAGCGGGGGATTGTATAGACGCAGTGACATACGTACAAAGAGTACAAAGACACTGTCTTTCAGCTCGTTCGGTTCGAAAAACTTCGCCGAGTCCTTCGGTGGTAACCTCTTCTTCAGCAACCTCTCAGCAAGCACAAGCAACGCGAGTGCCATGAAGCCGAAAGACCTGACAGACCAGCTGTAGCCGATGATCCCAAAGAGTCGATTGAGCATCATTGGAAATACCATACCACCTGTTGCAGATCCACATAAGATCAGCCCGATGGCAAGGCTCCTTCGACTAGGGTCAAAGTATGTCGATTGTTTCGACATTGTTGGCACGAACATGCACCCATTTGCGAGACCGATACACACTCCTTGCGCCAAAAGATATTGCCAGTACTCATGACGCACGCTTGTCGTGCAGATGCCAACCAGCCGGAGCGCGATATCGATCCTCAATACCGGCTTAAAGTAGCCAGCATCAGAAGCTGACCCTGACCAGAGGGGGATGAGCATCAGGAAGAAGATCATGATAGACCCTATCCAGTAAATTTTCGACGGCGATGAGACTCCGTTGGAGGTATAGTATGCCTGAAACATCCCAAAATTTTGTATGTTGAGCAGGGTTCCAGCCGGTATGTACACGAACGAAAGTGGGTTTGAAATACCTTGTGATGAACCCCCAGACGAAAAAGGTCATAATGTGTCCGCCGAGGACTTACGACCATGATACTCATCCGCCATTAGGTGGAGGTTCGATCGAAGAGACCCGGCTGATGTCAAAGGTCGATGTTGGCCCTGTGTTCTCGGCTACAGACTTCAGCTCCAGCCTTTCGACCGTCTCGATCGAACCACGTGTTTCTTCCTGCTCCATAAGGTCGAACCGGGACCTCAAAAAAGTAGTAGCAACAAAATCGGTATTGGTAACTGAAGGTTAAAGACGTCGTCGTTCACATGTAGAATCAAAGGGTACAGCCGTGGGAATAGCTGGCTACGTAATTTCCGAATGCAAGTGCAGAATAACGACGCGAACCCCATTTCGAAAACACTGTGATAGTCGCCGTCTCTCGCCGCATCGCCATCTGGAAACATCTATTTGAATGCGGATTGAACACGAAGAAAATTGGTGACCCATTTAGCATAAGCTGGACCGCTGCATGCGGCTGCAAACCACGTACGAGGAGCTGCTACAGACTGCAACTTGATTCTTGCATGTGTACAGAGCAGGCGAACTTAATCCTCATGGTATCGTTTGAAGAGGGGAGTGAGATACTGTGGGTTCATTGTTCCGGTAGTTCGCCACGTTTCTCCAAAGTACTGTCCACAGCTTGCATACTTTCAGTGAGACACGGCCAAATGAGTCGAAAGAACAGCTTGCACTGATTTGTATGAGACATTGACTCACAATATTACAGTACATCCTCTCAAGCAGTCCACTTCTATTGATATCCAGCAACGATAGGAACAAACATTGTGTATCTTCACTAAGCTCATCATGAACAAAGCTCCACAATGGCACGGGCAATACTTAACTAAGTCTCACTGTAGATCAAGGTATATCATACCAAGTAATCATTCTCACATATCAAGAACCATCTGCCTCCAGCGCTGTGCGCCTAACTCAACATGGTTCCGGAAGCCAAGATCGAGGATTCGGTCAACAAAGACCTTGCAAACCCCTCTGATATTCAGCGACACTTCTCATTCGAGCGTTCTCTCGGCGAAGACAGCGATGGTTAAGTCTCTGCTTACCTGCATCGCTCCAGCAAACGCATCATCGCCGTGAAGATTCCTCACGCTGGTCGCTATGGAGCATCTGAGGTGATCCGTTGCGAAGCCAAAACGCTGCAAACCATTGGCGCATATGATAAGCATGAGAATATCAATCACATGATTGCGTACCAATCTACCTATGGCACTATTCCTTGCCCGGCCATCTTCTCTCAGAGTGCTGAATTTGGGAGCTTGATGTACTACCGTGGCGCCTGGCGCCAGCAAGGGGCTCGGAATAAGTGAGCAATCACCATTCGAGAGCCAACAGTATGGAAGTTGTTCAAGGACATGGCCCTTACTCTGGATTTTCTGCACAACAAGTGTGGGTTCATTCACCGCGATGTAAAGCCAGACAACATTCTGGTAACTCGTTCGACGACTGATTACGGTAGTGATATTCCTGATATACCGGTCTTCAAACTGGGCGACTTTTCCCGTGCAGTCGCATATCCCTCGACTGACTAGAATGTCTACACGTGGGCTAGCTCCGTACATTATGCACCTCCGCTTTCAGAGCGACAATCCGGTGAGCCTGCGCGTCCTGCGGGTGATATGTGGTCTCTCGGCGCTACACTGCAGGAGTTCGCTCTGAGTACGGATCCTCGCCAGTCGCGGAAAGCTTTCGTAGATCAGATGAAGATTTGGCGAGTACCACATCCAAAGCTCTACAACGACGAAAATATCTGGAAAAAACGTGGGTGGCAGGAAAAGTTTTGCGCAGCTTACCGACCGCTGGATCTGGAGGCATTTATGCTGGAAGCACAGTGGGACTTGGTTGAGCCACTGTCATTCTGCTATCAGCCGTTCAGCAATGAGCTTAATAAGTGGTACGATAAGCTGTGGGTCATTGATTCTGAACTGCGATCTACTCCTGCATCGCTCGTAAAGGAGCTGATCCCATTCATCGATTGCTACATTGGAGTTGTCAAAAGTCCAGAGACGTATCGCAAGGATAGCATACTGTCCCTTCAGACTATGACCTCTCCAATTGCGCGTCGACAAGCACCTACTCCTGAGCGCATGCGTGGAAATGACCGAAAACCCAGCTACAAGGGCAGAGACTATTCCGCTGTTTCTGCAGAGCTGCGCCTGCGAGAAATTAATCAAACCCGCCTTAGAAGTCATGTAACCACGTGGCTCAGACCACATGATATCCTATTGTAGCAGGCACTGCCCGGTGGGCAAGTACACTTACCTGAGAGCTGAGAGCTTGTGTAACACAACAACACGACATCACACAACACGACAACAGATAGCAATACACTCTTTGATCACAATCTCCGACCGACACTGCTCACGCAGTTACAAGTAAGAACCCGAGACCACATGAAGGTCCTGCTAAGCGTCTTGTGCAGCTTTGTGCAGAAACCATCGTGGATTGAGTGAACGTACAAGGAAAGTTCCAAAGGTAATCGGGACCATCTAGAGAATTTTCATATACTTGATATTTCTATGGGAGACTTCAACCAATGCGCGTGATCCGAGTTTAGCGAGTGCTCCTGCGGGTTAAGTCACTTTCACTTCTGAGGCAGCTAGCTTATATACTCCCAATCTACCTGAACCAGACTAGCTTACCATAACTGAACTCTTTTCTGAAGCATTGCATTGCCACTCTTAATCCACATCTGCTGCGACATTCTGTCGTAACCTTTTCACTCTACTCAGCACCGACACAGCACAGAAGCCCTACCAAGCAACAATGCGCTGGTTCAATGACGTATGGGAAGCTCTCGACGGCTTAGGCCAGGAAGCTGGAAAATATATTGAATCAGTCGCAGCGTAAGCCTGGAAAACTGCAGACCACGTCGGCCATGAAGCAGCAAATACAGTTAGACACAACGTTGGTGAAGCCTGTAAAGCTGCAGACGCGTGGGGTTAGGAAACGGGAAGACATATTGGTCCTGGTAACTAAGGCACAGTGGAATGGGCCAATGAGCATCCAGGCGAGACTGCGGGTATTGTTGCTTGCGTTGTCGCTATACCGGTCGCCATTGCGGCCACAGGCCCAATCCTGGGTGCCGCAGGCTTCACTGGTCAGGGAATTGATACTGGTGAGTCTCTTTCTCTTGTCTACATTCGCTGGCTAAGGCAAGAAATATCGACATAGGATAGGCTCCGCTGCTGCTATTGCTCAGTCCGCAGTAGGCAACATCGCCGCCGGTTGTACCTTTGCGATTCTTCAGAGCGCAGAAGGAGGCAGCTCGGGTACTGTCATCGTCAATATTGTCGTTGCCGGCACTGTCCTTGGTGTCGCGGCTGCAGCTACAGCACCAGGCCTTATCAAGGCTGTCAACGAGAGCAAGAGCAAGGAGGAAGACGCTTGGAGGGCGGACGCCGAAAACACGAAAGACTGAACGGAAGCTGTATTTGGGCCTGTGCATATTTGGACGGACTACATGTAAACGACGCGGGTAGAACAAAAATGGGGCTCATCGGAGCATGGCGTTTGCCTTGTTTGAGTCAGGACCGGAAGGACATCGAGCACATCGACGTACGCGTGCCATATAGCTATATGAGGCTCTGTGGTTTCTGAGGTCCTCCTCTCTAATCTGATCTATTTTAGCATCCAGAGTCTCAATTCCGCTGTTAGGGTGTCCATCCGGACCTTTGTAGCCAGTAATGATGCCATCCGCGCGCGGAGGTTCTCTTCGTGAGTTCTATAGTGCTCTAGACAGAGTGTCTGCTTGCTCGTGTCTATCTGACACGTCGAAAAATACATAGGTTAAAAGGAAATGGTCAGAATCAGGTTTAAGACTTCACGATCTTCACACAGGCTAATCATCAGCAGGCTAGTCAACCTACAAATATACTGTTGATCTCGTTCTGTTTGACAATTCGCATTGGGAAAGTCTACCTGGATTCTGACATCCACAGCAAGTACTATGTAACATAACTGCGCATACTCATTGTTAGGCGCACACGCCTGCAGTACTTCCCATCTCCGCGAAAATTGACACCCTGGATTTGTGCGTATCCTAAAGGCCATCTATTGTAATGACCATGACTTCAACATACCCTGGTGCCTTATTAACGCAGAGATAGCACATGCCCTTGACGACGTTGAGATTTCTGAACAACATAAGAGAATCAAAGGTTGTACAAACGCTCGATATGATATTACCATCACGCTCTGGACTACTCGGTACTCTAGACGAAAGCATACCTGACACATAGCTTAGAACGTAAAAGACCGGCTCTCGAGTACAACAGACAAATACCAGCAAAAGATAGAACCAAGCGCCAAGACCAAGGGCAGCGATATGGGCAAGAGTAGCTGTTGCAGTAGACTGGCTCCCTTTCTACGCCATGCATACAATACCGAAATAAGATTGTACGCGGCATCAAGCGGTAAGGAGATATTCTGGTGTATCAAAGCCGTCGAATTGCGCGCGACTGGATTCTGTTGACACAGTGAGCCTATTTTCGCCATGGCTGTCATCCTTGCTAGGCGAGACAGGAATAGATTGGTCTCGACTGGAGCAGCCTCGATTGACTTACAGTTGCCGACGCCTGGAAATCCAGTCAACTTTGTGTGGTGTCTTGTTCTGATGCTGGCTATTGAAGGCAGGCATCAATCGGGCGGGAACGAGCCTTGCCTGTTGCGGGTCTACCGGTAAATCACACTTTCATTGCGAGCGTAAAGTATCAGAAGGCGGGGACTGAAGGTCGAGTATTTGCTCGGTATCTACGACATATGTATTCTTGACGATCTTGTCCGCCTATGATACGTGAACCTTCGCGCTCGATCACGTCGTGAATGGGTTGTAGAAACTTCCTGTCCGATCCGAAAGTTCCTTCAGCTTCTTGTTCTGCCTCCGGAGGTATGTCTTCGATGTGAACGCCATGCAGAACGTCAATCCCGCAAACACAATCTGCAAGATCATGGCCATGGTGTAGCGCGGCTGATCGCTGTCGGGAAAGAAGTACGGAGACATCTAGAAGAGTGTTAGAGCGGATTTGATCTGAACAGACGACTCAGACTCAGACTCACCACATTGCCCAAGTGGCCGCATATATTGACGATAGCGCCACCAGCAGCTCGCTTCTCTGGTGTCTGTCCTAGAGAGCTCACTGCCCACGTGTAGACCAAAGCATTTGCTGAGAAACTGCCTGAGGTGTAGAGGAACGCTGCTGTGTAGCGAGCTGCAGTGTTGAGAGTAGCCACGGAAATAATGAAACCGATGATTGCGCAGCAGTTGTTGGCCATGATGTGGAAACCACGCTCTTTCTTGCGATCCGAGGACCAGGCCACGAAGAAAGACACCGCTGTACCTAGTATGTATGGAGGCGCTGTGAGGAGGAGCGACATAGTGTTGTTGCCAATGCCGAAACCACGCACCATAGTAGGGAAGCTGTGAGGAATTTAGTCATTTAATAGCATTCGAAATCATGGTGGACTGTACAAATTGTTGAATCCGTAACTGCTTGTCATGAAGATATTCATGAAGATGAATATCTAGTTACATGATCAGTAAAGGCTGGTCGCATGAGGGCGCGATTGTACCTACGTAGGTCTTCACATCAGTAAGAGCAAGTCGTAAGCCATGCCATACGGTCGACTCGGTGTGTGCCTCGACGCGATCAGCTTCAATTCTCGCCACGGCGATTCTTCGCATGTCTTCGGTCATTGACCACATCTGGCCACCAGTCTTTGAGTGTGGATAGTTGGGAAGGACCCAGAACGCTGTCAGCGCGAAAAATGCACTCAACGCGGCTTCAAGGATAAACAGCCACTGTGGCGGATTAGCTTGTGAACGGAAATCACTGCAATCGACTGGACTTACCTGCCAGCCCTGAAGGCCGCCGAGACCGACCATGCCCGATAGAACACCGGCTGCAATCAAGCCCGAGAAAGCTTGGGCGAGGACAAGTCCCGAGTAGAGGAGGGCAGTACGAAGCGCAAGCTCTCGGCGAGTGTACCAACACGACATCAGGAAAACGGCCTGGGCTAGTCAGTAAATCTTATCTGTACAAGGATGAGAGGACCTACTCCTGGGAAAAGGGGAGCTTCAATTATGCCCAAGACAAACTGGACGGCGAACAACTCTCCAGGACTCTTGACACCGGCCGTAGCGGCCGACACACCTGACCACAGAAGTGCACAGGTGGGCAAGTAGAGCTGTGGACGAAGCCGCGTAATCAACATGTTCGATGCTTCGGATCTATTAGTAGAGGTGTACACGACAACCCAACATCAACTTACGCAGCTGTGCAAGCATGTAACTGAGAAAAGTCAGTGTTGCCATCGTTAAGTATATCATGGGCAGCTCACCCGACTGTGAGCAAGGCAACGGCTGTGCTATAGTCGGTGTTACCCAATTGCAGTGTTTCCTCGAAGTCAGAGTCCAGGCGAGCTTGACTATTCGATATTGTTAGTGTTGGAAGAACTGGCTGCTACAGGAAGCATACGCAATATTAACACGGTTGAGGTAGTTGAACACTGGAGAAGGTCAGCTTTTCGTGCCTTATTCCATAAATGCTGCGGTCAAGACCGTACTGTACAGTATCCAGAGCTGTGGCAGCAAAGTCATGTCGAGTCTCCGAACAATTTTCTTTTCCTTCGCCTGCCAGTCCTCGATACCCAGAGCCTCGATGGCGTTTAGCTTCTTAGATTCTTGGTCGACTAAGGACAGGTTCGTGGGAACAGTCTCGAGATAGTTGGTGTCTCCCGCGTCTTTCTCAAGGGCCGTGTGCGGCGCAGCCGATCCCACCGTGTTACCATGCACGATCGGTTCAGAGTCTGAGTTGTTTGGTACGCCGGTCATGATGCCAGTTGAACGAAGAGGGGAGGAGAAGGTAGGAACGAGTGTTACATAGTGGCAAGACGATCATCCATCTTTATACAATCCAAGCTACTCCACACTTCCCCAGTTTGATCTCTGACATACTACTCCACATCCGATACACTACCCTACGTTCCTGGTGGTGAGAGATGATCACTCGCGTATACAAACTCTCGAACATTGGCACACGGATCTCATTTGCTGTGCCACATTGGCAGCCTGGCATGCATGCTTGGTCCACTCGATGCGCCGTGAAGCCGTTGTAGTCATCTGGGAAACAAGTCATTACGTTGCTGTTAATGTGACGACAAGACCGTATGAGGCAATCCGCTGGATTGTCGCCCAGCAAACGACAAGATTCGGCAAATGCGTCTATGGCTACTGGTCTAGCATTGTTGTGGGGATGGACTCTTGGTGTTATTCGATCTGCCGAGACTCTGGGGCCGTGTTGAGGTGCCGAGCCGGCATCAGTGCCGAGCAACGGGTGCGCCGCTGACGCGCTAATCCTGACAGTTGTGAAAGACCGACTTCGACCGCAAAGGGCCCTTGTTCGTTACGTCTACTTGGAATTTTCAGAACCCGGGGATGAGGCTGAGACCGCGACAGTGGAGCGGCTTGCCATTTGTCTACCACTGAGACGAGACTCTTTCAGCGTCAGCACTTACTTGAACGCTGCGTCTATTTCCTCAAAGTCGGTATTGCAGTGGATCCATCAGCCATAGCGGCTGGGCAAGGTTGAACTTGGGAAACTATCCGACGCGCATTGGCCTACTTCGTACAAGCGCACGGCCGGCCGTTAAAGGTCCACTTTCTTGAGATCCGAGAGATTCCTCCAGTACTACAGCTCTCAGGCTCAAGCATGAGGCTCTTAGACAGCCACAAAGGCGCCTCACACCCGTCCCGAAGAGAGCCCGCAGCGCACTGTAACCTCGAAGTCCAAGCTCTTGCACTTTCTCCGCATGCATGGTCGTCTAGCTTAGGGTCATTCTATATTGTTCTGGGTGGAGCTTTTTCAGAAGGTCCGGGTACGTCTGCGCAGCTTGGTCAGATGCCTTCCATGGTTACCACGGCGTGACATGCGTAACAATTACCCTCCGATGGAATAGGAGCAAGATCTGCTAGTGTCTCCCCGCATGACAATGAATTTGTTCGAGACAGCGGTTTCTCCGACGCGTAGGTGCTAAAGGTGGGAGGTCTAGTACCAGAGGAGAGAGAGAGTGTTGTTAAAACTCACGATTGGGAAAGGTAAGTCGGGTTGAAGCACCGGCCACCCACGAGCCACCCAGGGAAGAAGGGGTGCAATGTCCTCAGCAGTCATCACACATCGAGAACACTTGGTGAATTGAGTCTTGACTACTTCAGTGGGAAATTAAATGTCTACATTGTTGCTACGCAATACTAAGATACTACTATAGGTTTATCGGCACTTGTCTCGGTTTCGCTACCGGCCAATTCAACGCCTATCAACTGGAGCTTATCATTGATGCCATTCAGGTCTGCATCAATACCGACTCGCTTTTCAGCCGTAGGGTCAGAGGTAACAGCGACCGAGGCGACTCCCAATTTTGCCAACTCAAGATCAAAGACGGACAGATCAATCGTTGAGTCTCTCCTGGTCAGGGTTTTTTTGGTACTCACATCGTCATCTCGCATCTTGTCTCCTTCTCTCGCACCATGTCTGTTCGCATCATTGGCCTGGGCAGCTCTATTGTTCCCAACATCCCCCTGCTGAGGCGCACCATCTTGCCCAGCTCGACGCAGTTGCTGGGATACAGAGCATATCCCAGACGGACGAGTTGCGGCCCAGCAGCAGCAGCACTGACCGATAGCCTCGCCATGGAGAGGACTCGAGTGTAATTCATGGCACCTGCCATTTTTACCACAAAATGACTGTTAATGTGGTCGCAGACAGAAATCCTCCAAGCTGCGGGACTGAGAGACGTGCTAATGACCTGAAGTATGAGATTGCAACAAGAGGCGTACGTGCCGCTATAGTTGGAACCCTTTACCCAAATGCCTCGGTCTGTATGGATGTAGTCGAGAACCGAGAGTTTGGCGTGGACTGGAGGCGGCTGTCCCGCGAGCACCGGTCCTGGTGCGTTCACAGGCGCGGCCATACTTCAGAAATGCGGATGGAGATGATTTCTGGGCAGCCCGAACATCGGTAAAGACAAGCAAAATCTACTTATACGCAGCATCGATATAGCAAGCTTTGTGCTTGGGCAAGAGCAACCATTATAAGCCAGGTGCTCCCAGGTATTGTAGCAAACAAAAGGCAAGCGGTCTGAAGGACTATCAAGGGCAGATGTCGAATTCAAAACGTCCCCAAACAAAAGTTACAGATCTTAGATTGCCTCATGAGTAATTCTTTAGACACACTCACACCACAAGTTCCAGGCGTTTACGCCGCCTGTCCCCGGCGGCGGCATCACCTGCGGCACCGACGCAACAAGATGAGACATGAGGGCAGCAGCGAAAAAATAAATCGAGAGAGCAAGCATCAATATCCAGATTGAACGCCTTTGCTTGCACAAACAAACACAACGAAGCAAAGTCTCCGCCCCCATGTTGCAGGTAAACTAAGAGTCGTGAGGTCAGCAAAGCCCCCTAGTCGCCCTTAGCCTGCGCACTACAACCCCAGCCGCGGCCCACAGCACACAAGTCCCCCGCCACGCCAATCAACCGAGAACCCCCCGGAGAACACGACGGTTCTGATCGCTCGCATGCGCACCAGAACAAAATCACTACCATTATATTAATTTTTACGCTTGTGTAAGCATCAACAGCAGCCCGGCTGGCACAATTGTAAGACCACTCCGTTTAACGAAGATCCTCGGGCAAGACACTAATAAAGTTTCAGGGTTAGCGCGTGAGACTTTTAATCTCAAGGCTCAGGGTTCGAGTCCCTGGTCGGGCGTTTCTTTTTGCTTTTCGATCCTTTTGCTCGTTTGTGGAACACCAAACGAACGATCTGTGTGCTTCATCCTAGAATTTTGATGTTTTGCCGAAAGGTCTATTTTGTTGTCTCGGGTTTGCGATGGGCGTGAGATGCCCCTTAGGTGGGCACGGCATGTGCATTGGCTGAGACAGCACGTTGAAGATGTAGTGATGCGATTTATTCGTTTTGCGTTAAGCTACATAACAATGGCATTGCACGTAAGATCTCATTTCACATATACACCATCAAGTCGCGTCCAACGACTTCAAGGCCTATTGTCCGCCTGGGGTTCAGGGACCTGACCAGCAACAAGCGCAATAAGCGCCGCACCAACACCGGAGCCATCCTTCGCAATACCAATGCGAATGTGCTTCTCGCCACGGTCGCCAATCTCAGGGACCGTTCGCAGCGCCTCGCGGATGTGCTCCTCGAAGTCGGGGTAGAACTCGACGAGCGAGCCGTCGACACCGACATCGACGACGTCTTCCTCGTTGACCTTGACCTCGCCGCGGGGAGGGTCGATGCCGGCCTTGTCCTCGGTTGTGGCGGTGCCCCTGGATTTCTCCAGGCGGCCGGTGTTGATGATGATGGCGCCGATGGCAACAGCTGAGAGACGGGCCGCGCGACGACCGACGGCGCCGGCGATAACCTTGACAGCCTCTGCATCCTCGGTGCTGGCGGCTGAGATACCGAAGTCTTTGTCCAGTGTTTGCCTGATGACGCGGTAGCCGGCGCTGTTATCGCCAGCGCAGATGGACAGGAAACTTGTGTCGATGCCCCACTGCTTGAAGATCGGGCTGTTGGCGTCGATCTGTGTTGTGCTGTGGATGTCATTTGACGAAGAGTTGTCGTCCTGGAAGAGAGGAATTTTGGGGTCCTTTATCAGCTTGACGAGAGCAAGACGGAGCAGTTCACCCAAGAACATACCAGATACGCGCTTCTCGAACATCTGGATGCCAGGGTTGACAGACTTCTCATCAAGCTCGACATCGTAGGGTGTGTTGGGCAGTGTGCGGAGGGAATTGTCGAAAGAACCCCACTCGGTGTTGACAATCATCTCACCAGTGGACTTGTCGAACTCTCCTACATTCTTAGCCTTTGTGAGCTTGGTGACCTTGTCCAACTTCTCGACGTAGGCGCCGTTGGTACCGGTTCCGAAAATAGCTCCGAGCAATGTTCCGGTCTTGCCTGGCGAGGCGTACGAACGGGCCATGAGCGTTCCAACGGTGTCATTAACGAGAGCAGCGACCTTGACCGGCAAGTGAAGCTCGTCAATCTCAGTCTGCAGCAGGGCGCAGACGTCCTTGCCAACTGCATCCTGGATGTCAAAACCCTTGGTCCAGCGCATGAGCAGACCCTTGTTGATGCCAACCTGGTTGACAGGGAACGAGAATGTGAAGCCCAGGTTGAAGATCTCCTCAGGCTGTTCGCCGGTCTGTCTGCGCTTGAGTGTGCCAGTGTAGTGCTCCTCGTGATGTACCTGGAGGAACTTCTCAATCTGCTTTGCTAGGAAAGAGAAGAGTTCCTTCGATGTCTTCGCGGTCATGAGCTCGTGCGGGACGGCGACTTTGCTCTGAGTGAGGGAGAAGGTGGTGTTGCCGTGCAGCTGGATGGAGCAGACACGGAAGTTGGTGCCACCGAGGTCAACGGCCATGTAGAGGCCCTACAGTCGCAGTCAGCCTTCAAGATCAAGTATACGGAGCTTCAAGGTGGTCGCGTGCCTTCTCAGTGCCATTGGGTACGGCCGTGACGTAGGTCGGGATCTGGCTCAGCTCGGTGCCCTCCTGTGTCAGGCCCTCGTCTGCGCGCGGTCAGCCTCTCAGTCGACAATTGTGTCTCTGTGTGCGCATACCCATCTCCCTGATGAACTCCTTCACCGCCTTGTTTACGCCATCATCACTGAAGTCGAATTCAGCAGCGACCTGCTTTGCCTGGTCGGCGAGAGCCATGCTGCGCTTGGAATGAGTGTTGAAGGTGCCTTCGAACTCGACTATCTGCTGAGACTTCGGGCAGATCGGGGGCTCGTGGAAGAGTACGGGGTTGCGGAGAGTAATGCCTGGGGAGCTGACGGTCCAATGCTGGTCTTTGGTGAAGAAGCGCAGGACCGTGTGAGGGAAGTGGGGTGCAAAGACTTGGAAGAAAAGCGCTAGCAGGACGACGATTGCACCGATCACAGTGTGGGTCGCGAATGAGGCTCTGCCAGGTTTACGAAGAGGTGGGCTCCAGCTCGACCGGGGCCTACTGGGCGCGGTGGTGGCTTTAAATGCGCCTGCAGGAGCGCTGTACCTCCTGGTGTGTGTGTTGACGGGCATCACCCCGCTTTGTTTGGTAGACACCTATGACGTGAGGGGTAAGCTCGAGCTTCGGGCAGCCCTCTCTCAATTGCGTGCATGCACAGATGCGCGGCCAACAGCAACGCCGTGCGTGCCAACTCGTTGAGGAAGCGGCCGGGTGACGTCGGGCCTCGCAATTGGAACGAACCGTGTTCCTCAGTGGAGGTGTTGTTTACACTGCGCTGCGCTAACGGAGTCGAGACGAGGGGCGCCGATCGCCCATGAGGCATGCTTCATCGATCGTGCACCGTAGCCGTTAGGCCTGTGTCGGGCCGAAACCCGTGCTGTTCAAGTGTATTTGAGGCGCACACTGGGCTTATTCGCATTGTTTCTTGCTACTGACCTTCTATTGCCTGTGGAGCGATCACATGACAGCTGCCAACACCGTCGTGATGCAGTCAGATCTCATATTGTGGAAGTTCAAGAACAGAGGGTGAAGGAACGTCGTGCTTTTGTTACTTGCGCAACTAGGTATGCATCGCTATATGGTGTGTCGCTTTTGCCTCAAGCGCTCGCTCGCTCTCTGCCATTCCAGCTCTGCTTGCAACATCTTCGCCAGCGGAAAAATAAATGGTGGTGTACACTGAGTCAGTACAAAGCCAGACACAGCAACGTGAGGGGTGCCACAATGGCAGGAGTAAATGCCAGAAAACCAAAAAACATGTGCTTGTATCAAAACTCCTAGTCGAAACAAAACCCAGACCACTGAGCGACTCATGCAAGAAACATGATTAGCGAGTGCCAGTGCGGAGTGAGAACGACGCCGCCACAAAAACGTCTACAATATGTACGATGGTGACAAAGGAAATGTTCGAAGCAACAACCTCGTCGCCGGGTTGGTCTGTATACGTGAAATGTTCCTCCCCAGCCGAATTTCTATAATCGTCATTAAGTTCCCGCCACGAGGCTGAATCAGCCCCTGGCTGTTCATGAAGTTCTTCCGATCCCAACGTGGAGAGGAAGATTTGGTGTAGGCATGTTCGAGAAGAGAAGCCGGGTGTAATCGAAGACCGATTGATAGGTGACACCAGGGTACGCGTCCGTCGAGGTATGCGTTGGAAAGCCCGCCAGCTCCCAGATACAATAGATAGTTTCGTCAAAGTGTCGCCGAATCGAGAACGCTGTCCATGCAAAGTCCGAACATACTCCAAACCATTCGCCGCAAATATGAACTGATGAGATCTCGTCTATCGGACACCGACTGGAGGACGGGGTCCTAGGCTGCTCTGGCTGCTGTGTGCCGAATTTTCTTCGGTGGAATTACTACCCGCGCTAGCGCTTGCGGATCCAGTCAGACTGCGAACATTGGAACGGGTCTTGGGCGGGTAAAGAGTGCTCACCCCTGCGTGTTGTTCCATTTGTTGCGGTGCGAGGGGAACGGGCTGTCTCATCCCGGGAGGTGAAGGACGTCCGTTGGGACCATTTCGAGGCGCCCCGTTCATCCCATTCGGCGGCAGTCCATTGGGAGGCATACCATTGGGTTGCATACCATTGGGTTGCATACCGTTGGGCGCATATCCGTTGGGAGGAGAAGGACGGCCCATTGGGCGAGGACCAGGGCTGAGAGGGTTGCCAGGCGACTGGCTGGTGCGGCGGTTCATCGAAGGGTAGCCACCATAGTTACCACCTCCTTGCATTTCGTCTAAACGTGATGCAGTCAGTGAATTGGTTCGCGATTGGGCGCCCATAGTGCCGCGATCGACATCAGCATAGCGGTTGGACGAGTAGCCCATCAGAGGGTCGTTGAGAATGTTCTCTCTCAGATTTGGGAGTGTCGAAAGCATCGTCGCACTCGTTCTGTTCTTAGCTGCCGGGCGCGAGAAAGGATTCCTTGATCGACCTTGAGGACCCATGTAGCCCATGCCCTCTGGGTTGTTGCGGATCTGACCGGCACTGGGAACCTTGCGGTTGCGCCGCGAGGTGACACTCATCATGTCAAAGTTGTCAGGGTCGATGACCGGGCCCGGCGGGCGGCCTCCGGCCATAGGATCAAAGAAGTCATCCTCGTCGTCGTCGTCATCGAAACCATTGATGGATTGTGGTGGTGGAGGTCGACGACCCTGGCCCATGGGAGGGCCGCGACGCATGCTAAGCTCTTGTTCTCTGAGCTGGATCTCACGCTGTCTGAGCATCAACTCCCTCTCACGGATAGAAAGACCATTCTGTGGGGCTGCGCCATTCTCGTACTGGCCGTGGGGCGCACCGGCAGGACCACCGGGGCCGCCTTCGACCATATCATCATACAGCATCAGATGCGAAAATTCTTCAAGGTCGTTGGCCTCGAGCGACGGGCGACGCTGGCCGTTGGGGGCGCCGTTCATGCGTGGTGGGTAACCGTTCATGCCTGGCGGTGGGCCGCGACGCATCATAGGTGGGCCACCAGTGATTGAAGGCGCGCGGCTTCCTGAACGGGGCCCACCCTTCATAGGACCATTTCCATTCATCATCGGCCCAGGTCCGTTGGGTCCAGGTGGGCCTCGTGGCAGAGGGGCCGACGAGAGCCTTGGAGGAGGGCCCGGCGGTGGTTGCATGTTTTGAGCTGGTGTGGGTGTAGGGCCAGCTGCCGGTCGGTTTCGGTTGACGATGTTGAGGTGGTGAAGCGTGGCGTACAGGGTCTCGATTCGGGGTACAGTGACATTGACTTCCTGGGCAAGCTTAAGAGGAGATCCCAGATATGTCTCAATCTCCATGGGACGCTTGGCCTCGAAGTCCATCCACATTGTGCTGTTGGACTCTTGGGGCTGCGTCATCGAGCGCATCGTCTTCTCCTTGAAATCGGTAGGGAATGTGCAGCCTTGGGCATTGGCAAGTACGAGGAGCTCGTCGAGCACTCCTGTGATAAGAGCACGAACCCCAACCTTCTCGAGGAGTTCTGCGTGGTTTGCCGTCTCGAAGAGAACGCTGGCCGGGTGAAAAGCAATAGGGCTGCGGCGTGTTAGTGGTCTGTTGGGTTGTGGAAGTAGAGATGACATACCCTATCATACGCTCAAACTGCTGTTGCCTTATGTTGGTTGCGACTTTGCAGTCGACCTGCCCTGAACTCAATGTCATGGCCAGAGCTTCAGCCATGTCCGACTGAATCTGCGCTGGTATGGCGGGGTTCTTGCTGGCAGGACCGACCCAGATGTCAGTCGCTCCCTTGTGCTCGAACTCGCTAGCTCCAAGCTGCGAAATCTCTGCTCCAGATACCAATGACAAGACGACATTTGTGGGAAAGCGCTGCTCCAGGTACGATTCGACGCCTAAGCTGTGTGTGGTGTTCATAAGGATGCATGTGTGCTGGGGCGAGACGACCGACTCGATGATGTTGGCGATATCGTATACGTCAGGGAGGGCTTTTACGCAGAGGAGAACGTAGTCAAAGGGCTGCTTGGAAGAATGGGCGGCATCTTCGGGGGTGCGAACAACTGCAGACGCCGTTAGTGCCGTGCTAGTCGCAGCGAAGGGCCTGCAAACTCACCAGAGTAGGGCTTGAAGCGTTCGTTGCCGTAGAGAGCAGATCTGATAGGCTCGTTAGCGGGGATTGAGACATTGTGGGACTCGGGTGCTTACTTGAACGAGATGCCATACTGTGCGACGCTCTCGTACCCGGACTTCCACACGAGTGTGACGTCGCAGGCGTTGGTTGCTTGTAACCGCCATGAGAGGAACGCCGAAACGGCGTTTCCGCCAACTGGCAGCTGTTAGCAGAGCATTCTGAGGGTGCTGGTGGCAGTCTCGGCATTCCCGGGACAGCGTGTGTGTGCAGCACTGGGCCGCATGCACCCTGCCCAGGTGCTGGAGACGCAAGAGAGGACCCCTGGGGCCCAAGGCGGTGACGCACCTGACAGAATGCGCAGTCTGGGGACGGCCGGAGCCATAGCGGGCGCGGTGGGGAGGTGGTGTGCGGGTGTTGAGGTGCGGCGGGCGGCGGAGGATGGAGAGCCAAAAAGTTGGCGATGGGTGCCGCGTTGCTAGAGCGCAGACAGCGCAGCAGCAAACCTGGCAGCGACGGGACGATTACGGATTAAGATAGCGGCAGAAACGAGCGTGCGGTGTCGATGGGCTCGTTCACCAGAGCGACATGTACGAGAGAGTGGAAAGAGAGCGTTGAGGGAGCGGACAGCAAGGCAGTGACAGCACAAAGGCGCAACGGTCGCGACGGCGGAAGGCGGGAAGCAGCCACAGACACGGCGATAGGACTGGCGTGGGAAAGTGCCAATGGGCGCGCAGGCGAGGCAGCGCAGGTGTCACAGCGCAGGCGTGCTAGTAGGTGCTAAGCAGAAGAAGCGAGTGGACGCTGGCAGCGAGCAGAGGAGATGCAGCAGGCGCTGGGCAAGGAGCAGTGCAGTAGGTAGTAGCAGTAGCAAGTAGGTACCTAATGCGAACGGGAATGGGCGGAGGATGGGGCGCACGCTGGTAGGCCGGTCACGTCGAGGGATGCGCTGCGAGCCTTCTCGGGCAGTGTGCCAGCTTGATTTGCTTGATAGTAATAATACCCGTTCACTGCTGCAGCGCCTGTCCGTCCTGTCCGTCCTGTCCGTCCATGGGCACTCGATGCCTGCCTGGATCCTGCCGCTAGCCCGCTCTGCCCGTAGCGCTGCACTTATCGCGCGTAGAGACGCTTAACCACTGCTGCTGCGCTCTGATGCAGTCTGAAGATTATGGCGGGGCCGTGCTCAGTGCCGTCATTGTTTCTGCATCAGTGCATCACAGACGTGTCGCAGCCAGGCCAGCCACGGTATGACGAGCCAGCACGCGCTGTGTGTCTCGCAAAGGATGCGGCTGGCCGAAGCTGCCATCTGACTGCGCGGTCTCGTCTCACTCTTCCGTAAGCAGACATGCTGCCATGTTCGCGGCCTGCCACCCGTCCGGAGCCGCGAAGACTGGTAGCTAAGCAGCAGCTACCCTGCCGTTCTGCTTGCGCGGCGTTCCGGGCAGGCTGGAGATCCGCATGCAAGACTGGCAGATCTTGGACGCCTATCAGGGGGAAACAGGCCACCACCGCCAGTAGTGACCACAGTGCACACAGCGCACGCTGCACGCCTGCACGCCGGCGACTGCAGATTGTGCCATTGCACGCCGCTTGGCTGCCTCGCAGTCTCACTCGTACGAAGATGGCTTCGTGCGCCGCACCGCCATCCCGGCGAATCTCCTGAGTCTGTGTCTGCCAGTGCCTGGACGGCAGCTGGCGCGAACCCAACAGGCCAATTGCAAAATTTCTGTCGCTCGATTCTGCGGCAGTTCAACGCTCCTGGGTCCTGACGTCGGCGGACGAGTTCGCGTATAAGACCTGCCAGGTCTAACCAAGAATACGATTTCTATGGATCGAAATTAGCTATGCGTGCACGGCCTGGCACGTCCACATCCCTGGTCGGCCTCCCAACGGCAGCATGTAAATCTCCCAATCTGGAAATGGTTCCCTCCGAGATAGAGGCCGTCGTAAGGCCTCAGTAATCTCGCTTTCACGCCTCTGTCCGCATCGAGTCCACCTCTGGAACGCTCGTCGTCCGCAGTGAGAGCCAGCGGTATTGCCAGGGCAGGCCGCAGCATCGAGGCGGCCCCCTTTTGAGTTTGCATGTAGTGCTTAGGCTCGCTGTGAGCGCGGGAAGCCCGCATCGGTGACGAACTGTGCAGCGAATCAAAACACCGTACATGTGTTGAAGAGTTGACTGCACGACTGGAATGCCGGGCCCGAGATTCTCGCGGCTTGGCACCGTTACGAAATACAGCAGGATCGGCTGTGTGATGAAGCCCTGAAGCAGTTCGAAACGCAGCCCTCAACATGACCGACTCTACAAGCCAGGAGAAACATGTCGTCACGACGCGACGATCTCTTCACCACGGCTGGCTCTTGGGCTTAGGGTGTTCTGCGGCTCGACAATCGCTGTGACGGAGCTGGATGCAGCGAACATTGTGCTTTGCCAACCACGACGTCTGTGAACGACTCACATCGACGGCAACTGCATTCCACGGCGCCAGCTGTGCGTCATCCGCTCTGTAAGCGAGCAGACCGGGTCGCTGCAGACCCGCACGGTTGAGATCCAACTCTCAGTTCATCCGCAGCACATCCGCCTCGAACTCGCGGTGTCACGACAGGCCTCTAGATTTGCACGACATTTGCAGCCCGACAAGAGTCTGGACGGTCTGTGAGCATTTGCAGATCTCAGTGGTCAAATCTCGGAGGTTGAAGTCTTTGTCTCCTGACTCAAGCAAAGCATTTGATATGTCGAAGCCTCAACTGTGTCCCAAACAGGCAATTGCGGTTATTGACACTCTTGACAGCGGGATCCCACGCGCTGCCGAACCACAATCAATTCCACTAGGCAATACGAGAGCACGTGTGAAGTGCACGCATTCAAGTGTCGAGGGTTCCTAGGGTTGCACGTTCGCACGCAAGGGCAAATCACAGTAGAGCCTGAGAGCGCGGTCACCCCGAGGACGCTGTGCTGAATTCCAGCAATTCCTCGAGCCCCGCACCCCAAGCTTCGGATCAAGCATTGGTATCAACTCCGCCGGTCTGATAGCGACCATTATGTTGAGTCTTGTATCGACCGGGCTCGACGCTTGGCCTGCAAAGCTTGAGTAACCCCCACAAATTGGTTGCAAGCGCTGAACAACAATCAGAGGCAAAAAGTTAAACCAAGGGCATGCAGAACGCGAATTGAATGCGACAATGCCCGCGTCCTTTGATCTTCACCATGCATTCCACGCGAAAACGCCTGCCGTGCAACACGCACGTGCACCACCGCCGTCGCCCAAAATAGCTCACCACCTGCCAGCCAGCCCGCGCATCCCTCCCCAAATTCCCCTTCCGTAGCTCACCACGCCGCAGGAATCCCTCTATCGGTTTCCGACCCCCCGCGCACATTTCCCGGCAGCGCATCGAATCACGAAGAGCCACGGCGTCAGCCTCTCGGCACATTTCTCACAGAGCTAATCGCGTTCTCCTGGAGTCAAGTTTGGACTGGGTTCAAGTTTGGACTGGGTTCAAGTTTGGACTGGGTTCAAGTTTGAACCGGGTTGAAGTTTGAACCGGGTTGAAGTTTGAACACCTCCGCCGCCCCACTACCGCGTTCCACGCCCACCCACCGTCGTCGTCGATTGCATGGCGCCCGCTTTGCGTGTGCTGGATGCTTCGCGATGTTGGCTGGCAGCATTATTGGTACCAGCATCACCAGAGGACGGATTCACATGACCGTAGACGACGCGCTTGATGTAGACGGGTGGTGATGAGCGAGCAAGACCCGCACAGCGGTAAAGGAGAAGAATGTATTTGCTCGTCATCGTATCGTGGTATCATGGCGGAATCGTAGGTAAAGTAAACAATGTGTTCATCGTATCCATGGTATCATATCGTAATCGTAATCGTAACCATCGACCGTCTCACGCCTCTCACGCCCCTCACGCCTCTCACGCCCCTCCCCCTCCCTCCGCACGCGCCAACAGATCCCCGATCCCGATCCACTTGCGCACCAGAAGCGCGCCCGAGGGCTGCAGCTTCCTGTAGTAACTCTCCTGCTTCCCGACGACGTCGAAGCGGCGCTTCAGGTACCACTGCAGTCCCGCATCGTTGGCCTCCCAGACGTGCGCCGTCACGCAGCGCACGCCGTGCTGGGCCACGGCCCGCGGCACCACGGCGGCGAGCAGGTGCACGGCGATGCCGTGCTCGCGGTACGGCGCGAGCACGCCGATGGTGCTGATGTACAGCTGCGACTCGGGCAGCAGGCGGCAGCGGATTGCGCCGACCACGCTGGGGCTGGCTGGGGCTGGCTCGCCCTCGCTGGACGGGCTTGTGCTGGGGCGTGTGGGGTGCCACAGTGCAATCAGGGTTATGCTGTGGTGCGGCTCCGTCATGGTCTCCTTGTAGAAGGAGTCGGGGTACGGGATCGGCAGCGTGAGGGCGTTGAGGGTTTTGTATGCGTCGAGGTGGTCGGGCGTGAGGGGCACGAGCTCGACGTTGGGGGGCAGAGGGCGCAGCGAGAACAGGTTCGATAGCGGGGCTTCTTTGCCCGGGACGGGGGGTGTTGGCGCGGTTGAGCGTGTCTCGGGCGCGGGTGTGGACGCGGTTGAGCGTGTCTCGGGCGCGGGTGGGGTCGAGGCGGACAGGCCTGTGGGCGTAGGGACGCGCGAGACGCTGGCGGGAGTGGGTGTGGCGGAGGGACGGGGGCTCTTCTTCGAGCGCGGGCGTGACGAGGGTGCGGAGAGGAAGTCTTCGGGTATGTCGTTCCACTGCTCGGTCGTCTTGGGCGTGGGCGTGGGCGCTGTGCTGGGGGGCGCGCGGTTCAGCGGCAGGCGGGGAGGCGCCGAGGTGGATTTGGGCGGTGGCGGCGGCCGTCTCGGGGCGGCTGGAGCTCGGGGCGGCGGCGGCGGCGGCGGCGCGGTCTCGCTGCTGGCGGCGGGCTTCTTCAGCCAGCCGGAGAGCGAGGACTGCAGCATGTCGGCGGGAAGTGTACGCGTCGCCCAAGCTGGGGTTGTGTGTAGCGATGCAGGTCGGTGGCAGCAGCAATGCGGCAGCAATGCGGCAGAAAGCGGTTCGTCTGCGTAGAGATGCGATTGTTGCTGGTCGCGGTCACCCGGGCCGTCTAGCCATGAGGACAGTTGTCGGGTTGTCGAGTGCCAGACATGACGGAGCCTTGTGGTGAATCCAAACATTCCGCACCGATCGCTGCTGCTTCTGTCGTAGCGCGCCGCAACGCTCGGCCAAGGCTGAGCCCCGACTTCTCGCAGCCGCTGCATCGTCGCGCTGGCATCCCGCACCTCCGACCGCAGCAACATGGGCGCAGAGAACTCGAAACCCTCCTCGGACGTCAAGCAGCATGTCTTCTCCGCGTGAGTGATGCTCCGCCGGGCCAATGGCTGCCGTGGCCATGCGACGGGCCAAGGCCGTGCAGGTTGCTGATAGTTTGCGCAGAGAGCACCCCGTCCGGTTCTCAAACGGACTGGTAGACTCGCTGCAGAAGAACACTTTTGTGAGTTGCCCGGCGCCCGCGGCGCAGAGAGTGATGGGACACGGCTGATGCGCGCACCAGACGGACGCCACGCGCTCGAAAGCGCAGGAGCTGCAGTACCAGGAGCGCCTGACGGCGGAGCTCGAGAAGCTGCGCGAGCAGGGGTCGCAGGAATTCTCCAAGTTGAGCGAGACGCTGTCCGGCGAGGAGCCGCAGTCGGAACCGTCGTTGGTCGAGAAGCTCGCAGACGCGACATGGTCGTCGTCGACGCTCGCCGAGAAGAAGAAGCAGCAGGACATGAGCCGGACGAGCGTCACAAAGGAGATTGAGCAGCTGCGCGCCAAGCTCGAGCAGCGGAAGAAGCTGGACCAGGTCGACGCGGACCTGAACAAGGCCAAGGACGACGTCGTCACATGCTTGCGGATGCACGACCGCCGGCCGCTGGACTGCTGGAAGGAGGTCGAGACGTTCAAGAAGGAGGTGCAGAGGCTCGAGAACCAGTTCATCGAGAAGACGATCCGATGAGCCATGGCACGTGTGTCACGGATGAGAGACGACCTCTGTCACCTGGAGCTCTGTGCAGATAGAGTGGGCTTGTAGAACCGACCCATGACCGCTTTCCTGTTCCTTTGCCTATTCACACACTTGTCTCGTTTGCTCCCCGCCTAAACCGACCCGTGAGCCGCTTCCTGTTCCTTTACCTGCTCACACATTCCCCTTGTTTGCCTCTCCGCCTCTGCGCTGCCCCTCACCTCCCACTGCCCCTCACCTCACCTCCCACTGCCCCTCACCTCCCACTCCCACTCCCACTCCCCTCCTCATCTTCTTCTTCTCGGCCACCTCGTCCTCATCTTCTTCTCGACTACCTCGTCCTCATCTTCTTCTCGACTACCTCATCTTTTTCTCGACTACCTCCTCTTTTTCTCGACTACCTCATCTTTTTCTCGACTACCTCCTCCTCATCTTTTTCTCGACTACCTCCTCCTCATCTTTTTCTCGACTACCTCCTCTTCTTCTTCTCGACTACCTCCTCATCTTCTTGACTACCTCCTCGCCCAGGTCTGCTCCGCCTTGCCTTTTGGATCCACTCTCACATTCACCACGACGTCTGGTGCCACGCGGAGCCATGGGCGGCGCTCTGCCTTGGCCGCACCTGGACTGCGGCTGATTTCAACCTTCACCTTCACCGCGCGTCGCGCTCTACACGCCGCAGCTGGCTCTTCATAAAACAGCAGCTCGCTCTCTCGTCTCCCCGCACCCCACACCCCACCCCCACTCCCCACTCCCACCTCCATCGCCCACCCGCCTCACCTTCTGCATCGTGGGGCAACACAGCAATGTCCGCCTCAAACCCCTTCTACGTGCTTGACTACGGTACGCCGCACACTCCTTTATAAACATAGCCTCCTGCTGACTCAATTGTAGACTCAGACTCGGATGAGCCAACCGTGGCCAGTATTGAGAGCGGCCCAGCCCTCGGTCCGAGCTCGCAGTACTACAGCGCCAGCCACAGCTATCGCCGTGACACCAAGCCCCGTAGTAGCGGCTCCGTCCTGTCACCTGACGTTGAGCTGGAGACGTACAGGCTCAGGCCTGGCCTCGTTATCGAACCGGGTGACACAGTCGAGTTGATCGACCACTCAGAGCAAGATGCAGCCGGAAACCACAGTGGTGATTTCCTACAGGTGAAGCAGATCATCAAGGATCTCAGCACAGACGAAGTCCGTCTACGTGGGCTCCCACTGCGAAGGACGAAATACGTCGGCCAGGTCTTTGACTGTGAGCTCGCTAAAGATCCTGAAACGACTTGCTGACAAGAGTCTAGGGAGGCTCAACGAGCTCGCTATGGTCCTTCAGGTGAGCGCAGACGATGATCGGAATCCACTTGTTGCAGGACTCAAAGACGTCGTGGTCGACGAGGTCTTCGGAAAACGAGAATGCGTCTTTACGCACAAGTGCTACCCACTTCAGTCGTGGCAGATCCAGCCCGGATGGAATCGCTACTCAACCTCCAAAGCACAAGCCATTCGCAATGTCTTCTACAACGGACCCCTTTGCTGTCGCGTTGTATATATCCGGTTCATGAATCGGAACGGCAAAGATGCCAGCGGAGTGGTACGCCACTTGTATGGCGTGGAGGTTGGCAACACTGATGCTGCGCCATCGCCAACGCGCCCAGGCCTATCACAAGAGCACTCCCTGATCATCGAGGACGATGAAGACGAGGACGCGGTGATCGTGTCTGAAGTCCTCCAGAGTGAGCGCAAACGTCGAGCAAGGGCTGACTCGGTCGAAGTCATCGAGTCCCCTCCAAAGCGCAGATCACCACTACCCATCAAGGGAGTTCGATATACCTTTGGTGACGTATTCTGTGGGGTAGGAGGTGCATCTCAAGGAGCCGTCCAGGCAGGCCTACATGTCTGCTGGGGTCTGGACAATGACGAGGACGCCATCACAGCCTACCATTTGAACCATGGTGGTGCTCTGCCTTTTTGTGAGAACGCGCACAAATTCTCGCCACGTGGATTCTGTGCAAAAGACCTCCACGTCGATATTCTCCACCTCTCTCCGCCGTGCTGCTACTGGAGTCCGGCCCAGTAAGCCCCAAACCTCATGATCCTCTACATCCGAAGCTGACCATGAATAGCACGCACGAAGGTCCAAACGACCAGGCTAACTATGAGGCAATATACACTGTTGGCCCCATCCTGAGGGCCATAAAGCCGCGAGTGGCCACACTCGAGCAGACATTTGGTCTCATGACGCACGAGCAACATCAGAAGAACTTCAAGATGCTTCTGAATGACATTGGCCAGGCTGGATATGATCTACGCTACAAGATTCAGGACATGTCCAAGTTGGGTCTTGTCCAGAGACGCAAGAGACTGCTCATTATTGCCGCTCGGTATGTCTTTCAACTTTGTAGACTGCTCTCACACTAATCGAATGCAGTCGCGGCACTCCCCTACCACCTTTCCCGGAAGAAACCCACGGTGAGCCTGGTAGCGGTCTGAAGCCGTTCACATTCATCAAGGATGCCTTGCGTGTTATGGAGCGCCTTGGTCCACGTGCATCCGACGACCCTTACCACCAGCCCAAGCCAATGGCCAGTGCCAAGACACCCTACGACCCCCGAAGCTTTCTCAAGGGATGCATCACGACCGGCGGCGGCGACAACTACCATTTCAGTGGCAAGCGTAGATACACCCCACGAGAGATGGCACTCTTCCAGAGCTTCCCGTACGAGTACCAATTCTCTGGTCGACCATCGCAGGCTATGAAGCAGGTCGGGAACGCTTTTCCACCCGGCATCGCGGAAGCCATGTACAGGACCATCAGAATGACACTCGAGGCATACGACGATGGCTTGATCGGTGCAGAAGACGACCTCACAGATCTTGAGGGCATCTTTGCACAGCTGCGCCTGGCGTCGACCAGACCTTCGGTACCGCCTACGCCGCACACCTTCTTTGACGGCAGTTCAGATGCCCGAGCCTCTGTCGGTATTACTACTGCAAAGAACGAGAAAACCCATGACGCTGATAGCGACGATGACGAAGTGGTCTTCCTTGGAAGCACCAGGCGTAACTGAGTCCTCTGTTCGCCTTTGCAAGGCTGAGAATGACTAGAGAGTCTTGAAAAGTCTGGTTTCAGCAGTGCTTCCAAGTCAGTCGTTATCACGGGCGTGTTGTTTGCTTTGCGACGCACGTTCTGTGAGAAGGACATGGCAAGCGAAGCGTAACGCCTGCACAGTTATGCAGACTCAAACTAAGCACACTATGCGCTTTACTACCTGCATGCGTATGGTTAGTTAGGGAGAATACACACATGCTCTAGCTTTGCGTCCACATCTAGTATGTAACATTTGCATTCCCTAGCCATGCTAACATAACAACAAAACCGGAATGCGCCCCGTAGTGCTATGCATGCTACGCCTACAGTCATGGGTATCATTTCTCGTCATCACCGGTCATAATCCACCACTGCCCAGCAGCCTCACTTCATCGCCTTGACAATGCGTCTCGCCTCTTCAACAACCGACTCCCGGCGCTGTCCCGCCACCAGCATCGCACTCTCCTCCTCCTCGACCTCGTCCAGCCCATCCTCGCCCATCCCCTCCAGCAAAGCCTTGATTTTAATCTCACTCCGTGCGAAAATCGTCTGACTCGCAAGAAACAACAGCCCGTGCCGACACAACTCGCCCTTCTCAATGACAAAATGAAAATCCGACTCCGGGAAGAAGAAACTCACAGCCACAGTCCGCACAGCCTCGAGCTCCCGCACCGCCTCGCGGAATCGCGCATTCCTCTCAATGGCATGGAACCCCGTGAGCACCTTGCGCACATCCAGCGTCTCCTCCGCACCGTCGTCGAGCCCCGCAAGCGCGCCGAACACGTCGTCCGCGAATCCCGCATACGGCCGCGTGTCCGCCTTGAAGCTGAGACTCAGCAGCGAGCGTCCCACGAAGGAAAGCACGTGAGTGAGCGTCGTGATGTACCGCTCTGCCGCGGGACACACGGGCTTCCATCCGCCGGGGCCCGGCTGCGTCGTCAGTTGCGTGGGGTAGTACAGCGGGTCGATTTCCAGGTGCCGGATCAGGGGCAGGTCTTTGGCTTGCAGCGGCGGCTCGAAGGCGCCGGAGCCTTCTAGGGAGGAGGAGGAGGATGACAAGGCTGGAGGAGATGAGGAGGAGATGTAGAATGTGTTTTTGCTGAAGAAGACGGCGCGAGCTTCGGCGTAGATCTGCTTGTTTGCGCACAGGATCTTGGTGTCGAGATTGTATCTCATGCCTTGTCGTGCGATGGGGCCTTTGAGTGGCTGCGCCGAGACGAGGAGGTAGCCGTAGATGCGGAGTCGCAGCTCGGGAGGGAGGCTGTCGAGGAACGGACTCGATGTGTTGGCCATGATTACGTGCGGGTGGTCTGGGAGAGGCGCAAGGGGGAGGGAAGGCGCTGCTGCTGCACCGCCGGGAAGAGACTGTACGTATAATTTGATTTTGGGGCGTGCGTGGGTTTGTGTTCGACGCTCCACCAAGCCTTTTCTTTCTTCGCGGGTTCTAAACTGCGCATGGGGCACGATAGCTATACGATGCACTGGCACCTCCGGGGGTGATGATAGTGAGGCCACACCACAGTCCGGGCTTGCAGCCTTTGTACCCTTCACCTGCCACTGCTAGCAGTGCTGGACCAACCCCAGTGCGCCTTAGAGCGCTCAGCATCCACAAATCCTCCGCCGCAGCGCCCGTAGGGCGCCTGTAGTGCACCGTAGACCGACTCTGCGCTCGCCACGGCTTCCCAACGTACCAAACGCTCCGGGGAGCCAGCGCGCGACCCCTCGTGGCCCAACCCGAGGCATTCCCAACTCGCAGAACCTACCGTTGGCGACGGCCGTCGCACTCGCCGAACTGGCGACCACCGTTGCAGATCCGCGCCGACCCCTGCAACGGCAGCGCTCCGTGGCCTGTCAGCCGCGCTCGCGCGCCCGCTTACGACCGATCGCGGCTTTTAACGTGCCCGTGGCGCGTTTCCAGAAGCCACCTCGAACGGCGGAGCATGGCAGGGCGCCGCTAGACGTGCTGCCGCCTGCAGAGAACAAAGGCAGAACAGCGCCGAAGCTGCAGAGCGGCATCACTGCCTGAGCAGCGCGAAGCTAGCCGAAAATCTGCCTCAGTACCAGAAACCATGAAACACCATTTTTCCATTTCGCCGGCTGGCCTCGCACATGCGTTATTGCTTCCATTCGATTCGAGTCCCACAGCACGCACATGTTGCGGGATTATGTCTGTTCGGTACTGCTCGGCCAGTAGGGCGGCGCTGCGGGAGTACTTATCACAGCACCCTGGCACGAGATTTCGTATCAATGTCCTACAACGACGCGATAGGTAGGTACGGGAGTTGCAACAATGTGAGCGGCGACTCAGACTTGAGGGCAGGGCGCGTTTGCATCGACGCGTCGGAGCAGCAGCCTAAAACTTTACTCCTCCTGCCTCGCTAGGGCCGCACTACAATACAGGAGCCCATGTGGGCGACCTTAGCCTCGCCCAACAACAGAAAGAGGAGCGCGCATCGCCGCCTCTTTAGAAGCGAGCATTTGCGCATCCAGACAACAGGCGAAAAGCGTAACAAAGTAAAAGTCGGTCTTACAATTGCCCATGCGCCGTCCGAGAAACACGAGCACACGTGCACCGCGCACCGACCTCCCCATTTACGCATCTCGCAACCCCGCCACGCCCAGTGATGCGCATCGCGCCGCCTATCGTTTCAAGCCCGCGCTAAGACTCTGGGCATCCCTCATACAACAACGCCCCACGTCTGTCGACAATGGAACCAACTCCGGCGAGCACGAGCACAAAAGCACGAGCGTGCTCCATTCCCCCCCTCCAGCAATCCAGAAGAGCAATCCAGATAGCCACATGCAGCAGGAGGCCAATAGCACCGACGGACCGAAGCTGCATCGCCAGCGCACTGCCAGCGCAAAGCGTGACGAGCGCTGGGGATGGCTGGATGCCTGCTTTTGGCACCTATGGCATTTGCAAGTGCGGTCTCGGTGTATTGATGTGTGGAGAGGGAAGGCGAGCCGATCGTAGAGTAGCATGTCAGACGGGTAAGTTCGGCAATGCGAGGGGAGGGGAGAGGTAGGTACTTCGTAAGAGTATGGCCTGAGATGCATTTGGCCGCTGTTCACCGTTGGATATTCGGGGAGAAATAGATTGCAGCTGAGCTTCTGCCTCGTTGATGTCGTGATCATTCGTTCATTCGTTCATTCGTTCATTCGTTCATTCGTTCATTCGTTCATTCGTTCATTCGCTCATTCATTCATTCGTGCGTTTAGTCATCGGTCGTTACTCTTTGTCCTCGTCTAACGATCTTGCGAAAACGCCGTGTCAAAGCAGACCTGGATTTCACTTGATCGTACAGTCATTCCTTCGCTCGGTCTCATTCCGTGCAATCTCAGTAGTCTCTTCTCTTCGAAGTCTTCTTTCTCCACTCATTCAGTACGCTCTCAGTAGTCTCTTCTCTTCACAGTCTTCTTCCGCTCAACAGCCGGCGATCCATCGCCCTCAGAATTGGACGTGAAGTAGTCATACTCCTCGTGGACCTTGTATCCACGATCTGGTCGTCGACTATCTCGGCTCCTGTCGCGGCGTCGACGGCGGTCGTCACTGTCATAGTGGCTATCGCTGTCATGGTGACGGTCGCGCTGATCACGATCGTCGCGTCTGCTGCGGTCGCTGCGGTCGTCGCGGTCGTCTCGTCCTCGAGACTTGGAACGGAAGCGGTCAATAATACTTCGGCTTCTAGCTCGAAGACCTCCGCTCTTGCGGTCGCGGTCGTCATGCTTTCGGTGTCGAGAACGTGAGCGCGAGTGGGATGGGAGACGGCCGCCGTGTTCGTCTTTGGCCCTGATATCAGGTCAGTCTGTGTTCACGTGACATACTCAGATTCTGCCAGTCCGCCTACCTGTCGACGTTCCTGGTCGCGATGGCCTGTCCACCGAGCGCTCCGGCCGCAGCACCTGCTAGCATAGTCAGCCTACTCTTACCTGCAGCTCTGCCCGCAAAGCCTCCCGCCAACGCACCAGCCACTGTAGCCCCTAGATTCTTTGTCCGCAGATCCATGTCATCGAACCTTTCTCGCATGTCAGACATACGAGACTTATCACGACGGGAACTGCGGGAATCTGCAGACCTAGCTCTATGCCGATGTTCTCGGCGGTCGTGCTTGGTGCTGCTTCGGCGGCTAGGGGAGCGGCGATCGTCAAACGGAGCGACTTGCTGATCAGAGCCGCGAGGGTTGTAGGAAGAGTGGTGCTGATCTTGGTCGAATGAAGGCTGCGACCGTGATTGCTGGCGGTAGAAATGCGGCGGTGAGTTATAGCCATTGCTGGGTGGGTAGGCAGGGTTCTGTGCGGCATATGTCGCTGGATTGTACGGAGCATAAGGTGCGTTAGTGCCGACTGGAGGAGAGTTGACTCCAACGGGAGGGGGCGGTATTGGCGCTGCAGGCATCACTACGGGCGACGGAGCATAGCCAAGGCCGGGAGTGTAGCGCGCTGCGGATGCAGACCATGGCTGCCCGGCTTTTCCGTGCTGCAGTTCCTCATAACGACGCGCGGCTTCATCACCATATGCTACTGCAGATGGTGAGGTGCCATCGCGTCTGTCGACGGGGGGCTGTGTAGGATACGATTGCCCGTATGATGGCTGAGGAGAGTAAGTAGGTGGTCGGCGTAAAACTGCCGCAAGAGGCGGCTCGTAGGAGGGAGAGAAAGAAGCTGAGACGGGAGTACCACGACGAAGGTGGTCGAATAAGTGAGGCTGCAGGCCAGCGAAAGAAGATTGCGAGTTCGACAGTGGCCTGTTCAGCAACAGCGGTGGAGCAGAGCTCGCCGGCGTCGGGTAAGAGGCCATCATCGGAACTGTCATACTGCGAGAACGAAAGGGACTATTTACCTGTGTTGGGTAGCCGTACTGAGGTTGGGCTGACGTTGGTTGGTAGTCACCCTGGCCCGGCCTGGAGGCATGTTCCTGGGAGCTGTACGGTGCATACTCGGATGTTGGCGGAGGTGGGAAGTATGGTCCTTGGCCTTGGCCTTGCTCTGCGTGCGCCATGTCTCTGTCGCTATATTCTCCGTCGACGTCTCTGCTGCGCTGCTCGTCTCTCCCGCGACTTAAGCTCCTACTAGTGCTTCTTCCCACGCTCTTTCGGCGTCTCCGCTCTTTTCGTCGCTTCTCTTCTTCGTAGTCCTTGTCGTGGTCGCTGTTTTCTGAATAGTCGTTCTGAGGGCTGCGCTCACGTCGCGATCGGTCTCTGCTGTGCGTGTTCTTCCTTTTCGGCGGTGATCGATTCTTCTTGCTACTCTTTTTCTCGTCTCCGGGCTTGAAGAAACCGCCTGGAATTTTCTCGAAGAATTTGTCTGGTATCTGTTCGGCGCCGTAGCCGATTGCTTTGAATGCAAGAACAGACATCTTTCTATGGGGCGCACGCCAGGATACCGGATGGCGCAGCCAGGAGTGTGACGTAAGGCAGGCTCAGCAGTCGCGGCTGTGATTGGACCACAACCGGCGTACCTACGGATGCGCGAGGGGCTTGGTGAGCGGTGGCGTTTGGGTAAGATCGTAGTGGGAGTTCGGCGTCTGCAGCCCCGAGTGGTAGTCGTGAGTAAACAATATAGATTTGAGGTTTGAGGAGTGCGAGATTTGGAGAAGTTGGGGTCTGTTGCCGCGTGATGAATTCGCAGCACAGGTATGATTGCTCTAGTGGCAAGCGCAACTCAATGCGCCATGGAAGGAAGCAATTATGCCAGCCGGGCACGCGCTTCCAAAGTCACGATGCTCTGATTTGCCGTTGGCGGGTAGTGCAACGTGGAGCTCGATGAGCATGACATCATCGCGTCTGGACCTCGTCACCGCTCGGGACTGCGCCTGAATGCACCCTCGAGGTTTGCAGATCTCTCACTGCAACATTTACACATTTTGGTGTTCTGGCGCTCCAAACTGTGTCTGGAAGCCGTGTTGAAGTGCCTCGACAGCGCGGTGGACGACGTAGTTTCCTTCACAAGCCACTTCACATGATCTCATGGACAACGGCAACATCTTGCTATCAAAGAGCACGGGTAAGGCCGCCAATCAGCTCCAAGGGTGCGCGCAGGAGACCTTGTCAGCGGGTTCGATGCCTCGATCTGTGGCGGTAAAGATCCCAGAATCACCCCCGGCCGTGTCCCATCCTATGCAGGGCACACAGGGACATCGTGAGATGCGCGGATGCGTTGTTCAGCTTCACTAAATATTCTTCCATGTGCAATGACGCCATGTTCGAGTTTCCCCCCATCTGCGTCGACGCTGTCGAGTCTGGATCAATTTGAGGCATCCCTTGCGCCATGTCTCTGCCTGTGAAATGCGCCCGGGTACGTGATGTCCATGATGATCAGGAGGGTACATGTGCAACAAAATCACCGCTCATTTACATTAAACAATCTAGTGGTCATTTGGGTATCTTCCTGCTCCAACGCCATGTAACGCCAATGCCTGCTTTTTCGGGGCAAACAGTGCTTCCTTCCTCGCCGCGTCATCCCCTCAAACGTCCTGAAGGATGCTAGGTGGAGTCCTAATCTGACCCGATGGTCGTCCAGAGCTGTCCGGGACTTCGACCATGTCTTCCACCATTCCGAGGAACCTCTGTCTGTATTCGTCACTGTTCGCAGTGATGCTCATTGGGCCATGGTCTTTGCCGAACTTGAGCGCATTGTATAGCTTGACCAGGCCGGTAAAAGCATGTGCTTGTAAAGCGTCTTTTGACCAGAAGAAGTCCAGGATGATGGCTCGGTATATCCACTTGCCGTCTCGCGAGACAACACCGGTACGCCACGCAGAGCCACGCCCCGGAGGTGTTGGGACCTTGTGCGTGCCAGAGTTCAAGTCTGCAGGAAAGCGGATCAAGAAGAGCGAGTAGTCTACTGCGTTGTTCTCTTGCAGAAGCTTGCTGTCTCTTGTGAGCTGCGCAACGAGCTCCTCCTTTTGGTCGATAGTGACTCTGATCTTGTCTGGAAATTCATCGATGAGTCGGTCTTTGACACTCTCCGGTGCCAATCGACCGCCGGCGATGTCGCGCTCGGGAAAGAAGAAGTCGTTGGGTTTCAGGTCATAAGTCTCCCACTGTTCCTGCTGGCTCTTGTTGCAGCTTGACTTTCCATACAGTATGTTCTCCATAACAATATGGTGGCTGGGAGCAGTGCCGAGCCAGGAGCCAACCGTCGGTGTTGGGCAGTACAGCAGATCGGTTATGCGGACGAGCAGCGAGTCTTTGTTGGCCTGCATGTGCTCAACATACGGGTCGAGGAGTTGTTTGCGAAAGAAGGACTGTTCGAACTGACGCGGCAGTGATTTGACTAGCAGTTTAGTATTTGGCGTTGTGAAGAAGGTCTGTCATCTGTTACTATTGTAGCATACAATGTAGTGTGTATTGCTACGTACTGATCCAGAGTACCCCAGGTCGCCAACCGACTTCAAGTCTGTACGCTTGTATGTACTCTCGCTTCTAAAGCTCTCCGTGTACTCTTCCTCCTCGATCTGCCACGACTCATTTCTCAGCTTCTTGAAAACTTGGTCTCGATAGCGCGCTAGTGTGAGCTGGAAGATGGAGAAGAATGCAAGGATGCGCGCGAGAAGACCCTCATTCGCTGTCTCATCGTGGCTGACAGGCTTAGTTACGAATATGGCGCGCAAGATGGAAGTGCTGATCAGGCGCTGTCGGCGTCCCATCGTGAATGTTGATGTTGCAGCTGCAAAGCTGCAGCCCGCAGAACTCTGTTTGTTTGTACTGTAGCCTTTTCTCTGGCGCCTGGGCAGCTGACGTCACAACGAGCTAATCACACGTGCGACGTACACTTAGATAGTCCGATCACCGCAGGTCGACATTGCAGTATGGCTGTCGAATATTGGGCTGCGACTGTGACGAAGACCTGGCGGTGTCGCGTGCGAAGGTTGGGCTCTGATGGCATCTTGCTGTAGGGACACGGCGACGAAGCGTGTCCAGGAGCTATGCGCAAGCCGTCATCAAATCTTCAGTGATTGTGGACATGTAACCACATATTGTGTGTGATTCGTCTTCGACGAGATTCTCTGTTCTCCACTGTGCAGCCCTGTCGGGGCTGACGAGCCGGATTTGCGGACCAGTCGGGAAAGCGCCGCAGCAGCGCTCACTACTGACGTCTCGCACTCAGCACCAACACAGCCATTCTCCCCAAGCTTGTGGCGAGTGCACCGCGCGGCTGACGAGCACCGAGCCATTGGTCATCCAGCGTCGCAAGCCCGGCGAGTGCGACAGCAGAGCATTCATGTGCTGCCTGGTCAGCGCATAGTCAGAGCACGACGGCCCCGCCGAGCTGGAGACACGACATCTCGAGCCTCGACCGCGAACCTGCCCGAGAACCCCCCCCGACATTCTTAGCACGCCGCCGCCGCCATGCCCTCGATTCTGTCCGACGAGGACAAGCTGACGGTCAAGCGCACCGTCCCCAAGTCGGCGAACAAGATCCACGCCGTCGCCGTCGCCAAGCTGTACATTGCCTACCCGAACAGGAACCACTGGACGTACACGGGCCTGCAGGGAGCAGCAGTGCTCGCAAACGACCTGGTCGGCAACACCTTCTGGATCAAGCTGGTCGACATCTCGGTGAGTCACAGCCATGGCCGCCTGCATGTTGTGGGAGACATTTCTAACCCGGCAGTCTGCCAACCGTGGCGTCATCTGGGACCAGGAGATCTACGACGGCTTCACCTACAACCAAGACCGCGTCTTCTTCCACTCGTTTGAGCTTGAAGAATGTCACGCCGGGCTGTCCTTTGCGGACGAGAAGGAGGCCAAGACGTTCAAGAAGAAGATGGACGACCGCGAGAAGAATGCGCACAAGAACACGAAGAACAAGCCGTTTGGAGCAGCAGCAGGGAGCACTGGGCCGGCCGCAAATGGAAGAAGCCACGGTCACGGTCTCCTTGGAGGCCTGTTTGGCTCCAGGCACTCGTCGAATCCTGCGCCGCCGCCACAATCCATCATGCCGCCGCCAGCCGTGAGCGTTGTGTCGCCGTCGCAGAGCAGCCACTCCAATGCCACGAGCGCACGCAGCTCCGCCATCGACACCACAGACCCCTCGTGGCAGCCCCTGCTGAAGGAGCTGCTGGCCATGGGCATCACAGAAGATCAGATCGAGGAGAACGCCGACTTCATCAAGCTGTACATCGAGCAGAAGAAGCACGACGAGAAGGCCCAGGCTGAGAACGAGGCAAGAAGAGCAAGGGCCCCCCCGCCGCCGCCGCCTCCCCCGAGCGCGCCGCCGACAGCACGAGCACTCAGTCCTCAGACCACCGGCAACTCGAGGCGTGGGCCGCCGCCAGCACCCCCGCCAGCGCGACGGACCAAGACCGACTTGCCAAACCGCAACTCCTCCTCCAGTCCCGTGCCGCCGTCGCCTCCTCGTGAGCCATCGCCGCCGCCGGGCCCGCCGAAGCCCGTCTTCCGAGCCCCCCCGCCGATCGCAGATGCTGGCAAATTTGCAAACCTGCCTCCTGCACCACCAAACCGAGCACGAGCACAGTCAGGCGCTGCCTCTGGGCCGCCGCCGCCTCCACTGCCACCGAAGACTCCAGTGCCAGCAGAAGATCAACCCGTGGGGGGCAGGTTTGGCGTGCCGCCTCCCTTCACCGGCAACCGAGTACCTTCAGGTGCACCTCCGCCTCCTCCAAGTCGTGGGCTAGTTCCGCCTCCACCTCCCTCGCGCAACACGCCCTCAGCGCCTCCACCACTTCCGCCGAAGACACCAGGCACATCGCTCCCACCACCACCACCACCACCACCACCACCTCCACCGGCGAACAACGCTCCACCACCACCACCTCCTCTGCCGCCGACATCATCTCGGCCTGTGCCGCCGGCGCCCACAGCCTCGGTGCCTGTCCCCCCACCGCTTCCACCTACATCGTCGATCCCACCACCACCGCCGATGCCGGGGAGGTCAATCCCACCTCCCCCGCCTATGCCAAACGCCGGTGCGCCTCCTCCACCGCCTATGCCAAACGCCGGTGCGCCTCCTCCCCCGCCTATGCCAAACGCCGGTGCGCCTCCTCCCCCGCCTATGCCAAACGCCGGTGCGCCTCCTCCACCGCCACCGATGCCTCCAGGCACTGGCCCGCCTCCGCCCCCGCCCATGCCATCGCGGGACGCTGGCGCTCCACCACCACCACCTGGTCCGCCGCCGCCACCGGGACCACCACCGCCTCCAGGCGGTGCCCCTCCACTGCCAAAGGCCGCTGCAGTTGGACGCGACGGTCTGCTCGCGGATATCCGCGGCGGCGCAAGACTGAAGAAGGTCTCAGACACAGAGAAGAAAGACCGTAGTGCAGCAGCAGTTCCGGGGCAAGAACCTGCGTCAGCCTCTGGAGGTGCTAGTGGGCCTGCTACGCCGGGTGCGGATGCTGGCTTGGCTGGGGCGTTGGCGAGTGCGCTTGCAGCGAGAAAGGCTAAAGTTAGTCACAGTGGTAAGTGTATATGTCTGCCTTTCGAGGTGCTGGTGTGCTAATGCAATGCAGATGATGAGAGCGACAAGGACGATTGGTAGATGCGTTTTATCTGGGTGGAGCGCGGAGACGCACCATGACGGCATACGCTGCTTCGACCGACTGCACGGAACAACAAGACCAACGCAGTGCACGATCCTAACAATAGGATTGTAGCGTGCGTGTATGGAAAGAAGTACGGCTGCGAAGAGCTAGATGAGGGGCCGTCGAGGGCTCGGAGCCAGAGAGGAGTCAGAAGTTGTACAAAGCTTTCAAGCCATATTTACATACCCACAGCATGCAAACCCATCGAAACAACAGAGTATCGTGTAATGAGGTGACGACCACAACGTCTTCGTTAGCTGACTTGAGAATTTCATCTTCGCTGAAGGAGAATTCGCACGTCACGTCCGCTTTATGCCTCTCCATCATCAGCCCTACCCCAGCACGGCAACTACCACCTTGCCCTGTAACCGCGCCATCGCAAACAAGGAGCAGACGCCCTCGCTGCAGGACTATCGTCTGCTGGTGATCGCATTCACTTCGCGTTAGCCTGCTGCTCACACATACTGAAAGATTCCGGAGTTTTAGCTTGTGTGAAATTAGAGTTTTTTGGCGATGCTCACATGCTGCTGCGCCCTACACCATCATCCATGCTGATGGGAGCTCACACGTGTATCTCCGTTCACGAAAAGTAGCTATTCGCATTGCTATCTAGTCGCCGCGGCGTTATCTGCAGATGCCCGCGCAAAGCCCCCAGCAACCACCGCGCAGCAATCAAGGCGTAGGACCCAAAAGCACCGCCGCACACGCCGTCTGACAAACCCCGTACTCAGCGTTGCACGCCACGATCGCCGGCGGAGCCGCAGCCGCAGCCACGGTCCCGAACACAAAGCCCGCGGCGGAGCAGCCAGCTTGACACACGCCGTAGCTGATCGGGCCCGCTGCGACGGATGGCGCAAGCAGTAGTCTGCCGGCGAGAAGTGCGGGAGTGTGGGAGATGCGCATGATGGTGTTTTGGGCTGTCAACGAGCGGAACGTGGATGGTGAAGTCGATGCATCAGCAGATGCGCCTGGCGCTTTATACAGACGAAGACGCGTTTGTGGAAACACTGGATTGCGGAAACCGAATAAGCGAACTCGGGAGAAGCGCGGATGCAACGCTTTGCCCGTCTTCGTACTCACGGCGTGGGCTTTCTCGCGTCCTCCTGTGGTATCTCTTACTCACGCACTCCACCGCGCTCGCCGCATTCCCAACCGCAAAGCATTAGCTCTTCTCAAGTCTTCCCTCCAAATAGCTCGGCAGACTCTCAGCCCAGATTTGCTCGTCAAGCACTCCCCATGCCGTTTCCATCTCTGTCGAACGTCTGAATGTGCGGATACTTCGTCTTCTGATTGCGCTCAGGGACCATCTTCTCCAGGCCTCGGACGAACGAGGAGTAACCGTTTCTGACGCCGTCTGTGTCTGGATTCTCTTCGGAAACTAGGAGGGGAGACTGTGAACGTCGGCGGCGAGCTTGCTTCGCTCAAGATCACTATTTGGGAGGATCTTATCAGCTGAATGAAGCAAGCACGCGATAGAACCAACGGTAAGAATAAGTATTGAATTAGCTAATTGGGTATCATGTACGTTGCGCCCGTAACATTAGGAAACCAGCCCTCCAGAGGTGATCAATCTGCTTCATTTCGTCCCTTGCCTAGACTCTGATCACGACATTGATGCCCAAGCCGCGAGCTTCGCGAACACAGCAGGCCACGCATGTTCTGTCCACGCGCCCAATGACGGCGTGGAGTCCGCGTTCTGCGCACCAGGCTCGCGCGAGGAGCTGGCGATCTGACGAGCCTCGCGCGTCGAGAACTAAGACGGTCTTGTGGTCGTCGTGGCCTGCGCCTTGTTCGTGGCCGCCTCTCAGGAGCGTTGAGGATGAGCAGGTGGGCTGTTTGCTGGCTGATACAGTGAAGGGTAACAGAAAGTCTGGGGCCAGGACTTGCGACACAGGAATAATCTTGTGCCGGTATGATGCGTGGAGGGGGTGCGCGACTACGGGTCCTGTCAGTGTTGATGAAGCCTGCTCGTCGTCCTGCGCAGCGACGTAGCTGCGCTGTGGCCCAAGATCCGCCGCTTCTGGCGGGTGTGACAGCAGGGGCTCAAAGCCATGGCTGTTGCGACGCGATAATTTGGTGCTGATACTTCGCTTTGAAGAGCTGTGTGATAATGTGCCAGCCAAGGGGCGCTTCGCTACGTGTCGCGGGCTTGCAGCCGACGTGGAAGCTGGCGTATAGCAGGGCCAGGAGGTTACGAAGTGGACTTCGTGAGTGAGCGTCAAGACGTGTTCTTTCGCATCACCGCTGACCTTAAAGGTGACAGATGGGGTGTGTACGTCGCTTTCAGTTGGAGGGTCCGTCTCCGCGTCACCGTCGATCAAGTCGATGTTGAGCGGTGTCAGGTCCCATTGCACGAAGCGGAGTGGCGTTTCAGAAGGATCCTCCAGCTCTTGTGGCATGATCAAATCCGTAGACTTGATCGAGGCGTTTGTACTAGCCGGCAGGGCAGACGAGTCCGTTGCGACCATGTCCTGCTTCGTTATTGAACGCAACCTGACAGGCACTTGCTCGCTGCGTATGCTATGCCAGCCGTCATGTGCACCGTCCGGCAGCTTGTCCACGTGTATCCATCCCATACATTCCTGGGCCCCTTCTGTACAAGCTAACACCCTGCCGATGATTGAAGCTTTGCTCCACCAGCTCTTGCCGTTGTATACAAAACCCCCGTATAGATCGGCAGAGTCGCCAAGTGCGGAGATGGCCGATTGATCGTTCTCGAGGATCGTAGATATGAGGAAGTGAGAGATAGCCTCTCCGGGCAAAATCAAGCCTGTGAGGAAGGAGCGACTTAACCACCCTCCAACGTCAACGACAACCGGCTTAGAGCTATCTGCCAACGATAGAAGCTTATTGGACAAGGGGACGCGCAACGACTTGGAGTTATTGCGCCTAACGGTTGGCTTTTGAACCCGTCCAAAGTAGTCATCCAGTTGATGGCTCGCGGATCGTGGAGTTTGAAGAGGCGTGCCGTAGACGCTGACGACAGAAGGTGTAGTTGGGTTGAAGGACCACGCACTAGGAGATGCAGGCTGTACCGCGCGTTCAGTGTTCTGATCAGACACCCCGAGCTTTTCCACCAGCGCCTTCCAAATTGAATCTGTGGTCGGCCATTTGATTGATTCTGCAAAGTGCAGAAGCCCCGAAAGCTGGCGCGTTTGGTGTTGCGGCAGGAAGATGATGTCGGATCTTGGAGCTTCCTTCGGTGTGCCTCCACCAAAGATCGATAGTAGTCCGCGCTTCTCTGGCACCGGTGTTAAAGCACTCTCGTCGTCGCCCTTGATCACCAGAATGTTTTCCAGGAATCTACGTGCCAGAATCATGTCCCAGTCCGTCTTCCTGGTTGTAAGACTGGCAAACGTCTCAATTTCTCGTGCACTGACTTGCGTCTGGTCGTTCACCTCGCCGGCCCTTGTCGCGGAGACTGCATCCAGTCTGAGCAAAAGCTCACAAGATAAGCTGATTTGGAGCAGCAAGATATCGCGTACCGTCCGAAATGGTCTTTGCTCGCCAGAGGGTACCGGCTCTGGGTCGCTGAACAGGATCTGACCGAGCCTGATCCTCCACTCCACCAAGCTGAAGTCATACCAGATGCCTTTGAGGTTTAAGACTCTAAGAATTGCAAGGATCTGGACTTGCAAGCCTACAGGATCGAGATCTGATCCAGCATAGCCAGGCGGTGTAAGAAATGTACCGAAAAGATGGCCGTACAGATCGCCAGGAGTTTGATTGTTTAGGATGGTAACACGCTCCGGGCTTTGTTGGAATGCTTCGTAGAGATCTTGGAATTCGATGAGTCGGTTGTAAACAAGATCCATGTCCACAGCACGTATGCCAACACGCTCAGGGTTGGTCTGCATGAAACCCTTGTTTCTCGTTGTCTCGAGAAATTCTTCGCTGTCCTTGTCGTATTGAACTTCTGTAAGAAGACTGTCCGATTGAGGCAACTCCACAAAGTGAGTGAAGCCAATACTGCCGGGCTCAACACCATGTGCACTCATCCAGCTCGGTGTCTCCACAGTGTCCACCTGATGTATCTGGTGTTTCCCTACACCGTTCTGTATTGATTGGCTCTTTGCGGTAGGTATACGTACTGTCGCAGCCATGTATGATGGCTCTGATGGAGGCTCTGAATCGGTTGCATCGGTATGCTTGACTTCGCTGTCCCATGGGTACGAGACTGTTGGTAAGAGGCGGCCACCAACATTCTGAGCACCAAATCTTGGAGCACCTGAGAAGAGCGCATACACAGCCTCCCTTGTCAATAGATCGTGCTCCTCACTGTTCTCTATTGTTGATCGAGAACGCGATGATGTCTCCGCAGCTGGTTCTGCGAATGCGTTAAGCTTAGGAGCTTCCACAGGATTCCCCGATCGAATCAACTCCATCTTGATATTCTCCTCTTGGTGTGTAGATGACTTGGTTGAACCGTTGGGCGGCTTTACAGCCTCGTTAATGGGAGCTGCCTCCGGTGCATCCAGATCGTTTCCTGGCGGCTCAAAGCTGCTTGCCTGGATTTCCTCAGCGACTGGAGACTGCCGCAGGGACAACGCGTCCTCGGGATCTGCTTTTGTCTACGGATTAGGACTTATTGTTAGCTGGTGTGTTCGAGCAGCGGGGCAGCAATACAGACAAAGAAGGAGGGAAGGTGGACGGGCGTACAGGTGCTTCATCGTGCTGCTGTGGCTTCTGTTTCCTTATTGACTTTGATCGAAAGAACTGGGATATCCTTTCTCTCTTACTCCTCTTCCGTTCCAGCCTGATACCATCTCTTTCGTCATTCAGTTGCCTACTCAGTCGTCGCAACATGGCGAGCGAGGTGGGGGCGGTGAGGCATGCTGGCTGGAGGCCTCAGGACATTTAAAGGAGCGTGCCTGACAGTCGACGAATCTCCTTGACATGTTAGGCGATAATGATCCCACCTAACACGTCAAGCAGGGCAGACACCCTTGACCTCGAGTCCTGATCGTTGGAGCGGCCCCGGGTCGGCCACTCCCTGTCACGCATCCTAGCGATCGCCAATCACGCACGCGCCCATCTGAAGAACACCAACAGCCGGCTGCAGCTTGCAACACATCTGACCTGACCGCGGTCGCGAGAATGACCAACGATTCGGTTTCATGCAAGGCAACGCGTGTCCGCGGCAGACACAACACGACTGCACAGCGCGGTCGTCATGGACGCTATTCTTCGTCACTTACAGTGTCCGCCCATCATGACGTCCCGCTGCTGTGGGGCTCTTGGCACACGAATTTCCCCAAAACAGGCCTTTTCGACGGCTGTCAACGTCCAAGCTTCGAGGCCTGCAAGACCGATGCATGCGCAAGTACTGCGCAATGTCTGACTTCACAACGCCTTCACAAACTTAGATCTCATGGTGCGGTGCAAGTCGGTCCTATAGGCCTTGATCGTCACCTCTGTTGACTACCTTGGACTGGCACGTCTTAGGGAATGTATATATGGTCGCCTCCTAGCTAGCAAGCAACTCAGCGCAGTTTTCCATCGATACATACAGCGGCTACGTCTGCCGCGACATCTCACCCCGAGTCCCCCTTTGTTCGACGCAGCTTGTTGTGTGCAGCTGCCTTTGTGCTTAGGTATGGTACTGTTGGCTGACAACATTGTTCGCTCGTCTAGTACAGTATCTCGAGAAAAAGGGGCTTCCGATGAAATTCCAAGCTTTCTTCTTGGGCGAAGTAGTACTACAAGACACTACCAAATACACCGAAGCTTACTTCAAAGCTGGCATAAACGACTACATGCAGGCGGCAAACGAAGAGACCGTCCGCCTGATCTCATCTACTTCCTCGCAGACCACCTCGCGTGGCAACATCTTTGGACGCTGGGGTAGGCGGGTGTCTATTACACCAACCACAGACTCCTCTACTATGTCCGTACCTGTCCATCTGGTCGCTTCGTCGATGACGATTGCGGCTCTGCCCGGTCTTCGTGAACGATGTGAGGACTTCAAAATACAGTCTAACATGATCTGCAAAAGGGTCGCGCGCATTGCGGACTTGGAAGCAGAGAACAAGAAGCTGTATGTCCAGCTTTCAATCGAGGACGATTTGGGTAAAGATGATGTGTCAGACGGGAAGGACTGTGTACATGGTATTGCCCTGTAGTTAGTCTCAGTCCTAGATTCATTAGACGTACCAAACTTGTCATTTGCACCGTACTCTTATGGTCCATCGTGCAAAGTGAAGCGCGCATGATTCGTGAAAAATACGCTAGTGATTGAGCACGACTCATGCCAAATGCCCATGCGCGTCGGGGTAAACACCAACAAACGCATCGGCGACTTCAGACAACGTCATGGTATGCATTCTCCCATGAGCAAAAGTCACTATACTAACAATATCCAGGCACGGACTCGTACCGCTGATGATGGCGCAAAGAAGCGAATAGGGCGGCCACCTGGAAGTCGCAACAGTGGTGCATCCACGAGTCGAGTCGCAAAGCCTGTGGGAGCACCAAAGCACAGCAAGACCAACAGCAAGAAGCAGCAAGGGAGGAAATCTCAACGCAATGACGAAGAGGATGAACTCTCTGTACTTGCGCCAACCCAAACGCAATCCTCGCGGTCATCCCAAACTCGAAAACGCACCAACTCCGAAGTAGACGAGATCGTCGAAGAGCCCACAAAAGTGCAGAAGAGATACGTGCAGCTGGAACAGAGAACAAAAAGGATATCACAGGATATAATTGAGACATGGCCACACCTGCCCCAGCATGTCTTAGTGCAGATCAGTGCGGTGATCAAGGACTCAAAGAAAGACATTGCCAACACACAACGAGACGAGCGCAAGGTTATGGCCGCGCACAACTCCCTGAATCCGCTCGTGAAGAGACTGATGCGCCATATCTCTACCTCGAGGATACCACCGCAGGCTAGGGACACCCACTTCAACATCGATAAGCTTACAGAGCGCAACGGTCAGGTCTTCCGAGAGGTGACGACCGCTCGCCACTCAAAGCAGCTCCTCAGCGAGCAGGTCAGAATCACGCAAAATCTTTTGACTAAAGATGAGAAGGATCTGGATAGGGTCAAGAATGATGCAAGGAAATGGAAAAACGAGTGGAAGCATCAGCAGAAAAATGGACGGGCAAGTGTTTACCGCTGAGACTGCACGATACATATACTGACATTAAGGACAGGTCCATCCTCTCCTCAGCGACAACGAAGATGTGTCCATCGATGGTGACGGTCCGGACGACATCCGCCTGAGAGCTGCTGATGCTGCAGACACCTCTGTTCTCGATGCGCCCGCCGCTGAGCTTGCATCTATTCTTGAACAACTTCGACGTAGTCTAGAGAATATGCAGGGTAATCATGGGCAGGTTGAGGGCGTTGACGAGGCAATGACACATGCCCAGACGGCACTGGACGATGTGCTTTTCAGACATGCGAGTGCACAGCAGTATGATGCGCTGTGAGCTATCGAATGCAGGTCCACTCGACATTTGGGGCGTTTCAGGAGTTTCGACAGGCAAGCCGTAGTATGCGCAGAGGCTATGTGCGCGATGCGGTGAACATGCAGCCATGTTGTTTACCAGGATGTATCAAGGCGTTTGTGGGATTGGCGCTCTGTCTAATACTCTGGGAACGAGCTCTGTACGACAGGGACGGTCCGCGGCCACCATTTGGCTTCACACGCATCATGGCTACAGCGTGATGGAAGAAGCGGAGTCGGCACGTTGCTATCCACGTATCAGATATAGCAATGATAGAACCAGCGCAATGGTCGCCGGAAGGGTTGCATGTCGACTGCATATCTAGACATGACCGCTGCCGTGCACTATTGGAACACGTGATGGACCCACTCATCCCAGCTACTGCAGGACACCAGTCATGCTCCCACCGGGCGCTGCGGCTCTTCGGTGAGTCCTGCGAACTCAGCGTTGCCCAGCCCACCGTCGTCTCTTCCAAAGGTTGACAGCGGTAAGTGACGCTTTGTGGGCTCGAGCGCAGGCGTTCAACCCCGCTGCTGAAGGCACGTTTGCGGAGAAACCGGCGTCAACTCCTTCCGGTTTCTCCTCTTGAACGTCGGCTAACCACGCGACCATAAACATTCACTGATCGACGCCCGTATACCGACTCAGCCATTATCTACTACACACGCTGCGGTGCGACCCAGAAACGTGCCCCACTCGCCAGCTCGTTTTGCTTCTTTTGGTGTTCGCACGCGTAACAGACCCATCCGTGCGACCTCGAAGTGCCCAGCCTTCAGCTCCGAAACCCACGCACACCACTACGGTTGATGCCGGAGGCTGCGCGGAGATCCAATGGAGCAGCCTCGCCTAACATGACAAGTGCCAAAGAAGTAGACCAGGGGAAGGATACCTCTACCTCAAATGTGTCAGAGAGTAGATCACCATCCAAGGACAAATCCTCGTCGGCGCCGGGGTCTGACGCGCCCGCGCGGACCTCAAAAAAGCGCAGAAAGGTCAACCATGGTAAGGCCTCCATGCTGTGTACTGGTAGTCCTCTTGACAGTCTTTGCTAACCCCAATGCCTCCGCACAGCATGCATATACTGCAGACGTTCGGTAAGCCGCAGCCGTCATTCTAGCATCTAAAACACGGCGCTCTGTTGCGTCACAATCTCCTCCAAATGACTGCTAACATCACGATGATAGCATATGACTTGCGACCTAGTGAGTGGACCCAGCGTATTGCTCCCTTCTCCGAAGCTGACATTTGCGTTCCACAGGAACGACCATGTACGAGATGTGTCAAGAGGAATATTGGGCATCTTTGCCACGATGAGCCTCGTGAGGGCGTTAAGAAAGCCAAATCAGAGCCTGACAACGGCAATGCTCAGAGCGAGGGTCCCAAAAGCGGAGCACCTGCCTCTGACACCGCCGCCGTGCATACCATGCCCCAGCAAATCAGCGCTCCGGATGCAGGGCTTAACCTGAGGCCACCTCGCCTGCCCCCTAACAGGACTGACAGTACCTCTTCGATCACGCAGGCTGACCCCATAGCCGCGCCACAATTGCCTGGAATGGCGTCTGGGAATCAGTCTTGTAAGTTACGCATGTTCTCAGTTCTCCACGTAGAGCTTCCACTGACACTCACCAGTCATGAATTACGATGCTCTTCTCTCTACATCCGAAAACAACTTCCAGGACATGCACCATTTTCATCCATCGTATATGTTTAACACGACAGAAGTCAGCAATGAGTACAACCTGTTCAACGACTTCCTGAACAACAACTTAATGGACGACGGGTCTTTCTACGGGGGTAGTGAACTGCATTCGCTCTTCTCTGATGCATCTTTGATGAACCCCATGGGTACCATGACCAACAACACAGCCTTCGATCCAAACGCGTCGAGGAATTCCCAACTTTTGCCACCGCCTGCTCAGACTGCCGTTAAAAAGACTCATCAACGCCCATTGAACAACGCAAACGCTGACAACAAGGCGCGAGAGAGGTACCTAATGACCGCCGCCGATCCAGCTGGTAACGACAGCCCCGAGGAGCGCATGCACAAGCTACTCAAGGCCAAGATGGATGCCGGCCTGCTGAAGCCCTTCAACTACGTAAAAGGCTATGCAAGGTTGAACCAATACATGGAGCAGAACCTACAACAAATCTCGCGCGTGCGGATATTGCGACAGCTTGACAGATTCAGGCCAAAGTTCAGAGAACGAGTGTCGAAGCTGACCGACATGGAACTGGTGCGAGTGGAAATGTGGTTCGACAAGAGTCTGATGGAGTACGACCGTGTATTTGCTAGTATGGCGATACCTGCGTGTTGCTGGCGAAGGACGGGCGAGATCTATAGAGGTAACAAAGAGATGGCACGCCTTATCCACGCGCCGATGTCGAAGCTGCGAGATGTAAGTGCGCACCATTTCCATCCAGTTGCACGTACTGATACGAGTTTCAGGGCAACATAGCGCTGCATGAGATCATCGCCGAGCCCTCGCTTGTCTCTTACTGGGAGAAGTTCGGCGCAATCGCCTTCGACCACACCCAAAAGGCCATTCTAACGAGCTGCTCTCTCAAAAATCCGGATCCGAATTCGAAAGACCCTGAGATTCGATGTTGCTTCTCGTTTACCGTCAAGCGAGACATGTGGAATATGTGAGTACTGCAAATCGCGTCGCCGAGATGTGTACTAACGGGCTACAGACCTGCGTTGATTGTGGGCAACTTTCTGCCGATTACAGAGTCCATCTCCGGACCTCTTCCAACTTCTTAATATTGCGTAATGTGCATAGATTATAGAGAAATCAGGTCTTCTTTCTGGATACATGATGGATGGCGTGCGCGCGATGCGCAGGCGTTCATCAGGGAAAGGTGTCACATTACAGCAACCTTATCATTCCATTGCATGGTCTCTTTCACGTATACCAATTGTACATTGTGCGCAACTCAGATGCATTGTTGCTTTCTATTCACTCCTCTTAGCTCGAAGTTCCTCTTGTTCATACTGTTGTTAGTGAGCTTGCTCGCAGAAGGCAGGCACGACTCCGCCTGCGTTCCCTTCCGGCAACATCACCTCACCAGCCCACCACTACTTCCTCTGCATTTGCAACATGGCGCTACGTCAGCCTGTAGCAAAGACTGTGCGCGAGAACAAAGTCAAAGTTGTCATTTGTGAGTTTAGTCGCGCTGCGTGTAACATGCTTATCTTAACGATCTGCAGCGTTTGCCTCCAGTCTCACCTCACGCCTCGATAAGATTCAAGACCCCGCGCTGCTTGCAGACCTGCGAATACACTTACGAAACTTACCACTAACTGTGTCGCCGGCCGTTACCGCAAAGCGCGACGAGCTCGACAGACTCGGCACGGAACTCTGGAACTTGTCTACTCGCCTGCGCCGCCATGAGCCTGCCCAGAATGGCAAGACGAGAGAAGACGCGGTCCGAACCAGCAGTATAATATGCATCTTGCGTTCATATGCTTTCCTGTTGCTCGACTCTGCTGGCGGCCAGTTGGTGAAGGGCCGAGAGCGCAAAATCTGCATTCGCTTGATGAAGGTCGCGCTGAAGGCAGCGAAAGCCTGTATACTGGGGCAAGAGTTGGACAGTGCCATACAGGTACTCGAGCGAGCTGCGACGTATGCAGAGATCCTAGTCAACGCGGGACAACACGATGGCAGCGACGAGGCCGATGTTGCAGGACGCTTGCGTATTGAGTACTTCGCAATGCGGACTGCTCTTGTAAGAATACCTCAGCATCGCTTCCAAAACCACACACTGACATCGTATTCAGGCCTTCCGTCAAGACCGTCTCGATATGGCAGAGCACATGTTTGTGAAGTGCAAGCAGATCGGCAGCGCTCTCGCTCCGGATACCGCAGAAGACCTTGCCGATCTGTTCTATGAGATCGGGAAGCAGGCCTTGTCGAAGCGCAGCTATGAAGCCGCAGTAAAGTGGCTAGAACGTGCGTGCGATATGATTGAGGAGCAGGACCTCGCCATGCTCAGTCCTGAGGCTAGTGAACTCAGACTGTGCATACTTCAAGATCTTGGTAAGTGTCATATTTCACTTGGTACAGACAGATCTAATAAACGAGCCAGTCCAGGCGCACATAAAGCTAGAGACGGCTGAAGCGACTGACAAAGCCTGGCATCTGGTCAAGCTCATGGATACCGACTACGGAGATAAAATGGTTGTTTCCTTGCTAAAGATTGAGCTCTTTTCAGCTGCTGAGCATGTTGACCAGGCGGAGTACTACGGCGGTAAGTCGATCAAAGCTTGCGAGATCTGTGCTGATCAAGACAGTGCTCTCTCGAATGATCCGGATGATCGTGCTCAATGACACCAATTTCAAGACCTTAATACACCACATACACAAGTTGAAAGACCTCAAGTATAAATGTTCTCCTCGATTCTGGAGAAAGGCGCTAAGTAAAAACAGCAACGTATACGCCTGTAAAGCACTGGACGAGCTGTTAAAGACCAGATTGATCAGAGAGGAACATGGACCATGGATTGAGAAAGCTGTCATTACTCGTACATGGATCAGCACGAACGATGCACACGCTGAGAATGCCCTTGATCAGCTGCAACAGATTTTCGATATTCTTGTGCAGGAGTCGAAATTTTCGCTCTCGGCTCCAGCGGCTCATGCCACACAGATGCTACTCTGGAAGAAGGTCGAAGCGGTAGCGGCACAAGATCAGGATGACACGGCTGAAGCCTGGTGTCGACTCTGCCTGCACCCTATACTCGAAAAAGCCGGTGCCCCAAACAAGGTCAAAGTCACAAGGTAGGTCGATCAAAAATTCCGTGTCAGCAATTGCTAAGCCTTCTCTTAAGGAAGATGATACAATGCGCACTGTCGCGACAAGACTTGGCAGCTGCTCGCGAGGCATATTGCAGAATCCCCGAAATTGGTCGAGATGAGCCTGTCACTAGGTACTTAATGTACAAGGTGAGCGTTAGAAGTGGAGATATAGCGTTTGGTGAGTAAGCTCGCTATGAGCTGGTCATCCATGAGCTTACAATCTTAGCCGCCGAATGCATGGACGTTGTGTGTCGGAGCTCTGTGAAGGATGCCACACTCCTTTACGCTTGTGTCATGGAGGCACAGAGTATCGGTAATAAGCGACAGGCCATCAATGCTCTCGAACGAGTCCTAGACAAGTACGATTACGCGGCACCCGCTGGTATTCATCTGCCTGCACTTCTACGGTAAGCTATGCCCACTATTTCGATGATAGCTTTGACCAAAGAAGGGTCACACTGAGGCTTCTTCAATCGGAGTTTATCGAGGATGGCGTAGTCGATAGCGCGATCCTCGATCAGCTCTGTACAGTATTCGAGGGCGCATTGAATCAGGCCAGGGCGTCACAGCGTAGACCGAGTACGCCGGAACAACAACTCTTCACTGGACATGAGCTCGAATGGTTTTCGAAGAACTCGTACAATTTTTCGTTAAAACATTGTGCTGAGATCCCCCCTCAAAAGCTAGTCAGACTGCTAAATGTGTGCGCCGAGGTGAGTCGTAGCTGCACATCTAAACATGATTTTTACTGACACTGGGGGCAGTTCATCAACCTCTTGAAAGAACGAGAGCAATATCAATCGATTGCAGCTGCGGACCTCTGCTTGCGCTCTGCTTTCTGCGAGTTCCTTGCTGCTTGCACATACACCACGTTGGCCCGAGCTGAAGACAGTCAAGAAGCTTACGTGAGTCTACTGTCTCTCAAGCTTTGGATTGACTTGACGTGCTGACACTCTAGCTTCAATACTACTCGGAAGTACGTAAACACTGTCAAACGTTTCGCCGCGCTTCACTTGACGGAGCGAATGGGCTGAGCGGAGCAGCACAGGACGATATTCTGTCAAAGCAGCTGCAAGTTGTAAAGCTTGAAATTGAGGCAGCTCTCAAGTTGCAAAAGTGGGCCGATCTAGAGGGTCTCTTTGAGCAGTGTTGGAACTGCAAAAGCTCAGATCGTTACGAAACGCTTGCAGATCTGATACTGGTCATACACTCATGTCTGGTACAGGCAGACGTGGATGCATCGTACCAAAGTAGCAAGTACCTGGTTTCTGAATCTACGAAATGATGCTGACAATTTCAGGGGTGTTAGGGATGCTACAAAAGATCATCAACCTCACATCTCGACAGAACGGCAACGATGTCATAAAATTATCACGCTGGCTTCGATGTCTCTTCAATCTCACACTTCCTCTTGATGAGCAAATCAGCCTCAAATGTCTCGATCAGGCCACACAGATAGCAGCCAAGAAACAGGGGGTACGTTCCCTCTCGGTGAGCTCATACTTATCCTCGTCTAAGCACAATCTGCATACGCACCGAGCTAGCGCACCGATGGCGATCATGACGATCATGGCGACTCCTCCACCATCTAGTCCTGTGAAACTCGAAGATGATGTAGAATCAGCTAACGAAGAACTTAAGCAACCCGATCGCTACCCAAAGACGGAGCTCGAATGGATGGCTACTTCAGCCTTTAACCGCGCCATCGACTACTACGTTGGAGACGATGACGCAAAATGCAAGGTGTGGGCCGAGAAGGCCATGATAGTTGCGCAGTGGCTCGAAGACGACGGACAGTTACGAGATCTCCTGATGGGGAAATTTGCGGTTTTGCAGCTCGACAAGTGAGGACTGCTTGAGGTGGTGCCCTTGTTGCGGCTGCGACGAAGGTGAACGCGCTAATGTAATGTATGGGTATGTCATCCAACACCACAACACACTCTCGCTTTGAATACGATGTTCTCCACGTCCTTCCCGACCTTCTGCAGGCATGGGAAAACGCAGAATGCGAAGTCGTGGTGGTGCACATACGGCTCACTATCATCATCCATGCTCTCTTCTAGGTCGTTGATAGACTCCATTGTTCGGTCATCAAAGTGGTAGTGTGTCCCATCAAGGGAGTCGAAGAAGTTGACCTGGTACCCTGTTTTCTGGAGACAGAGAATACGCTGGAGATCCGCAGCTGTATTCATGATGCCAATCAATGCTGACCGAGCGCTCGACGCAATATCCGTAGATGAGATCGATGACATGATGTTCTCCAACTCGTTGGCCAACAATCCGAGCCGTTTGTTTTTCCAACTACGCAATTCTGCTGATGGCGTGCTTCGCTCTGTCACTTGTAGGGTCATACGCTTCCAATCCCGGATTTCGACGACGCTGGACGGCGCACTTTTGGCAAATGCCCGTAGTCCAGCGTAGATACCTTCGTCTGGCATACCAACAACCACAGGCTCATCGAATATCCGCATGAGTGTGCACGATACGATCGCTTGGTAAAGTGGAAGCTTGTCCGCGCCATCGACACACGCATAATGAGCCTTGATAGTGCTTAGGACACTCGTGCTCGCCTCAGGAAGCCCATCAAAGCTCATTCTCGAGCGCCGGTAATTGCTCACAACCCACTCCCTCACTTGATTCGCTAGCTGCGAGAACTTTTCCACAAGCTCGGCATCGCTGACTTGCGAGTCTGTACGCGTGAGGGACGAGATACTAGACTTTAATGATAAGAGTTGTTGCAGCCGCGCATGCGATTCTTTCTCGGACTCATGGAGACGTAAGGTTAAGTTATTCCAGTCAGAGTCGCTGTGCTGGGGCTCTGGGTGGAATGGTTGGGAGAGTTGGTCTTGTAGCTCGGCAAGGCGGTGGCGCAGATTGTAGTTCTGGGCGATGAGGTTCGAGTTTTGCTCGCGTACTTGTTCGAGGGTGTTGTCTTCGATTTTGGGTTCGACGGTGTCTGGAGGTTCCATCTGCGTTTGAGCATCTTCTGAAGGTGCATGGTTTTCGGCTTGATATCGAGAGACTTCAGCAGATGCTTGGGCATCCTGCTTCACGCGATCAAGCTCATGTCTCAGAGCAGCTATCTCTTCTTTGGCAGCTGAAAGTGCGTTCTCAAGCTCTGCAAGCCTGTCGTCCTGTGGGACAAAAGCCTTTTGACGTTCTGAAGACCTCCTTTCGTCGGGATTACCACGCGCGCCTTGACTATGGGCTGTTTGAGCTGCACTCGATGCAGGTCCAGCGTGTCCATCCTCCTCTCTCGGCGACCCATGCAGCATTTCATGAAATGAGTTCTTGGGCCTCTGCACTTCATCTTTCTTCACCTTTGGCGCGCTGAAAGCTGCCTTAGGCGATGCGCTTATCGATGGCGGCAACGAAGACTTGCCCAAAGTCTTTGAGATCAGCTTCCCTCCACGCTTGACGCTGAGTCTACTAGAAAGATCTGCTCATGTCAGTTTAGAGCCGGATCCATGCAGCAGCTCGTGTGACATCAACACTACTGACCTGAGCTCCTCTTTTCGCCGGTCATAGCTTCGGACACGCTTTTTTGAGTTCAGGGTCCCATATGACAACCAACCATGCTCGAGAATATTGGTTGCAGCCCCGAAGACTCTAAAGTTGTTGCCTGATCAATATGGCGAGAAATGACCACCGTTGCGCAGGACAGCGGGGCTGCGCCGTAAGCCACACGCGACTGATGATCGACAGAACCGCAGCTGGACGCCTTGCGCGTTGCTTGCCGCCGGCTTCAGGCTTCACTTTCGCACAAGTGAGCTCTGTGGGTGCCTGAACTCTGCAATGCCTTTTAGGCTGCCATTCAATTGACTTCGAGGTCGCTTCGCCCGCTCAGCTGAATACGAGACCGCACGCCATCGCTGACCACTGGCTCATTCGACCCCGCAACACGCCCCGAGGAACGCCAGCCCATTCACGCGCCTGTTGTTACCAGTGACCCTCGTGAGGGGAAATGAGCACATCACTTCCTTACAGAGGGAGCAGTGTTCCCTTCGCCTTCAACCCGGGGTCCAGTGCGAATTTGGCAATTGGCGCTGCTTCGAGCGCGAGCGCTAGTCAGGATCGCCTGATAGTTGGTGTCGACTTTGGTACAACGTATAGCGGTAGGTCGCTCAGAGATGCGAGGTGGACGAGTACGGCGGCTGATCTGAGAAGGTGTGGCTGCTGTCTATTCAGCGACTCCGGACGACATCGACATTATTAAAACCTGGCCCGGCGGCAATGGTACGTTACATCAGGATTGTGAAGCAGTGATTTCAATGCTTACGACTGCCAGGAATCACCTCAGACAAAGTGCCTACCGAGATCGGCTATACCGAAGCGAAGCCATCGAATGGCTCGACGTCGTCCCTTGAAAACTCGACAAAGCCCACAGCCAATGTCAAATGGGGGTTTCAATTCAAGCCGGAGGAAACCCGCCTGCGATGCATAAAGCTTTTCCTCGACCGCAACCAGAAGCTGCCACACTTCGTTTCGCCACTGGAGACTGCAGCGCAACTCCGCAAATATGACAAGACGGTCAACGACGCCGTGACGGACTACCTGTCACAAATATATAATCACACGATGGAGACCTTAACGAAGAGGTATGGAGAGACATTTATGAGTTTGACAAACGTGCAGTTCGTCTTGACTGTTCCAGCTGTGTGGTCAGACTCAGCGAAGGATGCCACGCTGAAAGCTGCTGAGAGGGCAGGCATGGGCAACAGGCATGATCTGAAAATCATCTCCGAACCTGAAGCTGCAGCAGTGTATACTCTGAAAGCTATACAGCCGAACCACCTCAAGATTGGGGACAACTTCGTCGTCTGTGATGCTGGCGGAGGCACAGTCGATCTGATCGCGTACAAGATTACCCAGCTAGCTCCTCTTCGAGTTGAGGAAAGTGCGGTCGGGACGGGCAACCTATGTGGCTCGGCCTTCCTCAATTACCGCTTCGAAGATCACGTCAAGCAGCGAATAGGCACAGAGCGATACGATTGGATGCGCGAAAAGAAGGCGAAGACGTGGAACATGGGACTGAAGTATTTCGAGGAGTTCGTGAAGCGCAATTTTAATGAAGAGGAAGACGCCGAAGTCAACGTGCCTTTTCCTGGATTGCCTGACGACGAAGAGGCTGGCCTTGACTCCGGATTCCTCGTAATGAGCAGCGAGCAAGTAAAGAGCATATTCGATCCTGTTGTGCAGGAAGTCATCAACCTGGTGGAAGGACAGGTGGACACAATTCGAGCTAATGGCGGCCTTGTCTGTGGAATTGTTCTCGTAGGCGGCTTTGGCCAAAGCAATTACTTGTATGCTCGTATGAAGTCGCATTTTAACAGCGCGCCACCTCCGCCTTACTCCGAACGGCCAACTCACGCGATCGCCATGGCTGCCTCACAATCCGTCGAGATCTATCATCCGATCCACGCTTGGACGGCGGTGGTGAGAGGCGCAGTGCTTCGAGGCCTTGAGGGTAGTATGGTTGTCAGCAGGAGAAGTCGATGGCACTACGGCACGAGTTATGCTACGGTGTTCGACGAGGCGAAGCATCCTATCTCTGACAGATACTGGAGTCCACTTTGGGAACGGTGGATGGTGAGCGATCGTATGCAGTGGCACATTGCGAAGGTATGTCTGAATGAACTTCGGAAAAGCAATGTACTGATATCACCCAGGGTGCGCAAGTGTCAGAATCGCAACCGATCTCGTTCCATTACACACGAAATTTCCGACCTGGTCAGTCGTTAATCGTCGAAGACGATTTGATTGCCTGCGATATGGATGTTGCACCAGATTCCTTCCGAAAGGGTCTTATCAACGTATGCACGCTCACGACGGATTTAAACACTGTACCGAAGACTCTCTTCACGCGTTTGACGACAACCAAAGGTGTTGAGTTCGATAACTTAGACTTCACACTTGACATGCGGATAGAAAGTGCAGGTCTGGTCTTTGAGCTCAAAGTCGATGGGGTCAGGTATGGAGGTGTGCAGGCAAAATTCCATTGAAAGACAGCTGCACCACCACATACGCCAGGAAAAGGCCTCCCGTCAAATACCAAAACCTCAACACCCAGCTTTGAGCTGCCACATATGGCAGCTCACACATAAACCCGCAAGCTTCGCCTTCTCCACTTGCACCTCGAACTCGTTAGCTTCACGATCTTCCAGTGTATAGGTCCTACCCCAGACGAAGTTTGAGGCTGACCTCAGAGCTGATTTCAGAGCCTCTATAACATCATGATCCTTATCGATTAACTTACGTTCACAGTCAACGTCAACCAGCGACGAGGCACTGAAGCTCCAGCAGAGTAAGGGCAAGGAGGCGTGTGAATGGTTGTTGTTGGCCCAGCATGAGAGCATTCTTCAAATGTGTAGACTTGTTGGATACACATCTTGTCGAAACATAGATACCCCAACAGCCGGAGATGTTGCATATCGCGACAAGACGAATGATGATACATACCTATGCAAGCTGAGATCGAGAGCTATGTTCTCGGCATTTTGATGAATGACTTGTGGAGTGACGATGAGGCAAGCATAGTACGCCAAACGCGGAAGAGCAACAATTTTTGAAATGGGCCACGTTCCAGAGACGAACTACTCATATGCTCTGCATGCGCTATGATCCGCTGTAGACTCGCCGTGCTCCATAAAATTGGCCAATTGCGTGACATCATCTGTATGTCAATGATCGAGGTCAATACAGTCCGTCCATGCGTCACACGTTACGATTATTTCTAGCCTCCACTATCCCCTCTTATGTGCCCACCTGCATTTATCTTTACTTTAAGATACCCAATAGGCCATTTTTTTCTCGCTAAAACTCCCCTTACTAACGTCATATCGTCGCGGTGCGTCGCGACTTATTCGTGACGTCAGACAACACAGCTCTCGCTGTATAACAAGTGACATCCGGCAATCCCTCTTTACAACCCATTCCAAAGCGAACACACGTTGTAAGCCAGCTCGGGAACACGCAAACCGAATTCCAAACCAACTACAACGAACATACGCTACCATGTCGAACAACGCAGAGCTCCAACAAGTCAGCATCTTCGATGTCAAGGACAAGATTGCCCTCGTCACTGGCGGAGGATCAGGCATTGGTCTGATGATCACACAGACCCTTGCTGTCAACGGCGTCAAGGTCTATATCGTCGGCAGGACAGAGGAGAAGCTTGAGAAGGTTGTTGAGGTCCATGGCAAGAATATCTCAGGGCAGATCATCCCTATTGTTGGCGATGTACAAACAAAGGATGGTGTGCTGTGAGTTCCTGACCCCTGACCCAGCCTCCGAACCGATCTCTGGGCTTTTGTGTGAATAGCGATGCTGACAGGTCCAAAGGAAGATTCTAAACGAGATCGAGTCGAAGGAGAAGTACCTGGACATCCTTGTCAACAACGCCGGCATTGCGTACGGCAAGACCAGCACAAAGGTCGATAGCGCCGAGGAGTTCTCAAAGAACATGTTCGGCGAGACGAGCGAGAAGGAGTGGCTTGACACCTATCAGACCAACGTTGTCGGGCCCTTCCTCATGGGCACCGCCTTCCTCCCTCTTCTTGCAAAGGGCACTGCGCAGACGCACGGCTGGTCATCCACAATCGTCAACATCTCTTCCATCTCGGGTCACGTCCGCATCTCGCAAGACCACTTCTCTTACAACGCCAGCAAGGGCGCCACAATCCACGTCAACAAAATGCTCGCAACCGAGATCGCGAAGAACGGTATCAAGGTCCGCGTCAACAGCATCGCCCCAGGTGTCTTCCCTAGCGAGATGACTACTCAGGAGAGCCGCGACGACAACCAGAAGTCTGTGATGCCCAAGGAGAAGAAGGAGGGTCTTCCTGCTCAGCGCCCCGGAAAGGATACCGATATGGCTCAGTCGATCATGTTCGTTACCACCTGCCAGTACCTAAACGGGCAGACGATTACCGTCGACGGAGGCTACTCGATGCAAGCGGGTAACTAAAAAATGCAAAACCGCTACAAGCATTTGACAGGCGGGGAACCACGAGGGGTGCCTTTAAGTCCCGCATCGTTACGCGTGTTAGTCGATCAAAATAAAGACTAGCGCAGCTTACGTTCTAGCTCACCGGTGAGCGACAATTGTATTACTTAGAATAGCCGGGTGAGGCTTCGGGACAGCTCCCCTTTAGCTCAGCCGCACATTCAGATACGAGGCGATGAAGTCATGAACAAGCCGTGTCTCTCTCCTGTCGAGATCACTGAAGTTCTCCAACGACCAAGTCTGATTGACGGACAGCTATCTCTGAGGTGAAGAATCTTCTCAAGTATAGCAGACCATAACAATGCCTTCCGTCATGGTTTAATCAAAAGAGGGTCAAAAGAAGGCAAGTGACACATCAAGCTAACGCCTCAAAAGCTTCATGCCTGACAGTGCCTGGCTTTGCACGCGCGTCAAGGGCTCTGACGTGAATAAAGCCGTGATTGGCTCCGGCCGCCAGCACTTGGCGTTTGCTTAATCTTCGGCATTGACGGCTCCACATCAATCCTCCTTGCGAGACCTGTATTTTCATTTCTCGTGTTCGGCTGGTCTGGAGCCCAGTTCTTCCGACCCTTGTACTGACAGCTTTATGTGGCGACGAGATGAACTGGCGAGCGCAAACATTAAGATGTGGGAGCAGATTGACTGCATGGTAAAGGACAGCTGTTGATCTCGACTACGGCTACGCGCGCCAGCGAACCTCTTCATTCCATCACCGTCACTCGGCTTCCACCGCCTGGTCAATCTCCGAGTCAATAGGGTCACTCCAGAACTGCCTTGATCCCTGCACGTCAGCAACGGGCTATCCTTTTAACGTAACGGGCATTTGCTAGCGACCAAAAGGTTTGGCTTTGACGGGCAAACCTGGCACAATGACCATAAGGCGGCCTGCACGATCTGATCAGGCCAACTGCTATGAGATAGCACGTGGGCTTGATTGGATGCAAGGTACGAGCAGCAGCAACAATACGGGGTCATCTAAAAATATGTCTGGATACATAAGAGAGCTGATCGGACGGGTCGTATGTTTCCTTACAGCTACACACACACTCGTTATCACATCATACCTATACATTCGTTTTTTTTAAAAATCATAATCTCATAATGAAGTTCTCTGCTGTCGCTATCCTTTCCCTGGCCGTCGGTGCGTTCGCGCAGATTGACCCCGAGCACTGCGGTCCTCAGAACGGTAATGTCGTTTGCAAGGACAACAACTGCTGCTCGCAGTACGGATGGGTATGTCTCTCTATCAATCATCTTACACCAAAGCTCGCCAACTAATGTTATCTCAGTGCGGCACCACAAAGGATCACTGTGACGCCTCCACCTGCCTGACGTCCTTCTCCGCCCCCGGATCCAGCTGCGCTCCCAAGGCCTCCACCACCATGAAGACCACCACCAAGGCCGCCGCCGCCACCTCTCCTGCTCAGACCTTCCCCGCCTCCGTCCCCGTCATCGACGTCTGCGGCCACGCCCAGGGCGGCGTTACCTGCCCCGGCGCCGGAGCAAACGGGTACTTCTACCGCTGCTGCTCGTCAAAGGGTCACTGCGGACCCAAGAACGATATCCAGGACCAGTCTCTATACTGCGGTGACGGATGCCAGGCCGGCTATGGAAAGTGCGATAGCGAGACGACGCCCTCTGAGCCGACTGTTGCGCGCGGCGCGGATGCGGCCGCGGGCGAGACTTGCGGACCTATCGTAAACAAGAAGTGCCAGGCCGGATTGTGCTGCTCGGGATCCAACTTCTGTGGTACTGGTGCCGATTTCTGTGGTGCGGCCAACTGGTGCCAGAAGAACTGGAGCGGGTCCACCAGCCTATGCACTGCTTAAGCGAAGGGAGAGGCGATGAAAGAGTCGCGTTGGAATGGAATTGGTCGTAGACTGGAGAATGGAGACGATAGATTGAAGAGTTGGTTCAGCACGACCGTTGCAACAGCGAACGTTGCGAATAGACAAGTATCACCCTTGCACGTGTAATACCCAATGCATCGCAAAACAAATGTCACTCAATGAGCTTGGAGGGACTCCTGCTTCCTCTGATGGCACATCAGAAACCATAAGCAGCCAATGGTCCCGCTATTATTTTGCTACCCTGCAATCATTCAATGTCAGACTCAGGCAATGTCCGGACTGCATGATCGAAGCGCATGCCATGTTCATCAAACATAGCCTTCTCGGCGGCAAAGTCAATTGGTAAAGGCATAATCGTGTCCATCCACATAGAACATAGTCAGTTGGCAGTCTGTAGCGAAGTGTTCTCATCTGCATTGCTCTGATCAGTGGTCGTGAGTAGTAACTTTATCGGTAGGCTTACCGTGGCTGGAGTTAGCCGATGCCTGTTCTCGGGCCCGACAATGGATTCTTGAACGCAGCAGTATGTATAGACCTGGGTGAGGACAGTCCCATGGCTGTGAGGCAATTTCGTACAACTGCGCCCGCTGTGCAATCTGCCGGTGACAGTCGATGCTGGAGTATCTTCAACCTTCGAATTCATTAATCCGGTTAGGTAATCTGCCACAAAAGATGAAAAAGGACGGCATGTTGCTCACCTCGCAGATTCATGTGCTGCGTGCTTCTTCTGGAAGAGGCTTTGCGTTCCAGCGAAGTATGCCAGTAGAGGTCGTTTTATAACTGCGCGCTTGACCTACCCGAGACGGTGATCGGTTTTGAAGGGTGGAAGTCCGAGCGTTTGGTTTGGTTTGCTGCAAAACCTGCGGCGCTGTCGATGATGTTGTGGTGTGCCTCTGTTGCTGATCGGATGGGTACGGAGGTAGACTCCATCCTTGTGAGTGGTCTGAGGTTTGCTGTGGGACGACCTCTTGACAGCCTGGTGGTATTCAGTGTTCAATCGCGTTACCTGTAATCGTCTGTTAGCTCACGATCTGCTCAACGACCAGCAGGTACTCGATGTCAACGCCATGATGGCTTCAGCTGCTCCTTATTGCGGAAGCCTTAGGATTGAATTTGTCGATAGATCCTAACAACGATTTCAGTAACGGAATAACTTTTAGGAGTTCGATTGATGATTAGTGAGGCCATACACCTTCGTACGCCGGCGCGACGTCGGTCCTCTCGACGTTTGAATGGTCCTCGCTTATCTGCAGCACGGTGGACACGCCCTCGCAAGTCTAGCTCCGTACACAAAAAAAGGACTTTACAAGTATGCCGAGGGCGATATTCTGGAAAGTAAAAAATCTGCAAAAACATACAACAGCGGGTATTCGCTAGTGGTCACCCACCTAACTACTAATCCGCCGGTACGTTGCTTAAATAGGGCTGAGCGAACGGGAAGCCTTGTTTTCAACGTCCTATGGTCGTATGTGAGAGGTTTGCTTATTATTAATAATAATAATCTTATAACACAAGCAGTATTACTTTCTAGAAGAAAAAAGTAAAGGATGCTGTTGACGAAGTGAAGGCTTCGTGCGCAGACAGCTGATGTTTGGTTGCAAGAGCCAAATGATGGCAAAAACATACAACAGCGGGTATTCGCTAGTGGTCACCCACCTAACTACTAATCC